AAGACTCATTTATGAATGTAAGATGTGCAAACATATATGATATTCTAAATATATTTTTAATTTTTTTAATTTAGGTTTTTCTTACTTTTTGTGCTTAGTCTAACACATAACATCATGTGTTATGTCAAAAATGTTATACAAGCACATTCAAAAAATGTACGGGACATGTAATACTTCTAGATATTTTTATAAAGTCTGTTACAATTTTAGAAATAATAGATTTTATTTTTTTCAATAAATCAAGTGAAATATTAATATAATTTATATTCAATGGACTTAATTTTAAAAAAATTTAAATAATTGCTTTTCATAACGTCTTAATCAGACATACTATCATGGAACATTAATGAAATTAAAATAAATATATTTCATTTCAGATTTGAATATATACATATAGTGATAATAAAAATATGAAAGAAATATTATTTTATTTAATGTTGAATAAATATAATATATTTATTACTTAAAAAAGTATATGTAAGAAATTATTTCTTACATATAATCAATGAATTAGACGCTAAAGTTTAAATCATTCATAAAATCAATGTCTTTGTGACTACTTTCAAATTCCAAAACACATTTTATTTAAACTTATTTCCGGCACAATTATGACATCAGACTTGTGTTTTTTAAGTTTGATTTATGACGGTATATCATCCATCTTTAATAAATTATTATTTTTATATAAAGTGTATTTGAGTCTTTGTCACTCATCATGGATCAAGTAAAACAATGACATCATATATAATGTATGTTGTCATCTTTTTGGCCATGCCACATTGTGTATACTTCTCTATCAATTGAGACATGTATGATCAAATTTTTTATTTCAATATATTGAACATGTAATTTATGGTCAGATTATAAATTTTCTCGTTTTTTTGTTTGAATTGATGTAAAATTGGAATAATTGTGATGTTTAAATACAACCCCTGAATGTTCTTTAAATTAAAAATCTGTATCTTTCATTAGCTAAACATGATGCTTGCTTCAAGTATAGTGCGCAAGAAAAAATAAAATTTTAAATATCATCAATAGATTTTATGTATTTTATTTTATTAGACAGCTGTATTTATTCTGATCTATTTTAGAAAATTGTCAGTAAATTTTTTTCAAGTGGAAAAAGGTATTATCTTACATTTAATACTGATTAGTATTAAATGCAAGATTATGCATGTATTATAAAAGGTATAATCTTCAAAAAAATTTCAAGTTTGTTTAAAAAGATGTCAAATGTATACGGCATGCAATCATCATATCTTATTTAATCATTAAAATCAATCAAAGTACTTTTATTTAAAAAATTTTAAGTAAATTATTATATGACATTAAAGGAATAATTTTCATAGAAGTATATTAGAAACCCATTTATCTACAGCTTGTGTACAATTGCTCAAAAACTAGTTACAAAATTCTGTCCAATTCTAGTTTTATGACTTCTAAATTCACTTTTGATTACATGTTCACTATTATGTACATTTTAAAATTAAGACTAAAGAATTAAATAAAAAATATGTTTATTTGTAAATATATAAATGATAGCAAATAGTAGGAACTACATTCTACAGAAATTTTTTATCATATCTTTTATATGTAAAATGACATTTTTTATCTTGCTCTGGTGTAAAACAAGCATGAATAATCTTCACTAATTACTTAATATCTTCAAGGAATTTGAAAAAATTTGACGTTGAATCTGATACTTGAAATCTTTTCATATTATCAGTTTGGACTGAGTTATTCTTTAGCTTGTCTCATCATAAAAAATAATATTGCTCATCTGTCTAAATTAAATGCAAAATAATACTAAACTGAATACTGAGATGTATTCATAAAAATTAATTTTAAAATTTTCAATAATAATAACTAAAATTAATATTTGTGTTTTATAATATAATTTTTTTTTATCAATGAAGATAATGGTAATACATGTTAGATATATGATATAGAATATTTTAATCAAGATAAAATATTATAGCATACATATTGCAGATTAAAACTTATAATTATTTAATATAATACATAATTTTTTGATTTATATAACCTTTGAAACAAAATAAAATTATTGTAAAGGTTTAAATCATCAAATTATATGTGCATGATAACTTTACAGGGTAATAAGTTGAATATATTTTATCTAGATACATTATAAGTTATATCTACATGACTTAGTTTTTTAACAATGAGTTTCATATAATTTCAGAAAAAATCAGCTTTTGTGTCAACACAAAACAAGAATATCTCAGTAAATTTTTTTAAAAACTTCATAAATCTACATGAAAGAAAATCGAGGGTGAAATATAAGAATAATATTTTTTTCTGTACAATAATAATTTTATCTTGCATGCGTAATATCTTAAAATTAATATGATAATTTTTAGTATTAAAGTGAATTTATGCTCAACATGATGTAGTATTCAAAATTGTATGAAAAAATCACATACATAAATTTAATTTATGTATATACAATGTGTAAAAGTTCATATGTTATATTACAATATGATTTGAGAGAAATATAAATTTCCGATCTTTTTACAGAAATTTATGTTAAACTAATGACTTTGGATCATGAAATATATGGAAAAATTAGTAAAATAGTGGATTTTTAAAAAATAATTAAAATTATTTTTTTTATGTTTTAAATCTGTAAATATGTTCAAATTTCATTCATCAAATTATACACATATAATCAAGATATAGTTCTATTTCTCACTCAGTTGAAGTGTTCTTTTTTGAAATTGATAATTATAATTTATATACTTTCAATTTAGATTCTCTTTTAGAGTTTTTGAAAATTTTGAAACCTTCATCTTAAACTTCTAAATTTTTCATGTTCAATTGTTCTTTTCATAATGTATTGATTAAACTTTGATTCTTATAAGATTTGATGAAGTAGACGAATCATTTGTTTATGAAACATAGGAAGTATTTTAAAAGTGATTTTTTGACAAATTATGAATAAATTAAATATAAAGCTAGGAAATAAATGATGAATATTGACATATACATAAGGATCAAGATATGTTTTTGTAGTGGTGTGCTAATGTGTTTTTTCATGAAAAAACTAATTATGAAATCATGATTATTTTACATTTATTTATAAGACAATGAAGAAGCAAAAAATAATGAGAAAGTTATGGATGAAGGTATCTTTAATTAATCAATAGAAGATTGTTTCTTTTGGTTTTTTAAAAAAAGGGAAGTCTTCACTAAACAATCATTATATCTCTGTTCATATTTTGAATTTAAGTCCTCTATGTATGATATTTTGGATTTTGAATAGATGAAAAGAGTTTATATAGAATTATATTAATCAAATTTTACTAATTAAAATTGCAAGCATGTTCATAAAATAAATAAAGAATAATTTGAAATGAGTAATTCGGATTTTGAATATAAAATGTTCACAACCAAAGTTGTGAAAGTTTGATTACCAAAACCTAGAAATAGCACACCATCATACATATATCATAACACAGTTAAAAAAATTTAAAATAAATATTTGAAACGGACGTCAGGACGCCTAAATTCTGGGATTTGTTAAGAAAATCCCATGATTAATCAAAATGAAATCTTGCATCATCCATAAATTAAGAAGTTCATGATTATAATTTTGCTTTTGCCACAAGTAGTATTATGCCACGTCGCCTTTGCCACAACTAAGATTAAGATACGTATTATTTGTTTTCGTACAGAAATCACTCTCTCGTAAATCTCCGAAACTCACACCTGAAAAACTGAATTAGTGTCGAGTAATAGCATACGTATGGACTCTATTTATTGCCAAATCCCAAAACTACCAAAATTAACACGAGTAGAATCCCTAATTTCAGTTAATTTCGTTAGTTATGAAAATTCCCAGGCCTCATAAGGCCGGGTTACGTTGTTGATGTCGCATCCAAAGGGTCATGCTACTGTATTCGGGATCGTTACAAACTAATCGGAAACTCATAACTACGGCTTACTAACTAGAATTGATACAGGAATCGTGTATTCACTCTCAACTTACATACAACAACTTGATACAGGAATTGACAATGGCTGAAGAATTACTCACTCCCCATCGTTCCTTAGCCCGAGTGGATGCAGACCAGAGGCATTTTATTACAAATCTGCACCCAGACCAGACCATAACCATCAGCAGCGACCTAAGCACACCCATGCTATTCAAATTAGGACAATTTGTTATGTGTATTAACCGGTTGAACCAATTCTTGGTTGGATCTTGACAAACACTGCCATTAGCATTACTTGTGTCCACCCATGGAAAAATAATGTCGCCCAAAACCCACCTAAAACCCATGGGCATGTGTTTTGGCTGGGTTTTGGGCAGGGCACCCAATGTTGGGCTCTGATGCAGACGGTATTCATAACCCTTTGGAGGAGATGACTCGTAAATGATGCGGCACTTGACTGTCTACGACATTTGACGACAGTCAGAGGTCGCAGGTCGTCGTCCCTTCACCGGGACGTCCGTCAAACACCGTAGATTCCCAACCATGTCAGCAAGTCACCGGATCGACTACATGTATCCATCCACATCCGATCGCCTCACGCATCGAACCCATCGCCGCCGTCGATTCGTGGAATTTCTCGACAGACGTTTTTCGGAGCCGGACGTGGAAGCGCGCAGTAGGGTACAGCCGCAGGTACACGAGCAGCAGCTGACGGACGCTCTCCTCGAAGCACGGACGGACTGCTCGTCGACCGACTCATTGACCGCGCGACTGCAGGAGCGGGGCCGAGCCTGATTAGGTCGGAGCGGCGCTGGCGGAGCTCCCTCCCTGGCGGCGTTTGGGTGCCAGCTGGGTCCGGTCGAGGGTAGGCTACGGATGATCGGCGGTCGCTCTGCCTTGGGGGCTGGGTTCGGCGAAGGCCCTGGGAAGAAGCAGGCTCGCAACCACTCTTGCCCCTCGAGCATCAACCGTCGCTTGGTGCTGTCATGTGAAACCCGCCTGTTCCAAACAGCTACCGGAGAATGAAGCTCGAAGGCAGTGGAGGCGGTCGGGCAATGGAAGCAGGCAGGCCCGATGGCGATGGCGATGGCGATTTCCTCGCCCGCATTCGGCTGCCCCGCCGTGCAGGGACAGGGACGGATGGGCCAGCCCGCGGTCGCTTATATTGATCTCGTCGCGGCCGAGAAGATTCGGCCTCTCGGCTGCCTCTCTGCGCTCGATTCGTTCGTGAAGTGTCCGATTGTGAATGTCAGTAGAGCAGCTTGCACCTTCAAAGCTGGATGAATAAAGAATTATCGACGAGAATGACGAGAGCGAAGGCGAGAATGAGTTTGCGTATGCACTCTGTCGGAATTTTCGCCCGCTGATGTCGAGGGTATTTTGAGTCGAGTAGTATCGGTATGGGTTTAAATAGACATGCCAGGGTTTTGGATCTGATTCCTTAAAGCGGAGCTCGTGCCCGTACGTCGTTGGCAGCGTTGCGCCGGGCTCTGTAAATCCACTCGCTCGGGAGACAGGTGACAGCGAATTGTAGTCGATCGGGATCGCCCGCCGTCCCTGCCCCTCTTAGGGTTTGTTGATTCAAGCGACTTAAGATGGAGAACGACACCGATGGCATGATAATGATGAAAGAACCGATTGCGAGATTGCAAAATGTCGAAGATGCTGCAGTTCAAGCGATGGACTTGGGTGACCTCGATCGCTGTCTGTTCTTGCGCATGCAGGTTTGCCGTCCTCTCGAAACTCACTCTGTGGTCACAGCCCAGGCTTAGATCAATCAATCAATCAATCAATCTCTATCAGTTGTGAATTTCGGACTTTATCAAGTTCTTTGTAAAGTGACGCGCTCGCAGGATGCAGTGTAGAAATAGACGGTGAGACAGATATAATTCATTCACTAAAGTCTTAAATTAATGACACGCCTATGAAGCATCTCATAAAATCATGCCACACGCGCACAGGCTTTGGCACTGGCAAAACTCTGCAGGGACGACCCCACGGTTCAAGACAAAGAAATAATATTGGCCAAGGCACACCTGCAGCTCAGTGCCACGTACTTGGAAATGGTACGTCGGTCTTGGATCAGTCGTGACCACTCCCAGTCCGATCTAAGCGACAAAATCCCGTGCATGAAGAAAACAATTGTTGCTGATTCTCTTGTGTGCATTGATTGTCCCAAAGAACCCACCTCTATGCGGAATATATATATATATATATATAAGATGGGATTTGCAGCTCCGGCGATCCGATGAATCCCTAAATTATGTTTTGGTCAAACGATGTTCAGGATGGATATTTACTATCTTCTGAGGCCTATTGGGTGCAGGGGTACGGAGATCAGGCATACTGGCATGCGTCAAGGGTGAGTAATTTGTTCTTAATACAGGAAGCCAACAGGACCGATTAGAATGTCAAGGAAAGGCACGTGCAAGGAGCAAGCCCTAAGTATTTGCCAGGGAGACCTCTGCGTCTTGTCGAAAGCGTGAAAGCCTGCAGACTAGAGTGTTCGGTGGTCTCTAAACCAGATCTTGTGCCTGATATTTACGCCAAATGCTTTCAGCTTGTAAAACCCTTTGTTATGCAGATATTGCATTATTATTCCATTTGATCCCAGCTGAAATGTTGTAGTCATACGGATTCAATTGTTTGTGTGGTTGGTAATATGCGTGGATTCGTGGCAGGCCATGGAGGCGGGTGATCCTAGAAGAGGTTCACAAGGAGAGCCCATCAACAGCTCCCTTCTCGTAGCCGTTCTGCTTGCTCTTGCCAGATCCATGCTGATGAGTAATGCTCATTCCTTTATTATGACATCGTTACATATGCTCTTGTCTTTCACTTTCTCGTCCACTCACACTCACAAACGCGAGAACCTTAGCTGGCCTAGAAGCATATGATCTTTCACGACTCTCCATCTCTTGAGCATAATTTGCGAAAACCACGAAGGCTTTCGCTGCAATTGGCTTGTAATTGGCACGTGTGCGGAACCTGTGCAGGAGCGGACACAAGATGTGAGAGCTACTTGAGGAGAGCCCTCCAAATAAACACAGAAATCACAGACGACAATGTACATACACTCAATGATACCCCTGACTTGTGTCATATTCACGCTGATCCTATCTTGCAGGGACGAGAGATGTAGACTTAGGACACTGAACGTGTGCCTGTGCAGGACCCCAGTAATGCCCCCATCCATGAGGCTATTGGAGATCTGTTCGTCTTTGCCAAAGACAGTGGAGTACCCATGATCGAGAATGACACCAAAAGGAGCCACAAAAAAAGGGCCAAGTCTCCCAAGTCACCCTCTAGCCCTGGGGCCATTGGGGCTCCGGACGAAGTCCAGCAGGACTTTTATGACAGAGGAATGGCCAGTTATGATAAGGTTAGATAGTCAACCCATGACAGTGACTAACTCTCCCCCTACAAGTAAGAGCGCACTGGTGATCGTACTTTCCATTCCTTAGGCTGTTCCTGTGATACGATTAACGCGCGTTGTTCTTCAACTTTCAGCATAGGCAGCATCAGACTTTATAATCAAGAATTCTAGAACTGCCCCCTCCTCATGAGTCTTAAGGTTGAGTACAGAGCAAGCCGATCAGTTTAACCAAGAGGATCGTTTGTGTGAACTAGAGGCATGGGATCTGATTAACAACTCAGTTGGTGGAAAGATTAAAAAAAGCGGAAAGAAGTCCACCAAGCACCCTTCTCTGGCCCAAATATACAGCAAGATCGCAAAGGTGAATAATTCGAGACCTCAGGACCTTCTGAACACTGCAAAGCGTCATTGCCAAGAGTCTAACCTCCGTTTCTGAAGCCATTCGAATATCTGCGTGCCACATCTGCTACTGAAAGTGAGAGGCGTGTTGTGCAGACGAAAGTCAAACAAGGTAAAGACGAAGAGGCAGCCGACATGTTCGAGAGAGCTATAGCGTCACACGGGCTGGCTACTGTCCCAAACATCTGTGCGGTGGCCCACTTGAATTTTGAGCTAGGTTGTGTGTATCACAGACTTCAGGTCAGCCGTACTTTCCTTGACGATGTAAATTTGCATGAAAGAAAAACAATGCCGGTTTCTGAATTCCGTGCACGATGCAATCCCTTGTCGGAAGCCACTCTGATCGCCGATGTGGGTTTCATCAGAAATACGACGAGTCCCTTTCAGCCCTGGAAAAATCTAATAAATTCTGCGAGCAACAACGCGATCTTGGCAGGACCGATCCACTTTCACTCATGATAATGAAGGAAAAAGGATGTTGTATGTATGATCGTGCTGAATATGAATCAGCTAAAAGCACATTTGAGGAGCTGCTCCAGTTTCAGCGAAAAGAATATGGTGGAGGCAGCATAATGGTTGCTGAGGTATGTCCTTAAATCGACAAACCTTGATTTACCACAGCAAATTTAGAAACTCACGACCTATCTCGCTATGGCAAGCGTAACATGGGGTCTTAGTACTACGTGGTCAACAAAATGTCCTTCACGTGAGAAAACTCAAAACCCATGAGAGACACAAGTTCTTCTTCCCGCTTCTCATGGAGCACTACTTTTATCTGATGGGTTGTGGCTCAACACGCAATTTCTCAAAGAGAAAAAACTGATTAAAATTTGCTTGCGAGACGCCCTATTCCAACACAGTAACACCGCTGCTACTCATTTGTCTTGAATTTAGAAGGAACATGTATGGCTTTTCGTCCTGTCAATGTGAGAGAGAGATAGGAGGAGACAACGCCTGAGTCACAGAAAGATTCACAAGTGCATGGACTAAACATTTCACATGGATAATCTGACAATAACAGACCCTCAAGTATCTGGGAGACTGCTCCGTCGGCTTGCAGAACATGGAAGAGGCAACCCACAGATACACGCGGGCTGTTCGCATAATGAAAAGGAAATACGGTATTCATGATCCTAATGTAAGGGAGTTAGTTGCTTATATCCGCGAGCTTAATCTCCAGGAGGAGTATGAGCGACAAATTGGTGAAGAGTAAATCCCCAATCTACTGTGAAATTTCTGTAACATAAATATAAGTCGGACCATTGTTCTCTCCACTCACTGATACAAATTACTTGCTCACAACCATGACTGACTGCGCTGATCTCAAGTTCAATTGCTGGTACCTCGACTGTCAGCATCGCTTGTTGACGCCGTTGGAACCTCGTTCTGAACAAAGAGCTTGCGATCTTCTTGGAAGTACGCTCTAAGACGCTACATCTCCCTACGCTTGCACCGTTCACATGAAACACTTGGTCTTTCTTGGCGCAGGAAATGCATGAAAAACCAGGAAATCAGACAACCAGAAACTCCTATGAATCGTCTAGACCAGCTACACGATATCCCAGAAAGCCCAGACGTCAGAAAACTACACCAGACTCGAAAGAGTGTAGCCTTTTGGATTGAAGACAATGCAGCTTGAGAGGTCCAAGGTTGCGTATAGGTAAAAGCATAATGCTCACATAATGCTTGCATGATTGTTGCTTGCACGACTGGAGAGATACAGTCGTCGCCTTTGATCAACCCGTAGCTGAGCCAATTTCAGGATCTCGCCACCTGTAAAGCTCTCCTGCAGGAGAGTGTGTACTTACTCTGAAAATCACTGATAAGTAACATGATTCATTCTCGTGTAATTCATCCCTGGGCAAAGTCAGCTCCAACTTGTACATCGCTCTACTTCACGGTTCTTCTGGTGTCCCGAATCATACCAAGGCATCTAATGCATGTAACACCGTCACCATCGTTCAACACGCCCAGACAATTGAAACCAACTAAAAGCAAGGACAGTTTCAGAACATAAGAGATGGAATCATAAGCTTACCTACACGAATCACAAGACATATCTAATGTAATGAAGGACGCAATTCAGGAACATTTTTTAGATGATTCCAAAAGGTTGCCAACCACTCAAGTGCATAAGATGTCTTGGTCTACCTTCAGCAGCAGAGCGAATCAAATCGGTGAAGCACCAAAAGAAAGGTCAGAGATGCAAAATTGGGTCGAGAATTTAGAGTTCTCCGCTAGGTAAGGCGGAGAAGATGGACGATATGACTTCATTAGAGAGCAGAAATCCCTCAGGGTCCGTTAGGCGGACATATGCAGGTTTCCGTTCAAATGTTTCAAAGCGTTTCATATTCTCAGAGCTCGCACATACACTCCTCACTGGCTTCTCAGACGTACATGCTTCTTCTACTCTTGGGCCAAGACCTTCACTGGAAGAATTGAAGGAGTGCAATTCGTCCTCACCTCCTCCTTCACTGAACATTTTCTTATAAACATCCCTTGGAATCAATCTGCAATCGCCATCTAAGGCCTCGACGAGCCCAATATCTATAAATCGTATCAACCTAGAACATACAGTCGAAGTGACAGAGGAGCCAAACGATGCTTCAAAGCTCTCAAGGTTCAATCCTCGTGCTAAACGCAGGGACAACATAATGGTGTCTAGAATTTGATCCTCTACACTGTTCGCGGGGTAGTCATCAGAACTCGACACCTCCGAATCCGAAGCGAGCTCTAAACTCGCAACGTAGCTTTTGTACTCTCTCATTTTCTTAGGTCGGGAAAATCTTCTCCCTTCGACATAGCTCGTTGAGCCCAATCCAAATGCGAAGTATGGGCGATTTTCCCAGTACACGAGATTGTGTCGACATTGAAAACCGGGCCGCGCGTAATTGCTGACTTCATAGTGTTCGTAGCCAGCCTCTCGGAGCCTCAAGGACGCTGTCCTGTAAAACTCGGCCGCCTTATCGTCACTGGGAAGAGGACTTTCGCCGGCTTTATACCAGCGATTGAACAGCGTGCCCTCTTCAATCTGCAGATCATACACAGACACGTGCGCTGGCCTTGCAGCTATAGTCTGCTGCAATGACTGCTCCCAATTGTCCAGAGTTTGGTTTGGTAAGGAAGCAATTAAATCGATGCTCCAATTTTGCAGACCAGTCGAATGGATGGTCTTCACAGCATCATGAACTTGCTGCAGTCCGTGCGCCCTGCCACACGATTTCAGAAGCTCATCCTGAAATGACTGCACGCCCAAGGACACACGCGAGATTCCGCAGTCCAAAAATCCCTCCAACTTCTGCCGATCGAAAGTGCCGGGATCCATTTCCATCGCAATTTCCGCAGTCTCTGAGATCTGAAAGTGGGCTCTCAGCTCATTCATGATTCTCGCTAACAGAGGAACTGGTAGCAGCGACGGAGTACCTCCACCGAAGAATACAGTTTCTAATGCAGGATCATTACAATTGCCCCTCTTGCGCGCAGTCGAGGCGATTTCCTTGCATACAAGATCGACGTAGTTCGCCATCACCGAATCTTGATGATCACTGGTTTGATTTGTTCTTTCTCCCACTGCAACGATGGTGAAGTCGCAGTAGAAACACCGGCGACGGCAGAAAGGAATGTGAATGTAAACAGAAGAAGGAGAGTGCTCTGGGATAGGAGTGAAGCCTGGCTCTGGGATAGAAGCAATGTCCATCCTACTGCCGGAGCGAGGGGACGTGATAAGACCAGCTCCGCCAGAGGCAGAGGCAGAAACATGTCTCGCTGCCACTCTGCTGCTCCAAGACGGAACACATCTCCGAAGCTCCTGAATTTCTCCACCAGCAAGACGGCTTGAAATTCCGCCGCAGAGGTCCTCAATTTCGTGACCACGCCGCCGCTGACCGCCATAGATTTCACACGCTCTCGATGAAATTCGATGAACCGCTGATCTCACCAGCAATCCGGCGAGCCTCGGCCGAAAGTGGGACGAGAGAGAGGGAGGTGACGCCAACGACGACAACATCGTCGCGCGCACTCAGCAAACCGAAGGAGCAATCGCCATCCCCATCAACTCCATCGCTCATCGCTTCTTCGTGTGCTACGGTACCTTCGACCCCGTTGGCCTCTCCCCGTCGCAGTTACCGCTTTTGCTCGTGCTTTTGACCGACCTGTCCCAGGGGGTTCCTTGTGAGCGTTGTCTGCATCTTTCGTTCTTTCTTTCAGGGGGGGTGGGTCAACACTCTTCTCGTCCATGTGCCAGCTCTTGATTCTATGTTTCTATGCATCTCTGGTTTTTGAGACGTTTTCCTTCGGATAAGAAAGAGGCCTTACGGTTTTTGGAGACAGATGTGCTCCCCCTAAAATTCCTAAACCCTAAACCCCCCAAGCATATGACGCATGACTGAGTATGTTAATAGACTTGCCAAATGTGCAAGGAAGGCCCTAAACGTGAAACAAGAAGCGAGAATCTTTAGTTCTATGACGGTTAAATTGTCGTACATCATAAAAACCAGGTCAAATGATTTACAAGGGATAGTGACAGCTTTCTTGACATGGATATTCTGGCTCGAATGAAACACACACAATTTTTCTAAAAGGCTGAAAAACGCTTCTAGTGAGACTTGAAACAAAAATTCAAATTAGTTTAATCTCATGTTGTTGTATTCTATGATGTCTGTTTTCTCTCACGCTTCGACTCTGTCCTATATATTTTTCACTTGCCAACCTCAAAAATTTATAATATAACTAATTTTTCAAGTATATTACTAAAACATATTTACAAATTCAATATATGATGTTATGGCTTTATACTATACACAATGTATCCTTCACATCAAATAGTCACATAGACGTCCTGCAAAATATCGAATGGAGACTGTTCCATTCTTTCCACTAGACTCCACAGCAAGTTGGCGAAGCAATCGAACTTCAGATGAGCTGGATGAGATGAACAAGTTGATGTCTTCATAAGCACAAGAAGCTAATGAGTTTATAAGTGAGAATAGCAAGAGAAGTGAAAGCTATAATGTTGAAACTGAAGATATAATGAATATTTTTCTCTTCGTAATCACGGTAAGGTTTCTTACAGCAACAAGATGTTCACCAATATTTGGTGACAAAATTGTACAAATGATGACCCATTGCACCAAAACTTCGTTGGCAGCAGAAACTACAAGAATTTCAAGTGATTCGCTTCGTAGACGTGGCTAACGGTGACTTCCACTTGCTTTTCAACTCAACACTCACCGACCTCGTTATCATAAAAGTCGAAAGTCAAAACTTGCCAACTATCTAAACGTCGACTAACTTTTATCGGATCCATACAATTTCTGCGTGACTAATTGACACGAACGACTCCCCAATGACCAGATCCCAGAGTTGTTTGGTTTCCCAGGCTATTCCATGGAATGTTGATATATACCAACTGCCAATTATGTCATTGTATGATAGTCTCATGTTCAACTCCTGAATGTATATAACAAGACTGTACTCGGGTCTTGTCATAACCATCAATTTATTGGCCGCGGAAAACAATCTAATTCCTATTCTGGACAAAGAAAGTAAACACGGATACTAGAAGTAATCATGAACTTTAGATTTGTATGACATTTATTGTTTAGCATAGGTATGCAGGTTGCCTACAAAATAGAAAAGGTAGAAGGCGGCAAAATGAGATTCATGCATGAACGAGTGCAAATCGGAGGTTACTTCTGAGCAGCTCTTGTTCGAATTGCACGACAGTAGGCAAGGAAGTTGAGTGCATTGTAATTGAATGCACGAGAAGCATCCAGTCGAAGCAGAAGATAAGTGGGAACTGTATGAAACAGTACTACTAACATTCCTGTACAGATGAATGATAATCGATTTCTTTGACTAAACCTGAATAGGATCTACGAAACCATTGTTTTTTTTTTTGAGATGTGAGCTTTGTTGGCGTTGTAAAATTGATTACCAACTCTGAGTGCCAAGTGAGAAATGACATCTCATCAAATGTTCACCTACAGAGACAAAAAATACCCCCTATTTGCCTGGAATGGAAGGGCCGAACGAGCCGAATAGAAGATACATTAACATCGTATCAGCCTCCTGTTTTTCCCAAGTTATACTAGATTTCAAAGTAACTCACATCATCAAATTAAGCACATTAGGTTTCACATTCAAGCAGACCAAATATCCGCATTGATGTTATGAACTACTTTATTGAAATCGAAGCCAACCTCATGTTATGTACATCAAATACGCAGTCTCTACCACATTCATTGTGAATTAAAAACTTTACCCAAAAGAATCTGGATGTACAAGAGGAATGGAGTTTCTTCTGGTTTGTTAGGATTTCATGCCAAAATCGCTGCCAAAATCTTTGTGTTGAAGAAAGTAAAAGCGTCGGAATCTGACCTCACGTCAGAAATATCAAATCTCGAGTTAGGAAGGTACACTTATGTCTGCTCAGATTTGGAAAAACGAGACGAGTAATACGTTCTCTACCATGGCTTCTTCAAGGTAACTATACACTTCTGGCGTGAAGAACGATCTGAATTTGCGCATGACGTACCAGATAAGGAGGGCATTATCAAAGGGCCCCTTCCTGAAATCAAATATTTAGGATATTACGCCTAATTCATTCACTCTCAGCAAGTCCAGATCTTTACAGAAAGTCACGTCTACATATCATATAAAACTCATTCATCGAACTTCTGTCCCAATTGAAGTATGAGAGTCTGACATTCAAGAATGAGAGTCTAGCAAATCAGATGACTGAAATACCTTGCAACTGCTTAGTTTCCACCCGATAGAAATGGAGTCCGTTAGAAGAAGTTGGAGCTTGTAACAATTTAAATTTAGTGCAGAATTAGAGGCTGAAGTATTCTTTTGTGGGTGTTCAAAAGAGTTGATTAGGAAGTACATGACTATCGTTTGATTTGCTCTACGTAAGTCTTGGTCGTCCAGTCTCATACACGGCTTCCCACGGAGAGTTGAATGGGCAAGGTGGATCAATGAGATCTAATAATACTTTATCTGAGAATACTGGCAGAGGTGAGAAGGAAGGCAGATGAAGGTTTGATCTCAGATGCAGATATCAGACCTGAGTGAGATGCATTGCTTTCAATAATATGGGCATCTTCTAGCTCCTGCCTGCACTACGTCAGCCATGGCTGGCCGGCTTGATGACTGAGGTTCAACACTTTGTATTGCAGTTCGAATGACTCTCCAGAGTGAATCCCATTGAGTAGCTTGCAGCTATAGCAGGATCGATGACGGGCTGTATGTTACCTTCCCGGATGTACGGCCTCCTCTCGATCAAGGTATTCACAAATCAACATTTATTCACAGCACAACATGTTCTCAAATCTGGGCTTGTGACTCCACACACAAATTTTCCAATGAGAACCAGTACAGCATGCAGTCATGGGCCCGATTTTAAAGGAACTTCCCACAAATCGCTGGTAGTGTTAAGATGTAAAAGCAATGTGCCAGCTTACCCATTCCAGAGGACCTCCATTCACTATGAGGACGCCTGAATTGAGTGGTTCTCGACCACATATTTTCCAACACGACAATACCGAAACTAAATACATCGCTCTTCTCTGTGTGCTGCTGCGTGGAGTGATATCTGCAACAATTTCCACGGGCTTGAAACTGAAAAAACAACAATTTTACGTGCTCCAGTTCGAGGAACATCAATTAAGTTGAACAAGATGCTTCTGAGCAAATGCACTGTCAGTCGTGGCATTGCAAATTGGGGACAAATTAGTATATCGCTCAAATGTAGCTCAACATATTATTTGACATATCTTTCTCATCGACATCTTTGACCTATCTATTTATCTTAGAATTTGGTATATCTGTTTCAGTAAACTGCAACAGTGGATCGCAAACAAGCTACCAAGAGAGCTTAGAACGTATACCACGAATAGAGAACCTTTTTCACAGCACTTATTCAGGATCCAAGTAACCAGCTGTTGCTGTGATTTCTGTAGAGACACGACTATCTCCAACCATTGGAGAATATTTGGCAATTATTCTCCAATCTGTCTCCAATTCTCCAAGTCTCCAAGACCAAAGTCATCCATTTTTGGCCTCATACTGTCATCAAGATGGATGTTGTTACTCTTGACGCCCCGAAGGATGATGCAACGTGAACTGCCAGTGTGAAGGAAACTGATACATGCGTAATTGTTTACGTAAACGTATATTATACCTGCAGGAAATCCTAGAAGCTGGAATATCTTGCAAAAATGGTCTCATGTTTGAGGCAATACAGAAGGCATAGACCATGCACAAGTCTAAAGACTGAAAAGAGCATTGGATTGCACCTCCATCACTCATATCACTCATAAGACAGATGACAAGCTCCAAGTGGTGGATGAGGCATATCCCCTACTTCTCGCAACGGACTGTCTGGAAATTACGTCTTGCAGCCCAAGTGCTATGTGCAGCCTTGTCTGCCAGTCTGAAGGCTTCCTCGTTGCACCATCGTCTGATAAACAAACGTGAATATCTGCATCACAGACGTGGATAAGTGGTCCCGATTTGATGGGGATGGAGAGAAATGACTATGCACAAGAGATTATGGATACCTTGAAGTCTGTCTTGTAGTGATCAATTGGACATGTATCGAAAGATAGCAATTTGCTGCTGATTTTCAGAGAGGTTGCCTAGATGAGGTACAAGGTTGTCATGCCGCAAGTGAGATGGAAGGTTTATCTGCATAGTAGGTTGGAGACTGTTAAATTTGAAGGCAATTTAAGTGTAAGTGAATCGTTTGAACTCTCATGTCATTCTGTGGACGAAATCCGAGCTATTTTCCCCCCAATAAAATCAGTTTTTCAGTGAGTCAGGAGTTTTTCAAAAGTAGATTTGAGATTGATCCGACAGCGACTTCTCAAGATCTATCAGCTCGCACTCATCTCAGTTTGGAACTCCCGGACTCCTTGATTAGAAGCCAATGATCTGACCTTCACCGCCAATGCCGATCCCTCGGCAAGATTAGCGTAGTGAATAGCGCCAAATCGATCGCAAATCCCCGATTCTGCATGGTTCCCTGCAGTAACTTCTACCTCCTTCGAAGTGAGCACCTTAACATCTCGGATCTGCAGTTCGATATCGAATGGATATGGAAGAGCCGTCATGGTATACGCGAATATCCAGTCAAGGCATATGGAGTTTCCAAATTGTCGTTGCACAAGACTTAATTGACAACATGGTAGTTGGGGAAAACCAAGATCATCGCTCCAACAAAGCTCCTACAATTATTTACAACGACTGATCACTGCTTGGCCTGCCAGATGACTCAGGCAATTCACCAGAGAAACTGTAAAAGCAAGAGTTCTGCAACACATCAATCCGATTAAATGGTTTCGGGCCAGTGAACCACTATTAGTCTTCAGAATTAGACACAATTTCCATAACGTCCAACTGAGGACAGACTACACCCAAAACTACAACTGTGCCGTCAACATTGCGACGAAGTATCTCAAAATAATTCTAAGCTGACCAGCTTGTTGATATTGGTCGGTATAGATCTTCTGAGGCTTTTGTTCGACGACTTGCTGGTAATAAACACGACACGGATGTAATGCAATATATGCGCAAGCCTCTCAGCGCTAAAATCAACCAGGTACTGGATTAATTTGAACGCAGCTCCATAACCAAGCAAACATCGAAGGATTGCAAGTGACATAAGCAATCAATTTTAGTTTCACCCATGTTGAAGTGACCACTTATCTGACTTGAATTAGAGTGAGACCGGAAAACTCACAGTCCAGTGATGGTTGTCATATCACTAGTCGATTGACATGACAATCCTGCCCACAGTCTGTACTCCTGAGTATGGGCTGCGTCCGCCATAGAGGAAGGAATGGAACTTCGGATCAATCTGATTGTGTCTGGTTTAGCTCGTCTTAAGCGGGAAGTAGCGCTTGACTGCACAACATATACTCTCATGACGATTGAAACATATTACGAGAATCTGATTCCATGAGAAAGAAGCATACGCTTCATGAGTCATTTTTAAACAACTGATGCAAGTGCAATATTGTAACTAGTAAATCATATTCTCGATCCTGAAGTCTTGCCATTCCACAATTTGAGGGCTGTATCCGGTCCACTAAGGTCAATTCGGAACGTTGGTGCAAACAAGAAGCAAAGTACACAATTTCAACATCCAATGGTAGGTTTTAATTTCAATAGTGCTTGGGTGAACTCTGCAGGGTAGGAAGTCTTGAACGGGGAAGTTAGAAACTATATATCCAATTCGTAATATCCACATGATCATCTGATTAGCGGTGAACCTGCCATGATTGCAGTAGAATTGATTCGTGACGTTTATCCTGAAACTTATTATAGGCTCTGAACTCCCAGTGAGTTATTGGAATCTTGAAAGCAACATCGTAGAAAAGGTCTATTAAAATGAAGAGCTTCTTCTCTAATTAACAAAATATTCGAATGAAATTTAGTGTTTATCGTCTTCTTCTCTGGTGCCATCGTGTACTTGGTTGACCTGGAAGATCTTAATGCCATTAGGTGGAGGAAGTTCTCGGCTCTTGTTGCTGGGCAAGAGTGATATGTCTAAAGATTTACTGTTGCATTTGACCATCTGAAAACCCAAGACACAAACCCAGTAAGGGGAGATCCAATCGTGAGAACATCCACATCTTTTACAAACGAAACGCCATTTGCGAAGATGTCGAAAAATTTGTCGCCTCTGTTTACTGTCAGATTGATATCGGACCACTAAAAATACATGTGATAGGGCTATAGGGTGATCGGTGAAATGAGAGTTTATTTCAGGCATGTACTTAATATACCAGCCAACCGTGCTGTTTTCAGGACGGACTCCGAGACAATAACCTGTTTTTCGTATATTGTAACATCATTCGGCGTTGTAAAGCTCGTCACTGGCTGGGCCTCGCCACTCCATATTCAGTCCAGACCGTCCGAAGGAAACCTGTTTCACATGATTATAGAGGTAATATAGTCACATTCTGAACTGATCGTCAAAGTTCTATGCTAGCATATGAATCCAATCAGGTAAGCGTTTTACACATGTGGTACAGAATAGTACAGATGTAAGACTAAACTGGCAAGCTGAAACTACCAGATGAATAGGTAGTATCTAGAGCTAATTTACTCACCTGGATAAGGATGAACTTTCATTGTCAATCCGTGACAGAAGTTTCAGTGCTGTTGAGTTGACCACTTCATAGGATCGCGTGGGTAGCAGTCGTAGCTCTAACTTGGATACAAGGAGCAGCTCAAGGGGGCTCGAGTTGCCTCTAGCATTACTGTACTTCATGCACCTCCGGGTATATGGAAGAAGACATGTTGCCAAATTGGACATCGAAAATTGCTGTAGCATCGACGGTTACATCGAATGTTGGTGGTCTGCTCAGACCTTCAGTTAGCGTATAAAAAGGTACGGCGGATCAAGTATCGCCTTCCAAGTAAAAAGCAGATCATTTATTCTCTTCGCGCTGAAACCTGAAAATTTCCCCAAATCTAAAGAATCAATGATCAGGCATCCAAACAAGGCCGGATGAGTCGGCACAATTTGTGCGCTATACCGTACCACACGCTAAGCTGATATACTCTGCCGACAAAAAATACAGTCATCCGTTCATATGCATCTTCAAGTGCTTCAAGATATGTGAGAGCAGATTAATTTGCAGATACGGTTTGGCCCCAAAAGCTTCTTCACATATAAGAAACTATACGTCTCGAAATACATATAATGTAATTTGTGGAAGAGTCGATCTTGAACATGTCCCACAATAACTGGCCGAGAATTCCAAGAAACTTAATTTTAAATCAAGGAATCGCGTTTCAGAGAGCAATGCAAGTTCTCATACGGAGTTTAACGGAGTTAAACTTCGAGAAAACGCGAACGTGAGAAGTATATATACCATTGTTTCATTCTTTGAAGAATTTTTTTAGGTCTTTGAAATGATTGTTGCAAATGATACTCGATTGCTTGATGAGAGATTCTTTAGCAGACCAAGTGGCCCACCGCAGTTCAACATAAAATGAAAAGGTAGATCAGTACTCGGCATTCTGGCGTATTTCTTTGGATTTTGTCTGACCCCTCGTTCCTGGAAGAAATTAAGAAGGTCTTCGGAGTGTCATTGCTACTCATGCACGTGGCAGCCGTCATGAAGTTAAGACTCTTCGATGTCAGAGGAGTATAGGCAAGATTCATATGTAGAGAGACGAATGAGTTGCAAATGAGTTTAAGTTTCTGGGCCAAAATTCAGGCGAAACATTACTGCTACATTTGTCCATCCATCTTCTCTTGTGTGAGATGAAAAATTTTGGATCAGCTGCTCACTCAGAAACACTCTTCTCTTATTTACCTGAGTACTAATGAGAAGTACCTGATTGAGCAACTGCCGGAACCACTTGTAACCAAATGGCGTCTAGAAGGAGATATGTCGTTCTAGGTTTAGACCAGCCTTCATGTCCCGCTTCTCCTGTGTCCCCCACGTTCTGCATGAAACGGAGATCGGGAAACACGGAATGCAACAACTAACTCCTTAGTGCATCAAATATATATACCCAGCATTTGCTCCACAGGTAAGACTTGCGAACTTTCTCGCCTTCGTGAGAGGCCTTGCCGTGAACCGTAATCGCACGGCCGAGTTGCAAGCAAAAAACTCATTCTACCATTCCTACGATCCATTACGGCACGGAAAAATGTCCAAACTCTGCAGCCCCCACCGAAAATTGCACTTGAATTATTTCATCTTCCTTTTCATGGGCCAGCTGACTCGAAGTCTCCTGTTTATCAAAATCAGCCGCCGAGCACATCCACTGTAACAACGAGTCCACAAAGTCCCCGAAGGAAACAAGGTGATCGAGCTCCCAAAATACTCTACTGCTGGCCTCTACTAAACCATCCACAAACCACAAATTATTATAACCTAATACTTCTTCCTGGATCGGAAACCGATTCGGACGAACGACACCCACTGTCGAAACCAAAAGTTCGAGCACAAAGATGGAGAGACAACCGAGTCTCCGATCACTCACTCACTCGCTCACTCTCCAATCTTGCTGTCAGATATTGAAAGGAAGATTGAAAGAGTCGAGGGCAGACCAGAATTCGAGGTTTGAGCGCAGGCGAAATCGCAACTGCAGGAGTTTCATGGAGTTTATCGTGCCATGTCCCCTCGAAACGTTCGGACTGCCGGTCCTTGACTATACTTCGGCTGCCTGCCAGTCCGCTTGCTTGCGTCGTCGTTGTTCGTCGAAGAAAATTCACATCATTATGATGTAGAAAATTACAGCGAATCATATATGAATAATTAAACATATGTTTCAATGTTTTAGTATATTTGTTGGATTGATTTTGCAATTCCAGGTGTAAAACATTTTGACCATATATGTAGAAAACAAAAACTATACTATATTTTGCAAACAATTTTTTTTCATTAGTAATCTTCAAATATATATTTCTAGAATTATTATCAGAAATATAAAATCCCGGAAAATTATTTTCAGTGCTGCTTGAAAAACAGTGTTTCCACACCTCCGAATTTTATTTATATTAGCTTTGAGTCATTAAAAATATTAAGTATATTATTTCAAACTATTGTGACTAAATTTTATATTTAGTTCTTAACTGTGAATAAATTATCTGATTTATTTTTTATATTAAAATAATTAAATTTGAAAATATGAATATTATCCTAGAAAAAAAATAAGTCATATAGAATATCATATCATTCACTCATATTTTATTTTTTTTGGTTTAAGACTGAAATGTAATAACTTGTAAAGTGGGTATATCAAGATAGTCATGAATTAAGATTTAATTCATGATATAATCAAATTACGTCAATATTTTTCAACATTACTTATAATAATAGATAACGTGGCGTACAATTTTTATAATCAATATGGAATAACGGTATGACGAAGATCAACTAAGATAGATGTAAAAATCAATATACTAGATTTCTCATATACAATGAAACTAATAAATTTTTTGGAAAAAATTTTAGGCAATGATATATTCTGACATATATCATTCTGATATATTTCTAACCCACAGGGACTAGCAACCGGATCACTATTGTCCTCTGCATGAACTGAACCCAAAAATAGTCGTAATATGTAACTCAGGGTCCTTAACATACATCGCCGATCAAACTGTCGTGTGATGGAATCAAGTGGGATCTATGTAGCAACTTGTGTCAGATACACATACAGAAACAATATAATGCAACTTTCCAAATGACCTCACGTTGCGTATCTGGCTTCAGTAAATGAACAAATAGTGATAGCCTGTCGATATGTGCAAAGTAGCATTGACGATATTCACCGAGTTCTCATGCACACTGCATGTTCTACAAGACCACAAAACAATGAGAAATGTGTTTTCGAGTCCAGTCCGAGACGTGTGACTCGTTCAGACAGACCTCCAGACTCATTCCAGACTCGTCAGGTAGAGTGTTGGATCCCTCAGAATGGACCTACCTAGTGGCAAGTCCTGGTGTGTGATATGATTGTTGACCTGGTGGCTCGAAGCAGGGCAATGGAGGGGATGCAAATGCTGTAATAGCTGTAAGTGTGTCCTGGTTGAAACTGCTCCAAACCCTCGGAAGATTAAGGAATCATCACCCAAAATATGCATTCGCCGCGTGCAGAGAGTACGTACAATCATTCGCAAACCTCATCCTCAGACTGAATCGCGGCAGGTCAGGCAGGAGGAGAATTTCCAAAGTGTGACTACTATACTGAGACCTTCAGCTGCTGGACCGCATGACGAACGAAGGCTACAATGTTCAGCTACTCAACACGCGCGGAAACAAGACAACAGAAGATCTCACAAGGCCGAGGGGTCATCCAAACGACAGTAGTAGTAGTAGTAGTAGTAGCCTGAATCTGAGACCCCACTGGCAGAACCGTGTCACGCTCAATCTGAATCCTTCGAACCTCCGTCACCAAACGACTGGTCACAGGTGAGCGTCGCAGCAGAGGCTGGCAGAAGAAACACAAGCTCCAGTACAGGTGCTAAAGAACATGCACCCGAACCAGATACGTGGGAGAAAGCACACTGGAAACGATGACAATGGCGAGGGGAGAAGAGAAAAAGCCGGGGCCGAGCCAGAGGCTAGAGAGCTCGATGGAAAAGCGAATGACACTGTAACGAGTGAGTGGTGGAAAGCACTCGAGGGCCTTGCTAGAGGCCCTGCTAGACTGGCTAGGGGGGGTGGGCGGAGCTGGCTGGCACCGGCTAGCTACTGCCTTTCCAGCTCTGAGATCAGACCCGTCACCTGTAAAGCCGAGCCTAGTGTCGGCTTTTGGGGCCAGCGTGGCATGCCGATCCTCGGCTCCGGCGAGCCCTTATTATGGGCTCTCGAAGCGCCAGACGATAGTCGAGCAAACGATCCCGAGCGAGGTCCAGCAGCATCCTCAGCAGCAGCAGGGCGCTTCATAGATCATCATCACGCTTCTCTCTTCTCGCCTGGACTCGATCGACAGCATCTGCCTCTGCAAAGAGAGTCGCAGCAAACATGTCGATCAGCAAGGTCGCTTTCGGGCGCGCCGATGAGGCAACTGCCCCAGATGCCATCAAGGCTGGATTCGCCGAGTTCATTGCAACATTCCTCTTCGTCTTTATCGGCGTGGGGTCCGTCGTCTCCTACAGTGAGTTCCGGCTCCGGAATCTCTGATCAGAGAGTCCTGTTTTTGTGTGTGTCAAGGATTGAGTTGTGGCAATGCGAAGGCAGAGGGAGGGAGGGAGGGAGGGAGATTCGAGTGCATGTCCAGCTTCAGCAGCTGGCAATGTGAGAATCTGAGTCGGGTTCTGTGTTTTCTCCTGACACATTCGCATGGCTGGCTGTCCCGCAGACAAACTACATCCCGCAGGTGACATGACCGCAGCTGGACTGGTCGGAATCGCCATCGCCCACGGTCTCGCCATTGTGATCACCGTGGCTGCCACTGCCAACATCTCCGGAGGTCACGTGAACCCCGCAGTCACTTTCGGTCTTATGGTCGGAGGCCAAATTACCATTCTCAGGGGTCTCGTCTACTGGGTCGGTCAGCTTCTCGGCGCAGCCCTCGCCTCGGCATTGCTCAAGTTCGTCATCGTGTCCGTGGAGGTATGTGAATTCCGACGGGTTCTGAGCCGCCGCCATTTGTGCGCGCTGTAGTATTGTAGTAGCAGCTTCTAATGATTATGATGAACTCAGGAAAGAAGCACGTCTGACGAATGTGTGTCTGTTTGTTGTCATGGTGAATGCAGCCCGTCCCACCCCATGCATTGGGAGCTGGAGTGAGCGTCATGAGCGGTTTGGTGCTCGAGATCGTCCTGACCTTCTCTCTCGTCTTCGTCATCTACGCCACCGCTGTGGACCCCAAGAAGGGCTCCATCGGAATCGTCGCACCTCTGGCCATCGGATTCACAGTGCTGGCCAACCATTTCATCGGTGTGCCATTCACCGGTGCTTCCATGAACCCTGCACGATCATTCGGCCCTGCTCTCATCAACTGGACCTGGACCAACCACTGGGTGTACTGGGTCGGTCCCTTGATCGGAGCTGCCATCGCTGGACTGGTCTACGACGGAGTTTTCATCTCCACTGCCACCCCCGTGGCCGTGGACGATTACTAGGTCTCGACCTCCCACCACGCTCCTATCCGGAAAGAGTTCTGGTGTAGATAGAGTATAGATGACAGGTTTCACTTTCTGTACTAGTCCTGCAGCTGCCCACCACTGCTTTCGATTCTTGATCAATCTTAAGGTCATTTTGATTTTTCCAACATGTTCCATAGGACAGTTAGTAAATATGCATATCGAATTCTTGTGACAGAAGATCCAAGCAAGGCTCTCTGCAATTTTTTTTCTTTGTTTTCTTTCCCGATTGGGTGTTGCCCAACTAGTACGCCTCTGTACATGTTTGCCACACTAATATTGATTATTCGAGCCAGTATCGGCATCTTCTCGTGAACTCTTCTTTCTCACCATTTCGAGCAATGTGATATAATGTGTTATAGCTAAGAACTTGCAAATTACTACAAATACATTGGGGCCGGGCAATGGATGGATGGATGGATGGATGGATGGATGGATGGATGGATGGACCCAGCTCTGCCTGCTGGAAAATACTCTGGAGAAGTTAGTTCACTCTCAGCTCACTGTATGAGTCCGGAAGAAATCGAATACAATCATCGAGCTCTATACAGTCTGGCAATGCAACGTGAGATGTGTGCAGTCACACATCTCTCGAATTTAATCTGATCTTCGAAACGGTAGTATTTGGGGCTTTAGGTACACGAGAAGACGGCAAGTCATCGAGAGAGTCACTGAGTGTGGCAGTCGAACACGTATGATGACTTACGACGAGGCAGATTGTAGGCAGCACAAAACATGACAAGAGGGAGGATGCATATCTGCACTTTATTTTAGCGTTTTCCCCTTTACTGAGAGCGAGGAGATGAATACAAGTGTTCAGATGACGAACATTGTGAGGACCGGAAGTCAGAGAAGAATGGAGGAGAGACGATGAGAATATCTACGAAAAGAAAAGAGGCGTCACCGTCCAGCTAGAGTAGTAGCTGCTAAACCTAGTCTATCCTCTGCAGTACGGATAAATCAATGCATTTCTGGAAAGATCTCAGACTCTTCTGTTCTGACTGACGCACACGCTGATCGAGAGCTGGGCGGTAAGAATCAGATATGCTGGGACCCATACCTGCTATGGCCCGGGCGTTATCCAGACGACCGAGCGACAAGGATTTAATATACTAGCTGTAAAGAGAAATCTGGTCCACACTGGTCCGGAATATTACGTTCAATATGTGATTGATCGAGACGGCGGGACCACTGTTACTCGATCAAAAGGTAAGTACATCGAGTGAGCAATTTTCTGTAGATCGGTGAAGGCGGTGTATAATCCATCTATCACTTTTGCTTGATCTTCTTTGAACCTGCGCTTGTTGCGGGAAAAGGATGATCCAGAGACTTCGCACCCAGATTATAATTTATGTGTGAGCATGTAACATGTGGGCACTTGGAAGCAGATTTAGACGCTCGAGGAGGAGTACTACAGACAAATCGACGAATAGATGTATGACCAGAATTCCCTTTCAATGGTCCATTTCTCTCTTTTGGTTTCACCTATGTACGGCTTGATGGGGCCTTCCCATCCTTTTTGCTATATAAATCTTCCCTCGTTGCTTTCCATGGTCTAACCCTTGACCTTTTAGTAGATGCATCCACGAATGTCCAGGTGCTCTACTTTTGCACCCCCGCACTCAAAACATAATTCGAAGCTTTTAATATAAACTTATATCACATAGGCATATAAATTATATGCATCGTGTTATCAGATGAGTTGTGGCCGTGATTAGGAAAGATATCTAATTTTCCCGAAGCCATTGTACAAATCACGTCAAGCGCAAGGAACTTTCGGTTCGAATAAATTCACTTACGAGAAATATTTTTTCTCTACGTGGATGAGGAAGAGCAGAAAGCCTAATCTATTGCTCTCTCTCGAACAACACAAACCAAATACTCATATGGCCAACAACAACGGAGTGCATGTTGCGCAGCTGCTAGAACCAAAACCGTGTTAACAACAACAAATACACTTGTGAAGGTTGGATAGATCAGACAAACATGCAAGGCTTTAACTTGGTCGTGCGCATGCGCAGTCCACGGCACTTCATGGCCAGGGTCTACGTTTACCCGCGGCCTGTGGGAATGGGACGGAAAGGATATGGTAGCCGTGAAGCTTTTTCCCGCATAATCTTGCGCTAGTGGAGTACTGTATTCACTGTAGTTGTCGGTGGGCAACAGTTGTACGTAGAGCTTGAATCTGCGTAAAGTTGGTGGACGTGGACGCTCACTCGAGTCGCTTTTAAATTGGATTCGACACAATTACAACATAACACAACACAACACAACACCACCCCACCCTACGACTCGAGTAGCCTTCCACAAGGGACCGACCGACCGCCCGACCGCCCAGACATTGCGACATTGTAGGGATGGAGGACGACGATGTTCAGAGGAAGTCATCGAAGTCTGAAAGAGCGAGGAGGAGGAGGAGGAGGAGGAAACGTGCTCCACTGATAGTGTTCGGCTGCTTCAAACGGATGGATACGGTGATCATGCATCGTGCGAGCTGCCGAAGATCACATCCTAATAGTGTCGGAAGAAGAAGATCCGCAAGCAACTGCTGCGTCATGTAGCGTGCCGGTGCGCCAGGGGGGTTCTGATTAGTCCCTGCATGAAGTGCTCTCTTGCCATCTGGGTTTGATTCGCTTCTCTCGGTTCAGCATCGTTCCATCGATGAGAACTCTCGGGCTTCTTCCTCCCTTCGTGGAACTCGACACATTCCGAGGGGCGCAAATGTCCAAACTCGACCGACCATTGAAAGCCATGCTCGCGGCGCCACAGCCATTTCCCCACAAAGCACCACTCTGCACTCTACACTCTACACTCCTGGCCGCTAGTGATCTACATGGAAAAGACAATCTCTCTGGCAAAAATTAGACGGACAAAACAAGCATCACCGAGCGAGCGAGCGAGCGAGCCCCAAAGCTGTGCAAGGGGAAGGAAGGGGCGGAACGACAATGGTGACAGGAAATCAGGTCACTGCTCCCCCTGCCGAGTCGACGCCAAAGCCAAAGCCAAAGCCAAACTAGCACACAGAGCATCCCTCCGAGGACGGGGATGAAGCGACGGCAGCACAGGTTTTCCCCCTCTTACTCGCTCTCCCTACTGCTGTCGCGTGGAAAACTAGCGCACTCCGAGGCCACGTGTCGCGATGTGAGTGGGCCGACTCTACCCTGGATTCGCGAATGTCTATGGCGATGTCGTCGCCGTCGTCGTATATGCGGCGAGGCGAGGCATGGCCCTCATGGATGTATACGTGTTGAGGATAAGGCTCTGCATGTCCCTTTGGACCCGTACATCATTCGCTGGACCGCATGGTTCACATGCTGGCCATCGATGGTCGTCAGGCACTCCGTCAGTCCAGTATGCCTGCTGCTGCTGCTGCTGCTGCTCCGATGGGTCATGACTTGGCGTCCTCCATCGTATGTACCGTCCACGTCGGATGAGACTATTCCTGCGGACAGAGAAAAAAATGCACTAGTGAACAAAGACCGACGTTGGAAAGAACAAAGTATTACAGAGCGCCCCTTTGTGATTCTGGCCGAGGTTTGGTTCCTGACCTTTTTTTTGGGATTATTTTTTGCACGAACTTCTCTCAAAATAAAATTAATTAATTTTTTTCTGAAATAAATAATATAATATATTTTAAATGTTCATTTAAAACGTAAAAACTTTCAATATCACTAAAAGTATGTATTTTGATACATATCAATTTCAGAGATTAATTATATAGAAACTTTCAGATAAAGCCTCTTATTATTGAAAGAGCTCCTTCATTTATTACTCTAACTTTTTTTCATATTGATTAACATTTTCCAGAAAATGTAGATGTGATTTTAATAAAATTCTTAATGTAGTTTTAATAAAAAAAATTATTTATTTTATATAGAAATATTAAAAAAAACTAGTATGGGACGTAGAGGATATCCATATATAATTATTTGGATTTTTAAGGGGATATAGCAAATAAACCAGAAAAAGTCAATGCAATATCATTCTAGAACGATATAATGCAAGACGTAGATTCGATAGATAGTATAAATCTATCTAATCTGTCTATGATATGGTGATGGATCATACTGACAGCTTGTAGAATTGTTTTCTATGAACTTGCTAATGTTTTGCCCCTCTATGCCTTGTACGCCAAATATCATCCTGAAGTTTTCAATCATTACATGCATATCTTGTCATTGTAACAAATCATAATCAATATAAAGTTTTCTAGAGGATCATGATCCGTGGACAATTGTATTCAATTCTTTCGTACTCCAGCTTGGGAGAGTTTGTGATATGATTTTTTTTTCTATTATTATGCTTTAAGGCAACATTTTCTACGATTTTGCTTTGCAACATGCTGCAGGTTGTTTCCACTACTTTACAAAAATACTCAAGCGTCTATACCATAGAAATTTAATCGTGTCAGGCTATGATTCTAAGAGGACAAGATTATAGTTTTGGATACTTATCATTGTCATGCATGATATCTTTTCTCATCTTGTCATTGTCATGTAGAACTCGTTGCCCACAGAGTCGGCTGAGAGACGGCTGACTCTGGAGGTCGTGCGGGGGGATGATAGATTTCACTTGGCGCCGTTGCAAGTTCATACCTTCTCAGATGTAGCGCTAGCGGGGTGGGGTGGGGTGGGGTCGGGGGCGTCACAGATGCCGATAAATTTCTGGACATGCGAAACTAACCCACGATGGCGTCGTGATACGTTCAATTTATAGTATCAGACGTAGAGCTTTGCAGAATACGGTTCTCTGGATTTGTTCTCCCAATATGAATGTATTCTAGCCGCCAGCACATCCGACCATCCAAAACATTGCTTAACAGTACTCGTGCTTTACCACCAAATCACAAGTACCTGACTTACTTCACTTGATGATCCGTAGCAGACACATTGGTAACAGAGAGAGAGGACAATCACCTTCAGAGCTACGATGTACAGAGTCGGAAGATTGGTCCTTCAGACTTTCCGTCCTTCAGAGGACGTGTTTTACAAAAGCGTTAGCACTGAAGCTAACTTGGGAAATGCCATCTACTTGCTTCATCAGTCTGCGACTGAAGTGTGGTTGGTACTGTACTGGCATAGTGCCGAAATTTGCACCAGTGTTTTCGAACTTCGGTGCGAGCTGGATGTCAGTTGATTCGAGGTAGTAGATGGAATCAACTCTTCGGCCGCTTTTGGGAAAGTTCGAGAAGAGGTTAGAGTTTCTGTACCCATAACTTCAATCACATACGTTCCGGGCCTAATAGGTCTAATAGTGGCCACGATACCTGACAGATCTCAGGAGTAACATACAGTAGGAACATTACAAGTGTAAGGTGCAGTGGCTTTCCAATCCCCAACGAGGTATCCTGAACTTGTGCGAATTTTGCACGCTTGGTTAGATAATTTCATGCGACATTATCTTCCTCCTGACTTACCAAATACGGTACCAATACATATAACATAGGAACTATACAAACGTATACCCAGAAGAATACACATTTTACATGCTTTGTATGTTGTGGACTTGGTCTTGCAAACAAAACTACGACGCCAAATTCTGCATTGAACGATTTGTCTATGTAGGGAGCCACGATGGCCAGAAGAGGATACGTGTCGCTTACTCGACAGAATTGATGCATATGCACATAATAATATATTAAATATGCATACATTACCATCGGTGTACTTCTTCACATGCTCCTTTCATATATGCAAAATTGGGATGCATGAGTGGGATGGAAAGGAAACGTAAATGTCTTTTTAATATAAGGGGTTGGTTTGCGTTCAAGGCCAATTAGGCTTCTGGTAGAATCGAATCTTTGCAAGAGAACGTAATAACTTGTCTACAAATATCTTGCATGTAATTTGCTACTTGTCAGCATGGAAGATATCATTCTATGACAGCCATCAAAAGCTTCTGCATACGGCCACGACAATAGGATGAAAGGATCAGAAGGATATTTCATCTTCCAGTATTGTTTAGGCATTAGAAACTGTAGCTTTCTTCCTGCGCATAGCTTGCGTCATAGATTCCGACACGGTGCAGAGTAGTATTCAGGCCAGGACTAAGCCTTCTTGTGTCACAATCCTCTTCCAGAAAGTCCGGAGTCGAAGTTCTGTGGCATGAGGAATTCTCGGACCGAGTGGGATACGCTTGCGTACACTTTGTGTGCTGAATAATGGAGTTCAGAGCCGGTACAGAGTATGAACCTCCAGGGACGGTCGTGCTGCGCTCTGTTCCAGTTGCAATATCGAGCTGTGCAGAGCAAGCGAACCTTTTCCACTGAAAGGGTCGAAATCTGCCGAGGTACGTGGAAGAAATAGGCTTTGAGACTGGACTAGAACTGTGCAGGTTGAGGGGCGAATCCCAATCCGCTCGATATGAACAAGTTCACGACGATAACATTGTACATGAAATGAAATGAAATGAAATGCAGTCAATGAGTCTGGCAGTAGAAATTCATGAAACAGGAGTCGCGTGGACTTGTTTACATATCTGATGATACAGTATTATGTGCACTTGAGTACTGCAATACTCTGATCACAATCAAACTTAGAATACAGTAATACCAGAGCTAGCTCATGGAAAAAGCAGCCGATTTTAAACAGGGTAATCCTACAGTAGGTGAAGAACCACGCTCGAGCTGCAGATCCGACGTTCTAAACTCGCGTCATATCATAGAGTATATAAAAGAGAAATCCGCCGATTATAGCCGAGGCTAGACCTGTGTACAATTCCTACGCCGTTTCAAGAATCCACTCGAAGCCCTGGGGTGCAGAGGTCGCTGCGAGAGCCGGAGAGCTCGAAAAATAGACATTTCAGGGCTCTTAGATCCACCATATCACACCCGCGGTGCATTTCTTACAAGCTTGAAGCAGCAACTAGCCTTTGGCAATCAATCTCCTTAGCTCGGCCTCCATGGCCTTGCCCTGCACACGTATTGATTACAGCTGGGAACCCGAAACGCTTAGTACTCCTCGACGGGAACCTGGGTGTGGCCACTGGCCTCAGAGATGAACACTCCGTCGTAGACAATTCCAGCAATGGCAGCTCCGATGAGAGGACCGACCCAGTAGATCCAGTGAGAGGCCCACGACCAGCTGACGAGAGCGGGACCGAAGGATCGTGCAGGGTTCATCGATGCTCCGGTGAAGGGAACCCCGACGAAGTGGTTAGCGAGCACTGTGAATCCGATGGCCAGAGGTGCGACCACCCCGATCGAGCCCTTCTTGGGGTCCACGGCCGTCGCGTACACGACGAACACCAGGGAAAATGTCAGCACAATCTCCAGCACCAGTCCGCTCCACACTGACACTCCAGCTCCCAAGGTGTGCGCTGGTACAGGCTGCAATTGCGAGTTCACACAACATATCATCAGCACAAGCCTTCCAATTTTTTGATCATATACTGCACACGACAATTCGACAACTTCGCAGCCCTCGACCTTCATCATCAGCTGGCATCCATTTGTATCTGATACAGATTTATTTTTACCCTTGTTCAGCTTACCTCCACGGAAACAATGACCCACTTCAACAAAGCGGCAGCGAGCACGGCCCCAGCGAGCTGACCGACCCAGTAGATGAAACCTCTAACAATGGTGATGTGGCCTCCGACCATGAGGCCGAAGGTGACTGCGGGGTTGACATGTCCCCCAGAAATGTTGGCAGTGGCAGCCACGGTGATCACGATAGCCAGACCGTGGGCAAGAGCGATTCCCACTAGACCTGCTGCTGTCATCTCACCCAAGGGGAAGATTTTGTCTGCGCGCAAACCAAAGGAACAAACACATTATTAGGCTCGGATTTTGTTCACATGCAGCCCTGAATGGAGGAGGAGTCCCACCAATTACAGTAACCACTCTGGTTCCTCTCCGACGTTGCTGGCAAATCATGATTGAGCTCCAATCCTACAGCTCGAGATCAAGCGACTAATTCACGTGCACAGCTCGATACTTACTGTAAGCGGACACTGATCCAACACCGATGAACACGAAGAGGAAGGTGGCGATGAACTCGGCGAATCCTGCCTTGATGGCGTCTGGGGCCGTAGCCTCAGCGCGATGGCCTACCGCAACCTTGGCCATGTTTTCGTCTTTGGACTCGCGTGCTGGTCTCAATTCAAGTGCAGAAGCCTGGCCTGTGGTCTGATGAAGCTGAAACTCTGAGAGAGATCGAGAGTGAGACTGCTGAGAGCTGCTGCACTGATCTGATCTATGTGTAGCGTATCGCGGCTAATAAAGCAGGCTTGCTCGCGAGCCACGTCGGCTTGACAAACTTGCCCAAAGGAATACAGCTAGGATCGGGAATATTATGTCCATTGTCACATGGCACCTGGCACCTGTCGTAAACATCTGCCTGCTGGCGCGCCACTTTAATAAAGCTTTCTCCCGCCAATACATGTCCGACGCGCTCTGCTTCGTATAAGAACATCTCCTGTCACATTTTAGTCCATGTCTGTGCTGGACCTGTTCCGATCTGAGCTGCACGCCGTCTGACAAATTGGACTGCCGCTGTGGCTCCAGTGATTGTGTTATTGCCATGATATCTCGTGCTCTCCTACTCATGTCAAGCATTGACGAGGCTCGCTGATGATCATGTACCATGCTGCAAATTTCAGAAAATATTGCCCATCTCGCAGGTATAGAAAGAGTGTCCAGTATTATTATTATCATTGTAAAGCCCTCGCTTCGACGTGTACCCCCTAATGGAATGGCGTCGTCGTGTAACTTTGTGGGGACGATGTCTAGACATCAGGTGGTGTATGGGTCAATGTTCATTACGCTCTACCGACCACTGTCATGAGTGTTCGGACATAATACGCATGTACATTCTCTGCAGCACGGTGTAATATTCCTCGCTCATTGGGATGGGATGTGGCGCATCTTATATATATGCTCGTGTCGAGAGAATGACATTTGTTCCGATTTGCAGGCAACTTTCCCCTTTCATAAACCGTCAGATGACTTGTTGGACATGTAGTCGAGAGGGTTTGGCACAAAAGAAGCTAACCGAAACTGCTTTATCTGAAAACTAGATGGAATACATGCATTGGATACTTAGAAAGATCAACACTGCGGGTTTGCAAAAAAAATAAATCTATCTAAGCACTATGCATACCAGTCAATGAGCTTCAAATTCATCCGTCATGAGTGGAGATCTTCACACTTTTGCCTTCTTACATTTTTCCAAGTGTAGACTTTTTTCACCTGTGAATTTTACCATGTCACCGACGAGGTAGTGGAGTAAAGGGAAGCTCTGGATATTAGTTACTGTTATGACCAGAAACTCTTCCAGATTCAGAAAGGACAACAGTGATGACCATTTTCAACTGGACGAAACGTCTATTTGTACAAGGCGGGTGACAGGAAAAAAAAAAATCTGCAGTGAGTCACTAATCGTTATCATCTAAAGCTGCACACTGATTGCATCGAAGCAATGAAGAATCGACCAGTTCGTATACATATGATAATGGAAGCGACTGCTGTTTTGGAACTGCGCTTTGCTACTGTTTGATATATGATATCACATAGTATTATTACTAATAAGAGCAGAATATTAAAAGGCTAGTGCTCTATTTTGACTTTTGGGGTGAAATGAAGGCCCAATTGCACGAAGGGTACAAACTTCCACCAGTGAGAAAATTTCTGGACTTCTTCTCCTATACATATCTGGACCGCATGTCTTGAAGAAACGACGGAAAACATTTAAAAGTATTCAATATAAAATATCCATAAAATTTGTCTATAAACATTTCGACTATGAACAGCATAATAACCCAGATCCGCGAATAGCGAATAGGAATGAAGCAAAATGATTACAAATGCGACTAATAGCTGTTCACATCTCACTGCCATAACTCATGTTCAAAGATTGATGTGAATGTATGACCAGGTCTGCAATATTTCAAGTCTAGTCACATCTATTGATGAGTATGTATGAAAACAGCCGGACAATATCTTAATCTAGTATAGGAACAAGCGATGCACAGAAATAGATTGAAGCCCAAGTCAAATTGCTACTCTTGGAAATAGCCACAAACTAAGTACTAACAATTATTAATTCATGTTCTTAGTATGATTTTTAGGCGTGGATACCATTGCTTTATACATGTTTCAATGAATGGAAGTTAAAGTTACTCCATTTATCAAGGTCTAATTTCTAAAACGAAGTTTCTCATATCACGATGATTTCATGGTTGTTGATATCATTATTTTAAATGAAATATATCATTAATGCAATGATGAAAATATTTACTAGATAAATCTAAGGTAGCATCTTCTTTGTGATGTTAGTTCAATAATGCCTTTAAAAATACTCAAAGAGAATTTTTTTTAGAAAGTGATTTCTGTGTAAAATAATAAACATAAAAAAATATGTTAAATTGAGAATAAAGTTTGCTTTTATATGAGACTTCACGATCTCATATGAATGTACATGAATACAATAACATAAGATATCTTCAATTTAATTTCAATTAATTTTAATTAATTTTTTTATTATAATTTTGATAATAATAACAGTATCATCGAAGTTGTCATGCATGTATGCACAATAATATATAATTACTACATTTAAATCTTACAATTTATCTATATTTAATAAAAATTTACAATTTATCTATATTTACTATTATACAAAAGTTCTACAGTTTTTTCACACACAAAAATTGAAATTTTTTTTGAATTTAAGAGTCCAGAAATATACAACATACTCATGCATATATATTATTAATAGAATATAATTATCCCCAAAAAATGTTGTGTATAGATTTCAAAATTTTTTTCAAAATGATTTTGAATGATCAAATAGTTACAATTCAGTGAGTTAGAAACTTATTTGAGCAATCACAGCACAGAAATTGAAAATGTTCACTATGTAATATTGTTGATTTTAATGTTTTTCAATTCAATTATATATTTACATCTTGAAATTTTCCTAAATGATATTATTCATTCAAAAAAAATTAAACAATAAAAATAACTATACATTACTAAAAGATCATAAAACTTTCAATATACCATCTCATTGTTAGATTAACTCTCTATCTTGTATTAATTATATTTAGCAATAACCATGGTTGAAAGAGTTTACTGTGGTTAGGATAAGATATGCATCTTGTCTCTTCCAAAATAGAAGAGAGAGAGAACTACTCATTGATTACGTAATGTTTAGAGTTGCACTTTGAGAATGAACATGGAGGAAGAGAGTTTGTCTATGGAATTCATGTATACGCTTGTGCTTGACTAAAGTTTCTACTCTTGTCACTACACATAGCATGTGGAAAGTGACTGAAATTATCTTGATGTTGTGATTGTCGTGCATGCTAATTGATCTTGATTGTTGGACATTGCACCTGTATGAAACATTAAAATTTATAAAACTTAAAATCATTTGATCATATTGAAGATTGTAAAAAATACATGTACTTTAAAATTATAAAACTTTTATTTATTTCTTGTCATAAATATCAAAATGTTAGATTCAAATTGAAGATGAATAATTTAATTAAAATTTTATTACAAATAATTTGTTAAAAAATTTACTTAGATGCAAATTAGAAAAAAAATTACAAAAAATTTAGTTTACAATTCTAGAGTAATAGTTTCAAAAACAATATATGTTTGCTTTATTGTAATATTCATGAGATATATTACTTTGCATAGAATTAAACATACGATCAAAGAATTTGAATTAATTGATCATATCATTTATCAATTTTGTATTATAACTAGCTTTAGTGAGTTATTCAAAATGTTTATATAGTTATTTTAGCGCATATTAATCATAATTACAACGTAATCTATTCGCATGTTTGGTAGATAAAGAGTAGATGTGTAAGTTGAAAGCGTCACCTTAACAATCCTTGTATTTGTTAGGGTTATCCGCCACGTAATCCATCCACCATGAGTGAGATAGATGATGGATATAAAATAGTATCTATTTCTACTTGTTAAAATAACTATATAATGAAAATTAGAATCATTATTGATAATTTTCATCTGCAAAGTTTATGTTTCCATCTTTGAGCAAACTTCTCTCTAAATTTTAATATTAAATATATATTTTTTAAAAATTAATATTATATTTGTTAATTTTTTATAATTATTTCAATTTTTATAGATTTTTAAATAAATTTATATTTATTTTATTATTTTATTATTAAATAATGATTATTTATTCAATATTAACATATAAATATAAAATATTTCAAACTCTTGATTTTTTTTGTTAACAATTATTAATTTTGAAAATTTAATGATACATTTTATACACACTTAAAATATGTAGAAACGTGTTACATGTGAAATAACACAATAACTTAAGATCAAGATTTACAAAAGACTTGCATAATATAATATACATTTTTTCAAATTTATATTTAACATGTTTTAAAATTATGATATTGTATACTGCACTCTTGAAAAGATTATGTTAATTTCAAGTGATATTTGATGTGATTGATACCATGTTATGATAAGAAAATTTGATCAATTTTTAAGATGTAATTATAGCCAAATATCATAATTTCACAAATATTATTAAATTTTACACTAAAATACGTTTTCATGAATCTTTGTAGTTTCAAAATATACGGATATATATGTGATAATATGACTTGAATTTGAAATAGCCAAAATTATATTTTTTTCAATTAGAAATATACAAAATATTCAAAAATAAAAATATTTAAGTATTCAAATAGACTGAATGTATCAATTGAAATTTATAACATTATGCTTTCAAATATAATATATTCAATTTTGATAAATTATTAGAATAATTTATGTTGAAGAATGCATATAAAATATATTGGAATTTTGTGAACAGATTTTTCATGGTTATTTTAGCTTCCATGTTTAATTGGAAGTAAGAAGAAATAGATATTGAATTAGAATAGAATCTTAACAGCTTAACCTTATTCTTTGAATCTACATATGTTCTACCATGAACAAGAGTTCTTTCATATAATTATTACTTAAAATATATATTCATACTTAAATATATTGATGTATATAATACTTAAATTTATTGAACATGTGTATTATAAGCTTTACATTCACCATGCTTTGCATGTATGTTGACTTACAATAACAATATATCAAATTGGTTTTTGTTCTTGTGAAGCTATTTAAATATTTCATAACACTACTTTTCAGCTGAAACTATTTGATCTTGTATTACACTATTCTTGAAATTAAACTTTATAAGAATCTGTTCGAAATCCAAGGATTCAAACAATAATATATCTGAGTGATTGCTCTCTCAACACAAGATTGGTTGAATTCCTTTCTACATATTGAGATGTACACTTAGAACCTTATGGAGCTTCGATTTTTAGTTATACTATAAAAGTGTTGACCATAAGACACTGAATAACAATTTCTACCTTATAAGTTATTTCACAAAACTCGCTAAAATAATCGAGCCAGAAAATAATATTTTAAAACTACTATGGAAAAAGAGACATAATTTGATAAATGGCAACAACACTAGCAAGATATTGGATTTATAGTTTGATTTTAATGTATACAAGAAGGGCACCTAGTGCTATAGCGCAAAAATGAACATGGATATAGTTTTATATAATATCGCAATAGGTTTATATTATACTGCGCGTAAATTACCTGGATCAAATTTTCTTCAAATAGAAGCAATTGAAAAATATCATCTTCCGTATACCACTCCACATACAATCATGGAAAAGCGCCTTAAAGTATACAATAATACATATAGATAGACTAGTTTTGTAGGTTAGTTTCCATTTGGCTCGAAACATGGAGATTTGTTGAGAGACCATCAGTTTTTTTACAATTATCACAAGTCTACATTTTCTACTATTTTGTCTCCTGCATGTGAGAAGGAATAGTAAGTATATTGTTCAAGTACAGTACATGTAGCATATATGTGGCAACAGATGAGCACTGACAAGGAGGCTAAAGAGAGGTTTAACACAGAATGACAGAATCAATCTTCACGACTTTCCTTGAGTCATGTATATACAACAAAGTCAAATTACAGTCCACTAGGAATCATAAGTTTTAGCCGTATAAAGTCCTCATCCTTTCGATCTGACGAGTTCACTGCCTTATCGTCTAATCTCGGTGACTGCTTGCACTCGTCCAGTGAGACGAAACAATGCCTTCCAGCCCGCCAGCAGGCAAGAAATTGACAAACGCAATGATAATCATGGAAACAAGTCAAAGCCTTGTTGACACGATACCGCAGGATTTACATGATACTATAGCTGACGGTGAGCAAACGAAAAACTAAATTAGCAGACGATTCATGGATATGACATGACATGTTTTTTTTTTAAGGTGTCACTTCTCTTCACCGCGTGCGAGTTCTACATTCATCTTCATTGCTGCTGTCGTCCAGAACAAAACATTTGGGAGTTACGATATCTTGCACTGTATGCATCTTGCTAAGGTAGAGCACGTGATGAACACGATCCTCTTGCCCTAACCTTGTCTTGTACACATATACTCAAGAGGGGACTCAAATTCATTAATAACTCTTACTTTTCTATGATAAAGAAATGGGAGACTGAACTTTCAGACTATTTTTGACTGATCTGTTAAGAGTGATCTGACGTCGACATTCCCAATAATCAGGGCCACCCACTCTCTGCCGTCCTGTATTTGACGTAACTTGTAGCACTCACGTTTCCTACCAGCAACTTACCACTAAATAAAGCCTGTACCTGAGTGTCCTAGAAGCACTCAAAAGTCCCACAAAAATCAACATAGCTGTAGCTAAGTTGTAGCGAAGTGCGCTGTATACATCGAAACTTTTTTTCAAGTTCCAAAACAAGAGGATTCATCAACAAGTTTAGAAAGTTTGATATCAACAAGATTACATTGAAAATGTAATTACCATTTCCAAGGCTTGTGAGGATATCGTAGCTCCTAAATAGCGTACTAAAATTTCTCACGTAGATAATATGTGAGATTCCTGTTTGTTTTCTTGCTTGTGACGTTTGATCCGATGGGTCTACTAATGGTTTTCTCAATCTGTTTGGCCCCAATCTATTTCCAAAGCTCAAAAGACACCACAACAATTTTCGTTTGGGGGACAAATGGTAAGCTTCGTGTAATCACGTATATCCTGCACATAACCAGGGGAATGTTCCATAATCTATCTAGCCGCCTTTTCAACTTACTAAAATTCACCACAGTAGTCGTCCATAGATATATAATGACTTCTCAAGCCATATCAGAATTAAGGCAAAAACACGAAGTCAGATGACTACTTCGTGCCAAATTGGCAACGCCGTTGCAGTATTTGTTTCCGATTTCTAAAGATTGCTTCGCACGCTAAAGAAACATGCCGCATTTCCGGAACAAGCAGAAGAGGTGAAATCCGGCTCTGAATCATCCTAACGCTACTTATATCCTCTGGTAACTCAGCAAGACACAGGTAAAAGGGACATGCAAATTGTCACCCGTCCGGGCTCCTGGAGGAGTCCAGCCAACCACGTTCAGAAGCCAACTCAAACTTCAGAAGTATGTGAAAGTAACTGTAAGGAAAGAATTCATTTAAGATGCAATTAATACGGCTTTACATGAGCGAAGGTCTTCACACTTGAGTCACCGTTCTCCCCTGATATCTCGAACCATGCGACCAGTTACACAATTAGATTTCACCACCAATTCCAAAACTCCAAGATCTTCCTCAAGGCAGAACTTTAAAACCAAGTGTTTCTTATTGATACTTGGTAAGAACAACACCTTGCAAGGTCAGAACTGAAACTGCTAAGAGGCCAAGCTTGAGTGCCTGTAACCCACCATGTCAACACTGGAGAGACTTCAGCGAAAAACCTGACATGCAAGTGTCGGTATCCTTATTTCTAATTCATATTGGGATGTTGCAGTTACATCCCGGTCCTAATCACAAGCAATGCATTGTGTGATAACAAAATCTTTAGATCCTTGCCGACTGGTTGTGGATCATGGTCAATAAATCTAAAAGGCAGGTAGTGTCAGCAACTCATTCTATACAATGTAAGCCTAAGACTGTCTACCTCAAAGCTTTCACTGCATTCTTGGCGGCGTCATCCAGGTCTTCTGCAGCTATGATAGTCATTCCACTCTCCTGCAAGACAAAAAGCAACAGTTCTTATTGCAGGCAATGTCCGTATGCACCTAGAATGTAAGATGTATCTGGGTGTTGGATGTGAGAAGCAAGAGTAACAAGCGTCAATTATTCCTTTAAAGTTAACTAAACATCAACAAGAGAACGTACCTTCAAGATAGTCTTGCCCAAGTCAACATTGGTCCCTTCCAAGCGCACGATCAATGGCACATGTAAAGACACCTGCAGCAAAAATCATTAAAACTTGTCAGTCATCAATCCGAACCTGCGTGGAGGCTACATTTGAATCAAGATTCCGAACTGAACATGTTTGATTCATGCATGTCCTACTCGGGATAGGACACGGAAATCTATAAAACAAAGACCTGAGGTTGACTGTACCAAAACTAAGTGGAGCAGAAAGCAAATCTTTACCTGTTTTGCTGCGTTCACAATACCGCTGGCAATGACATCGCACTTCATGATGCCTCCGAAAATATTCACCAATATCGCCTTCACCTTCGGGTCCGCAGTAAGGATCTTGAATGCTTCCACAACCTGCACAATTGCAGTAGATAAGATTTCGCTAAGTAGATATACATGACTCCGGTAGCAAAAGGAGATAAGCAGAAATGCCAAATTGACACTTATCCTGAAGCAAGAACAATTTGCAAGATTTACCAAAGTATACTAGGTTCCTCGTCAGATTCAAAGGACTGTAACATCCCAAGAAGCAAGTCCGCATTTACCTGGTTCTCGGACGCATTGCCACCAACATCAAGGAAATTGGCTGGTGTACCACCGTGCAGCTTAATAATGTCCATAGTGGCCATGGCTAGTCCAGCCCCGTTCACCATACATCCAATTTCTCCATCCAACCCGATGTAGTTCAAGTCTGCGGCGGCGGCAGCTACCTGTCAGGCACCAAGCATGACACAGAAGGTGAGCAATGTCAGCTTTCTCTACGAAGGTACCAGGTAAATATAGCAAAGAGTACGGGGAAATTCCCATGAAGATGTTCAAAGGGGTAACATGCGCTAGGCTATAATAGTAGCATCACAATGCGAAAGATGTCTTCCACCACCTCCAGAATCCGGACTATCTAGATTAAAAGGCATTATTAAGTATAGATTGCCCCAGATGGTGCTCTGTAGACAGAAAGGAAATCACTTTCTCTAAACCAGTGTGTAGTTTATTTTAGTTGCTATGAAAAGATTTTGGTTTCAGTGCTATACATACAAACAAACCTGAGTCGAATGCTATGAATAATAACACTACCCTGTTTGATCTAAAAAATTCGAAGATTTCCTCTTCGTACGGGTTGATGGATTCATTCCACGCTTTTTGTTCTGGGAAACTCTAACCTGAGCTGCGTATAAAAGTTGTGTAAAATACAATATATCAAGAGAGTAATGAATCCTATCTCCTGATATCATAAAGCTATCGCCCACTCTCTCTCTCTCTCGAATATATCTCTCGAATGTCGGCTTTCAGGCACAGCTAATTACAAACAGGTAACAAAAGACAGTTGTAGACGAATAATCACTTACTATAACAAGAGACGACAACAGGCAACTCACATGGAAAAATACAAGGACAGATGATGAAAGAGACGAAGAAGGATAATGATGACAAATTAGTAACGTTGGCAAGGTTTAGAGGATAAGCAACACAGAGAAAAGCGGGCACAAAGGAGATGCCAAATCTAAAGTACCTTTGAACCTTATGCGAAAAGAGGACGATCGAAAGAAAGTCCTTAGATATCAAGACATTTCTAATCGCTCTTTGTTCCATAACGAACACACCCAGGCGAAGGGATTATTGATATGTATTAATAATCAGTAAAATACTGCAGAAGCCCTTACTGTTTGAGATATATATACAGTAGCATTATGGGCAAAGAGAGGAAAGGATCAAATGGTCAACGGAAAAAGCTATGCATCATCGATCACGAGAAAAAGAACTACACATTTCTGAGGGCCAGAGATAAGAGCGTAGACTTCTCTTTGGCCTTCATACGAACACATTATCAAACGTGTTTACCACAAATCCATACCTCGCGAGGATCTTCCTGTGTTTTATCACGAAGCGCAAAAACTTCCTTTTGGCGATACGCAGCATTGTCATCAAAGTTGAGCTTCGCGTCAGCAGCTACCATGACTCCGTCGGCTGTTTCTGCGAGAGGATTAATCTGTTCCATCCCAGAGATATTTGAGTTGGAGGTTTGTAGCGCGAACTATTTGTGAGGAAGAACCTAAGAAAACTCATACCTTCCTAAATCCACATCCAGCAAGATGGGAGAGAGAATGTATGTGTTTCTTGCGGTCTATAGACGGAGATGCAGATTCATGCCAAATCACAGTATGCTTCTATGGCTAGGGAAATTTCTAGTAACTGCAGTCCTTTGTCACAATCGATCTTCACAAAAACTGAGACAATAGCTCTACAATCATTGAAAGCTTGAGACTTCTCCTTGTAGAGAATTTGATAAAAAGAAGTACGACATCAAGTCGGCAGAGACATATCTTGGGAGCACCATACCTCAACAAGAGTACAATCTGATTTGCAAAACATGTTGTAAAGCTTCTTCACTTGCTCGATGCAATCCTGCTTGTCAGCTTTCTTTGGGGCCAGGCCGTCCACCACTCGGGCTGCGTCTTCGTCAGTAATGCCTGTGTTGATGTTGACGGGAACCTGACCGATCACGTTTAAGATCCAGATTCATATAAGGGACTTCGTAGCCGCAAGCTTAGAGGTACAGACACATCTTCACTTTCTAATCTATTCTCTTCTTACAGAACCGCAAAGTTAACATAGGTACAAAGGGACAGTGTGCACCTTGATAATCATATCTGGGTACTTCTCCGCAAGATCCTCAATACTAGTACCACCCTTGGCGCAAGCAATAATTACCTGCGAATAGAAAATGCCCTCTTTAACAAAAACTAACTCCAACTCAATCATACTACGTTCGACGTCGCCTGGTGGAAAAGCCAGGAAAAACCATGATAGAAAACCACGTCTTCACCATAACACTCTGCCTTCGCTTCTCATTTTCTCATAGTTGTAGAGAAAATTTGTGCGGTGGTAAAAACACGTGAAAAGGCTTTAACTGACTTACAGGTCCTGCACTGGCCCGGTCTAGAGCGATGGCGAAATACATTTCGTTGACAAGGTTCAATTTATCGCACAAAAACACCTGATCATCGGATCAAACAACTAGGGTAAGTAAATTGGGTGGGAGGTAAGATGTAGGACAAAAACACGCGAGATGTATGCGACAACCCAGATCCAGATAACTGTAACACTTTAAAAGCCACTCAAAGTATGGGTTTTGACAGCTAGACCTTGTTAACGGGCTTGCCTTCCGCTCCAGTCTGCTTCGTCACTAAAATTTGTCCCAACATCTTCCCTGCGAAAGTAACTTTGTAAATTAGACAAACAAGAAAGCACAGGTCTTCAACAAAATCTGCAATTCGTGCTCAGTGGCGGTCCTTACTTGCATACTCCTCCACTTCCGAAGTTTTTACAATATGTACACCGCCCTTAAGTCCGTTCTTGAAGGTTCCCAAACCACGTCCACCAGCCAAAACTTGACTTTTCACCACCAACTGCAATCGGGGAATCAATGAGTAACTTCGAACGGTCTCAAGTAATCTTCTCAAAAAAAGGAGGTGTCAGTCACTAAAATTTATGAACTCTATCTTCCCTGCGTATTGCAGAGTAGATTAAAAAAACTGTAACTACATGAATACTAATCAATAAGTATATTTGCAGTGTCACAATCGGAGGTGATCATTCCTCGTTCTGATTGCCAAAAATTCAAAGACCGTAAAATTTAGAACAGACCTCAGTGTTGTTAGGAAAGTGCTTCTTGATGACCTCAGAAACCTCACTGGGGGAAGAAATAACTACGCCCTTGGGCACATTTACCCCAAATTTACTCATGAGAGCAGCACCCTGCGCAAGTCAATTGTACGAAACATTCATCAACTACTATCAATACGAGTTTATAACCTTTGGAAATTTGATGATACTGTCATACAAGCTCAGGAAAATTTCGTTCAGAGCCATCCAAGAGCCTTCCAAATAGGGGTTGTTAGCCTCGTGCAATCAGGGTCTTGCGCATCAGAGGGGATTTATCCGTTCATGTAACTCTGCTCCCGTTCTTTCCAATATCAAATATTGCAAGATTATTTTCAGCTGTGGTGATACTTCTTCAGATTCTATTTCGATTCAAGGTGACTTTGTAACATGCTTTCAACGGTTGAACAAAAGTGTAGCAGTCCGCTTGGAAGTGAATGGCTACTAGCAATTAGGCTTATTTGAAGGCACAAATTTCAGCCTTCACGGCTTGTGATGAATGCAGAATCTTCCATCCAGAAGACTTGGGCTGATGAAGGAAAACCGAAACCCAAGACAACGAGGAACTCAAGTCCTTTACTAACCCTAGATTTCAGACCGGAATAATAGCATTATCAATTCTGACAGCTAGCACTATCGATCTTCGAAACAACAGACAGAAAAACACAAACAAGAAAACCAATCGAGATTTCATGCGCTGGAAACAGTAGGCTCCGATCGGAAACGTTGAAAAGAAATACCTGGTACTCGTGAATGTTCAGATTCCGAACTTGTTGAACATTGTGACCTTCACTGCAAGCTGTTAACGCGCTGGGCGATCCGGCGATGAACGATCCGAGGGATTTTCTGGCGCGAAAGGCCAGTCGAGAAGCGGCACCTCGCGCCATGACTGCGAATCGCAGCGACAGCCTCGAGCCCGTGAAGTCGCGCGATCCACAACTCGGGATGCACAGATCGCGCTCGGTGCCCAAATCACAATTCCTTCCTTACTTCGACCGATCAGCTTGTAACTAACAGGAGATGCCGGCACAGACCTCTGTACTCGCTTTCGGGGCCCGATCTCTTTAATCCTCGCCCGCCGCGATGGACTCTTTGAGCTGCGAATACGCAGCTGCTCAGAGCTGCAGCGATGCCTCTCGCAACTAGCCCACAGCCGCTTCCTCGTCCTTCACTAACTCCTTTGCTAAAGTTCGAACAACTCATGCCCCCGCATCAGCACTCGGCAGCAGCAACGGGCATCGCGCGTGACGGCGGGACCCATGCCCTCACTGCAGTGGGCAGCCGGCTGGTTACAATATACCCTTCATCGTGTGAATAGGGATGTGGGATGGGTTCGAGATCTTTGCGGTTCTCCTCCTACACATGAATCGAATTATGTCCCGTGCATGAATTGTAGAAGCTATTTCAATCCGATTGCATGATGATACCTGTATGTGTTAACCTGAAATATGACAACGATGATTTTGTGTTATTTGCATATACACAGAAGAGAGGGAAAATCGTAAAATGTTCATTGGTGTGCCAAGTTTCATTTGTTGGATACAAGACAATGAGCGAATATGTATGTACATGTCTACCAAGTTCGATTCACTGCAAATTGCTCAATTGAGTTCGGCAATATTGTGTTACAGAAGTGATGATTGCTGTTGGTATGGATAATAAGTCATATAGACAAAAAATAACTGTTGTGTATAGTATAGTGTGCCAAATGCATGGTGTAACATGTACAGAACAAATGTATTTCAAATTTATACACCATGTACTGTTTGTAATTTAGAAAAAATATGTCATACATAAATTAATATTAATAATAATTAAAGGATATAAGATTATCACTTGATGTTTTGAATAAGCATAAATTATCGAAATTTTTTTTGTCCATATGCACATCATATTATTTATGTATTTTAAACTGTTCTTATTACAAAATCCAAAGAACGTGTAATTTAAATTATTTTAGATCTTATAATGATTATTTGAATTTTTCTGCACATATTATCAATCTCTTTCTTTAGTTTATTTTGGCATCATATGAAACCAGTTGAATTTTGTGTGAAAAGAATAAAAATAGAGTTAGTGGTATTTACATTTTAGCTTAATTTCATTAATTTTTGTTGCTTTTACTTTGATATTTTGTAGTTGCAGTTATATATATATATTCATTTTTTTAATTGAATGTATTTCAAATAACTAATTAATTGAAAAAATATTTATGATTATTGAATGCAATATGATCTATTTTAGCTCATATCTTCATGCATGTTAAATATCATTTTTTTCATTTCAATTAGCTTAAAAATTCTATTCATATATCATTTTGAATTACTTAAATAAAAATTTTGAAAATTAAGTAAGATGAACTATAACATTTTAAATAATAAAAAATAAATAGTTTTCATGAAAAATTATTTAATAATTATATCAAGATTATATTGATTATTAGGACATTTGGACGTAATTTTTTATTTTAATTATATTAAATAATTTTCAAAAATAAAAATAAACAATTCAAATGAAACTTTACAAACATAATGACATGCTAATTTACATGTTATAATTTTTTATTATAATGGCTGAAATCTTGAATTATAACTTTCCCAAACAATTCTATGAGATTCATATTTTACTTTGATTAATATGGGGTTTAAGAGATATTTTATTTCAAAAGATAAAATCAAAATTTTAAAATATTTGTTCACAATTTAGGTTTAAAACTATACATTATACTTATTTATTAAAAAATTCAGAAAAATATAAAATAGCAGTTTATACTTTTAGATTTTTGTGTGTTTTTGCCTTTAGATTATGTTTGTTATGTCATGCATCAAGTCATTTCATCTTGATTGATACACAATCTACAAGTTCATTAATCCAACCTTTGAATAAAGAATAAATTGATATTACTGGTTAATATTAAGAGCATACGAAAACCATATGATATGCCTATAGTTTTTGATTTTATACTAAAAAATTCACATGGAAAAAATATTGCCAATCTTCTTAACTTACACATTTTAATAAATATTGATATGGAATTTGTCTACCTCTTGCTTATGTCAAATTTACGATTATTTGAATGAAAGCTTATTTGTTCTTTCACATGTAAATTTCCATTTAATTTTCATATTCCGAAAAGGATTATTCAACATATTGAATGCATAAAGATTGAAAAATCAACCATCAAACTATCATGTATATGGATGTGTAAAAAGAGTACATCTTTAGTTTTGAAGTGTTCTAAAACATGAATCCGCAAGCAAAATTTATGACATTAAATAAATAAAAAAATCAGGGTTTTTTTTCAAGAATAAAGAAGAAACATAAATACCATATAGTTGACATATTGCATAGTCAATTTTTAGATACTTGCATTACTTTTTTTGGAATAGCATTAGAGGATGAAATCCATATGAAATCAATCAACTTCGATATATTGATAATATGAATTGATAGCATACAACATTCATTAATTTTTCAATTCTTAATTTTAGCATATTATATATATAGTACTTTTGTATACAATTATTAGCATGAATGACATTTATTTCAAATAAGATATCAGTATAAGAGGTACGTGTTAAGTTGTTCTATTTTATTATCATAATTTGCAAAAATTATTTAAAGCTGTTAATTTCAATTAGTTTCCGTTATAATTGTGATCAAGAGATAAACTTCATGCACACTTAGCTCAGTGAACTCTCCTATGTTGAATTTATAACATGAACATTTATTCTAAATATAATATCATATACAATTTTCTTATTGAATTCTTGCACATTTGGAATAGTTTCAGTTGTAATTGTGATTAACATCTAATCTCAATTGGCTTATTGAAAAAAAAAAAATTTGAATTTACGACATGTAGCTACACATGAACTCATTCAAGATGCTGTAGACATCATTGCTTGGAAGAATGGACACCTAGTTTGCACAAACCTCATATAATTAAAAACACATTGTTGATATTTACGTGGTGATCATTATTCCAACAGAAGACATTGCTTCTCTCTGGCATCATTATGCATCAACTGTTGATACAATTGTTATTACTGCTACTGAAATACACGAGAGACACATATTCATTCCACTAGAATCGAACATGCATTGAACTGAACAATGTACATTTTTACATTTCTTTACGGAGGAGTATGAAATTTCCATGAATGCCATGGACCATATTTTACATTTATGTTATGCAAGCTTTACGTTTACAACTGGGAGAAACTGAGTTCATTATGAAGTATCAGGCTACCTTCACAACTTAGCAGTAGCAACTGCCAGCAAACGGCCATAACTCTGGACCGACGTATGTATATATTACGTAGTGCTACGTGCAGGAGACTTCAGCATTGCAGTTGGATACAGGGCTTTCTTCAGGAGTACAAGTTCTTACCTCTTTCAGCTGGTTTAGAAACAACCTGGGTGGCCTCAGAATTGTACTGCTATATTTTGTTTCAGGTTTCTTTATTTCTCCATCCATTCGCTTTCGGTCTGCTAAGTATCTTTCCTATCAGATCTGATAGGAAAGAACATGCTTCGGTCATTGCTGAAGCCTTTCATCCATGCCAACTCCGTTCGTAAGATGCGTAATCTTAGGGGTCCCTTTGGAAAAACGTGTGCAGGCAAGTCGAATATGCAAACAATTACGCCGGTGAATGCAAACAATTATGCAAGAAGATCGATGCGTGAAACGAAACTGATTATTGCAAGCTTTTATTCCCAGTACTCCGTATATTGATAAATTATCCTTTCCCATCTCTAATCGCAGGCGGGTAACTGTAACTCGTGGACCAAGTTTCTGATTTCACCTTCGATGACATGACTTCCACAAGCGACTTCCCCATTGCTCGCTGGACTGAAGCCTTCTGATCCATACAACTAGCACAGTTCCCGCATAAACCTTTCAGGGGTTTTCATCTAAAGAGTCAACAATCAGTAATCAATCAAGAGGTGAACCTAAAGGTTAATGGTCAGTTCAAATGTGCTGATGCAGCTCGCTCTAATCAGAGCACTAAAACGTATCCACAATCATGAGAAAGAATGCCTCTACTGGTACTTGAACGGCGAATCTGCTGCCGAAGCTGGCGAAGAATGTAGTGGTGTACGTGTGCGTCCCGATCTAACATGATAAATTAGAGACTATAACAACGTTTCAACCTACTGAACGACCCTTTCTCCTTGCGCGCAAGCTCCCACGTGTATCTTTATGTCTCCAGGGTTCATTTCCCTTACTCTACAACATTGCCTTCGTGGTGTCTGCGCAAAGAGGACAGTCGTTCAGGCTTTCCCGTGAAAAACAACAATGACTTCAACCACCTTACGTTTCTAAAAGGGCCTGATTGTTCGCGTCCATTATTTGGACTTCTTTGAAAAATTAAGAGGCTCACAGGATTACCAAATTTGCGAAATCACAACAATGGCCTGGAATAGTATAGAAAGTAGTGTGTTTTACCTGAAACCACTCGTTCCCAATGGGCTCGTTCTCAATGAAAATTTTGTCCACAAGAGAGATGGGCATGAGCTTCTCCTGGCAGCTTCGTACTCTGTTAGGCCTTTCAACCTTCACATAAGCAGAGTAGCTCAAGCTGTCGTTCAGTTTCTTAGCATCAACCATAAAGAAATTTGCCGGCTCATCGCAGATTTCTCTTGGTCTCGGTCGAGTGTTCATTGGAAAGGCATACGACTCTCTTCTTTTGTGCCAGCTCATGAACGTGAGCTGCGGAACTTCTAACTCGTGAGGGGGGATGAATCCCTTGTACACGTGAACCAAATATCCCCAAGAAACAGAGAACGACCATTCCTTTTTAGGATCGTAGCAGATTGATTGCTGTAAGATGTTGTGCGGGTCAACTCTTATTGCCTTAGTGAGCCTTTTCAATCCTTGAGCTCGGGTGGTCCCGGGAAAAAGTGGAAAAATGGCCTCGATATGGTGTAATGAGACGATCGGAGTCAAAGGGTGTGCTGCCAAAAATCCATTCAAATCTCCCATGAGATCAACCTGCGCAAGATAAACTTCAAAGTTAGAAACTACATCCAGTGAGGACTTGGAGACTGAGAGTCCACCTGGAAACGAATCGATGAAACCACATCATTGACTACGATTACGATTACTGGCTAAGATGGACATCACTTAGATATTTTATTCAGAAAAAATTGCTCTGAAAAATTTAAACTCGACAAAATTGAGAAATCTTCCGCAGAAAGCATCCAAGGCCAAAAGAAAATCAATCTTCTCTTTAAGCACTTTCATGAAGTGAGCTAGCACCAAAAGTCAGAAAATGTTCCGGAAACCTCAAGATAAAATAATCCTCACTGCAACGGGAGGAGTTGAATGGATGAGAAATTGGGAATACCACAGAGAGCCACACAAGTTTACCTTCTACTCTCGCAACATGATAAAGAAAGGTACATACACACCTGACATCTGAGCAGGTATGTCAAAGAGGGAAAAATACAGACCTGGTGAAAGCCTCCCTCCTTTGTCAGCGGAACACCAAGCTCACTCATGCAAGCTTTCATCCGATCATCACTTCCAAACAACCAAGTGTAACGATGCAAACAGTCGTCCTGCATTTCCGACAATGCCTTCGCCAGGGGATAGCTGATAGCGAAACCTCCACCTCCGTATGCCATATTATAACTAAAGAGTTGGTTTTGAATGTGGTCCTCGGAGTTACTTCCAATGTAATAATATTTCGTATGGTCGTACTTGCTCAGAACTTTAACCAAATTCTCCGTGAAGAAAAATGTGTCGTCATCACCCATTACAAACCAATCGACATCTTCCAGCCCTAGACGAAAGCTCTCCGAAACAATGCGCGAGATTCGAATTGCATCCCGTCGACCCTTCCTGTGCGTATACTTGATATGTGAGTAATCTGAAGACACTCTGTAAGGAGGATCACCTACTGTCCAGTTCTCCCCCAGATCACGGTCAGTAAATATATTCCCTCTCGTTTCCGGCTTCCACCACAGCTTCAGAAATTGGCTACGGTTGGTCCACATGTCCGCAGAAGCACCGATTCCAAATACAATGCGGTCCAGACGTGTTCCTTCCCACGCTTGGCCATGAGTTTTGGATTCGGAGTCCGAAGATTCATTTACCATAATGGCGCGACCAAGCAGGTTCAGATTTTTCCGCACCTGCTGGCCCCCCGACGAATTGTAAGAGGAACACACTGCATCAGTACAGTAAGGAGAACCGTAGGTCCAGCAAGGGTGGCTGCTCACGAGAAGCACAACCACATAGGCACAAGAACACAGGCAACCAAGTCCAATAAGGTAAGTCAGGCGCGAGGCCATAGAATTATGCTCCAGCTTGCCCGTCCATCCTGAGGTCCCAGGTTTTCCGTGCTTGCCATGCGCCATTGCAGTGCTGTTCTTCGAGGCTGCTCCGATCCCGCTAGAGCACAAACAAGAGCTGGGACATCGACTCGTAATAAATGTGGCTCCTTATCGTCGGAGTTTTCTCCTCAGACCGTGTCCACAAGAAGACGACCTGTGCAGTCTCGGATGTGTATAGACAACTGAGCAATTCTGCTCCTGTGGAGGCACACACATTCGAAGTCCAATTCAAAGCATGAGATTCTCTACAGAGACCTTGCCCGTTACAAAAGCTAAGAGGCGCCTCAGGACACGTACCGTCCTTCTCTTGAGCTCACGTCGAGCTACGAAGGGCGGCTACGTGCACGGTCCCATCTGCGAAGTAGGACTGGCGAGAGAGATGGAGAGAGAGCACGAAGCAGAGAACTCGAGGAGCGAGAGGGCGACGTTCTAGAAAGGAAGAGAGTGCGCCATAGGACAGTTCGATAAAGCTAATGTACTTCTAGCTAACTCGTAATATAGTTGGTCGGTGTGGTCGGTGCAGAAGAAGAATCACTCAACCCTTGGGCTCCTGATCGGCGCGGCCAAGCTTATAAGGAAAATGAATCAAGGGAAGGAAGCAAGGAAGAACTGAATGGCGAACGAGTGCCAAACGCATTGCCAGGAAAGCGATGCGACTAGAGAGTGAGTGAGAGGTAAAGCGAGATGGACACGGACGTGAACTACAGTCCTGGACTGATTGACACACACATCACGTTGGATATGATAGAGAGACAGTCCTCTACTCTCACGTAACGATGAAAATCGTCATGGAAGAAAACACTCGAGCAGCAGCACCCTGAATGTAAACACGAACAACTCCTGTGCATTCGATTCCGGAATGCGGCAATTTTCCCGGAGATCGCTGATTTGGAGGAGAAAAGGGAAACGTTGTTGGCAGTGGAGTGGGCGGGCACGGAAGATAAAAAATGCCTTGCTGCATCGGATGCTCTCCGACATCTACCACGGCCGAGTTGACATGGGATGGATCCAAAAATCATCCACACGTCCGTCTATCTCATGAAACTCTCCGCGGCTCCGTCGTCGCCCGATCTTTTTCTTCCTCCTCGACGTCCAGCATCAAATCCACCGAACGATCAAACCATCACTCACTCGATCATTCAGTCCGTTCGTCGAATCGTGTCCTCCCCTTTGCTTCGCTTCGCTTCCCTTGTCCTCCTCCTCCTCCTCCTCACCCTCCGATTTGTCCTTTTCTTCTTCTCCTCCTCCTGCTCCTCCTTCTCTTGTGCTTCTTCGGCCGAGAGAGGCCCCCTCCCTCTCTGTGCGCCTACTGCTGGACGCCATAGCCAGGCGAGGCTCTTCAAGGCGAGAGGCGCAGCGGCAGCAGCGCTGCCTTGTGGGGGACCACGGGCGGCCCTCCCTTTGGCGACCGCGCCTCGTCAGTCCCACAAGCTGCCAGGGCTCGCTTTCAAATATTTTCTATTCTTCGCCATTGCTTCCCCAGCTTGCTGGAGACGGAGATCGCCAGTTTTTGACCTGCTTCCGCACGTTGACTTGCCCGCCCGCCCGACCGGGCAGCTCGACCAGGTCTTCCTCTTTCGCAAACGCAATCCGCACGTCTTGTCGGATGACAAGGATCTGCTCGGTTAGAATCAGGCCCACCGGGTTCCCCAGTTTACAGTTTGCCCATAAACTGTGGCCTCCGACTGTACGAGGTAATAAATTTCCGGAAAGTCAGGCAGGAACCAAAGGCTCCGCTTTATTCATCTGACCTGTAATAAAGCCTTGTCTGATCTGCTTCGCAATGATTCGAACTGTGGTACATGGACTTTTTCCTATTTCGGGCTTCCGGGACCAAATTCCTCTGCCCGCTGGAGACGCAGTGGCCCTACTCAACTGCCGTCGTCAGAGCCAAACTGCGACGTCTTGAGGTCCTGCCTACGTTTCATTACGCTCGCACCTACACTTCGGTGTCTTCGACGGCGGTCATTGGGCTGAAGGGCTTTGCATTGATGACCGCCTGGACGAGACCGAAACTGGTGGCTCTTCCTCTATATAGTCTCTACCGCACTCGGCGTTGTGAATCGTGACCAAGTAGTAGATGCGTAAGCGCCGTTCCTTTTTGCTACACTGTTTGGTACGCATTAAGTATGGGCACTTAGCTATGGACCGCTGCTTACAAATGCTTGTGAGTGCGGTAGAGACTAGCTAGTATGATTTGCACTAAAGGTATATTTCTCTCCATAATGTTATTTGAAGGGTTTTTCCTTTTAATAGAACAAGAGTTAGTGTGGAATACTCATACTCATGGTTAGTGTGGAATACTCATACTCATGTTTAGTGTGGAATACTCATACTCATCCCTAAGTAAGCTTAGGGATTCTGACTTCTTATAGTGACTTGATATAATTTACGTAATTGAAAATGATAGGGGATAGCAGAAATGAAGTAGAGAGAAGATAAAATAATCTACAGCATACTATATCTGATAATAATAAAATTTTAAAAAGAAGATTAGAAAAGATCAAAAAATAATAGTATATACTCTTTACCACCTCATTCTTTATATGTTACTTTCAATATCATAAGTTTTTTTAATGGAATCAAAACATATTGCAAATCGATAATACATGGCCAATCATGATAGCTGCATATCTTACTCTCCAAGATGAAGTTTATTCAAAACAAACTTTTAGTGAAATGTTAGATTGATCCATCTCTTTACTAAATCTACCCATCACGTGACTTTTTTTTTACGCGTCGCCGGTCGATTTAACGTTAACATAACAAACTTACTGTTAAATTTAACTGTTATCTGCTCATCAAGAAGTCTCCCTTTGAGCGTGTGATATGTGAAATCACTTTGGACGCCTTGGGGCGTGTCGGTTTTCGATTTCAAGCTTTTGACATACAAGCTCTTCAAGAAGCTGCTAAGATGTACATGGTACCTCTGTTTGAAGACAAGAACTTGGCAGCTATTCAAAGAAATCGGATTACTATTCAACCAAAGGATATGCCTTTGGTAGGTAAGATTAGGATGAAAAATGATAACTCTGTAATGTAGACTATGTAACTACAATACTATACTATTGTTGAGATGAGAATACATGATGTTGAGGAGATGTAAGCGCATTGTATATTGTATGTCTACAGTTTCTACATTGTCTTGTGCGCGCATGAGACGATTCTACCAATTCAAACTAAAACGGATGTCGTTGTGTCGAAGAATCGTTATTGCCGAAGCTAATCTAAGTTGCAGATCTATTCTGAGTTTCACTTCCACTTGTGGAACCCAAAGGACGCCCGCGAGTTTGTTGTACCAATGGATTTTTGAGCGCCAATCTTTTTGAAGCTAAGTTCAATAGCTGGTTATGCACTTGGCTTTGTTGATGGGGTGCTAGCAGGCGATAAGTTGCTAGTACATCATCCAAAATCGGCAGCAACAGTTCAAAGTAATACGTGCCACCTTGAATCGCCGTCGTCAACTGTCCAATGTTAACCAAGTGCCAGAGAGGATGAAAGTCGTTCATGGAAAGCACCTGATTGACAACCTGCATGTCTCTACTCCGATGCCAGCAGGGTATATCCAATGTCTTCATAAAAACATCTGAGCACTCTTGTCCTTCATTGATCGGTGGATTTTGTGCCCGTTGTTACTGTTCAAAAGTCTTGTTGAGCGCAGGCATAGACACACGCCTCAGCACATTCAAAAAAAAGGTCTGTTGTGTTGAAAATGAATTCGTAATCTTTCAGAGGTGGTATGCGCTTCTATCTCTCTTATCCGATTTTTGAAAGCGTGTGATAACAGGATTTGAATATCACGTAGATCTTTTGTTGAGGCTTTTATATAAAATTTGACAGATGCATGATGTCCTTCTGCTCGTGAAGTGACGACGTCTCCAAAGTGTGTATATCGTTTTGTCCACGCGGATACAAATCGCTCCTTGTACGGTATCCAAGTTTGTTGTAAGTACTTCAATAGTTCAGGTAAGGACTCTTAAGTAGACTGAAGCTGATCCCTGTGCGCTGTGAAGTCTTGCACCGAAAAGTATTTGATCACATTGTTCTAGTGCTGGAAGAATGCAATTCAATCTTCATTAGGTCCAAAGTATTTCCTACTGTTGGCAACAACACTCTTTTAAATGTGCCAAACGCAATGTAAACGTGCGGACGTCAGAAACGTATACGGTAGTGCATTCAGCAATGCCTGCTCACGATCGGTGTTGATCGTCAACGGTCTCGATTGTTGATTGAGATTTGCCAGTTGTTGCAAGAACCATTGATATGCTGGTTCCGTCTCTTCCTTGAGAAATGCGACCGCAATCGTAAACGATGTGTTGAAATTGGTAATGCTAATTACATGAAACATTGGCATTTTAAAGCGGTTCGTCTTATAAGTGGAGTTCATAACCATTGTGTATGGATACTTGCGCAGAAGTTGAACGCATCCAGGATGAGCGAAGAACATGTGTGTGAGACGATCCTCAACATCAGTACGATATTCAAACAAATAATCGGCTTCTCAAAGGGCGTCCATGATAGCAACAATAGGTGGACGACCTTGTAGATCAGCTTGACGAATGCTAACTTGTTTGTTATAGATTGTGCGCGCCGTCGCAATCGTGTCATGGTCCGCTTGATATAGAGCTATCAGAATGTTTTTCGGTGCAATGCTAGTAGATATCATTTGTCTTGGCATTGCTCGTTATGCAAGTTGAAGGCGGCGAGCGGCAGGATAACCACTGATGTCGATTGAAGACTCATGGTTGTGCTCAACATTCCGTACCGAAAGATGTTAGCGTCTGTCAACTTGTAGCAGTCGTCCATATAGTAGAAAGGTACATCCAACCAATCGAATAGCAGTATTGCGACGTTGCTGTGATTCATCTTCTTCAGCAGTAGGTTGTGTGGGTGTAGTACCACCACGATCGCACTTGAGAGTCACTTTGTTGTTATCAAACCGACGTTTGACAACAACGTACCCTTGGTTGTGTGCAAAGGTTTGCACATTTCGCATCATCTCTTCCAAAGAATTGTAGTATGCTTCAGGTGGCGATAACATTATGCAAGTATCGTCTTCCACACCAAAAGTTGACTTGTTTGGAAGCAGAGCAACTAAAAACGTGCTTGTAAATGATACTGATTGTTTTTTGTAGAGAGAGACTGATTGATTGATTGACTGTCGAAAGTGATTTCACGTACCACACACTAAAAGGGAGCCTTCTTGATGAGCAGATAACAGTTAATATAACAGTAAGTTTGTTATGTTATTGTTAAATCGAACGGCGATGGGTTAAAAAAAAAGTCATGTGATGGATCAATTTAGTAAAGAGATGTATCGATTTAACATTTCCCAACTTTTATAGTCATATCTTCATTGTTTGAACCTCTCTTCCTACTAGATGATAGGCGTATGGATGATGTCAACATGATAATTTGGTAATAAGATCAATCAACTTTGGATCATACAGAGTCTAAATCTCACTCAAAAACTGAGTATCTTGATGAAAATACTATACTGATGCATCAACACGAATGAATCGATATGAAATTTATAAATTCATATTTTTATCCAAAAAAATAATCAAAAAATAACAATAATGTATCATTTATCAACTATATATATATATACTTAAAACAAAGGGAAAACGAATTTTTTTTGAGAACATCATTTAAAATTTTATTAAATTAATCATTTCATAATTAATTTATCAACATAATTCTTTGTATCAGAATGTTTTACTCAGAAAATTCATAGATGGATGTTTTGTTATATATTATCACTATTCATGTAATTTATGCTTGAATTTGACACAATGTTAGAAATTTATAAAATGAGAAAATTTATTTAATTTTTTTGAAAGATTTAATTTTTTTGCATGAAATTTTTTTATAATCATAGAATTAGAAAAAGCAGAGGAATAATTATCATATTTTACATGCTTATAATGATGACCAGCCCTCTTTAAATTAGGCAATTCAAAAATAAATGCCTAATTTGCCTATTCCCAGGAACGACAAATGCCTAAATTACGCGACGGTTAATTGATGCTTAAAAGCGCTCCAAGCGGAGCGTTGTGCCTCTATTTCGCGTTTCGTAACTACCACATCGTTCGTAACAAAGGATGACACCTGCGTCAAAGCGCGGCAAGGCTCCCGCTCCGAGAGACACTTCATACAACCCGAAGCACACTCTTGAGTACGGTTTGAAAGTCGTCAGCAAGGACGCGAAAACAGGTAAGATCGACCTGGTCGCCTGCCGGCTTTGCATTGCGTATGGTGTCGAAGAGAAGATTGGTGCCAAACGACAGAAGACGAGCTGGATGTACGACGATGATGTCCAGCAGGCATTGCTTCATAGTGAGCGATGAACTCGTGGCGATGATCGGTCAGCCACAATGTCGCAGAGCTCATCGCATGCCAACGGGTCGTGGAAGTTTTAGGGCATACAGATCCCATTTCAGCAACCAGCGTCAGTTGGCGGCGCAGATGAGAGATCATCGCGACTGACGTTGCTAGCCACTTTCCACCGTCGAGTTTCGTGTAAACCACCTGCAGTGGTATGTCGAGTTGATGGAGCAGGCACCACACGCGATGAAACCCGCCGTGCGCAACTTGCTGTAGACGAGTGATAACGCCAGATATCGCACCGGTCATGTTGGGCGCGCCGTCAGACGATGCGCCAATCAATTTGTGCCTCCAATCCGGGCACAGCACATCGAAGAGTTTGCACAGCATGTTGAACTGCGCCTCGCCGGTGTGCGAACCGAAGAACGGCACTGAGATGACATGCAAATTAGACAGTCGTCGCTACCAGACAAATCGAACGCGAATGTCGACGTACGACGTCCCTTGGCAAGTTGATGCGTCCAAAGCGATCGAAAATGCCCAGACACGACGAAGAATATTCGCGACAATCTGCAAATTGGTAGCGCACCGTACGCGGATGAAAGTGGCGACCTTCGATTGATTCATGCCGCCGCGTTTGCTGACACTGGCCTCTTTCTTGGCCGCTTGCAAAGCCAGCGCCGTCTGTTTCATGCTGATGCCAATGCCGACGTACTTGACTGCGAGGTTGTACGCCATCGGTGTTTTGATTGTGACTGTGTAATCGTTAGTCTGCTCATCAAGAGTGAATATGCGCATTGCATTGTCAAATGTCAACCCGTCAATGTCGTCGGGATCCCACAGCATCTCACCGATGATCACTTCAACGATCAACTTGTCGAGGCGATACATAATGTGGTCGCGCTCCAGATCCATATGCGAAATGATTGTGTTGACGAACGGCACAGCCACATCGAAGAACAGCGCCTTGTCGGCGTTGCTCTTCCTTTGATACGCCTCCCACATCTGGGGGTGCTGCCCAGTGAGGTGCGAGCGATAGTTCTCAAGGCGGAATTGAGGACCTCGGTGACGGCGACAATCACCGGCCATATCCACAAAGCGGTCATGCGCATGCAGGGACACCGATTGACGCTCAACCAGCAGCAAGCAATAGTTGAGCAGCTTACCGTTGAACTCATGCTCATGGTCGGAGTTGACGAGCACTTTGACGGATTTCACTAAGTCGATGACAACGATAAAGTTTTTGTTCGCGATGATTTCACGGTGCTGTATGATGACGTGGCGGAATTCATCGACAATCTGGGCCACTTCGAAATGGTGGCGCTCGCCAAGCTCGATACGGCCGCGAGATTGGAGCTGATCGACAACGTCGCCAGTTTGGTCGTCGAGATTGTTCTGGGCTTTATCGAATGCTACGCCCTTCGGAACAGCCGTAACGAAGTTAGCGAGCTACTGGCGCCACCGACACACCCATCGGAACTCATTAAGCTCAAGGGCCGAGACATTGCATTGCTTGTAGCGGCGCAAAAGGACAGACTGGATGCATCATGGACACCGTCTGATATTGACAAAATTGGATCGCAATTCACAGCGCTCTGCGCGGCATATCGCAGTAATGACACGACGCAAGCAGCCATCAACGCTCACGACCTTAGTTCTGACTTCGACGCTGCATGGAGCGCACCTACATTGGATGATCAATTCGGCCACCTCGCGCGGTTCATTGGCGGCCTGGCCACGCCATTTCCTAACACTGCTCCCGTTGAAAGCGACTTTTCTATTTTGAAATTTCGCAAAGATGCGTTCAACAAGTCCTTGACAGATTTTTCGCTTGAGGCCTTCCTGCAATGCAAGCAGTACGAGCAGCTGCAACGCTTGAAGCAGTAAACTACATCTGGCGAGCCTGTTTAAAGCTGTATGCCTAACTGGCCTAATTCTATTTCAATTTGGTGCCTAATCTCGTTTATATTAGGCAATATAGGCCAACGCCTAAATTAAAGAGGCCTGATGATGACATTGAATATACTGAATGATGAGTACATAGTGTTCCAAACTTTGATTGGTCTGAGCTTTCATTTGTTAGAGTAGTCAAAAGAAAGTAGTTTTTTTTATTGATGATAGAATAAAAATAATATGTAAACATCACTTTGCAGGTTGTAGGTATAACATATGAATCTATACATTATGATTTCCAAATAGAGATGTTGGTTGTTTCATTAATCAAGACAATTATTAGACTGATGATGATTATTTCTACCTAGAAAAAGCTATTAACGCACCAAGTACTGGTTGATAATAAACATCGAATGACAATGAGAAGAAAAGTTTTGCAATTATGTTCATCACATATCATTGAAAAGTGTTTTATATTCTATGTTACAAGCCCAACTTCAAATGGTATGCAGCTGTGAAATAAACGAGTCCATCAACAACAAGTTTTGAACATGATGACAGATACAATGAATAAGAAGAATCATATCACATGATTCAGATTGAACGAGTGCTCTAATATAATGTTAACAATGATCACATGAGATACACTTCATTTCTCTCATTGATCATATGTATCATTCAATATTGCATCATGTGAGATCAATGCATTCAAAGATATAATATCTGGCTATTGATCTCCAAGGATCATCAATCTATTTAAACATCGTTAATTGTGCACATTCATGGACCTATCAAGAGAAAGAATAGATGGAGAGTACGTCTTTTTGTAATATAACGTGGACAGACTGGGTAACGTCATTACCTAAATGTGCGTGACCCATGCCAATGAGGAGAATGAAGTACATCTACCTCATACGTGTCCGAATGACGGAGATGGCGACAACACATAATTCTAATCATAGTTTCACGAAGTTTGAGGAGTATCTGCTTCTCTTCTTTCGCTTCTTTCTTGCGAAAGATGTGAACTTGTCCACGAATCAATACATGTCTTCTCTTTATTTTTAAGTACAAGTACAAGTACCTAATTTAAAATTATGCACATGGCTATACATATTTTTTAATTGTTCATGTACAACCATGTAGTCGTCCCGTGCATCATGGTAATTAGAGGGAAGTTATGTGGTGAAACACATGATTATGTTAGGAGCTAACCAGCGACTAATTGTTAATTTCCAGATTCTTGATCGTTTGATCACATTTAAGTTACTACAGTTAAGTTTGGCTAGAAAGTAACTTTGGAAATGAAATTAAGTGAAGTTGAGTTGTACTTTGGCCTTTTTAATAAGATCCTCGTCTTTGACATTTATTACAGTAGATCAGGACCTACTACTTACTACATTTTCACATTTTGATAGAGCGTAACCCGCTTATGTGCACCTCTACTTCAGTCAGGAAAATGGAAGGTAGCTGTCAAAACAAAACCCTTACATTTGTCGTTCTTTCCTCGTGGAATAACGACAAGTGTAATTTAAACACACATTTTGCTTGACGTAGATTCCCGTACGGGATGCATTGTAACATTTCTTTAAACAGGATACAGGCCTGGGCCCATATTCTTTGTGAATAGCCACTACCATTTGAAAGTACGTGACTCATTTTCCCCTTCTAATGTACCACAGACGAAACAAAAACATCCTCTCCCTGTAGAAGTTGCACGTGATCTAGATTCTCCTTGGGCTGTGATAAATTGCTGGTAGCAAACCTAATCACTCCCGTGCATTAGAATCTCCCCGCACACCCTGCAACTGTTGATCTAAGCAATCTTGTATCAGTGAGAAATTTTTTACTCTTCCACTCTTGTCATCTGTTTCGTCCTTTCCAAGTCCGTTGATTGATGCACAACTCAGCAAGGTCGACTCAGAGGCCAACAGTAAACAGAGATCTCGAAAACAGCCGAGTGGAGTTTCACAAGTTTCAAAAAAGGCTCACGGAACCCTTCTGATTCAAAGCCGGTGGAATCTTAAGTAAGTCTACCAAATTTTCTTTTCTACGTCCAGTTCATCAATGAACTGATGTCAAAACAATTCTCTTGAGGCGCTTTGTGTATGCTTGACGATATCATGCACACAAGACTCGAACTCGAGGGTTTCAGAGTTATTACGCAATAAATCAAATTGTTCACCATGATTCAAACTGGAAGCTTTGCTTTCTCGCACTCTTGCAGTAAACGACAAGAGTATGAAGAAAAATTTGTGGACAAAATTCGAATGCCTGCATCATGTAATAGAAGCCCATTTCAGCGTGCACAGATATCAGTCAAAATGGACCAAAAGCTGCAACCGACAATATGATCACATGAGTACGGTGAGAACTTAGCAGCGATAAAACTCTGGTTTAACTTACACCGAATAACAGAGATTCAAAAAATGGACTCCTCATTGGAGATTATACAATGCCTCAGGGCTGGAAATCCTCTGCTAACTTGGACAGCTCCAGCATCCAGTCAAGAGCACCCGAGAGCGAAAAATCGAATACGGGCAGACCGAGAGATATCTACGAGTGGTGCCACGCCTTTCAGAGTTGGAAAAATTACTTCCTGCTGATTGAATGAGATTATGAGCTACGGCGATCTTGGACTCCCATTACATACTTCATAAGCCTGGACCTAAACAATTTCCTGTCTGATTCCGCGCACTTCCCTTCGAAGCTCGAGCCCGTTTCACAGAAGTCTGCACACAATTGAAGATGAAGTGTTAATGATCCACTGTGAAGAAATATAATCCCGAAAGTACAATGAGACTGAAGATACAGCTTTGACACACAAAATAATCTGAGAGTGATAAATTGATGTTTACCTCACAAGTTTTCAAAATATCGGTAGTGATCGTCGAGGGTCTCGGCATGCCTTATTTTAGCGGTTGAGCCATCTTCCTTGACCTGCACCCAGAGAAACCCAAATTAGCTACACCTTTCTCATACTTCAACTCGACCACAGCTGCTAGAGAATTGTGACAGCCAAAAACATGCATGCCTACATACCCAGTACTCAGCAGGTCTCATTCGCAGATTGTAAGTAGATGCCATCGCCATGCAGTACGCTCCAGCGTCATGTACAACTAGCCAAGAACCCTACACAGAACCACCCAACGGATAGTCAGTTTAGACAACAACAAACCTTTGGCACGTACTAAACTCACAAAATCAATGCAGAAATTCCTGCATTGACTGTAACCTGGCCGAAACAGAATCTTAAGGAAGATACTAATCGTAACTCGGTGATTACGCACCTCTACAGGGGTTGGCAGTTCCCTGTCCTTGCCCAAAAAGTCGGCAGATTCACAAACAGGTCCCACAACATCAAAGACCTCCACCTTCGCGTCAGCTGGGGGAGGCGCAATGAGCTCTATGTGCTGTCACAGAAGAGCACGGAAGCCTGGTTAGCGAGAAGTCTTCAAAGCATCTCATTTCTTTATCGATCCACCCAGGTCCTGAATTCTCTTCAGTCAAAACTAGAGACAATAAGAACTCAGAAGGTATTATCTCCGAAGTCGGCTGGCAGAGAAGCTAAAGACGGGTCGAAATTACCTGATAGGCACCATAGAGACTCGGGCGAATGAGCTCGGACATGCTCCCATTAACAACAACGAAGTTCTTGTTCCCATTGGTTTTTACACCAACGACTTGGCTAGCGAAGACTGATGTATTGGCCACCAGTGACCTCCCAGGTTCAATGATGAGAGTAAGTCCATTCTCTTTCACCAAATCCCTTACCTGCCAATAACCCCATCGAAGACTATATCAGCAACCGTGATAGTAATGTGAGAGATACGAACTACGTCAAACTGCCGTTTTTCCAGTCAATCCTAGACCTTGCTGTATTCTACCTATGAATTCAGAAACCGAGAAACGTATGCAAAGTATGAGAATTGAAGCCTAAAGAATTGCCATGGTAAAAAAAGGTCTTCTCTATCGAATTGTAGCGTTATTGGGCCTTGAGAGATTCTCACTGTATTAATCAGATCCGTTGGTGTAGGGAGGACAGCGCCTGCATGGTAGTAGTCAATACCCAGCCCTCCACCAATATTCAAAAACTGAAGGTTGAATCCTTCCTTCCTTATCGCATCAATGTATTCCACCATCAAAAGTGCGGCATCATTGAAGATATTGACCTGCGCCAATTCATGTTCAGATGAATGTAAGAGATAGCCTTTCCTACGAGCAGTCTGAAGCGCTTCACTCAAAGCTGTATTGTTGACAACAAATCTTTTACCTTGGTGATAGTTGATCCCAGATGACAATGCACTCCAACTAATTCAACCTCGTTCGGATGGCTTTTAATTTTGTCTAGAAAGTTACGCAACTTCTCGTTACGAATGCCAAACTTTGAGTTCTTGTTTCCGGTAGCAACGTAGGGGTGAACCTGCAGCGACATGCCAGGATGTGTTCTCTTAGTTTAGAATGTTCAACGGTGGTGTCAAAAAGAAATACAATGCACAACTCAGAAGACAGGTCTTGATCGATAGTGCCTACCTGAGGATCTACATCGGGATTGATACGCAACATGGCCCTGACCTTCCTGACGCGGCCAGCCTCAATAATGTGGTCAAGATCGAACTCACTATCAATGTTGACAAGAACACCGTGTTCAGCTGCCAAATTCAGCTCCTCCTGTAACTTCCCGTTTCCATTGAAGACGCACCTGCTCAGAAAGCAAGAACTGTTCGTCAACTAGCCCACTTCCAAGGGTAGAGTAGAGCTACATATCAAGTGACAGCCATTTCGTTGTAAATTGGTACAGACAGCATATATCCACCTGGTAGGATCGAATTTTGCCTTCAAGGCCATCTTCAGCTCATTGCCACTGACCAGGACAGCGCCACTTCCGAGGTTGGCAAAATGCTCCAAAATCTTGTAGTTGTTGTTAGCCTTTATGGCATACCCTATAATCGAGGGGAGACCCTCCAGGGCTTGCTGGTAAGCTTGGTAATTGCGAGTCAGCTGAGACTGGCTGTAAAGGTAAAAGCACCAGTCAATATTCTCTTTGACGATAATATCCTGAATCCTCTCATTCTCACAATACATAAACCCATCCTTCGTGCTATACGCAGCGGCTGCTGTCGTGGCTTGTGCCTCCGCAGTCACACTCTCATTCTGCGCAACGACGCTGCAGACGATCTCTCCTCTGCTCGACCGCTTGCTCTTGCCAGACCTGCTGCTGGAAACGAAGACGCCAGCAGAAGTCTGTGGACGACCCAACAAGCCATTACACTTCTGCGAAACTCGTACCGCACAAATGCTCGAAGGAGCGGTGGCTCTGCTACTCCTCAAATTCTCCGTGGCCTGCACAGCAACGCTTGCTGAGACAGCAGCAGTGCTCGCGATGCACCTCGTTCCGATCATTTTGATCGAACACTGGACTTTCTCCAGCGACTCGACCTCGTCGACTTCACTGTCGTTGTTGAATCCGAATTAAACTCGAGACGAATGAGTTCCGTCAGCCAGGCCGACAGTGTGTCTATCTCCCGCACGAGCCCCTCTCGCTGTAGGGTTGCAAGTCTCGCGTGTGCTCAGCTCTATGTACTGTAACGGTCTCCGATAGCCCCAGCCAGCCCTTGACCCTTGCCATCTACGGTACCTTTCCTTGCCAGACCACATCTCTGGTAGTTTCCCTAAACGAACACTCCCATGTGCACATAAGCGACGTCTCTCAGTGTTAACTTTCATTGATAATATCAGACTAGTATGAACCCTTCCTTGAAAACGTCCCCACTGAACTTTACATCGGTATGATATTTCTCGAAGTCATCTCATTCGCCAACTCAAGGCTCGAATATAACCTCGTTCTTGTCTTCGAGCAAGAATGTCTTATTTGTTTGATTTGAAGCCTAATTGTGGGGTGTCGGTTTCGAAAACAAAACCATCTAATTGATTTTTATCTAAATGTGTTTGAGCTATCATCCTCAAATATCGGATCCTGTGCTTCAAATCCGGTCCTTCGACATCATGACAACCTTGTTGCAATCACTTGTCAAATACAAGTGGCTGCTTTGAGGTTTGAGGCATTGATTCCAAAGCTACAAAATTTCCAACTTTATACTCATTTCTATAAACGAGTAAATCAACCGAAAATTACATATATTGTCCCCACAAACTGCATCACATCTTGACAATTTGGAATTTTTTAATCATATTTTTTTATACAATTTTATAACTTTATTCCTCAAAATTAAGCTGTGTAAAATGCCTCACTATCAGAAATAAAATTTAACGTTGTACATGATTTTATTTCTTTTTTTATTGAATGATATTAACACCTCTTATAAGTATTAATCTCATGACTGAGATAAAAAAACCAGTTTATTGCATTATGATTAATATAATGTATTGATATATGGATTTTTTAGTAATTATGTTAAATATTATTTGAAATGATGCAATAATGAGTATTACATGTTAAATTTAAACAGAAATTTAATTTTCATGTTGTTTCATTCATACTATTTTTTATATTATATTTTATTCAATTATTATTTTTTATTCAAACTTAAATATATATTATTCATAATTTTCAATTATCAATACTTTTTTATTATATTTTTGAACTATTATTAAGTTTTAGTTTAATAAAATTATTATATTATTATTTAAATCAAATTATATATATATATATAGTTTGAAAGTACAAAAATTTAATGTTGAAAAATTAAGTGAAAAATTTGTTCATCAAATCTAGAAATATAAATATTTTATATTTTTTAATACATTTGTTATTTTCATGAGTTTGATGAACGATATCATAATTCAGATGAAAATTTTATCATTATATTAGATAATACTTTGGTTCATAGCAAAATTTTGAATGAGTGTAGACACTAGAGCTTGTTGTTTGTTGTTATCTGCATGTTTAGATGTGTACATTTGATTCAACTAACAAACAAGATTTTGAAATCATTTTTTTCAAGTCAAGCAAAAGTTTCAGGGGGTCTTTACAAAAGCAAAGCTAAAACGGTTCTTGAAATTGCGCGTCTGCAGGAAGTAGAACCGTACGATCTTCAAAAGAGTTACTCTCTCTCATTGCAAAACGCCGGAGTACCAAGTACTGAAACAAAGTCTTGTTTTAAATGCTCGATGACTTGGCGGTGAGTTGGCGTCTATGTGGAGTGTAATAAATGCAATACATGAGCCATATTCCAAGAGCATCTCTCGATATATTCTAGCGATTTGGGATGGAGAACCATGTGACTTTCATTAAATTCTTGTTGTTTTTTTTGCGACGTGGAGGAGAGTATTGTAAAATGGTATGCTATTTTGCTCGAGCATATGGACGGAAGTATTCTTGGCGTATGTAGAAGGAGTGAAATTTTTTGTTGAAAGAATTGATGTAGGTGGAAAAAAAAAATCGTAAATATTTCAACCGTGTTTAGAAATAGTTAAATATTTCTGTGCGCAAAAGTTGAAGTGCTATCGAATGGAATCGTCGAGCATTCAACAATCAGATTGTTGTTTCGAGTATGACATCATGTATATTTTTTTGTCTTGGAAATCGATGACTCAAAATGATCTGATGTATAGATCAAGCAGTCTTAGTGAAATTGACAGATTGTTTGATTCCCAGCTCAAAGATTTAGACTCTAAAATCCAATTTCGTAGCTAATTGTATGGGCACTCTTCACTTCAACCTTATCTAGTAGCAAGAAGTGAGAATGCAGCGTTCAATTTACGGTGGAGTCAACCACCACCAGCGGTTAGGTGTCTTGCTACCTTGGAATCGACAGTTACGTCAAATTTTATTTTCCCCGCAAAATCTTTATTTCACAAACCACACTACGAGAATGTAAAAAAATCAATCGAACTTAACATGAGAGTTCTGAATAGTGGAAAAGTTTTGGAGGAAGACAACCAATTGGAGTAGCAAGCACTGGCTGAGACTTTGGAGAAGCGATACGAAAATAAGGAAGGTTCACAAAGGGCAAAGAAGCAAAATCCTCCCAAAATGATGAGAGGCAGTAAGAAGAAAGCGAAACATGTGGTGGTTTTGGACGAGGATGACGATAACAATCTTACCAGCAAGGTTCCATGGATTGACAAACAGACAAAAACTTTGATTTCACTGAAACAGGAGATAGAATCAAAGTTTAAATTAATCTCAAGCAAGCAAGGTAATTTCAAACATTCCTTTCTTAAGATAATGTCCATTCTATTGTCTCGCAAATGTAAATGGTAAATTATTTCTTAAATAGTTTAGAAATTTATGTAGTTGGATGAGCTTGGTTTAATTGAATTGAATCTTATGTAGAGTATTTGTGCTTGCGAGTCAAGATTCTTAATGTTTGATTAGATAATGATACACACTGTATTGCTACAACTTTCACCGTTCTCTCGGCGGATGAACTTTTCATATAAGAAAGTTAATGCAACTATCAGCAACCATATCTATTTTGGAAATTTAGTGGTTATTATTTCAATCATTTAGTCGCATAATCGGATGAGTTTTCTCCTAGAGACCGAAAATATTTGCTCATAGTTTGCAGACGGATAATGAAGTAATACATAACATACATGTACCGACTTCCAAAATTTTGCAGTTCCTTTTCTTTACCCCACGAAATCGAGCTCATAGCATGTGTTATTCCTCGTAACGATATTTGCATAGAAGCATAGTAGATATGAATTCTAGTGAAATTCATTCAAGAGGTTTACTGCATATCATACTCCCTTAAAGTTTAATCTCCCATAGTTACGAGGTGATTACGTAAATCTGGATGAGTGAAAACTTAGTTATTGATGTTGTGAACGAGTATGCGAGTGCCGCTTGACGAGATAGAACTTTAAAATTTTATCTTTCCTTTATGCAGCAATAGAGTTTTACATTATATATGATGTGATGAAGTCAAAGACAAACAAATTTTGATGTGTTGTCTTTCTGGGGCGGGTTACAGTTTATGTACAGATTCTTGGTTATACGTAGTTTTTAAAAAATTTGCTAAGTTTTTTCCAATATGATTAATTGTATTTAGTTTTCAGAGAGAGAATCCGTAACTTTGATGATTTGTTTACAAGATCTTGGTTTATTAAATTGGTAGGTTGATCAGACTAACCTGTGTATTTGTAATGAGGTTTGGGAGTAAATACTTGGATCAAGCTGTAGAAAAAAATGGTGGTCACAACAACTGCAGAACCTTGTAAGAAGAAGTATTTAGCTGAGTTCAACAAGTACAAGAAAGACATGTTGCACAATGTTGTTGTAAGCGGTAATGATCGAAAATAAACATGTAAGTTCTATGATGAGCTTCACATGCATTTTGGAAATTCTATCCGTGTGAAGAAGTCTATTCATGCAGATGCATCCGTTAGTGACAATTCGTGTCCAGTTGAAGACGATTCAAAAGTTCAAAATTTTGCAAATCCATCTTATACAACTCGCTCGAACACGAGTATCAATAATTACTATTGTTTTTTCTTCAATGTTTGTCTCTTATTCTTCTCCATATTATATCATTATTAATCAAGTTTATCTTTCTATCCCTCTAGATCTTGCATGATTATTAATTAGCTTTATCTTTTGACTTTCAAGCTGCAATGTTACACATTATGATAACAATTATATGAAAAAAAATACAAAACATGGAAATCAGTTTAGAAAAACACAATGCCAAAAAATATATGATTTGTCACTATTAGAACGTGCTGATGAAAAAAATTAAAATCTTTGCTCAAAATATATAAAGTGTTCAAAGCGATCAAGGTGAGTTGTGAATCTCTATCCTATATATACACAATATTAGAATACTTTGTTTTAAATGTAACTCAGATTCAAATTAACTTTAGTAGAGTTCAATTAAAAAGTCAAATTAATATAAATATTATAATAAAAAATTATGCAAAAATATAAATGCATGTCATAAATAGAATATTGCAATTAATTTATATTTAAAAAGTGATTACATTTATTATCAAAGTCATTTAAACATCATTAGATAATATATTTTTATTTCACAAAGTACTAAAGTCTTATACAACAAATTTTCTTTTCATCAAACAGCTTATTTTTATTTTTAATCAACATGATACAAAACATATAAAAATGTTTATATATGTTTTCCCCAAAATAATAATAATATCAAATTTAACATAAAATTTTGGATGTAATTCATAAAATATTTGCACAGTATTGAAAAATGAAGTGTATGGATAGTATCTTCGTATAAATACAAATATATAATAAATTATAAAATGCAAAATCTTACTTTTATAAGATGGATAAATATTTTAATTTTAGTATAAATATCATAAATAAATATATTTTTTATTTTCACAATTCTCAAGTATGTAATAATAGAAAATTCCATTCAGTTATAGATTAATTATTATTTTACATAATAAATATTTTAATTTAAGATTAAAAAAATTCAGAAAAAATGTTGAAAAGAATCCGAATTTTGTTGATTTTAAAAATGTTCTATTATCTAATGCAAATCTTCAGTTATTTCGATTCATTAGTATGCTACATAGAAATTTTACGAAATAAAATATACACAATAATATTTTTCAAAAGTGATGAAAATAGAATATGAGATTGTCTATGAATAAAACAAATAGTGACAGAACACACATTTTTCTGATTACTCCTATGTCTATGAATACACTATGTCTTTAGAGCATCAAAATTAAAAAAATGTGACGTCGCTCATACATCAGAATTATACTATTTGAATTTTGTCATTTTATAATAACTAATATCTTGTAATCGACATGATTGATCTTCATAGGATTACACCAAGAATTCATTGAAGAAACATGATACATGTATCTATGAGATTTGTTGTCTGATAAATTTGAAACTACAGATGCTCAATTTAGTGACGAGAAGTCTTCTCTACAGAGATGATTCATAACCAGAAAAAACTGATAAATTAACACAGAAATAAGCAAGCTTGTACAAGTTGTTGTGGTTTCTTGTTTATATTATTTATATCTATATTTTTTTTTGTAGAAATATAAATTCCTTTTATCTGGATCGGATGATTCTCATAGGAGATTATCATCTAACACAATTACTTATTGAGATGCTTTGATGGGGAGAAATTTAACAATAATGTTGTGGATAGTCATATCCTACACGATCACAACATATTCACATGATTATGACGCAGAGTCGACTCAAGCAGCACTTGACTACTGCCCCCAAACTACTCTGACAACTCTCCCCTCGTTATATCTTTATTACTTCTTCTCCGTCCAATTGTTTAAAAATTTATCCGAGTCGAACATTTATTTCTGTGGAAGTTATTTCCTTGACGATGTTTCCAATAATACTGTGATGGTTTTTCCAATCTTCTTCATGGTCCATTATCCCTCAATTATAACGAGATTGTAAGCGGCACATGACATTTTTTCCCGGTTTCCACTCGTTACGTTCTCTGCTCGGCCTAAGGAATCATTTTTGTTACACATTTCGTTGTTTTACGCTAGTACTTTTATATGTACTCAACATTATTTCTTCTGGGCCCATCCATCTACTCGCTTGCTTTGCCCAACGTAGGACTCCAGGGGCCTTCCCATCCCTCTCACGCACGAGTGTCTCCGCTCCATGCACCGAGGCTGTCTCAGAAATATTCCCCTTTCGCATGGGAAAAAGCCGTAATTTCCAGTAAGTGGCCGGCTGCTCAAAATCAACGTGTACTTTTGCTGGGAACCGAAGACAGGAGCTGCTCGCGGCAGAAAAGAAAAAAAGATGGCAAGGGTTCATCGAGAGAGCAGGGATGAAATATGGACGACGGGCTGTTGTGGGTGGAGGGTGGAAGATAGCGAGCATCGGAGAAGATAGGACGTGGTGAGAAGCGATTGCAGGAGGCAGGGGTTTAGGAAGGAAGGCAGCGTCATCGCGCGAGCGGATATTGCTCGAGAGGAATATCGAAGGAAAGGGAGGAATGTGAGTTGGTAATTGGGATATCTGTCACAGGCAAGGACAGGAAGGAAGGAAGGAAGGAAGGAGGAGGAGGGAGGTATGGCTGTGGCTGTGAGGTCACCCATTTGGGTTTCTCTGTCACGATGCACAGTCTCTGCACCGGGCGCTGCTGCAGCTGTGAAGCTCGATCGCAGTTTGTTCACATGCAATTCTTCTAAGCTCGCCGCATCATCTCGGTTGCCTCTGCAGGGGCTGAATTCCGTGGAGTATGGCTGTGGTCGACTGTTTTCTGGTTCGTCGATTGGTCCGCGAGCCAATGAGCGGGTTCTCATTCGAGCCAGTGTCAAAGCCAGTGTCGATGAACAAAAAGGAGGGAATGCCGTTCGAGTGCGCTTCGCTCCATCTCCCACGGGAAATTTGCACGTCGGCGGTGCCCGCACTGCTCTTTTCAATTACCTGTTTGCGAAGTAATTTTTCTTCCCCGCCGACGGACATTCTGAATACTTTGTGCTTTCTGGCAACGAGCTTGCTCGCGGGAAATTCGTGCGATTTTGAAATTCTTTGGTCACACAGGTCCACAGGAGGCAAATTCATCTTGCGCGTTGAGGACACAGACCTGGAGAGGTCTACCCGACAGTCTGAGGAAGCTATGATTCGAGACTTGAAGTGGCTTGGTTTAGACTGGGACGAAGGTTTGGCTCAGCCTTCTGAGAATTTGTTCTTTTTAAGAGAGTCAAAGATTATTCACTCGCTAGAAAATGCAGAAAATGCCTTCGAATTCCGCGAGGGTGCTTTGTCCTTTTGATGCCCCGAGAAGTAGTGTTTTAAGCAAGCTGCAGTCGACTGTACGTGTTGACGGACTTGCCCAAACTTGTGTGCCATTTGACCATCAGGTCCAGACGCCGGAGGTGAATTCGGTCCCTACCGGCAATCAGAACGTAATGAAATATACCAACAGTACGTGGAAAAGCTTCTCAAGTCCGGCAATGTCTACCGCTGCTTCTGCTCTGATGAAGTAAGGCCCCTGTTTATTTTATCGTACGAGAATATTGAGAGCATAAAGGAAATGCATACTTCTTCAGAGAAGCATGCAAGATTCTTTACTCTTCAGTTTACGTACGAATAAACCGTTCGAATCTGCTGCGCATGTCCACAGACACTATGTCAGCCCTGTCTCCATAGCAGAGCAAAGTTTAGAAACGTTCTGAATGGTGTTGCAGAGGCTGAGATGGTTTCTGTTGACCGAAACAGGAGCTGGAAGCAATGCGAGAGGAAGCCAAGGCGAAAAATCTTCCACCTAGATATATGGGAAAGTGGGCAAGCGCCAGTGATGCAGACGTTGAATCTGAACTATCCAAGGGGACTCCATTTACATACAGGTTTCGTGTTCCTCAAGAGGGATCCATAACTATCAACGATCTCATTCGAGGCGAAGTGAGTGATTTGAAGGAATTCAGAAGGATTTGGCTTATTTGTTCATTCTCGCACCTCTTGCGAGCTCTAGGAATGGATATGCCCTTATGAGTTACGCTGTTTACAAAGTTGAACACTAGGACCTTTACTTCAGGTTCTGTGTAAGAGAAGGAAACATCATTAGCGTTGGGCATTACTAAACTTTACCTTCATGTTGGATATGCGTCATGAAGGTATCTTGGAGCCAGGACACACTAGGGGATTTTGTGGTTCTGCGCAGCAACGGACAACCTGTCTACAACTTTTGTGTTGCTGTTGATGATGCCACAATGAACATTACTCATGTGATAAGGTACAAACTCTTGGTTCGTTGATGTCAACTCTAAAATTCCTGCAATAACTCAGACTCCTACATGTAGTCATTCTATTACGTCCATGGTGTTCCTTGTCCTGTTGATGGGCATACTGCTTTAGAGGCTTCTGTTGTTATCCACGAATCTATCCTTCACGTCTGCGGAAACTTGCCTTTTACAACTTACGTTAATGCTTGTCTTTCATAAATGCATTTATCTTCGCATTTTCACTTCGTATACGCGGTGTCGAGCACTCTATCCTTGAGGCATTGCTCTGGTTATCTTTCGCGTCCATTGGTCAAGGTGTAATGTCGTCATCCCCGGGCAAATGTTCAGCTTCTTGACATCACCGTGACTAGTTTCGTTCTATCTCTGCAGGCACCTCCTTTTGTCCGGCGCAAATTCACGCCATTTCTTTAATGTATCATCTTTAGGGACTTACCCATTTCTTTAATGTATTATCTTCAGGGACTTACTTAGAGTCATCCGTTGATGTGCAGGGCAGAGGAGCATTTGCCCAACACGCTTCGCCAGGCTCTTATTTATAAGGTACTACATTTTACTATAGAGCATCTGATTGTTTGCAGCGGAGCATGGTAATTTATTTTCAATCTTTTCGTCGTTAGTTTTTTTCAAGTTCTTAAGGATGTTGTTGATGATGCGTCTTTTTTTCTCAGGCCTTGGGTTTCAAAATGCCACAATTTGGTCACGTATCCCTTATACTTGCACCTGATCGTAGCAAATTGTCCAAACGACATGGCGCTACGTCTGTTGGACAGGTACACCACGCACACTTGGTCTCTGTCTGTACGTGAGCAGAGGTTTTCATTGCAATCACCAGTGTGGTGTAATCTCTTGTCTTTCAGATCGTGAAGGGCAACTACGTGCCCATTAAGCAGTCTTGTTAGTTAGAAGAGGTCTTATTTTTGTGTTTCTAGTTAAGGTCTGCTCTTGCATCTACGCCTCTTTTAACTCTCTGAGGCAGATATGGTATAAGAAGTTCATGTATCTACGGGTCCACTCATTGACGATCACTCGGAGTTCGCAAAATAGGTTGATTTCCGGTTTCTTGATTTCAGGTTTCGTAACCTGGACCAGTACCAGTGTAACCTTAACAGTATCAGCGGCTCTAGGTGCCGCTGCTTTTCATAATGATGCCTTGATTGTCATCTCATAGATCTTGCCGGGAATGAATTTTAGTGATATTGATCCATGTATTATCAACCTGCAGTTCCAGGAGATGGGCTACTTACCAGCGGCCATGGTCAATTACCTTGCTCTTCTTGGTTGGAACGATGGTTCAGAGGAAGAAATTTTTACCGTGAAGCAACTAAGTAGGTGGCACCATTTCTCCCTATTTTACATGTCCGTTATACTTCTCAAAGGTTTCAATTTCTTTCATTTTATCCATGTATCTCATGAGCTATTTAGGGATCCACTGTGGTGATTGTACTGCTTGCTGTACAGGACAGACATTTATCAACTTGAAGGTGTCCTCATTGATGTCATGGGTTTTTTTTGGCAGTTGAAAAGTTCTCTATCGATCGCATTACGAAGAGTGCTGCCATTTTTGACCTTGCGAAGTTGGGGTAAGAGTTGAATAATGAAATGCTCCGCATACACTTGTAGTGATAAGTTGAAAGATTTGTTCATCTAGTTTTACGTTTCCTTTTGCATGCGTAGGAAGTGATGCAGTTGGTGTCCAGCTAGATACGCGCCTATAACCAGTTTACATTCTGTCTATACAGATGGGTGAATGGACAACATCTGCGGGCTTTGCCAATCGAGGATGTCAGCAAAATGTTCGGGGAGCAATGGATGAGAGCAGGCCTTATTACTGAGTCAGAAGGACCTTTCGTAACTGTAAGCATTCCGATAACGTCCATAACTTACCTGTGAATCGAACAAAAAACTTATCTGTACTGTATAGTAAGGGTGTCAGAAGATTTGTCAAGTTTTCAGCTTGGAATACGTCTGATCAAAAAAATACGCCGTAAGTGTCTGTATGCGCGGGCACTTAACCTGCTGATACAGACACTTACAAGGTGATTTAAGTGGTGATTATGATTTATTACATCGTCTGGAAGCATTCTCTCTCCCTTCTTGCCTGAATTTGGCAGTGTTTATCGCGCATATAGTGCTCATCCTTACGTATCGCCTATCGCAGGGAGGAGTCGCTTTGCTACAAAATGGAACAGATATTCTGTCGGATTCAACTCAATCTCTGCTGGATCTCCTCTCATACCCACTCCATTCAACTCTTGCAAGGTTTAGTGACTTCTCTCATTCTTCGAGATCAGAACTTTCACATTGTGTTTGTCGATTATTACGCCAGGTTTAAATTAGAATGCGTTCATGAGTCGGGGATTATAGTTCCAGTCTTGCTTAGAATGGAGTTTACACAAATCGTTATCGCCGTCGTCAAGTTTTCTTCTTATATAGACCATGGCCGTAAGATGTTTCCATTGGAATTTGGTCTTTCCTTTTTATGTTCGGAAGCTTAACCGAAAAATTACAACGTCCTGCAGTGAACAAGCAAAAGAATTTGTGAATGACAACCTCTCAGAGGTCGCACAAGCAGTTTTAGCAGCGTATGACAGTGGAGATCTACAGGCTGCCGTTGACGGAGGACATGATACCTGGCAAAAGTGGGTGAAAAGTGTTGGGAAAGCACTCAAGCGAAAGGTGCCTTACTTTTACTTTTTTCTTATTTCCTTCCGATAGACCAAGAATGTCGTCTTTATACGGAGCACGTAAAAGAGGATATACTTGTTGAGACGTGCAGATTTGAATTCTGAAGCATTAAAATAGTGAGACAGTCGTTTCCAATATACTTCGGGGCTAGTGGAGATAAATTCTGGCCACTGGATTTGAATAAGAAATTATAGTCATGAAGAGTTACTCGTTTCACGAGAGTTGCTTTTAATTTAAAATTTAATACCTTGTCATTTCTTGTTTTGTCTGTTCTCCAGGGGAAAAAATTGTTCATGCCCATCAGAATTTTGCTTACCGGAAGGATGCAAGGTCCTGACATCGGAAGTACTTTGGCTTTATTGAAAGAAGGTGAGAGCAGTGGTATTGTTACCGCCCATGCTGCGCTAGTCCCACTGAAACAAAGGATAGAGATTCTTAGAGCCGTAGATTGGTCAGCAGTTTCACAGGAGCTTTCGAAAGCTGCGGAAGGTTCTGCAGTTTTGGCACATTAGTAATAAAAAGATCGTATTTCTTATTTATACCATGGTTCTGTGTTGGGCAAGATCACGGGTTTGTCAATTTAACGTCCTTCTAGGTAGGTTTGCTCAAGTTTTTTGTGGCTTCATCGTGAACATTCATGATGTTATGAGCATGGAAGGGTTGACAAGCGTTCCTTTATTCCCATCAGCTCAAACAAAATTAATACTGTATGAAATGAGAAAGAGAAACATTAGCAAATATGAGAACCAAACGTCGGTTGAAGTTTAATTCTCAAGCGTCCTTCTCATCAAGGGACCGTACAGTATGTTCTGGGCGAGATGAATTTCACATCCCTTCCGTATCTCGTTCACATCTGCGGCAGGAGTCCTGCTGTCTTCACAGGTTTGTGTTCCAAGTGATCTCTGCTCACCGGGCCGACCTGACTTCCAAACGCCCATGTATCTAGTGAACTTTTCTGCAGCTATTCTGCTCAAAACCTCTGGAGCTGGCTCCAAGTAGGCCTTCGCCTCAATCTGAAACTCCTTGCAACGTTTGCAACGTTTCCAAGTATCCACCCGGCCGACAAGTCATTGGTTAAGTCGAGAAATTCTCTTTATGCACTTGGCGGCATTACTTCGTATGCATGTCATGTGCGGAACAGGACACTTATTCCGGTAACAAAGAGTAGACAAAGACGTGACACCTCGAGTTGAAAACTTTGGATTTTGACTCTGCATTCAATTATATCTCTGATCATTGCACTGTACTTCTGTCAAGTGTAATCATCACATCCTCAATAGTTACTTGTTACTCGTTAAACCTACCAATCTACTAAAAGGTATACCGACGTTACATCTCCGTGTAAGGTTTCCAACAGAAACATCACATCACCCAAGTAAGTATTTAGTGCTAGACTTTGCAATTCGAATGAAGTGAATTTATATTACATGTATAGCATTATCACATATGACTAACGAAATATGATTGAGTAAACAATGTCAAAGTGTAAACTCATTGACGGGAAAAAAGGTCACATTATACGACAGTGTTGTTTTAACTTTCAATATGTCATACTCTTGAGAAGAATGTTCAATTGAGAACGTAAAGAGACAATTACCTCTAAGTTTGTAAGTGCGACGAGATAGATGGCGAGCTCAAGTCGAGTCGAGAAAAGCCAGCATCAATGGATGTGGTCGAACTCCTCACCACGTACCACGAAGGTCTCACGGTCGAGATTGCCAGATGAGACGAGGGCACAGTCAAGAGGGAACTTCGAAGAGAGGGACGAATGGAAAGCTCGTTCGAACTTGGTTTGCGCCGAGAACGCGGTTTGTGGACTTTCGGGCACAACGATACTCCCGCAGTCCTCCTCCACAACAGACAAAAGAGGGTAATACGACAACAAACCTTACGGCCGGGTACACGGCATGAAGCGTGCCACGCCGGACAGAGCCAAGAAACGCCGGCCGCCGGAGGCAGAGACCGCTTTGGTCGACGAATTAGCGATGACGAGAAGAGCAGGACAGTGTTCGTTGACGGACGGACGGACGCACGGAAAAAGAAACGAGGGGAGGGAGGAAGGATGGATTAGAATGAGATTCGAAGCTCTGGCGCAACAGCGATTCCCTTGCGCAGCGCAGAAAGAAAGAAAGGGAGCGAATGCATTATCATTCGAACGCAGAGAGAGTTCTCTGATCTGAGCTCGTAGGCAGAGAGTTTGATGGGTAGATAGAACCTCGATCGATGCAGTTGCAAGGGTCGCGCTTCTCAAGCCTCGTTCCGAAGCTCGATGTCGTGAGCTTTCAAGGTCGGTCGGGCACAGGGCGGGGATCGGGAAACCAAGCGCGGAGCCCATTTCGAAGGACCGAACACGTTCGTTTCACGTGCGGACTGAACTCGTTCTCGAGCGCGCTGTTTTCTCTCGTTTTCTTTGAAAATTTTCACTTTTTCATTCACATTGCGCTTTCCCTTTCATCGAGCCCTGTTACGTTGTAATTTTCTGCACTGTTAGAGCAATTGGGTCCGGTTTAATTTCAATTGCTTGTTGGTGGGTTGGTTCTGTTTTCTTGTTTTCTGTCGTGGTACAGCTATCATCGAGCTACGGAGCTTCGATCGAGTATTCGCCCTGGGAGGACCTGTAGTTTATCATGCTGTCTTATCGTTGATTTGTTGAAGGAGGGTAGCGCGCTTGTCTCAAAACGAGTAGAAAGTATGATTACATTGTTGAAGGTTGTTCCCACTGAGATTTTTATTTTATTATATTTTATATTTTTCCTTCGTGGGTGTTATAGCTTTCCGGCGAACACAGCAAAAGGCCCTGTCTATAAGTCTACAGGGCCATTGCAAGGAGACTTGAAAAGATGAATAAATATTTTGTAAAACTCGGAGCTGGAGTTCTCGTCTCTGATGGCCACTGAGTCCAGTTGTCACCATCCTGAACATTGGGACACAGGGATGGTGAAAGGCGAGGGGAGATAGAAAAAGAACTAGTCATAGATACACTTACAGACAGAGAAAGCTCTGACAATTCCGGCTCGAATTTTATCTGCATTCAGATGGAATCACTACCGTCTCTGAGCGCGCTGGTTTCGCCGCTTACTCATGTCGGCTTGGTTGTGGTGCGTTCTCGTTATTCTCCACCGTTTATGTGTGCATTGACGGGGAAATTTGCACTCATCTTGGATATCCGACGAACAGGATTGTGATATCTTCCAGTTGAAGAGTCCATCAAGCCATGAACAAGATCCCCTACACACCAGTAACAAAGGTTTCTTGACTGCAGATGTCGTTGATCGTCATCTGGGCTTTGACGTACGTAATGGATTGGTTACACAAGTTGGACTCAAGCGCCAGGTATACAATTTACATTGCCATGGTGTGTGGTTCTGTGCAACCTTCTCTAGAGATTAGTCTGCATTTATATGTTGCACATAGAATCTCGGGAAACACGCAAGCTTGTTCCGGGATTCCTAAGGTGTCGAGTCTGACGTCGTGAAGCTGTGTTTGAAAATTATTGTTTCCAGCTTGGGAGAAGGAACAGTTTCATTCATGGAGGATCCCACTTCATTGGAAAAGGTTACATTCTTGAAAAAATTCTCTCTTTATTAAAACTTGGTTATTAATATATGAGAACGTTTCTAATGACCTACTCTTGGTAGTAAATTCACCTCTTGGTAGGAATTTCAGATCATTTACTTGAGTTCCCTCCCCATTTTGTATGTACAATGGAAGCGTGCTGATTCAGCTCAGCAGAAAGAAACGGAGTCCTGTTTGAGTGTCTTGTCATTCACGCCCGTATTTACTGTTCTTCTCTCACTGTTCATGATCCTTTACTTTAGTAGACTTTTTAAATTGTGAGAAAAACTGCCAAAAATATTAAGGATTCAAACTGCACATTTGTAATATCCTTCTCCTTGTCTCTGCAAGCCCCCTTCATTCACAGTAATAAAACTTATCAATCATGTGCGTTGTGTTTTCGTTTCTTCTTTCTTCGTGAGGCTTTCAAACGAATACAAGAGAACACGCTTTGTTTCGGCTTTTCTTTTAGGTTCTTTAGTTTCCAACGTTCAACTTGTGTTTCCTTCAGCGGTCTTGTCTACTACCTTTTGACAAGCAGATTTTATCGCTTTGTAGATACAACTCCCATCTGTATTTGGGCCGGCTGAGAAGTACTTGTCTATGATAATGCCTGCCTACAATGAAGAAAACAGGTTACGAAGCGGTCTGGATGATACTCTCAGGTATTATATCGGTTTTACGCTCTATGGATTTTTGGAGGTGGTGGTGGTGGTTAGCGGCGAATTTCTTATACTATGTCCTAGGTGCACTTTTAAGCTCGCCTTCGTTAGTAATAAATGTGATTTCCCGTTACACGATAGACCATGAGTTCTTGCTTTGTTATCTTTCGTCGATATGCAGGTATCTCCAAGAGCGTGCAAACAAAGATAGAACTTTTACCTATGAGGTATATACAGCTTGACCTCTATCCTGAAAGCAGTCGCTTGAGGATACACCTGTCAAGTGCATGAAATAGGTGTATACGCTTTCGAGTATGAGAATTTCGTTTTAGCTGCGAATGACTTAAAATGCGAATTTTTCCAGCTGTGAATGGTACTTGATGTAGCTCTCGGTGGGCAGATTATAATCGTTGATGACGGTAGCAAAGATCACACTGTAAGAGTGGCAAATGAATACGTGAAGAAATACAAGCCAGACATCATAAGAGTCATCAAGCTGGGAAAAAACCTTGGTAAAGGGGCAGCAGTTAGAAAGGTATCAAACATCACTATCGATTTTCAATTGTTCTCATGCATGAGGTTTGCATCCACAGTACTTCTTTCATTCAAAAGAAAGCGATCACCGCACTTACGTTTCAAAGTGGTGCTGGAATGTTTGGTAAATTTGACAAAGGATCATCTGAAATGTAGGGCATGCTCTGTTCTCGGGGTCAGCTTTTATTGATGTTGGATGCGGATGGGGCGACTAAAATCACGGACACTGGAAAACTAGAAAATGAGGTAAAAAGAGGCCATGAAGCTGTTTGTTTGTTAATTTTCTAAATAAATTTGTTAATTATGTTTTAATCCACGTTCAGTAGTTACAGATGTGCGACAAGTACTTCAGAAAGTGAGGTTACATTTAACTTCTGTAATGAATCTATGCTGTTAATTGTTTATCAACAGATGAAGGTTGCTATAGACAGGCTGTTGGCTTCTCGAAGTGCGACCACATCAAGGCAGCAAGTTTCATTGAATGACATACCTGTTGCAGTCTTTGGATCACGTGCACATTTGGAACAAGAAGCTCTTGCAAAGGTTTGGCATGGAACACGGTCAAATTTGTTTTGCAGCAGATTTGTCACTGCTTCAGTTTCTGCTCTTGCTGTGTCAATATGAAGTTCGTACGACGAAATCTTATCTAACTCGATTACATCTGTCGTGCAGCGAAAATGGTATCGCAATGTATTGATGAAAGGTTTTCATTTTTGTGTTCTGCTGGTGGCTGGGCCTGGAATCCGAGATACACAGGTATTAGTCTATGTTGGCTTGACATAATTGCTCGTCCTAAAGAATGGAATCACAGCATCAGAATATATCATAAGGTAACTCGTAAGAAGATAAGGTAATCTGCTTTTGGAAAAGGAAAAAAGGAAATGGTATAAATTTCGAATATCATCAACATGCACCGCTTATAGTTTACAACTCATGCATCAACATTTTCTTTCTAACGGAGGAGCAACACTGTGTATTTGATTTTTAATCAGGCGTTTACTTAAGTGGGATATCTTGAAGCCTGTAAATGAAACTGTCACTTCATTTCTCCCATTTTATTTTCAAATGTTCCAATGTTATTAAGGTTTTTGGGATACTTGAGGATTGCTCTTAGACTTGAATCACCACTAACCAGACATTACTCATGCAGTGTGGATTCAAGATGTTTACTCGTTCGGCAGCCCGTCAGCTTTTTACGAACATGCGACTTAATCGGTGAGCCAGTTTTAAGGTTCTTGACATGTGAAGAATCACCAATCAAAGAATGCTTTGAATGATTTAATGACATGTGAAGTGTTTCGTTCCAGTTGTTTATAGCCCATCACCGATTTGGTTCCACGATATCGCTTTCTTTCTCATGCAAAGGCCCAGATGAGCCCAAGGTTTTACCACTGAGCCTTGTATGCTGGCTTACGCTGTTCCAGCTCATAGAGTGAGTCCCAAAGAAGATGGTAATCAGTCATATTCGACCTCTATTGCATTAAATATCTCGTATTTTACAGGTGGTGCTTCGATGTGGAGCTTGTATATCTTTGTAATAGATTGGCAATTCCTGTGACCGAGGTTGCAGTGACATGGACTGAAATACCCGGATCCAAGGTTTCAATACTGAGTATCGCACACATGCTATTTGAGCTTGTGCTAATACGAATGGGGTATGGCTTCCGAGTGTGGAAAATTCACAGAAAGGCGGTCCAAGACTGAACACCCCTGGGTATTATAAGAAACAGGCGGTGCCCTAGGAATCGAGCGGGTTTTGCAGAATCTTCGATTTCGATGTAACCCTGGTATCTGAAACTTTGTTGGTTATCGGCACCATTAAGACTAGTAGTGCATAGGCCAAGTTTTGACACTTTTCCGTGTTACTGCGAAGATTTTTTAAAAATACCACAGAGAAAAGAGCATTCCGCGGGCTTTGAAGTTTTCGGCTTTTTCTTCTTTCTCAAATTCCTTCGTCATCTGCCCTTTACCTATCGGAAAGTTCTGGATTATTTTGCCTCAAAGTGGTAAGTCGAATGCATGGTGCAGTTTCTGTTTGTTCTTGGAATCAATGTGAGAAGCAATACCATTTCTACCTCGTAGCAATGACCATGGTCAGACAAAACACTTCTCAAAACTCATGCTTACATGATGTATATATTTAAGATAGTGCTGCGCTATGCTTTCCTTTTACACATTAAGTACAATGGAGCTGGCCCGATCAATGTCAACGTGCACCACAAAGTTGCCTCGGCACACAGACCTCTATCATAGCTGCCACTGTGAACTGTCTTGCTGAATTTGCACTAGCGTCACTACACATCCACATTGTACTCCACACCCTGTAATCTTGACACACCATGGCTTCTAGTGCATAACGAGTTCCTTTGGTTTTTCATCTCTGAACCCATTGTTGAGATTGAGATTTCTCTGAAAAAGCCTCTTACTTTTTTTGGAAGATGACATTCAAGTTTGACACTGATAAAAGTAAATAGTTATTGAATTATTTACTTGGATCAGTGCCAATGACAGACAATGACAAGGCTCCAATTACATCACATTGAAAAGTAGGTAATGCTGCATCCAATGTAGCAAAACTAAAAATCAGAAAAAGAAAAAACGTAAAGTACCAAAAGAAGCATCTCCTAGAACTGTTTGCAAAACAACACAAATATGCTGCTTCGAACAGGTCGCACAAATGAAGCGGGATGCACTACCAAACATGATACAATGTACATCCGAATCCTTGGTATGTATTTGGCAAATTACTACGTCCATGACTAGGAAGTGACAAGGAAAATCCAAAGTGTCGCTGGATTTAAGACGGTGATCACGGAAAACTCCTTGTGATTCAACCTTGGTGAATACCGTGAAAGCTTGTCTCAACATTAGAGCAGGAAACAGAACAGTTGAAAATACTTAAGAGGGTAGATACTTGTCCTACACATCATATTACTACCACCGTTTGTGCGTGCGGCAATTTCGTACTGCCGACGAGGGGGTGATTACGATGTGCACATCGGCAGGTCTCTTCTAGGCCTTCCTGGCATTTGCTTTTGGAGTTCGGGTCTTTTGTTACATACCATATTTGCAAAGTTGAAGTATGCATTCTCAGTATGCTGCCGGTGACAATTCCCATCTGAGACAAGTTGGTAAAATTGTCAACCACCGAAGAACATACGAGCATTACGACACTCAAGTACACTTCGAAAATAATGCATTTTGACATTCATCACTGTTACAAAATGTGATAGTTTGTCGGCGTTGGAGGCTCTATCCGTTTCTCCGATACCCAAATGTCGTCTTCTCGTAAACTTTAGTGCTCCGTTCGTGGTTCAGGATGGCAGGTTACTAGGAGGTTCATCAACATGGCCAGCAGCAATGGAAGTAATGGGCCTCTCATAAAGCGTCGGGCACAAATACAACTTTGTTTCCAGCTCTGACCTATGGGTGCCAACAAAAATTGCCTACTGCTCGATGATGCAGTCCTGCATAAGTGTTCACATTCTTCACAGCCTTTCAAATCTTCCGAAAGAGAGGATGACCCTAGTTTCCGTCCACCAGTAATTCTCATGAGAAGGAATCCATATAAATGATCGGCAGAGCTATTCAGTATCAGCTCAAGCTCCTGCTTGGGAGCCAATAAGGGTAGGACTTTAAAAACAAATGATTTTGTACTTCTACCAGATTTTGTTGTCTATAATCAACTGCACAATACTCTTTAACGCTTCCTGCATCAATCCCAAACACGAAAAACCGGCCAGGTAAGCATTAGGATTAAAAGGCTACAGGATAAGACAGACGGCAAACTCTCGCTGGTAAAACTCTCAACCTTGTGGGACAGGATGTTTCATAAACCGCTCCTAATTTCAGGAAGACAAAAGGATGTAATACATGTCTCCTCTTACTTACAGGTGAATGGTCCTTCAAGCCCAGAGAAAGTACGAGAGACTTAGATCCTCCGTTATTGCTGTGAGAAAGACAAACGCAACCTTCCATGTTCAGAGAGGCATGTCAACGACATAGCCTATCTCTGGAAAAGTAAATTGACCCATATTTTTGCATATTCACTTCGTTCGAAGAACGATAACAGAACCAACCAGGAATGCTCTCAAGAGAATGCTGAAGACACAAACCTTATATGCTCAATGACTTGCCGAGCACATGCTGGTAACAATGGCTGCAGGGAGTAAGAAGAAAGAGCAGGACGATTAGAGAAGCTCATTTGTATCATAAATGAAGACCAGATCCTGAACCTTCTATTGAGATGGAATGTATAACATAATGTCGCAAGTGATGATACCTCGTCACGCTTTCCCATAAGAACATGGACATTGAATGTGGCTGCTCCACCGTAGGCCTGCTCTTTTCTGAAAGTAAGAAGCGACCCGGAGACATCAACTTGCTTGGTTTGGTTAAGTCATGTACAACCAGAGAGATGAAACATACCAGAAATCAAGAGGCACGGTGTTTGATGAAGTGCTCATACTTATGAATTAGATGAAATACTCATTCTAATCCTCTTAGCGCTGACTCTAATTAAAAGGTACCTATCTGTTAGGACATCCACTCAAGCACAAAGATGCTGCACCAAATTGATGTATTGAGACGCATATCATATTCGTCGCTGAGAACTTGCAACTGAGATGTCTGTTTGCGATGCCCAGTTGCATTTTACTACTATGCTGAGACTGAATGCTTACAACCGAAAATATAAAGGTTTTTCTAATAGGATTTGAATTCCCCTCACTGATGCGCGTGTTCTTCTTTCAACCCACGCGATGTAGCCTGCTAAACAGCCAGTAAGTTATAAAAAAGGCGGGGGTTTTAGGAACACAGTCATTACGAAATATGAAACTCTTCGATTGAAGCAGTAAGGCGCGAGAACTAACCTGGCATGGAGAAGGGTACCCATCTTCCCAATTTGAGTGACGATCACCTGCAACTTGATCATCCGCATCAGCCAAAGTGATCATCCATCCGCATCAGCCGAATTGCCCAGGAAAATGATGAGAGAGAAACATGTAGGGAGCTGAATCGCGGATGATGTGCTTCCAGAAAATGATACTTCCTCTTACCAGAATGGAATCTTCATACGCACTGAGAACTAGCTCCGTCGGTACACCCTACAGGACAAACAACAAGAGCAGAAGAAGAATAAATCCTGGCTCGTCATCGTCACGCGATTCCACGGAACGAAACTTGTAAAAGCAGGAAAAAACTTTGCCACATTTCTCTAGCAATAAAAGTTGGTGCAAGACAGCCCTAGAATATCAGCAGACAAGATCAATCTCACAAACCAGCCAACGAAAAATCCCACCTTAATAGAAGCGGACAGTTTCTTAGACTGCACAGGAAAGGATGTCATGACACACGCTCGATTCTTCTCCCTCTTCTTCCTCGGAGAAGTTCTCTCGAACCAGCTCGTGATCACGCAAACCCTCCACCAAAATTCACGAATCGAACAAATCGATTTTGCACGTCGCTGCACCTCAAGCTGCCTGCAGTCACAGAACCAAGCGAAGCCGTCCGCAAGGCCCGTAAGCGACCGTAAACCTTCACGTTTCCGCAATATACTCGTCCAAACGCAATCGCAAACAAACTTTGCGGCACTGAGAGATAAATGCCCTGTCTCGTCACGTGGTTTAAGTACCGGAGTCCAACTGAAGTCCATGCTCGAAAGCACAGATCGAAAACACGCCCGAAAAATGAAAAGTTCCCGAAATTTACGATCGGACGCAGCAGAACGTGGTCTGTATGCACAAAAACGCACAGCGGAACGGGACTTGAACTACGGCGGAAAGCGGTGGAACGCGTGTCAGCTGATACGAGAACTCTGGTTAGAAGAACAGGAATTAGAACTACTCGGAGCAGCAGGAGGGAGAAGGAACGTAGTTCGTCGTTTCTTCGGCCCCGCGTTTCCCTTCTTCGAGTCTCGAGTCTCGAGAGAGAGAGAGATCAAACGCTCGATCGATCCGTCGAGCCATCATCGATTACAAGAGACAGCAGTGCGAGAAATCGAGCCGGCGCAGAAGATCTGTCCGGGCAGGCGTCGAAGGCAGGAGGAGAGAGCTGTCAGTGGCCGCGGAAACGAGATGGGGCGTGCCGAGGAGGCTCCTTACCGGAGGGCGGGGGGAGCAGGAGTGGGCGGGGGCGACGGTCTGAGAAACTATTATTTGGGGCATACCCATGACCTTCTGTTGCAATTGCGAGTGAAGACTCATAATCTTCACCGTCTCGAAGCTCAGCGCAATGATCTGAACTCGAAAGGTACGATATGGGTCGCAACACGAGTTTTTGTCCTTGATTTAGGGTTACGTATTTTCATACCTGGGTTATTTTCGTGACTGGAAGTGAGCTCGATTTGGTTCGTATCCGGACTGCCTTCCGTCTGTTTTTGAATGCACGTGGGAGGTGGTCTGAGAGAGCGTGAATTTGAAATGACGATGCGTGCAAAATTGAGCTGAATTGGTACCTGAGCAAGGCAACTTGCTCCTCATTTGGTCGATATATTGTCCTCCCGCCTACCGTATTATTTCGCTAATCGATCCTAAGGCTTTCTTAGCAGAAATGTTGTATTATAGATATGCCAATTTTTCCTTTCTCCGCTTATTTTGGCTGCTTTCACGGTTGTCTTTCAGCTCATAGTGAGCTATGAACTAGGGCCTTCTTCCAGTTCTAGCTCCTTGCGGAAATCTGCCTGAGCAGCTTGCCCCAGCCTCAGTTTCTGAATCTCTTCTTCCCTCCCTGTCCGGAGCACAGTGTGAAGGAGCACTACCCTCTCTCCAAATTTTAAGAATTATCTCGGGCTACAACGAGAACCGAAATGTTGTGCTGAACGAAAGGGTGAACGCTCATTTGATCTGGATATATTCAGTACGAATTTTCAAACCGTGAAAGCATGTACTATTGAATTTGAAGCCAGAAGTGTCAAGGAAGTCACCACAGGGAGAACTGGCTTGTGCCATCCAAGCGGTCAAGGCGACGTTTCCTTATTATCCCTCTATGTCAGCTCTTCTTGTACTTTATTGCTTGGTGCCTGTCAAGACAGTTGGCTTGTGTTATTTGCGACATACTGTAGGCATAAGGAGTCTTGGCCTGACATGTTCTTACCTTTCTCCATTGCCCTTAGACTGAAAGTGCCGGAAAACGTTCCTCCCTATTTTAGGGGTTTTCTACACTTGATCCACGATGGTCTTGGAGGTCATGTTTTCCCCATGCGGTCGTTCAGATTTATCATGAGATGTACTCGACGACTCCGTAACCGTGGTCCTGTTCCCTCTTTTAGTAAATCTTTCCTTCTCGATTATAACTCCGTACTAATCTTGAAGGTTGTACTCCGATCGTCGTGAAACTTGCAAATTTCGGGTTCTTTGTAATGGTTATACAGAAACATGCATGTATCTTTTCGAACGTCGCGTTATGCATCATGTGAGTTGCTTTAGCGAATCAAATACTGTCGGGCAAGTAGGTAGTAGTCAAATTTCAGATGGACTGCCCTCGAACTTGACATGTTGTGTCTTGATTGGTCTTGTAGTGAGAATGCTCAGAGAGGAGTTGCAGTTGTTGCAAGAGCCTGGTTCCTACGTGGGTGAAGTTGTTAAAGTTATGGGCAAGACTAAAGTTCTTGTGAAGGTAATGCCCGCTTGTGATCTCCTCCCTCCTGTCCAGGTTACTTGTTGAGCTTCTTTATCGATAGTTGAGCTGTTATGTTCCTCCAGTTTATGATATCGTTTCAGCCTTGGTCCACAAATATCGTGTGCATTTACTATTTTATGAAGGTCAGACAGTCAATATACTTCATCCCGGTTGTCAACGGTGGAAAACTTACAGCTATCGAATTCAATTTTGTTCTTCAGACTTTGCTATTTGTGTTAACTATGTAGTCAACCTCTGACCGAACGTTTCGAACGCAGGTTCACCCTGAAGGCAAATATGTCGTTGATATTGACAAGAATATTGATATCAACAAAATCACTCCTTCCACTCGTGTTGCTCTTCGTAATGACAGCTATGTGCTACATCTTATCTTGCCCAGCAAGGTAGATCCTCTCGTCAATCTGATGAAGGTCGAAAAAGTTCCAGACTCTACTTATGACATGATTGGTGGACTTGATCAGCAAATCAAGGAAATCAAGGAGGTATAGATTCTTCACACGCTTTCTCTTGGACTGGCAACTAAGGTTTTTTGAGACGACGAGCTTGAGATCCTCATGCTGATTTGTTTTGAGACTAGGTCATTTTAAAATTGTATAACAGAGGCTCTGCTGACGCAGTTGTGTGGCTCTTGTTCCAGGTTATTGAGCTGCCCATCAAACATCCGGAGCTGTTTGAGAGTCTTGGAATTGCCCAACCTAAGGTACACTCTCTAACATAGCCTTGAGTATCTGGAATGATCGAGGGATTCAAATTCTTATGCGAATCTTCTCCAAGTATCAGGACTTGCGGAAGGTAGCTAGTTTTCTCGATATATGTATGGTTGGGATCATGTTTACCAGATTTGACGCCGTCTTGATTCTCCTTGTCTCTGGCTGCAGGGTGTTCTTCTATACGGACCACCCGGAACGGGAAAGACACTCCTTGCCAGAGCGGTGGCACATCACACAGACTGTACATTTATCAGGGTTTCAGGTTCCGAGCTTGTGCAAAAGTACATTGGAGAGGGTTCTCGTATGGTTCGTGAATTGTTTGTGATGGCTAGGTGAGCGAATGTTCCTGCTTTTATCTTTATGAAGTATATATGGTTGTCAATTACCTCATGGAGTACAGGAGTAACACTACTGGCTTTGTGTTACCGTTTTAGATTGTAAAATCGTGTCGTGATCTTCTGTTCCCTCACCTGGACTCAATACCTCCCTCCCAAGCACTTGGGTTTCGCTCCCATCAAAATTGTAGTGATTATTGGAAAGCTGAACTTGCTATGTTTCTCCACTTTCTCGCAGAGAACATGCTCCTTCTATCATCTTCATGGACGAAATTGATAGTATTGGATCAGCACGAATGGAATCTGGTAATGGCAATGGGGACAGTGAGGTTCAGCGAACTATGCTGGAGCTGCTTAATCAGCTTGATGGATTCGAAGCATCGAACAAAATTAAGGTTGGTTGCCCTAGTTCTTCAACTGGATATGGAAGTTCACTCTGTGGTTCTGGCCAGTGGTTTGAAGCCCACATTTCCAAGCATGATGTCATGTACTCATAGGGAAGTCATCTTCAGTTATGTCGGAAGTTTGAAGGGATGGGGTCGTAACATGTGTCTTAATATTTGCTATCGTACAGGTATTGATGGCCACAAATCGAATTGATATCCTCGATCAAGCTTTACTCCGACCTGGACGTATTGACCGGAAAATTGAGTTCCCAAATCCGAGTGAGGAGGTAAGGAGCTCAAAGTTCCTGCTGTTCGCCGTCATTGAATGAATTGAATAGCCTTCTATTTATTTACTACTTTGTAGTATCTAACAAAGAAGTTTGTCTGCACCAGTCTCGATTGGACATTCTTAAGATTCATTCGAGGAGGATGAATCTTATGCGAGGTATAGACTTGAAGAAAATTGCAGAGAAGATGGGCGGCGCGTCAGGAGCCGAATTGAAGGTAATCAGCAACGATCTGACTACGTTACTTATGTTCTTTCTAGCAATTGTAACGTCCGAGAAGACCTGCACGTGGGCTAATGCAAAGCGAATGCACGCACACTGACATCATTTCTCTCTCACTCACATGCGGAGTAAATCTTCATCTGACATTTTGTTTATTTGGTTTGCAGTCCGTGTGTACAGAAGCAGGAATGTTTGCACTGCGGGAACGTCGTGTACATGTGACGCAGGAAGACTTTGAAATGGCCGTAGCTAAGGTTATGAAAAAGGAGACTGAGAAGAATATGTCTTTGAAGAAGCTGTGGAAGTAGGACGGTTTCCTTGAAATGTTCACTTATTGTAGAGACAAAATGTTGAACTCCTGTAATGATAATAACCATTCTCTTCTGAGATATGTCATACTGGAGATTCAGATCGGGCAGGACTGCCAATGATGACCTGTCATTAGTTTCTGTCGGTATTGTTTTGGGCTCATCTTGTACAAAGATCTGAGATGAAGTGAAGCTAGTTATAAACTTTTGTCGATCTCTCGATCCACTACGTGCACCAATGACAGAAAATGGAGAAGATTTCCGGGTGAGTACCTGACCCGCAGAAGCACGAATGGATATTTCATGATGTTCAACCGAGGAAGAAAAACAACGAAGATCTGGATGTGACTCATTGACTTTTCTGGTTGGATATATATAAGTGCAGCGATGGATTGAGTGACGTCATGCATTGGTTTGGCATTACAAATTGGTTCAGTGTCACGTGGCGTAGCTATCCATCGTGGGGCTTCATTCCCACACTGGCCTTCCAGCGTCTTTCAACCTTCCACTGTGCAATATAAAGAAATCATTTTCTACCCCAGCACTGGATGCTCGTCTTACACTACCCCGCAAGTGTGTGTATAGGATCAATGGTGTTATTCACTCAAAAGCAACCACAAATGCACATCGTGAGCTCAATTATTAAGGAAAATATCGACTGCTTCGCAATCCTCACTGAGATAACCAATTCAAGGCGAACTGAGTAAGAGAAGATGTATGGCGAAACTCCGTTATAGTGAAGCGCAGCCCAAAAACAGGAAGGAAATTTCTTCGAAGGCATATTGAATGTGAAGAGGCTAAACTTCCTCGTTTGATTTTGTGGTGAGCGATTTATTTAACCACCAATAAGCAAGGTTGTAAGTAGTACTAGTAGAAGTATTCTAAGCAAATATTGGTTATGTGAGATTTCTATTTGTATATCCCATATCATGTCCCAAGTCCTGTGCAACTCCGTGGCCAACAGATAAACACGAGTCTCTCCTACAGTCCTTTACAATTGGGAATCTTAACTGTAGCTCAAAGTTTCATAATTCTTTAAACAAGGTCTATTAACATCTAGGATGACATTTTCTTATGGTCTGACACAAAGATTTTCCTACTTTCTGAAATACATCTTTTAGCTCACACTGATGCTCATGATGTAAACGTGTATACAGATTGAAACTAGTGATTGCGTTAGGTTGTGGAGCACTCAATAACATGTAGTGCGGTCAAGCTAACTGCACCAATAAGGTTTGTCTTTCTTGGGGATTTATTAAATATATGAACTATCAAAAAATGTTTGGTGGGATTAAATTAATATAGTAAAAAGGATAACAATACCCCCTCAAGCCAAAGACGAGAGCAATTGAACATTTGCAGAATGGAGAGATAATCTGTACAATCGAATTCTTCTAAAATAAACATCTACAACATTGCAACATCTCCATCTGCGAAAAGATTGGTAGCATCTTGGCGCTAGCTCCAAACGCATCGACTGCTAGTTTGACGTGCGATTGAGCACAGCCGTCGGAAGATCCAATTTGGCGTTCATGCAGAGTCACGATCCACCCGCCGATATATCATCTACAGAGTTTGCAATCCACTCATCCACGTCAATGGCTCCAGCTCGAAGTTGTTACATCGAGAGACTCGGCAGTAAGACGATTTACTCGAAAGGGCAGTTGAGTGATGCGTCCTTCCAGTTTCCATTTTGCTTGCGAGGTTCATTGTGTTGTGAAGATGTACCTAAAGGTGAACCTTCTCTTCCACGAAGATTTCCAAGTTCTCCCAAATCACAGGAACAATGTACTTCCAAACTGAACTCTGCAATTTTCTCGTGTTTTTCAGAACAAGCATTCATCCCCTTGAGTTCGCGGAGATTTAGGGTTTATCACACGTGATTTTCATATGCAAAGGTTCTCACGATTCATCAAATAGTTGACTTCGTAGATTCTCATGAGCAAGGTCATAAGCGACCGTCAAAGACAAGCTTACAGTCGACACATTTTGCCATGAGACTCTTGTTCAAGCCAAAACCACTTTTGGAATACCTGGGCTCAAGAGACTGCACTCTGATCAGAAGTACTCGTGGTTTCTTTTGTGAAGATGACCCAAAGCGCCGTATGGTTTTCACCATTTGGAGAAATTCAGTGAGAATTATTATTAATTACGGGGTTCAACTTTTGTAAAAGACCTTAAGACATTGCGGCTGTAAAAGCATTTACGTAGTCCAAGAACTTGGCAGTCCATGAGTAACAAAATGGATTTGGATCATGTGCAATGAACGCGACATACCAGAAACAAATAATATATAAAAACATAGCAACAATCATCATTCAAAGAAAAATTTTTATGTGAAAATCAAAACTATCTATGAAATAAAATAAGTCAGACTAATCAGGATTAACATATGGATCCCAAAACATGTGTCAAGAGAAACATATAGATTAACTCTACTTAGCTTAATTTTGGTCACTTAAGTTAGTGTGTCATGATATTAGACAGCTGAAAGGTGCTCTTAGCAACATAGTTTAGTACATTAATGAGTAAAGCTTGCTGTGTTCTTGTAAAAATATATTGAAATGATGAATCATGCAACCATTCTATTCATATTCTCGGTTTATGTTTACTTGTGTTGAATCTCAAATAGATGACAGAGCTTGTGTTCATTTATTAAAAGTTTGAATTTACAATTTTGAAAGAAAAATATTTAGCAATTGATATTTAATTTTTTATAACATAAGAATAATAATTTCAAATCATGTTTATAATTTTTTTAAAAACATTCTATGTGTATGTCATCAAAATTCAATGAACAAGAAATTTTGTAGATTGTACATGGTATGTTTTACATCCTACAATTACATCTATGTTTTACATATGTATTCTTACTTCATTCAATGATCAAGTCAAAGATTTGTGAAAAATGATGAGAAGAACATAAGTTTGAAATTCTTATGCCTATTTCTGATTAAGGACTTTTTTGTTGACATGGTAAATCGTTTCAAAATATTTTTTTGGATAAAATTTTCATGCATGTGTGACCACTTCTTCTTGGAAATTTGATTAAGATAACACGTTTATCTCGATTTGGCGATCTAGAACTTCATGAAAGGTTGATAGAATTCTGTGGCTTCCATCTTCTAGATTAGCTAGATCAATCATCCCTGATATTTTATCTCAAATTTCAAGACACTGGAATAAACTGACATATTACATATATCTCTCTCTTCAATGTATAGTAGCAAAATCAATGTATATATATACACTATATAATTATAGGTGAGTGAGCTTCCCTTTGCCTTGGCTTTGTTTTCTGTTCGGATAGTCCTTCAATTCAGTGCATGGGCCCTCTACTCCCTTCCAGCAATGTCTCTACATTTATAGCTCTTCGTCTTATTTGCTTAAGCACATTAATTACTACGTTTAACTTTCAAAAAGTTTCCCTAAATTATTAGGAGGTTTTCACAAATGATTCAGGATGTCGTAGTCAAATTATTGAACAACTGTTAAGGAAAAATGAAGTTCTCGAATGCTGATCTCTTCACATAATCATAGCCACTGTGTCCTTTGATGCCACCCGAAACTAACGTGGTTAAGTTTGGTACATTACTCAGAAAGGTAGAAGCACTTTCAGCTTCACGGACTTTACTTCTAGATTTCTAGCTAACTTATCTTCAGGTCTATTCAAACGAGGTACTTACAGTTGTAAATATCCTCGGTCAACTGTCAGCAAGCACACTTTGTCTCCATCACGACAATGCTCTCACAGCTTTACCGTAGTGTGCAGTTTTGGTTACACAGAAAAGCCTCTCTTCTGTACCATAAGCAAAAACCTTCCATGACCTTCGAGCAAATTGTTTTCATTTTATGGCCGGTGGATACAATATACCCTAGTTTGGCAAACGTTTGTATCGCCCGTCCTTCCGGTGGGCAAGGCACCTTGTGAGTCCACCGGTCTGAAGATCGTGGACGAGGAAGTGCTGTCCAGCATCCATGAATCCATCCATTTGCACCCTCAAGGTTTGCAACTCTTTTCGTGCTCCCCACTACTCATCTCTTGCAGAGAAGCACAGATTGTGAAGCACACGGTGGCACATTTCAGATTCATGGCCATCGCGTTGAAAGATTGTTTATTCACCGCTTCCTGGCGACACACTCTAGAAAGAGGCCACACTAAACCTCAGTTAGAAGGAGCCATAAGAGGTAAGTGTGTCCCAGAATACGGCTGCTTTGGTATGAGGCAACTACAGATATATGGTTAATTCAGAAGTTTTCAAAAATCACCACTTGCGACGGCAGAATTCATTGAAAGAAGAGGTAGAATTTACACCGTGAACAAAAGCTCATGCGAATTACAAGGTGTCAGTTTCACAGGTGCTATGTGAAAACACGTTATCTCGGGAATCGCTGTCACCGCGCTTAAGTCATGGACGCCAGACCACTGTTGAATTACAACTGTGGTAGATGATGAAACTCCCATAGACCATTTTGTGTACATCGCTGTTGCACATGACAAACTTCTCTTGTTCGTATGTAGAGAATCTACAAATATAAGCAAAGAGACAGCATACGGTTGGATGTAGTATTTGAGCTGCAGTAGTATTTTAGCTCGAAGCAACATCACGAATCTGCCAATCAAGCAGGTGAAACAGGTGACTATGAAACCGGTGCTATTTATGTAGTTACGCCACGCACTATGTATACTCAGCAAGATCAATACAAGTAACACATAAAAGAGCGGGGGGAGAACTGCGCCTGTAAATAATACTTTATTAGTTCATGCTCGGCTGTTTCACCTGGTTGACTGGAAGTTCCTTTCTACCAGATACTCAGCTTCAATTTGGTTTAGGACTGGAATTTAAATTACTTCACTTATAATATTGTTGATTAATCTCGGAGTCAGACCATACGAGTACTCATTGACTAGAGACTGTAATTTGGCTTGGCTGAGTTATAAGGTAGTGGTGATTTACTTCAAGGCTACTTTTGTGACCAATAACACACCAGCTACCAAGATTTGGGGTTTCGATTTTGTGTATCCAAGCTCAAAGCTGAAAATAGAAAAACTCTTGTTAAAATAGTAAAACAATCAGATCACACCTTGCCAATGATCATTCCTTCACGTACTGATCACAACTGTTGGATTACAGGGATGTGAAGATGGTTACAGCAGTCCAGCTGAGTTTGAGATGGAACTTGAACTTGGATCAAGGCAAGGAGTGTCACATTCAGAGTTTTGACCTGAAGAACATTGCCTAGAATTTATCTGAGTATTAACTTGAATTAGACTGTACGTATGGCAAGTGCAAGAGAAGGGTATGGCAAGTGCAAGAGAAGGTTATGGCAAGTGCAAGAGAAACCACAGGTTATCTAAAATTGATCCATATGCATCACTTTCACACGCTGATTTACATATCATCTATAAGTATATCAAACGCAGGCATACACAACAACCACCAAATCAGAGAAAACAGCGCTCAGCGAAGACTGCTCTCCTCACAATTTTACCTGGAATGCCACTCTGATCAAAGGGAATAACCATCCATCCACATGCATTTGGACGGAACAGTAGAACTCCAACAGCAATTCAATTGGACGAAAGGACATGTTCTGCAATGTACTTTCGATCTCAAGTCTTATGCTTCTCATACAGATGTGAGAAAAAAACTCTATTGCACTCGATAAATTAACACAATGCAAGGATCTTCTGCCAGAATAATTTTGAAGCATACTCCCGCATATATACATGTTAAGATGAATGGACTAGGCCATCCAAGACCTCTCCTGAAACCTCTTCCTCACCTTAAGTTTCACCAGCATTGCCCTCCATGTCTCACTGAAAAGTCATGAACGGACAAGGGTGGACATATTTGACATGGTGACTTACCCTCAACGATCTATATCAAACATTTTCCTCGTATCGAGATGAGACATCCTTCCAGTTCACCACTTTCCAGATGTTTTTCAAGTAGTCAGGGCGAACATTTTTGTACTGCACACAAACAGTTCCAGGAATATCGGTAAGAAAAAATCCGTTCGATAAGACTGGTTCCTGTGGTGAGTTCAACCCAAAAACCACAAACACAAGGCTTTGACATCGACCACCCATTAAGGAACCAAGTCGGATCCAGCTCTCAGAAAATGTCCTATTCGTATGCAGTGAAACTCAATGACGGTCAAGAATGTAAGCCACCAGAAGACACCCAAGGTTTTAAAATTTTGACTCAATTTTTTACCCAAATTTTCTTACCATGGCTTCCATCAGTCAAGCACTACCGGAAACGCTGAAAAGAGGAAGATACATAATCACACAACACTTCAAATCTCCATTCTTCTTAATGCCATGCGGATCCTGCTAGTCAGGGCTAAAACCGACCTGATGCTCTAACCCCTCTTATCTTGATGACATAAGAGAATCATTTCTTGAGTAACACACCGACCGACCATGCTCAAAGCAAACCATGTACAAATTGCAGACATCCAGTTGCCTACCTGTAGGTAGTAAGCATGTTCCCAAACATCGATCCCCAACAATGGAATCAGTCCTTTGGTAACCAAAGGATCCTGCGGAAACATACAAAAAATCGAAGTCAACAAGGGAGTCAGCGTCACCACTAAATCTCGCAAGAACGTCAATATCCCACAATATCCTGAACTGCAAAAAAGTGAAGACCTGAATATATTCTTGCCTGATTTGCTGTGGTCTCCACAACGAGCTTTTTTAGGTCTTTGTTTAAACCTAGCCACTGCAGACCAAACCATTAATCTAATTAGTATTTCGAATATCTTCAGGAGCATCTCCATATATATAGAGAGGTATACATACATACAGACATAAGCTTCCCCATTGCAACTGCCATTTGACACGGATCATAACTAGAAGCTCAGTTTCTTATGTCCAACATAAACCTTTAGACACAAATTTCACATTACAGCCAAAATGAACCCAGCTTATTTAGTTGATGCATACCACCCAGCCTGATCCTTGAACTCCTACACCTCCAGCAACCATCTTCGCTTTTAGAATTTCGAGAGAACCAAACTCAGCCTCAATAGCAGATGCCAACGACCCTTCAGGAGGAACACCTCCTCCTTCCTGTAAGGCCAAACACTGAACCCATAAGACTCATTGCAAAGTTTTCTTCGGAAATGATCGGGTGTAAAACTTCCAACGTGGCCAGCCTAGTCCCGATAATCATCAAAAGAATGCATATATACGCCTTTGGGAACCCGCTCAGATGCATTTGGCCTTTAGCCACATAGGGTTTACAGTTGTGCTGGTAACCAGTGTTCTCATATAATCGAGAGGTCAATTCAACGGTGGGAATTAGACTATTTTGCGTATCAACAATAAAGAAAATAGCTCAAAAATTAACTCGTGCATTATATGATGTACACGAACCTCGGACCGTGATTTTACTAACCTTTATGGGTGCTAGATTCTTCCAAAAGATGCTGTGGTTAACATGGCCTGGAAGAAACACCAAATGAAAACGAGAGAATATGAGGAATTATCTCATCAAAAATCTCATTCTTACTCTGCTAGATCGTAATATTTACTCGAACCTGTATCAGATTGGCCAGAAAAATTCACGAGCAGAGACGAAGTTTCCAGGAAGTGAACCAGAGTGCAAACGGGAGAAGCCTAGATCGGGCAGTGGATTCCAAGTAGCGAGCACACTAAAACTCCAAACGTCCGTTGAAGTTGCAAAACTGTTTCACTATAGGAAAGTGCCAGTTTAGAGCATCGGTGACAAGAAAACTACTTCCTCTATGCTTCCCTCAAGCCACAGCCACAAGGTGGTGGTGGTGTACTTAACATGGTAAGTTTCTGGAACTAGATCTAGTTACGAGTATATGAAGAATCTCTTCATGCATACCGTACCGTCTATTTCTAGAGGGTCTCAACAGGTTACACACAAATGTGTCAGTCGGTATCAATCCCTCTGACAGGTCCAAAGAAGTCCACCACATATTCGGCTCCATGCGAGTAGACAAAAAAAACTTTACCGCAAAGAAAGAGAGGGAAATTTGCAGTGAAGATCAACAGTACTAGATTTAGCCCTTATCAGTGGGGAGATTAGAACTCCAAGAAAATAGGGATAGAAACCAACCTCCACCGTTGAACTTGAGAGCAGCCTGGAGCTGGACAATAGTTTGTGGATCGCGACTAGAATGAGCTGCGTCAAGCTTTTCGAGCGCCTGATTGAAGCCGGTGATGTAAGCCTGATGATGCTTCGAGTGGTGCAATTGCATGATGTCTCCACTGATGGCAGGTTCTAACTCCCCATAACCATAAGGCAGATCTGGTAGAGTGTAACCGTGCTCCTTGTACGAGGTGCTAAACCCTCTCTGCAAACCCAACAAGTTCCTCGCTGTGCAGGCGACGGTCGAGGTGCCTCTTTTGATAGCCATCGACGCCTGCATTGCGGCCATAGCTTCTCGCTTCCTTTCGATCGCGTTGCTGCTCGACTCTCGCTCGCTCTCTAGTGAACCACTCGACCTTCGTCCCTAAGGTCTCCAAAACTCCCCTGCAGCTCTCGACTGATCCAGATCCGCGAGCTCAGAGACAATCTAGCTTCTTGGAGAGCGCGGCCAAGTGGCAGCTTCGTGCAACGTCTTCAATTGTATCGTGGCCAGCAGACTCCTCGGCGCTTCGGCTAGAGAGCGGCCCACTGGAGCTGCGGTTAGTTAGCGCGAACTTAGTTCGTCAGAGAGTTGGTCAAATCTTTTGTGTATTATTATACTCGGAGTTCTCCATTTCATGAAGTAGATAACAATCTGTGCTCAAAGTTCTGCTTCAGTTGAATCACAATTACACAAATACAAACACAGCCGCAAATATTCAAAAATTTACTAATTTATTACAACTCTTGGAATGAAGTTGGGTTATGGTGTGACTTTTTCATATTTAAGCTTGGAGAATGAAAGCTTTTTTTTCTGAGGTTTACATATATTTTAAATAAGTGATATTTGTGACAGATTTTGTAGAATGAATCTTCGTATTGTTTTTTGTATCAATTTCAAACTAAGAGATTCATATAGATCAATCTATATAAGATTCCTAAATTCTTTTTTGCAAATAATTTCAAATATGTTCATATGTATCGATACATTTACATGAGTTCAGAAAAATATCATGAGTATATTTCAATCAATAATATATAATATCAAATAGAAAGTTACCTTTATTTCAAATGAGTATCAAAATTATGTTTTGATCTACTCAACAAATTTATTATCATAACCTGATAGTGGTCAGATGATGGCCAAGAATATGAGAAACGACGCAATAACTGAAACATAGGCGTCGACACTCCAAACCAACCAACCCTTGGTATAAAGCCAGGCCAGGGTTAGAGCCCACAACCCTGAGGTTCTACACTGATATATGGTACTCCTCGTATACCGCGGATGGTCTCCTTTTCCATTTCTTCCCTACTTGTTCATCTAAACATGGATAAAAGTACAAAGGGTGGGAGCTCGGAAAAAATGCTTTTCCCGCCCAGCACCATACAAGCATAAGATGGACAAACGGTGTATATATAGATCACGATGTACTCCGAATAAGCATGTGTTCAATCCTTCATCTCTCGCAATTGATCATATAACTTTGTACTAACATGATACATGCGGTGCCACCTGAACCCACCACTGCTCGCTCTAGAAGAAAATTAAAATCACAATTTTCTCTCTAGTACTAGAGTGGCTGCATGCGTTGAAAACGAAAATCCTGGCATCTTTCAATTTTACTTTCCCACTGGGTTATTTCTCTATACTTCATTCTAAGGGGATAAATGTCAGTTCGTCACAATAGAAGTGAATTGTTGCTAGTGGTAATGACTACATGGGTTTTGATTCTATTGAATTGTCCAATAAGACAAAGAAAAATGTTGAATGTAAGTCTACAAAACACAAATAGTTTATTGAAACCCATCATTTATCATTTTACCCTATGGTACTCTACATAGAATCTATCCCCACGTCATCCATGTTTTAATATGGTTTTACAATGATTTCTAACATAAACAGTGGTGCTCAGATCGTCGCCCTCGCCACTAAGGTCTCCTCACTTTGGCGGGAGCACCAGCTTTGCCAGGGGGCCCTTCAGCCACCCTTCCCCCGCTCGATCCCGAAGCCGCACCCTCCCTGGCTTGCAACCCGACCTCCCGCTCCCCATGCCTTCCCACTCCAACTCACCCTCGCTACCTCCTTCGCTATCGTATTTAATCAACTCCCAATGTCTTTCAATATGGTTAGTTGTATCCATACTTTCATAAGCAAATAACCTTCCAAATCGAGGCCACATCCTTCTCCAAGTACAAGTAATTCCGTCCCATCCGAAAATCATGTACTTGGCAAAGGTCGGATGTGTTGAAACTCAACACAAATTTTCTTAAAGTCTCATCAAAATTGTCTTCACTAGGGCAAAGCATTAGAACATGTAATGCCATCCACATCCGATCCTTGTTCTCATTATGTACTTTGGTTAACAAGTTCCCATTCCATGCCTTCATAACATGGGAGTGACACGAGAGAAGTTATCCACCAACTTGTGTTTTGGTACTCTCTTCATAAGTCCAATAATGAATCATTGCTCACAACCCTTTGAATAGCATTCAAAGATGACTTGTGCTTGTCAATGATGATTGCAGAGGGTCTAACCTCTACCTCTATAGAGACCCTCATGTCTCTCTTTAACGTCATTGCTACAAAGCATGTGAAAAATCGGAATTCCAATTCCATCTTGGTTTGATACAATTGCCGCATAAAGAGTCAAACTTTATTGGTTTGTTTTGAATGTAGTATCAAAGGCCCAAGAATTATTACCAAGAATTATTACAGAGTACGACAATCCAATATCACCCTAAAGGATATCGGAGGCGGGTATAGATAAGGGAACGGGATGGGATGGAAGGAAACAGGCGGGAGCCACGAAGGAGGCCGCCAAGACGTGCTGGAGCGGGGAAGATATCAGGATCGAGCTGCGGGCCAAGGAGTATGACGCAAAACTTTGTGGATAAAGATGTATACTTTCCATAATGGAAAGTATACATCTGGTCTATACATCACGCTATTCCATTGCTCAGATCTTAAATGTTCTTATGATGGACCTATAGAGCTGGCAGATGCAGAAAAAAGTACTCTTGAAGCATATTAGGGATCACTTGTGATTAAGCACCCCAATAACATCACAACCAGATCTTGACAGTCAGAGTTGCGAGCACTTTCGGTATCGGAGACTTGTTTTGTGTTAGCAACTTTTTCCAGCTAACATATGGTTTTAGGCCCTCTAGCAGACAGTCTTAGATTTCAACAACATAGAGATTCTGTTTCTTCAACTCCTTGAATTCGAGTTTCACGTTCTACGTGTTATATATAGCTGCTATAACTTCCAAGCTAGGTTGGGGTGAATGGACATAAACATGAGTAGATCTTTCAAGGACTATGGGCAACAGACAAACTCGGATAAGCGGTTCAAGACCTCCTGATGGATCTTAGACAAAACTGAAATGGCCTATACAAAAAAGAACCTCATCATAATAGACCCTACTAATGTACATCTGTTGATAATGCACATAATAATAACATGTAAATGTTATTATAGCAACCGGATACACTCGTATGATCAGTATTAATATCACTCAACCACAATAAGTTTTCAAAGATATCATAAGTAATATAGATATCTCTTTCTGTTAAATGTTGATCATTTAACATTGATCGACATTTTTGAACCATTTTAATCTCGTTGAAGAACTCTCAAATCATTTAGGCTTTTTTGTAGCTATCCAATTCCTTCTTCCAAATCTTGAAGCAATCAGAGTACTCGTTCAAGCCTTGTGGAGAAGTGCCTTTAATTCTTGCGAGTCTACAACATGTCTAGTGTGGGCCATAACAACTTTGTTGTAATCTAGCAACTTTGACTTTCCTTTAATATACTTATCTTCAACCCTTTTAGGTACTTTCATGTTTGAAAATAATTTATTTCTCTATCAGAGTCAACTCCTTGCAAATTTCAAGCAATAAATTGCTGGTCTTTTCGGCATCCTATCGAACAATTCACTCCTTATACTCATCAGTTTCTCCAACTTTAGGCAAAAAACATTGTTGATATGTGGTGCTTTAATACAACTCATATCCAGCTTCTATTCTTCACTTTTTTTCTATTCATTTCAGCGTCTCGTCTTTTTATTGTTTCAAGCGACTCGATTGTTATTGGAGACCTCACTGCCTTGATTTTTGAGCTCTTTAGAGTAGATATGAATGTTACCACACTCATCATCCCTCCACACAAAGACACGTCAAAAAATCAAACATGATTTTGTTTACACTCTCACCGAACATGATGAGCACCTTCACGTTGGAGCTTGAGTGATATTGTTGTGCCTGTGATTGGCATAATGTCATGTTTCTATTGGGGTTATATTGTTCTTGCTTTATATTAGAGTTTTTGTTAAAGATGATGTTTTCTCTTTTTTATTGGTGAATCGATGTTTACATCGTTTCCTGCCTTGATGATGTCCTACATAGCCCATATTGCACTTTGTTACATGTATTCATTACCTTCTATGGTAGAGCTCCGATCAAGTAATGGCCCGCTGTTAATACTAGCTCGGTTCTTGACATGTCTCTTCTTGGTAACTTGAGATTTATTCTACATCGATCAACTGATGGTAGCTCTTCTAGGCTAATGTACTTAAATAGATATGATGAATATTGTCTTTTGACAGTAGTGAATGGTTTCATTCGGTTCGTATCTTCAACAGTATTGATTGAAGCATGATATGGGCATGGTATACTCTACATGATCTGTAACAATGTCCTAGAAGACTAATATGCTCACAAAGCTTATCTTAGTGAATTATGAATTTGGTGTATGTCAATTCTATTTGTTTGTGTTTTTTAATACACTCTTATGCTTTTGTGTTCTGTTCAAATGTTGATAATTGGTGACAGTTTCACACGAAGCTTGTGTCAATGTGTCTTGATTTCAATAAAGATAGTGAAGCATGTAGAAAGAAGTGGAGTACAATCTATAGCGAAATCAAAGAAGACAAAGCGATGAATATGAAGTCGGGATCGCAGCGATCGGAGAAATGACGGAGGTATCTCTTGATGGACAATTTTATGTTTGACAGGGCGAACGTTGTTTTACATGCCCATGCCGATGATATGGACGGAGAAGGAATGAAGTGCAGCGTCACTTTGGAGACAAATACAACGGAGCAAAAAAGTGGGAAGAGTTCATCAAAATCATTGAAGTCTAATTGAAGAGAGTATTTGTTTTCGGAAAGATGTCTTGGAGAGTTGAAAGAAAATAGTAAGATTATGCTGGATAGTTTGAAGACCAATGATGATATAAAAATGGCTTTATAAATGAGTGTGCAAAAAATCATGGAGAAATTTGTAAACTTTAGGTGCAGATGAATTTAGGTAAACAAGATTTACTATAGGATGTCAGAAAAGTGCACTTTAGATTATTCTCTTTGTCTTCACGTCATGAAGTGACACACCTATTCTTCAATGTGATCTTCATACTAGTGAATTGTCAATGTTTTTTGTGGTTTTTTTAGACCTTTTGAGTTCTTTTTGTTGTTTTTTCAAGAACTAAAGTTTGATGTTTCTTCCACAAGAGCTTGCTGTCATGTAGCATAATGTCTGTATTCATTTGTATAGAGTTGATCGCCTTAGATGCATCATCAATTTGAAGCATGTAGAAGGTAAAATAGTGAGATTAAAGTGTGTCGAATGTGCATGAAATCTCAAGTGAAAATAGAATTTGCTTATTAGAAAGCATATACTTGTATTAGTAAATGTGGATTTTATTATTTGTAGATATTGCATAAATCCTCATAATAGATGTCTAAGGCCACAAGTCTAAGTAGTTCACTAAAAACCTTACTACTTACTAGCTTCTGAAAATGCACCAAACATCAAATATTAGGGTAGGCTACTCAACGTCCATGGAAAATGTTCTCGCCACACACTCTCATGTTTTTGCCATCCACAAACTCTTGGCAATGCCGTTCCGTCTTGTAGACAACTCTTTTGCAGTTTTATCTCCAGTTGTCATTGAAATTTAAAATTCTCTTGCGATCTCCTATTTGAAGTTCTTCAATGTTTCTCTGAAGTTGTCTTCAATTCCAGCAAGGTTATGTAAAGCATGGTTAACCACCGCAAGCTTCTCTTGTTTCACAGAACCCGAAGGTGTCATAAGTGACAATCCACTATGCACTTTGATGTCTCTTGCAACCACTCTATTTTTCAAAAGTTGTGTCCTAGGATGATGCATATGTTATGTAACACAAGGCAAGTACTCACCAACTCAAGCATGTTCTCAAGTTTCACGTCAACATTTTTTAACAATATTCGTCACCTACCCTTAAGCATTCCAAATGCTCGCTCAATGCACATACGAGTGGAACTCTGAACAAAGTTCCAATTGTATTTCTCTCGAGTAAGCCCGTCTTTGTGACCTCTTAAGGGAGCTAACATCCAAGGGCGGCATGGGTAGGCCGCATCCCCAACCTAAGCATAAGGCACAAGCTTTCCAGCCTCGCAAAATTGGTCAATTGCAATTCTTCCCCATAGATTAACGTCATGCATGGATCCTGCCCATCCTATGTCAAAATCCTAGATTATGCACTTGCTAGATACAACAGCTTGCAATAGTATAGAGTGAAATCCCTTACGATTGTAATAATCAGCCGCATGTAGACTATATGCCACAATTGATATGTGAGAACCATCCACCGCACCAACCACATACAGTATTCCATGAATATCTTCAAACTCTTTAGAAAATTTATCCATAGTGGTGATAGAAGGCCACCAAATGAATCTCTTGAGAAGTAGCAATTTCACAACATGAGTGAACTGATTTACCGTCTGTTGACTTCTTGACAAATCAATCCTATATAAATCCGCAATGCTCTGCATAAAGTTACCTGTGGCCAATCTTGAGATGAAGACCGCCACATTCAATTGAACCGGTATAGCCAAACGCATGTTGGAATCTTGTCTCTGCAATGAAGGCGCAAGAGTGGAATACAAGAACTCAAAGGTGGAAACATCCATCAGCATGCGACTTTTAAACGCTCTCGCATTGAATGATTCGAGTAAGTTTCGATCAAAAAACCTGGGTTCCCCCAGCGCTCTATCATGAGCCCATAAACGTCGAGATCCAGTGACTCTCGCTAGCTTGAATCTTTGCACCATAATCGATATGCAATAGATTTGTTGCCAATTCTACATCAAAATGATACTTTGATCTCTATCAATACATTCCATCGTGCAAAATAGTGTAAATTGCAATAAAAGAAGAAAAATGAGACTTTGGACGTCATTGTACATTCTAGAAATGTATGGAAAGAAAGTGAAGATTGAATGCAAGATAGATGTAGATTTAGGATGCAAGAGTCTACTGTAGAAGTGAAAGAAAACGAGCACTGAAGTTTATGGATTGGGAGTGAGAGGAAAGAAAGGAAAAAATTTGAAGTGATAGTATTCTTTTCTTCTTGATAGTTGTCCTTTGGACTTCTCTTTTCATTCCTCCTGTGGTAACCGTTAATGTATAATGTGCAAGTGGATGAGGGAGGTCTACAAAGATTCCTTCATTCACTAGCTAGGAGCTAATTGCCGGCTGCCGGTCGTGTAGTATGGCTCTCAATCTTTACCTAACAAGCACACTCTCGCTACTTATGTATGTATGTGTGAGTTGTGAGTAGAGCATGTCAGCGATGTATGATATATGGCGATACCGAGTCGCATGACAGCTGTCATGTGTATACACGTTAAATTTGAGTTTGAGTCGGCTGACGTTGGGACGCAGCTGACAGTCAAGGAGCGTCGAGGTGTTTTGACTCTCGATGGAGAGTATAGTCGAAGCAAGCTCAAGAATTGTCAGTTCTTCGAGTTGAGACTTTTGCGTAAGAGATTTTTGCATTAGCTTTGATTCTAGGTCTCCGAGAGTGGAGTGAGTTTGGCTCAATTCTGTATTTTGTGTTTCGGACTTTTTAGTTGTGATACCTTTGTGTGTGGACACTCTCGTTCCTTATGTATGTATGTGTGAGTTGTGAGTAGGGCATGTCACCAATGTATGATGTATGGCGATATCGAGTCACACGACAATTTACATATTTAATCATTCTTTGATTATACATGGATTGTCAATATATAGACTATATATATTTGTATAAATGAAAAGTATCTCACTCTTGAGAAACGTTCTTTTTAAAATTAATTAAGTATTACCAAAAAGCATTATTATTAGACTTTTTTTTTATTACGATTATATGTCACTCATTGTGTTTTAGTTTAATATGCTATACTTATTTACATTTTAAAATCAAGTTAATATTTATATCGAGATATACTTTAAAAAAATGAGACAACAAATATGTGGTCTTTTAAAAAATTTCTATTTGATAAAAGAACAAAATCATAGATTGAGATTTCAAATTGTATTTTGAAATGATTATGCAAAAAAATTTCATAGTCTAGCTTATTAATTTAGTTGTACGAAATTATAATTTGATTAATATTTTTTTTAAAAAATACGTTAATTATAATTTTGTAGTGATCGATGTAAAGAATTTATTTACTCAGTAACTTTTTCATCTTATTCAACGCGATCTGCTATTGCCATCACATCAAGAATGATTGATATGAAAATTTTACAAGCAATCAAACCAAAATTTGACATAATAAGTTCATGATTCCCGTAATAAGGAAAAAAATTTGATTGAGTATGTTCAATGTAAAGCATGTGTGAAACATAGCAATGATGTAGTTTTGAAGCTTCCAAACATGTATTAATATTGGATTTTTCTAACAAGGATTTGTTGAATATAATAAACGTTTATTTTGTGAGTGAAACTACACATATTTTGTGAATTCAAAATTTTTCAAAATTGGATATTTTGAATTCTACAATTCTATTGAAAGTAATAAAATGAATTTTCAAGACATTTTTTTTAAGTTACTGAAATACTCATGTGAAGGACATAAGGACGAGTGAACTTTATGAGAGTTGTAGGATGGGTTTTTTTTGGTTAGTTGAATCAAATGCCGTTTCTATACGGAGGGCAAGGTCACGGAAGGTGGGAAACATTACAATTAGTAACATACTACAGGTTGTAGTTGGACGAAGGAAACTACTTGTATACATAAGAACTGCACTTTCATCTTTAAGGATGTCGGGTCATATTAGAAATATAAGTATGTGAGGGTATCATGTTACTGACCTCAAACCGATTTTTCTTTCATACTCCGATACAGTTAACACTATATCAAGGAGAACTAAGTAAGGATTGGACGTTAATGATGCATCATCTAGAGCTAAGATACATGAGATCTAAGTCATATATTTTTTAGACTTTTATGAAGAGCCACTACAGATTATATATGATGCTGCTCTACATGGAGAAACATCACATCACATCTTACCGGAAGGTTCACATCACAAGCAACTTCGAAGTGAAACCCAAGAAAATATCCCTCTCCACTCCGTACAGCAAAGCTGCGTCTTCACACGTCTAACAAAATCTAGATGCAAGCAAGACATGGAAAAGACTCTGAAATTGGAAGCCTTGCGTGCACAGGTTTGCTCGTATCTGATGGACACTCCATGACGTTATGTATCATCGTTACGCCAACAGGCTCATCAGCAGCATGTGAACGGATAAACGAGCAGCCGACGGAGAGACATCACGGGGACCGACCGGCGGAAATCTTTTGGATCCACGGAAGAAAACGGAAAGCAGCAGGAAGGGTGAGGAGGAAGGCCGCACAGAGCAACGTAAACCGTCGATGGCCGCATCGGACGAGGGCAGAAAAGCGACGAACCTCGATGGTTCCGTCACCAGGTCGGTGAGTAAGAAGGTAAGTCAGTCAGTGAGGTCGCGACGGAGAGGCTCCGCCGGAGAACGAGAAGGTTAGCAGTTTCCGGGAGGAGCGTGTGCGTGCGTGCGTGGCAACGAGAGCGAAGGAAAGGGTCACGAAAACGATAACGAAAGCTAACGCGTCGCAGGGAGGCGGAGAATCGCGAATTTTGCAATAGTAAACTGCGTCTGTCGTGTGCATGTGCATGCGCGATGCGATGACGAAGAGAAGAGCGGAGAGTGAAATGCAGAAAGAGAAAGAGAAAGAGAGGAACGTTGAGAGGCATGAGGAGGAGGAGGACGCGCCGGCGGGCGGCTCGGCAGAATGAATCGCTAAAATGCATTGTTGGCGTTGGCGGAGGCGCGAGCGGAAGGAAGGAAGGAGGAAGGACGGACAAGGAGGAGGACGAGGACGAGGACGAGGGGGGCGACGGGGTCGGTCGCTGTCTGTCGTGCGTGCTCATATGAATGACACGGAAGTGTCTGTCGCAACACGAGAGACGAGGGGCAGTGGAGATGATGCTATGACGGCAGGAGGCAGGGCGAGGCGATCAGGAAGGAGGAGGGCATTATGGGGATGAGAGGGCGAGAGCGATGCCGATGTCTGTAGCGTAGGGGAGCAAAAGAGAAGAGGAATGAGCAGCTGGCTCTGGCCCGGGGCAAGAGAAAAGGAACGAAGCAAGCATTGATCGATTTGCGTGCTTTTGGCGGAGGCAGGGAGGGAGGGAGGGCGCGAGGGGAGGATGATGGTTGTAGCATGAGGAGGAGGAGGAGGAGCCCCGGATAGCTGAGAAAATTTTGCTGTCGCTGCTGTCGGTGTTGGTGCTGGTGCGCTGCTGCTAGGTCGGGTCGGGAAGTTGGGCGAAAGAAAGGGACTAGGGTTTGCTGCTTGCGGACGGGGTGCAAGAAAGAAGAAGATTTGAGATAGCGAGGGGATTGTCAGTCTGCAACGAGGGCTTCTTGTGTTGCGATCTTGACGGTTGGGGGATTGTGGATGATGATGATGAGGAGGAGGAGGATGAGCATGAGCATGAGCGCCGGGGCGGTGGAATAAGGATTGAGTGGATCCAGAGTTGGTGGTGAGAAAGTGTCGTTCTGACGCGCCAGGGTTTGCCCGTGTTCCGGCCGGATTCGCCTCGGTGGTGAGGCTGGTGGGGGTCACTCCGGTGGGTTTTGGCAGCAGCCTTCACCGAATCTCCCTGACATACCAACAAAATTGCTGCTCGTGCCATTCCTCCCTCGCAGCTAGCTTCCTTGCTCCCCTGAGCCCCGCCGGCAGGCCTGGGTGGACTCCGGTGCTCTCATCATTCTCTCGCCGCGAGCCTTACGGGATAAACAGTCAAGTTTTAAAAAGAATTCATATCTCCTGCGCATCTGTATGCGCCCAAGGATCCAGAATTGGCCAATTGAGGTTGCGAGCAACCATCTTCACCCTGCCCACCTGTCGCTGAAATTTTCTCTTTCTTGTCTGAAGAAGGACGAGGGTGAAAGATTTATGGGCTAGCCATTGGCTTGGTGCCCTTTCATGGGAGGAGACGATTGCGACGGGCCTCCACCCTTAAAGCGAATGAAATTGTCTATTAGTGCCACAAAATCTATACCCGTTGAAGCATCTCCCGTCTATCCGACGGGGTTGGCCCCAATGGCCAGAGACTTGCCATCTTCAGACGGAGAAACCTTAGGATGTAAGGGGCAGATTAGAAAGTTAGAGTTTGTTAGAATCATAACACAGGCTCTCTTTTCTCTTGGCTTTCAAAAGACTGCCAATGTCTTAGAAGAGGAGTCTGGAGTATCTCTGCAGTCTCCAGTTATCACACAATTTCGTAATGAAATCATGGGTGGCAAGTTTGATGAAAGTGTCAGCACTTTGCGCAAGGTGGCCCCACTGGAGCCAGAAACCCTGAAGTCAGCTTCTTTTCTTATTTTACAGCAAAAATTTTTGGAGTTGCTCGATTCTGGAGACACACTTGCAGCTCTCAAGACTCTTAGAACAGAGTTATCACCTTTGCAAATCAATACTCAAAGAGTCCATGAACTTGCAACCTGGGTGATATGCCCGTCTAAAGAGGAGCTTAAGGAGAAGGCTGAGTGGGAAGGTGCCGGCTTGGATTCTAGGGCGCGCCTTCTGGAGGAGCTCCAAGAGTTGCTTCCACCATCAGTCATGATTCCGGAGAAGAGATTGGAACATCTAGTGGACCAGGCTCTGACTGTACAGAGGGAGGCGTGCATCTTCCACAACTCTCTTGACAATGCACTTTGTCTATACTCAGATCATCGGTGCGGTCGTGATAAGATCCCGACTAAGACCTTGCAGGTAAAAGTTGCCTGGAGTTTCTACATTACTTCTGCGCTTGTTGCACTTTTCTGGGAACTGGTCGAATATGTTGTCCTACCACAAATTATGAGCTCAATTTCGAGGGTGGTGTGGTTGCTTCTCTTAAACGGGATACTCAAGGAACATGCTTTTATATTGCCCGGGTTGACAGTCAATGTCTCGTTCTTAGGATAACTGAGCGTCGTGGTCACCTTGCAAGGAGAAGTTTTGATTCATCTGCACAACATTTAGCTGTACATGAGTAGGGATTCTGAAATTCTTGAGTCGTCATCTCCATTTTTATCTGCATTGTCAGGGTAGGTGCCTGTAGGCAGTTAGACGTCAACTTTGACACTGGTCGTAGTTGTTAGAATTATCTGTCATACGTAAATGACGGGAAGACACTATCTTTTTGTTGTGATGGTATCCTCGGCGTTGTCTGGTTTGCAAAGTTTGTTTATTTGACTATCTATCAGAAAACCCATATGCGGCGTGTTCCCTTGCTGAGTTATAAAATCTGCACGGCAAGTTTTGTTTTCCAGTTTCAGAATAAGTTACTGTATCCAAACACACCATCGTTTACTGTTGTGACAAGAAGACATATTGTAATATTAAAGCCCTAGTAGACCATAGAAAGTCCTGTCGAGAGACCTCTCAAGACTGAAATTCTCCTTTTTGGGCCTGTTAGCTACGTCTCACCTACGGGTTTTCAAAATCAAAGAAGGAAACCTGGAAGTGTGTGAGTAGCACTGTTGGTACAAAATGACTATCATGGCAGGGTACAGGTTTACTGGGCACTATACTGTTGGGAAACTTGGAATCCAGGGCAAATGTGCTTGAGTCACCTTATGATGAACGTCACTTACGCTTCACTCGGATGGAAGTGATGTGAAGGGTATTATCTTGACGAGTTGATTTGTGCGTAATGTCTCCTGTATCGTTTGTAAGGTATAACTTGGACCCTTGCCAATGCCACAAGTTGTGGAATTTGGTAGTCGGATCTTCATGATGGGTGTTGGCTTAATTCTACTAGCAGCGTAAAGCCTCAAGGTCGAATGGTTGGAATCGACATCGAGTAGGGCGTCCAATCTAGGAAATGTCTTTTCTTGCGTAAAAATGTTTCAGCTGTGTATTCTTCTCACACGTTGATCATCAATCATTAATCTAATTGCCAATCTCCAGATTCAGTACCATTTGTTCCTTCTAGGTTGTACTTTACGGTGTGTGTAGTCGTTGTGTTTCTAGGAGGATCATCGCCAGGTTACGTTCCAGGATACTTTCTCTTGATCAGAAGAGTTTAGATTTTGTTTATGTAGTACTTTCCAGCAGTGGGTTTGTTCGCAAAGTGCATAACAGTACAAACTCCGGGGCTTTTTTTTCTAAATACAAGCTCTTGTTTCGTGGTTTTGGATTTTGTTACTGCAGGTTCTTTCAGCGCACGAGGATGAGGTCTGGTTCCTGCAGTTTTCGCACGACGGGAAATATTTGGCATCAGCTTCTAAAGACCTCTCAGCCATAATTTGGGAGGTATACATCCCTTGATCTTATGTCGAAGTATATTATCCCTTACTCAGCTCTCATTCATGTCATTGTCTGTGCATATCTTCAAATTTGATCGGAGCTTGTAACGCTTATACTGAGTTCTTTCACTCAGTCTTGCTTAGAGTTTGTGAATTCGTTAAAGTTTGTGGAGAATCGGAACTTCACGATCGCACACGTTTACTATTGATAGAGTAAGAGCCTCCTCACATTTGAGAATTTGCAGGTTGTACGAGATGACTACGTGCGTGTCAAGTACACTCTGAAGGGTCACACGAAGGCTGTATCTTTTGTGGCATGGAGCCCAGATGATACCATGTTGCTCACTTGTGGCAATGAAGAAGTGGTGAAACTCTGGGATGTACAAAGTGGCGAGTGTAAGCACACCTTCAATAAACAGAACAGTAACTTCAGCTCATGCGCTTGGTTTCCAGACGGCAAGAGGTTCGTCTCAGGCGGTACTGATAAGTGCATATATATATGGGACCTGGAAGGCAAAGAGATTGATGTGTGGAAAGGAGCTCGTATGCCTCGTATCAACGACATTGCCATTACTCGCGACGGTACTCACCTGGTTAGTATCTGTGGCGACAAGGATATTAGGATCTACAACATGGAGCTGAAGGTAGAAAGGGTCATTGAAGAAGAGAAACCTATTACTTCGTTGTCAGTTTCCAAAGACGGTAGATACTTACTGGTGAATTTGGTTAGTCAAGAGATTCACTTGTGGGATATTTTTGAGGATGACAAAACAAGTAAACCTTTCAAGTACAAAGGACATCGACAAGAGAGATACGTCATTCGTTCATGTTTTGGCGGGTCTGATCAAGCTTTCATTCTCAGTGGTAGTGAAGACTCCCAGGTATGTTCACTTTTGCCTTCAAATAGAAACGTTGCCGTTTCTGTCATGGCTTTTCCGGATACTAAGTTGTTATTACTAATGATGATAACATCACAATTCTTAGTTTTGTATGCAAAGAATTCAACGTCTCTGTCAACGGTGAGTGTGTGTGTGTGACTGACTTGGAATTAGTGGTTCCTTTCGTCTGGTATACTATTCACTTCGTTGTGGGCCACTTTCTCGTCGATACGCCTTCCCGCGTCTACATCATTCCACGCTTTTGCTTTTGCTGTTTTCTCGAAAAAAGGCCGTCTTAAATTACAGCCGGATTTCGAATTTCTTGTACAGATGAGCTTTTCCGCGAGTCTAAGAAACCTCCGTCTTATGTTGTGACAACCTAGAATTTGGGTGGAGCAGAAGTTGAAGTGGTACAGGTCACATAGCTACTCTTGACGAGCAGGCTACGCTGAGTTGAACAACAGTTCCTAAAACTGAACTTGAGATGTCTAATGGACACACCCAGTTGGCTACTGAAGTTTCCCTCGTCGCGGACAAAGCTCAGGCTTTGTGTTCTTGTATTATTTGCCTTGTACAGCTGTCTTGCTGTCTGTTTCTCTCCTGGTTGGAACTGGTCCTATAAGAGTCTTTCTCTGACCGTAAAAGTCTTAATTCCTTATTTATGGATGAGGTGTTGTGAAAGAAGGATGTTTGAATTACAGTTGTGGATATGTGCAGGTGTATCTATGGCATAGGGGTAATGGCGAACTGCTAGAAGTATTGCCCGGTCACGCAGGAACAGTGAATTGTGTTAGCTGGAACCCTGTTAATCCGCACATGTTCGCCTCAGCTAGCGATGACCACACAATTCGAATTTGGGGTTTGAGCAAGAGTCCCCCTAGAAGTAAGGGCAGCTGTTCGAGTAATGGTGGCGTTGACCACCTTGTAAATGGAGGGACACGCGAGCTTATGGAAAAGCTGAGACCTTTTTAAGTACCCAAAGCTTTCATCTTCTTGCCACTGGGTCCAATCAGCTGTGTCCCATCATTCTTTGCTGCCTGTGTAAATAATCCTTATCATTGATTTTAGAGGGGCATAACTTGTTGTTGTGCAGGTGCTGTATATGCCATAGGTTTTGTGTAGTTTCCAGATTTTATTCCATGTTCGACCTAGGTAGAGTAGCTGTCGCCATCATCTCTGACGAGGTAGTCACTGAGCACCTTCTCTCGAAATCACGTCTTACCATTGACAAGAACACCCAGAGATTTGCTGAGACGCTGCACGGTGATCCTTTTGTCTATGTTGGAGGATGCTGTGGACAATCTTCTGTGAGTATCTTCAATATGCGTCTCAGCTATCCTTATCCAGGTGTAAGGGGCATTAATCAATGCCAGTGGTCCGTTATCCCCGTTTGTGTACCAGGCCGTAGTAAGTGGCAGGTGAGGATATCTTTCATCGGTGTTTTGATATTCCTTCTCAGGACTTCATTGTGCAACTGATAAGCGGATGATCGAGATCTTGCATATAAGAGGTCGTCGCTGTGCATTTCCAGCACACTCGTCGTTTCACGGACCTCTCAATCGAAGGTCAAAAGATTAAAGCATGTTTGCTTGTGTTCATGTTACCGAGGCTGGCAAGTTGGCCGTGCCAGGTTGGGTCAACAGTTGTCCATAGCTGGCCATTTTCATTGTGTACATTTTTTTCCTCTTGGTGCATTTGGGGTTTTCTCAACTTCAGAGTCCAGGCTGTTGGTCACTTTTATATCGAGTGTATAAATATGTGATAAAGATCACGAATGAGACCCTCAATTGAGGGATTCATCCATGATCGGATGCCTGGAATTTTCCGTGTCATTCCTTTTTGTTGACCGAGGGACTCGGGTTCCGCCGGAAGGTAAAACCGCACTGAAGGAAGTTGAGTCGTGCCAAGTTGCTTGCTGTATTCAGCTTACGTCGATAGTTTCTCATTTATACTGTTCATCAGACCAGACTACGACTGCTTTCGTACACACCTGAAGTTCGAAAGTTGTGATAATTCGTGGCCATTGCATTGTTTATCAATTATGAGAAAACGGAGTATTTATAGTTCCCTTGTGTGCTGAAGCCGAAGTACATCATGGAATTATTGACCCAAGTCACCGCATCGAATTCACGTATAACGAATTGTGGTCATTGACCAGCTTTACAATCAATAGTAACATATGTCTCCTGTTTCAAATTGTTTGATTAGTATGTCCGAGTTGTGTCACACATATTAGATACCTATACTAGATCAATACATAACTGTTGGGGTTAGACTTCACGTTTGTTGATCAGTAGTACACTGTCGCTGTCGACTACGCGTAGCTCAAGCATAATGATCAGCATATAGACAATTCGTGCCAGCAACGAACATCAGCGGAGTCGCATTGCTCCGTCGTCCGCCCAGAGATTGTATCTTAACACGACCATGGCCCTAGCACACAAGTTTGGAAGATCACTGGAACTGTGTTTGATGGTACAATTGCCGAGGAGTACGTCAACAGAGATTTCTCCGTGCGCTATTGTTCCTAGTCAACTTATCTTTCATCTTACAATCTGGCATATCGGATGTCTTGAACCAAGATGGCCCATTCATCCGAAAGAGAATCTGGCAATCTCGACTCTTAACCTGGTCGCAAAATTCCGGTGGGAGATAGACCCTCGTCAACGGGTGAGAGCTACAGGGACGGAACGAGAGAGAATGTCAGATTAAAAGAGTCATGTAGTTTAAGTTTCATAACAGGAAAAATAGAAGACATGGTGGATGAAAATGAGAAACGAGACATGTATGTTCACTTCTAAAACAAAGTTCGAAAATCTGAACGTTTATACCTACACAAATACGCAAGAATCTAGTTTTTAACTGATGATGGATGTATATTCTAAACGATAATCTAAAATGTTTTACCCGTACGTCGAATGAAAGCGAACATTAAGTAGCTACGAATACACTACATTTGTGATTATTTCATTTGTGTATTTGGATGTAAATATGATTCAGGTATTTGGTTTAGGGTTCTCTGTACAACCTTAATCTTACATTATAGTATAATAACATGTAGCTTACAAGGCTTGTTCTAGAAGTTATCAAAGTAAAAAATTATGTTGAGAAGTATAACACATTTCTTTTGGTATGTATGACCTTTCCTTGATTTTGCCGTTTTAATAACATTCCCTCATTAATGTTTATCTGAATAGTAGGATAATTTTGACATGACCACTTGTTGAAAGTTGCAATCAAAACGTCAAGCAGTTTCCCGAGTCCGGCAGGGAGGTGCCTTTCCATAATATGTGCTAACTGAAATTATAGTCAATAGACGTCAACAAACTCTGATTAAAGTTTGCTGAGATAAAAATTGGGTATTATGACTAGCAGGTTGAAATGAGTAAACATAGAGGATGCATTTCGATTTCATTCCTCGCGAAAATAGAATTACAGAACCTCACTCTTGTTCTCATTACACATTTAGGAAGAAAATCATTATCAGCCTTGACCTGTCTCAGGTGCAAACAAGAGTTCAGCTCTACATCTTCGAAAGATTTACATCGGTTTAGGTAGTTTCCTGAGTTTACAGAAATAACGGCTTGGTCTGCTGAAGCCTCCCGGCAGCTTTGGAGTTTTACTTTGTGCTAATTATGAATCTCTAGTGCCCTGGTCCCTTGGCACAAGTGGTTTACGTTAAATACCACCCCCTGTTCAGGTTACCATTTCCAGCAAAGGCACGTCCAGTGCCTTTATAGCTACTTTCTGAACGTGCTGGCCTCCAGCCTACTTCATCTGCCACCAACCAGGTCGTTGAGATCAGTGCGCCATTTCATCTTTCTTTCCGTGACGTCTAAATAGACAGTTTTCCAACTTTAACTTTATGCAGAAAATGAGAAGACCTGTCACCAGTATACAGCCAATATTCGAGTGGACTATGTACTAACTACTCGAAATTGTCCCCAGATCCACACGGTCATGCGCACTGCGGAATCCACTGAGTCGATTACCATAAGGGACATGATAAGGTATAGAATACAGGTGTGAGCTTTGCATCACAGCATGTCTGCACCTCCAACGGGTCAACAGCATCTGGGCCACTTGTAGCACTATAGAGGCCACAAATTGCACTGTTCAGCTCAACCTAACCATGGTCAAATCTCGTGTCAAGCTTTCTACCTAAGCCATATGATAGAGTATCACTTGAAAACACAGGAGAACATTCTCTACATCCATGAGAATATTACTAGAATACAGCTGCTTCTAAATGTAAGGAAAGCCTGCTAGATACTTGCGGACAGATAGAAGTGGACTTTAAAAGGACCATGTCGTCAATATACATTTGAGATTATACAATTTCCCCATGTAAGATTACTAACTGATAGCTGACTAGAGGAATTCTGCTTGAAAGTTACGAACTGGCTCATGATTCCGACTCTGCAATGTAGAGAGTAACCTACTAAAAGTAGACGCACAATTCACCGAGATGGTGAGCAGGCGAGCACTTCAAGAAAGTGATATCACGTTCAGTCAATGAGCTTGTACGCTGCGGATGTATCGGTGTTATCTGAGCGTATGAAGCTCTTCACTACTATGTTCAATATAAACGGCCATCGAGCCCTCATTGTACAGCGACGTGTTTCCGGATAATCATCACTGCAAGAAGTTGCCACAGTTCCGATTCTCATTATGAAAAGACATATGAATCCGCAAACAATGCTGGTGGTTAGAATAGAAAAATCGTACTACAGCACAGTGCTCTTTCGAGCTAAGTCCTTGTTAGTGTGAGAGAAGAATACTAAAATTCACAGGAAACCTATGATCAAAGTAAAAGGTCTTGCGTAACCAGGTCATTTCCAAAAACTAAGACCCCGGCATGAACGAAGAGAACGAGTGGCACGTGCTACTTGATCAACAGCAGAGATTCAGGTCGGCGTAAGCAAGAACACATAGAGCAGTAAACGGAGAAAATGACAAACCTTCTGCAAAGGAAAGTTGAGGAGTTTTCCTCTACTTCCGTGTTGATTGGGCTGTGCGTGACACCGTGGATACCCCATCCACAAATTTCGTCCGAAAAATCACATTTGCATTGTTGAACATGCCCTCTTTGAGTGAAACTACAATAAACTGGGCAAGAAAACAGATGATATTATGAGGCGATCGGGTGCCATATATCTACGAGCAGTAAATTAAAAGAGTAGTGATTTGTCAGAGAAATTGACAGATTTCGTTGAAGCACTAATATCAACCGATTCGTTACGAACCTGAGAGTGGGGAAAGTGGGACTTAATCATGCGACCAATGTTTTGTGTATGACTTAAATCAAGAGCTGCGTCAACCTGCAAGAAAGCACTCCATCAGGCAATCCCCGATACCTGCTATGGCCTCGACATAACTAAAATCGTCAAGAAAATTCTGACTGGCGAATTCAAACTTGGCACTCACCTCGTCCAAAATGTACAAAGGTGCAGGTTTGAAAAGAAGTAGGGCAAGGATGAGCGAGAGTGCCAGCAATGATCTTTGACCCCCACTGAGCTCAGAAAGTGATTGCTTCCATACGCTTCCAAATGCAACCTTGACTTCCAGCCCATCCATAACATCAGCACCCTCTGGAGGCTCGAGCTTTGCCATTGTCCCTGGAAGTAGAGTTGAGAAGATGGATCCAAATTCTCTGGAAAAATTTCCACACGCATTTCAATAAGATAAATTGCTTGCCATACATTAAGAACCTAACTGAAATCAGCAGACCAGCTTCAGAAATTCGGAAGGATACAATAAGCAAGCTATGAAATCCAGCGCTAAGGCTTACTTCGTGACTTTCTCCCACGTATTCTTTAGTTGCTCCTTCCTTTTTTCGTCGAGCTCTTTGATCACCTGCTGTATCTTTGTTTTATCATTCTGCAAGAGTAAATTCAAGAGTTTCATCAATTTGTTTTCTTCGGACGTCTATTGTTAGTAAGAGAAACTGAAACTGGCATTCCAATATTGGAAATGTGAGTCAAAGTTTATTGAGAAGTTGGCGTGTTTCTTGTACCTGGACTATCCTTTTCCTTTCAATCAGATCATTGTACTCCTCTTCAGCCTTGTCAAACATGGCCAGAGCCTTTTTGTTTATCCGCTTCTCAATGCTGGAGGAAATGTACGAGAAAAAATAAAAATTACTCAATCGTACAAACGGAAGACCACATCTGTGCTGATTACATTACTCTTTGTATGAGCTCAAATATATTCAATTGGTAAATATGTTTTCAGGCAACGTACTCTTTTTGCTCGCGCTGCAAATTTTCAAGTGCCTGGCGTGCTTCTCTTGGGTCTTGGGCAGTGAAGTCGTAGTCTGTTCCTGCCTTCCCAAATGCCTGCCTCTCCCTGACGATCCACTCGTGTTTTGCAAGTAGTTGCTGAACTCTTTTGTCACATTCCTTTTGGTTCATCCCCAATCGCTTGATCTGAAACTCGAATCACTAAACTTTTACGAACTTAAGAAGAGTAGCCTTGGGTCTTCTTGATTCTAAAAACCTACTACTGAGTAAGGACATTATGTTAGAGACAAGTGTTAGATGTAGGTGAAGAAAACACGCTTTGCAAAATTATGCAGTGAGCGACGTGTACCATTCAATGTTCTCAGCAACATTTTCATTTTCTCTACTTTTACGAGGGAATTTGTAAAGCGTAAGTTCAGGGCACAGCATACCTCATTCTCCAATTTCTTGATCTCCACAATACAATCGGTCAATTTGTTTTTCTGTTGGTTTTGGGATTTCACTAAAGCAGTTATTTGAGCATCACATTCCTTAATTCTCTTTCGGTTCTCTTCTAATTTGCCCTTCGCCTTTTGGTACTCCTCCTCAATTGCGCCTCTCTGCACAACGTACGCGGAAGTTTGAATTCAAATTCATCACTGATGTTCAGGATGTTACATACGAACATGGTGAACCTATGATCACAAAGCCCCTCATACAGGATATTGCACATCTTTCCTGTTACCACCGATTAGTAGCTAGCTTACATAAAGTATAAGAGTGCTTATGAGAGCAGCTGTCTCAGTCGAAGATTCAGGACTACACGTATGTTACATATATACAGATGGCTCTCACTGCCTCGAGGTCAAATGCTCTCTGAAATCTAAGGCACCAGCTTTGCAATGAAGAAGTAAGCAAAGTTTCACCTTGGTTTCTTTCTCCCGAAGATCAGTCTCCAACTTTGTGATTTGTGTATGAGCTGTAGCCAATTGATCTTCAAGAGTCAAAATCTCCTGGACAGCAGCCTCCTTCTCCATTACCATTCTTTCCTTGGCTCCTTCTTGCTCCTGCAAAATCGGTCAAGATTGTTTCTCCACTCACCACTCGTAGAAAGACAGTGGCCACTCATACTATACGGAAAGGATGAAGTATAGTACAATCTTGTACAATCTCACGACACTTGACTCATGATCAATCGGACATCCGTCAGATTATAGAAACATACACACCAAGATGCGCAATATGAAGACTTTCTGAACAATATTTACATCTGTTGTTTGCATAGTCATCGAAAGCAAAAGCCGGAACAGAATATATGTTGATTAGATCTACCTATTTACAGTGGAAGAGGAAGTACGAGAAAGGAGATCTATCTAAGTGCTCTGCGTTGGAACATACCTTGAGCTCCTTAGTGGCAGCAACCGCTTCCTTTTTCATCGACTTAATTCTCTTCTCCAAATCTTTCAAGAGAGAATCACGGTCCCGACCTTGGTCCTTGATCTTTTGTTCTATCTGAAAAACCCTTTTCTGACACTCGCTGTGATATTGCTGTGTCCTGGTTAAAGCCGACTTTTCTTTGTCGAGCTCGGAAGTCATTAATGCTATCACTTCGCTGAGCTGCAAACATGCCATTATGTAATCTCATTATCAAAAAATAAGTGCGAGGAATCAATATTCTGACGAACTGATGGTGTAAAATCAAATCTAGAAAAGACTCAAATGAGGGCCGAACCTTGTGGTGTTCACTCTGCTGCGCTCTGGTTTCGTAGAGGGATAAGTCATAGGACTTCAGCTCCATTTGCGACTTCAGATGAGAAAATTTCTTTTGCTGAGGTAGCAAGCTCTCAATCTGCAACAGAAGACGGAGTCTTTACATGCAGATGGGTGATAATGTTCCCGAGAAACATCTAACTTTTAGGCACAAGGGCGAAGGACTTGGGAGACTATTTGAAACTTCAGGAAAAATATCTTGAGCCATTCATTGGATTTCACAATGCACAAAAAAGTGAATTGAAAATTTACATGGAAGAGTTACCTTTAGTTCGACATTCTTAAGTTCGTCTTCATGATGAATTAATCTAGCTTCTGTCTCAGCTAGCGCATGAAGTTGCACAAGGAGCTCACCACCATTCCTGCAAAACGTTGATGATTCATCATGTATGCAAGACAGGATCAGAGTTAAGAAAAAAAAATTTAGTTTACTTAACGAGTAAAGGTGCAAAATCAATTGTACGAACATAGTCCTTCGAACCTAGAAGGAGAACGTACTTGCGAGATCCTCCAGTCAGAAGACCTCGAGGTTCGAAGACATCACCCGGAAATGTTACCGACTTCGTCATTATTTCCTTGTGAAAAGCTATCTGTAAAGAAGAAACTTAGTCGATTGCAACTTGGAGCACGAATCATCCAATCTTCACCAAAGATCACCTAGCAACCATCTTAGAGCAATCAATAAGAGATTATGTTGTGCGAATAAGATTATCATTCAGATATTTTGAACTACTTGTGCATGTTTTGAGGTAATCACCTGCTTAGCTGTTTCCGTATCAGCGCAAACAAATGTTCCACCAAAGACGAATGACATAGCTGCCTGCACAAGATCAGGGCGTGATACTTACATACATAAGCACGCTCCACATCACAGAAAGACAAAACGTTTGAGATCGTTTGAGATCACTGGGTATATGTATTGAAATCTAAAGTTTACTATGGCGGTTAGACTATGCCTATTATTCTAGAAATAGTTATAAAACGACAAGTTATTTTCCAGACAGAAGTAATCACTGCGATATCTATGTATCTTATTTTCATGAGGAATCTACCTAAACGCCTATCCTATGCAACATCAGATTGAATGAAACAGTCCATATGCAAGAAGTCAATCATCAGATCGAGCTGCAACCAAAGTGGAAATTACTCACTTCAAGTTCATCGGCATAGCGAACCAGTGAAAGAGCAGGCTTTGCTTTAGAACCGACCTGTCAAAAAAACATTGACGTCTCAAATCTGGGAGATACTACTATGTGTTTTAGAGTTTGAAACCAGATAAACTAATGAATCGTCTATGACTCGAAATCAGAATATCTGAAACGCCTGAGGAGTTCAGTTTCAAGAGAGTGCCAACAAAGCGCATGTTGGCTTTGTGAGCTCAGAAATATTGTGCCAAGATCGTGCATATGATGGTATAAACTCTCTCATAAATGCAGCTATCGGATGTACGTCCTAAGTGTAGAGAGCAGCCTGTTTACATCCACATGTAGAGTTTCACCGCAGCCTGATATTAGAAGTAGTTGAAGAATTTATACTGTATCATATATGAATCACTCCAGTGGTTTTCTTCAGATCATTGAAGCATACCAGTTTCGTTGCTACAGCCTCGACTCTGGCAGGGATCTTGTTGGGCTGGATCTTGTTCATAGGAATAATGGTACTTCGTCTTCGTAAATTTCCTTTCTCGAGGAGTAACTTAGCTGTTTGATCGTTGTCAACAATAACGAAGAAGAGTTTGCCTGCTGCTATCACCTGTCAGATTTCAAAATTGATGAGCAAACCATGGTCGAAGGTTTTATCCAAAATCCCAAAAAGCGTTTGAATCAAGCAGTCAGGGAAGTATGTTCGTGTCTATCCTGTTTGTATCCCTGGTCGTGCTAACTGGGTACTATTCATAATAACGGGGAGTTCTTGGAACGCCACATCCGAGTCAAATATGCTTTCGACACGGTATCCGACACCTAGATCGCACTTGTGACCTCACTTTCCTGCTTTCCTTCGTCATGTGGACGTCAATCTTAGCCGCGTGCAGTCCATCATCGCATTTGAGGCACGAATTGCGCACCTCAATGGAGGTTGCGGTGAGGTTTTAAGCAGGCATTGAAGTGTACCAAGAAATGAGAGAAAGAGAAGTTCCGGACCTCAAGAGCAGTCATTGCAGAGGAGTCGTTTACATGAACCAAGCGCGCCACTACACCCTTGACTCTTGATCGCTGGAAGTCCCTCTCCGGGTCACTGTAAGAAAATTGGACGCCAGACAGTTGTGAAGTAAGGTTGTTTACGTCCGCCTTCAACTTCTTAACATATTCAACTTCTTGTCTTCGTTTCTGCATCATAGAAACGTAGATATAATTCAGGAAACTGTAATACCTATTGATGATCTCAGATCTAAGCCGCTAGTATACATATAAAAAACTCCGTGACGTCCATATGCAACGACGACCTTGTTGCAGGAGGTAGTCTCGCAATGAAGGAACCTGGAGAGCGTTATAACTCCAGTTCTAATTAAGAAACTTAGAGCTATGTCTTACCTGATTGATGAACATCTAAAATTACAGAGGTTTATCCAGAGGACCTAGTGAATTGAAATTAAGTGTATCGCCAAGCAAACGTTCGAAACAAAAGGTCTTAGAAAGACAGGTATCAAGAAGAACAACCTCTTCCAGTACTTGCATGCTGCCATCTCTGTACCCAATTTTGTCAATTGCACTCTTTAAATTCGCCAAGTCAGCCTTCCTGGATTTCAGCTCTTCCTGTGCTGCGGCGACCTCATGTTCCTTCGACTTGAAACACTCTCTTTTTTCCATGAGCTCTTTGTTCAGATGTTGTATCTTCGTCTGAAGTTGTTGGAGTTCAGATGCTGACTTGCCTACAGATACATTTGCATCTGCAAGCTGCTCCGCTAAGCTCATATCGTCGGCACCACTCCCTTTGCCTGCTTGAACGGCCTGAATATTGCAAGAGCTCGTGAGTTGCGAGACACTTGGACAGTGAGATAAAGTGCGGGAAGGATATATCATCCAGTTGATCTCCAGACAACAGAGTGAGGAACTCGTACCTGATACTCGCTTTCTATATCCTCTAAATGCTTGCGCGACTTATCCACTTTTTCCTGTAAAGCTGCAACATCCTCTTCGATCTGCTTCTCTGATGTAGTCCTCGCTGCTATGGCATTCTCCAGCTCCTTCTTGGATCTTTGTATCTGATTGTCAACGCATGATCGCAAAGTTCAGGTTGGACACAGTTCACACAACGAATGAGTTGCGGAGGCTACTCCAACCAGCTAATTCCACTTGACATTAGACATCTGGCTTTCATACCTGCTCAAGAGCAGCCTTCTCCGCTTTGCACGCATCTCGTTTCGCATTGAGTGCCGAATCTAGTGTGACAAGTGTTGTGGAGAGTTTGTCCGAGACATCTGATAAAATCTTGATCTCAGAGGACATTTCTTTGTCTTTGGTCTCGGTCATAGACGCAATGGACGATTCTTTATCCCCTATCTCTTTCTCTAACTCCACTGCAGTCACCTGAAGCGCCTTAATTTGACTTTCCATGTCCTTCACTACATCTGAAGCAGCATTCTTGATCCTCTCTGCCTCTGAATATTCAAACGCCGTGCAGAATCGTTCCAAGCGGTCCAGCTGAGCGTTTCCAGATGTCCATTGCTGATACTGAGCTCGCTCTTTGCGCAACTTTTCCAGAGCAGGAAGAATATCTTGTTTCAACAGATTGTCTATGTCATCTACTTTTGTCTGCTTTTTCTCGAGAGTCTTAAGAGCGACCTCTTTCTTTGACTCGTACATTTTAGTTCCAGCTGCTTCTTCTAGCATCGAGAGAATTTCTGGTGGCTTCATGTTCAGAACTTTTGTGATACGCCCTTGCATGATCAGGAAATGAGGGTTGTTGACATTCAGCTGCACTGAATGAAACAAGTTTTGCACCTGAGCAGGTTGCCTCACATGTCCATTGATCATGTACTTGTTTCTTCCGCCAACAACTATCTGGCATTGAGAGTGAAAACTTGTCAACTTCAATCTTAACTTCGATTCCAATTTCAATCAATTGAAGGTGCAAAGGTGGACCTTGTAAACATGTAAGGTCAAAAAACAGTTAAAATGACAAACCTGGCGAGAAACAGTAATCTCATTCATATCCTCGTATCCAATTGGGCTTCTATTGCGGTCAGAATTGTCGAACAAAATTGACACGGTAGCCTTAGTGATCCCAGCCTGACCCTGCTTGTAAACCAGCTCCTGCAAGTTGGTGGCGCGCACCTGCTGTAGATTGGTAATGCCGAGCACAAAGCAGATAGAATCCAGAATATTGGATTTCCCAGAGCCATTGAGCCCCGTGATTGCGTTAAAAAAGGGGTCAAATCCAGAGACCACTGTCCTCTGCGCGTAGGATTTGAAACCCTCGAGGGTTACCTCCTTCACATACATTATGCAAACTAGCGCTTCGATTCATACACACTGTGCCTGGGTTTCGTCACTTCCCACCATATCACACTAATCCCAATTCCTTGAGACCCCGCACTCTTTCCAACAATATGGTAGCCAGAGAAACTAAAACCAATCCAGACAAGAACGACTAAGCGATTCGAACCTCGACCCGACCTTCGGCACGAGAAGAAAATCAGAGAACAGGCACGGAGGCCCCGGAGAAGCAATTCTTTCGAAAACTAAGCAACCATGCCGACGAGACGAAACCTGGCCCTTCGCACAGACTCATCATTTGCCAGCGCTCGAGCCTAGACGCAGTTCACACATTGAAAGCCATCGACGAATTGAATGCGCCTGCCGAAGATTTCCGTGCCACCTGAACCTCGCCCGTTGTCCAGTCCTGTCTGAACTTTGCTGCGCGCGGGAAAATTTGAATGTCCTCACGAAAAAGAACACCTGCGTACGCCTGCCGCCATCTACCACCGTACAGTACACTGCTTTCTCTGCTCTACTGTACCCTCTACTGCGACGTCTCTGATGTGACATCCTCTATTTGATTGTTTTCACTATCAATCCACTCTGTAATGTCAATCGATGCATCAGATTTTAATTATAAGATTCTGATCCTCTAATGAGAAGAGCTAATCTCTTAGATGCTCATTTTTTTTTAAATAAACGTTGTTAAATTTCATTGGATCCGAATCACACGAATCAAATTCTTTCGGCACTATCGTCTACTTTGACAATAACACACATATTTGATAAATATATGTATTATTATTCCATATATACATGATTATAATTTGATCTATTATTCAAAATACAACTGTTACATGAAAAAAAATACAACATTTGACAGACATACATATGTTTAAGACATCCTAAATTCTTGATAATGTATTTAGTGTAATTATATGCATCGAAAAGTCATACAATGTTATAATCTAATAAAAATTGACAAATTTTAGATTCAAATCTTCACGTAATTAGTATAATTTTATGTACAAGTGATGTAAGTCCACGATAATCATAAGAATTTTAGTGTGCATAGTTAAGAAAATCATGTATGGAACTTGTGAAAATGTTGTAATTTTAAGAATCACTTGTCATGTACTTTAAGTGATCAGTGTTTTTTTGCAAATAGTTAAAATATTTGGTTGAAAAAATAAGCGAAGAATTTTTGTTAGGTATGTAAATTCAAAATTATTAAAAATAATACCTAGTAATAACTAATTAAAATTTGTGTATATTCTCTAGTTTTGATGTTTTTAATGTTTAATTGAAACATATCTAAATACTTCAAAAAATTGTATCGACTATAAAAAATTGTAAGACTCGGAAGTCTATCAGAGGGAAGATCAAGCAAATCAAATATGAAAATATCTATTCCATTAGATGTTGAATTTTCTAGATTACTGCATACAATGAGGATATGATTGGAATAACTTGAAACAAATGGGCAACTTCTCTACAAGATTTTTTCTGAATGGTTGATAAAAATCCTGATGATAGTCACATATCAAATAGTCACGATTACATACAATTTCTCAATCTTAAGTTATCAATTTTAAGTTTTTTAAACGCGTAAATAGCAAAAAGTTCATGAAATATTCCTTTAAACAGATTTTTGGTGTCACTCGCATGGCGAATCACGTTACAAATGGCAAATTTTTCGCGACATACACTTCAGAATCAATGTTTATAATGATTCAATTCGTTGCACCAATATCTGCTTTGTAACAACTACAGATGGCGTATCGCGGCGTGAGGACGTCTGGTCATGATTCTAGAAAAGAGCCAAAAATAAAATGAAAGCGATGGCGATGACGAAGATGGGAGTGGGGCGGGGCGGTGGGGTGGGGCAGAGGGGAGTCACGGGACTTGAAGGACACGCGTCCCGGTCAGTCGGTGATCACCTTCATCCATCCATCCGTCCACCCGCCCGCCCGTCCGCCCATCCATCCCCATCCATCCATCGCCATCCTGGCAGCGGAGCCGCGTTCCGTGCCGCGTCCCTTCTTCCGCTCCCCGACGCCCGACGCCCGACCGCGTTGCTTCCGGCGCAAGGCTTCCCTTTGAAGCTCGGGCGGGCGCGTACGTGTGCGCTCGATCTGCACCTCCCTCCATCTTCGCTGCGAAGCAAGTCAAGTCAGTCGATTTCCGCTGCGCATCCAGTCGACGCTCGGGGCTGTTGGAAGTCGGGAACCCCGATCGCTGCCGCACTCGGGCCCGCTCTTCTGCTTCTTGCGTGGTGGTAGTAAAGCGAGTGTTTTGGTGGCCTGAGTATTTCGTTCGGTCGTTCAAGACGCTTCAGGTGAGCACGCCTTCGATTTTGCTTTTTCTCCAAAGGTTGTTCTGTGTCGATCTTTATTGTCTCGGGTTTTTCTCGTGGCTTCTGCTGCAACCTAGTCGTTACCGAAGCTTTAGGTCTTGTTCTCAACCTGTGTGGTCTGGCTGCTATCTCCGGTGTAAGTTGTGGTCGGATGAACCTTGGTTGACATTCTGCATTTGGTTGGTAAGATTCCGGTTTGTATCCTGTCCGTCTTGAAGAAGGAGCAATCTTGTTGATTGCTCCTTCTCTAATTGTAGATTCTGAACTAACTGTGTTCCAATTGAACGGGGTCGGTGCAGATTAAGATACCTGAGTCGTGATCTGTTTAAGTTTCAACGGACTCTGGAGGTTTTAATCTTGCTTGAAATTACTGGAGAAGAGGGCCTGCCACGGTTTTGAGTTCTCACACATCCTCGAGATCTGTCGTTGCTGTCAAGTAACTGTATTTGATCAGGCTATACTACCGGCAAGCTTGTTTGTCCAGCTGTTGGGAAGAGGCAGTCATCATGACTACGCTCAACCTGCCAGCAAAGATGGAGTTCACCATGGGGTCTACTGAACAAAAGATGGACATGACCCTTGGTATACATCCGTTCTCTCTCAAGCTATTTGGAACGTTTGGTGCTTTAATTACAGGAGTGCTCGAATAGTATGTGATCAGAGCTTCTAACGACGTCAAATTTTCCAAGTTTCTGAAATACACACGTCCTTTCGGGTTCTGTTTTTTCTTTCCGTTGCCCTTTATGTCAGCTGTGACTCGTCCGCAGTTCAGTACAGCGCATCTTGCATGGTCTGCTTTGTGCACCTGCTCTTTTAGCCAAGGATTGATAGGACTAGTCAACTCGATGATGATCTCGAACATGATTTAGTCAAATCGAGTTGGTTCTCGTGTTTTTCATCTCTTTGCGTGGATGAAATTTGCAGACGACATAATCAAGCTCGGGAGGAAGACTGGCCAAAAGAAACAGCGCGTTCCTGTAAGTATCGGATTTCCAGTCCGTTTTCCGTGAGAGACACCCAGCTGCAGTTTGGTTAATGGTGAGAGCTAACTTGAAGGCTGCTGTGTACATAAAGCCTGGTCTGTGGTTCGAGATTTTCAGTTTTTTGACCGAGTAATAAATGTCGCAGATCAAGAACCAAAACAGACCTAGGAATTTGATTGCTAATGGAGGCAATCCTGCTGCAAGGGCTGCCCTTCAGCGCTCAGTTGCGGCGCGGTCTGCTAAGATTCGTCAGGTACATTAATTGAGTAGGATCCTTTGAAACGGCGAATAATTTTCCTCATCATTGTTGTATCGCGATTGTTGCTCCGCTGTATCTGACACTTGCAACCTTTTTTCCAGGGAAAGTTCGCTGAAGCCAGGGCTCGGAATGGGGCTGGTAAACTCCCTGTTACTCAGGCTGCGGGAAAGAGGGCTTTCGCAACTCCTTTAAAGACAAGAAGCAAGCAGTGGATGAAAAGCAGGTAAATAGACACGTTGAGGTTTGTGCACGAACAGAGAAATGGATATTTTAAAGTTGTATTTTCTTGGGGAGTTTCTGTTGGAACTACTCGAGAATTGCCATTTTGTGTGGTCCGTTATCCTTCATTTACTTGTATGCTTCCTGAAAGTTGGTTTCGCTTCGTTTGCTCAGTGATGTTCGACGGAACAATCTTAGTAGGCCTTGGGCTGGTCAAGGGCCAAAGCCAAATGCATATACTGCTGCTGCTGGCAACATGAAGATTTCTGTCATCAATAACGGAAGCAAGTGAGTGGCTGGTGAAAGCGGTCACATTCCTACGGCTGCGAAATTCATGGATATTGATTGTCGTTTGAACTTTCATTGTGAAACTCGTTGTCAGGACACGGCGCAGGTCTCAGTGGGGGATTTGTCCAAGTATCTGTGGCTGAATAATAGACCGTTGGCAGGCCCTTAGCTAATTTTTACAGGAGTCTTTTTTTGGCTATGGAGATGTGCTTTGTTTTACCCAAAGAAGCCTCTGGACGTGGAGACGAGTGTAGAATGTAGACCGCCACAGCAGGATTCATCTCGCCTCAGTGATCCTTCGATTAAGAGATGAAATCGCACAAGCGAATGCCTCTTATTTGAGAGGTTGTTGCGTCATTCTCCTTCAGTGAGGAGGAATCCAGGCATGGCGTTGCAAATCATGGAGTAGAATCTTGCAAAGTGTTTGCTTGCACTGGTTTGTGCTCGTCACCATGCCTAGCCGTGTGCATGGGTCTTTTACGGCAATATGCAAGGTTTGCCGGTAGATGGTTTGGAGGCTTACCGTACTTCACTGAGAACTGGAACTTATGTAAGGGGCGCGGTTCAAATCATCATAACGAGTGCCCTCAAGGTTTTTCAGTGCTCGAATGCTGCCCTATACTGAAAGAGTAGTTGATACGGATATCTCAGAGGATGGTTGGGCCTTCAAACTCGGGGTCGGAAAAGTCTGACGCTTATGATCGATTCGGATCTGACCTTGGAAGCTTCATGCTTAGTGCATCACCAACTTTTATCTATTTCTATTCCTCCCTAGTACATCTTCCACTCTGGCATCAGAGGTAGGAGGACTGATTGCATGCCAGGCCAAATGGTATGTGTTCTCCTTGTATTCCCTGAGGAGTTGGTGCTTTGGAGGCCTGAGACCTGATGTCGTGGTTTATCTACTGTCTACCAATGAATTCTCATAACATGGACTAGAACGTTGATTTGGCTTGCTACAGGTTTGGTGGTCAGAGGCAGTCAGCTGCACCCTTCCGCAGACGTAATGGACCCAACAATCCTGGTCGTCAAGTACAGAACGTCGGATTCACTCCTCAAAGTGTGAGTTTCTTCACGGAAGATCCGGCATGCTGAAACCGTGTTGCAGTCTTGCTCTACGAGCTATATAGCTCAGTAATTTGTGAAGATTCGATATGAATTTACATTTTGCATGTCACCATGTCTCGATCGTTTATATCGGTGCTGGAATGAGATCTGTCTTGAGCCTGAAGCTGCAAGCAGTGAGCCCTAAGTTGTTACATGGAAAGACTTGAGAACTTTCTCCTTGTCCGTGTCAGGTAGATAAGGAGTTGAGAAAAACTGAAGCTAACTAGTTGTTATTCGTGAAGTCATTCAGACTTGCTGATTTTTGTTAGTTCTCGAACCTTTGCGTTTTCCAGATGGAGGTTGAATATGGTCAACAGGTTCAACCTCAAAGGCAGAAGGCCCGCACCTTGGATTCTCTGTTTGCGGAAATCAAGGAGCGTCGCAACCACCAACCCCAGGTTGTTCAGCCTTTCACTTCCACTGAGCGCTTGACCAGCAGGAGAGGTGGTCGTGGCGGATTTGGTTCTAGAGGAAGGGGAGGACAATAAGGGCTCCGAATGAGGACACGAGAGTCCTAAAGAAGGTTTCTGCTTATGGGACGATCGGTAACTTAAGTTTCATCATGATCGTCTACCTGTTGGACAAGACGTTGGGTGACTGCGCCGCTTGTGATGAACTATGCCTGCCTTTATCTGGAGCGATTCAGCAGTAATCTTTACAATAGGGCAGGGACAGGCCGAGAAGATGTTATTTGCTGCTTTTAGAGCTCTTAGGCTGGCACTTTGTCTGAACGCTCAACAGTGTTCATTGCCTGATAGCAGAGTCAGGTCGGAGACTTGTATCATATTTTGTTCATATTTGTTTTCTGGTACCATGTTGGTCAAGTACCAATCAGCGCAGCAGATCACTCCTACGAAAAATCTCCTATTATTGTTTCACTGAGGAGATTATCGTCAATGCGGCCATCTTTTGAGAAGAAGACTCCAGTGACGATGGTCTTGATCGCCAGTCTTTACTGCACTATCGAATGCAGGACTCAGTTTATTTAAAGAGTATAAGGCTATTCAGATAGTCTAAAACATGTGCTGCATCTTTTCGAAGGTGTGGGGTTGTGTGTTACTCGCAAGCATGGTGGTCTCTATGTGTTCAGATGGACACTGTGCAGGTGTTATCGCTTCTTCTGGAACTCTTAACCTGAGAATAGCTTTCGTCTGAACGTATGTTGTATCATAGACCTGAAATTTAGTTTTTTGATTACTGATGTCTACACACGGGGTTTATTTCTTATTGCATCACCAAAGGTTCTGAGGCCACAATTGTGGTGGTGAAAGTTGCAATTGGAGGCCATATCTTGTTCCTCGTTTGAGGATGGAACCATCACTTACCTGGACAATGTATGTGCTGCATTTACATAACTTAGCACATTGATATTGTACTAGAACCAGATTGACAGATGCGTGATAGATGCCAATTTAGATTAGGTTGAGATTAGCTTTGTGGTGATGGACTTGTTATCCAGTTACTGTAGTCAACCATGAATACTGTGCAGTGTTTCAACATTGACACTCACTCATCCCGAAGAACTGCTGTAGTTAGTTTAAACCACCTGTCATGGTGAATGTTGAAGATCTTATGTTCTGAAAGGGATTTTACGAGAGGGTCTATGGCCCCTTTTGGTGGAGAAGCTGTTCGTTTCCAGACTCCAACTCAGTGGCGTTTTTACACTTAGTTGAAACTTGCCGTCGTGTGATACAGTCCTAAATCTCGCCCCAAGTTAAGGGGTCGCTGGTGCGTGAGATGTACCGTTAACGATATGGTCTGAATTTATTCAGGACATCATTTGTTTACGAGTCTTTTCAGGCTATGTTCTATGATGTAGACAGCCTGGGAAGACTTTCTAAGCGTATTGGACAGACGACAGTGTATCATTCGGCATTTGACCGTTTGCTGGATGTGTCTTGCCACTACTTGTATCATTGGAATGGGTTGAAGTAGAGCTTACTCTTTTTCGTGTCAATATTGAAGAACTTTCTCGTTAAACGACCTTCATGGGAAGGTGAATCAAGTTGTTTCCAGCTTGAAGGGAGAAATGCATGGACTGCAGTAATACACGATCATATGTCGTGCACGAGACGAAGTGCCGAGATAATTTAACATAGCTAACTTAGCAAACATATCCAATGAGTCTTTTTCTCTTGTCAGTATCTGTACTACTATTCACTCTTTCACTGCTATTCGCTGCCCTCCCGTCCCATTCCCATTGTACACGCTTGCGTTCTTTCTCCGTGGAACAAATGTCGATTACTTTCCATCAACTTCAGCTCACTTCAGCTAAGAAACTTTAACGTAAGCTTGCGTTTCAAAACATATACACGCACGGTCTCTGCTGCTTGTAGCTGGTGAACATACACAATATAGGCTGCTGTGACGTACAACTTTGTGTACATACAATCACCAGTGTGGATAGAAGTGTGCAAATACGCCTTAAACTATCGTGGACGTGCTGCTCTCGTTCACACTACACTTAACTGCGAATTCCAATGTCTTACACTGATGCATCTTTCAATCTCACGAATTATAGATTTATATACCCCTACAAATGTTACATAGTAGGAGAAAGCAAAGCCACGACAGCAATCTATCTGTCATACCTTCTATTGTACCAGTAAGTATGATAAAAAGTAAGATTGGGAATTTAAAACATGGTTCTATTGTTAGGAAGAGCTTTCATCCTATATATGATTCAGCTGCGAAGTAAATGAGTTGTAAACAGAATTAAAAACAAATAAAAATGAAGAAGTAGGTGAATGATGACCCCAGGGAAAATAGTGGAAAAGTTACGCATCTTAACTGCAAAGAGAATGAAAGCTCTATCACCGGAAGTGGAATGTAATTTTTTTGAACCATATAGTAGGAATCATCAAATTTCGATTCATTTCAATGTTAAGGGGTTAAACATAATTTTGAACTCTTTGCGACAAAATTCGTTTCTCATCATTCTATAGATTTTCTCAACTAGAAAACTTGATGTGATGAATATATTCCAATTTAATTTTCCACCAATATAGTTTATTACATCTATGATGATAACATATATTGTTATCTCTTTAATACAAAAAAAAATGTTGGACTTTAATAAATGTAAATTTTTTTAGTTTATATATTGTGAGATACTGTGAGAAATCTTCTGATTTCTAATTCCTAATCTGTCTAATCTTTTTATTCAACTTTCATAGTTCTCAATGAAGTGCATAACTTATTAAATACACAAAAACTTGAACAATAAGATATGAATAAATCAAAACTAGTAGAGATTAAAACGATATGAAACAGAGAAATATTTTTCCAAATCGTAGTTATCAATTTAGATGCAGGTTTGCAATTGTAGAGAATACATGGAAAGAATTGTGTTAAAATTCATCTATTTTAATCAGTAATAGAAAGTTAGATTAGCTAAGGTAAATTTGTGCATTCAATATTACATCATATCTCATTCTCGCCTGTACCAATCATAGCAAAAATTAAGTCTTGTAATTTATATATACTATAGAATATTTTTATTGTAAAAAAATTAAAAATAAATTATTAAAAAAAATAAGAAGTAAAAACATTATGTAAATTTCAACATAGAAATAATATTATCATTATTCAAAATTTCTAAATCAAATTTTTTTGATATGATATATGTCCATCAATATTTGGCGATATATGAAATTATTTAGTTTGTATTGCAACATCTCGGTTTTAAAATAATACCGAAATTTCTAAATTAGATATTAATATTCTAATTATATATAATAAATTTTAGTAATGCAAGAATTTATATATTATTTTTAATTTTATGTTAATTTTATTATCAATTCTGATTCAGGCAAAGTGCAGTTGTAAACTGTCATTAATAGAATTGAGTTATGAAAAAAATAAAAAACTAGACACTATAATGCAGATATAATTGAATATCATTAAAAATTTTATATTTTGAAAAATATTGTTAGCAGATTAATGAATTATCATGATGAATTGAAAGTTTTATTGTGAAATTGACTATTCAAAATGATGTTATATCAGTTTCAACTTGGAAAAAGATGATGCATGTCTTTTCAACATTGATACTATATGATTGCATAATATCATATAAACTTGATGACAAAATTGAAAGCTAAAAGTTCTAAATATGAAATGTTTATCATGATGATGACTTAGAATGATAACTGTAGTGAAAAAAAAAATTTGATAAAAAATTTCTTAGTTTATCGATTTAAAACAAATAAAACAAGTTTATAGGATTAAACTAGATTCACGTAAATGATAACATGATTAACAAAATGAACTCAAAATAATAACTTCCTTTGACCACCCTTAATATAGTATTCATATTTGTTTGATGAAAACTATAGTTAACAAAATTTCACAAAATTTTAATGAATTGACATTTTAAGTTATGCACATTCATATCAATTTTATATAATGCAAAAATCAAAATTTAATGCGAGTAACATAAATAGTTGGACTGCATTTCCGTTTATAGAAAATTAAAGAGTTTAAGATATATGATTAATGTGTGAATCGATCTTACAATGAATATTTGTCAATGAAACGAGACAAAATGTCCAAAACATAAAAGTTTTGAATCCAAATCCACATAACTGTTTACTGCTAAGCTTGAATCAGCTTTACAGGAGCATTCTATGACCAGTGTGAAATTGGAAATCAAATGAAGTCCATTGGAATCTCTATAGTGAGTGTATAAAGTTTAGGGTTGAGGGTAAAAATAGCAAGGAAACAAAACACGAGCCAGTCCAAACTTCACTTATTTCTCATTTGCAACTCGGCAAGGTCTTTACGTAACCATCTCAACATCTTCTCAGACGGCGAATCCGAAAAATGAACTAGCCCTTAAGTTACGGTGCTAGAAACCAGCAAACTCCCGCTGACACTCTGACTGCTTTATTTTCCAATGCTGGTTAAAGGCACAATGTCCACAACCGCATCATATCCATGGAAAGTGCAAAGTAAGTTGCCATGCTAGACCTCTCCTTTAAAAATTCGTCTTTCCAGACTAGACAAAGTGCAGTTCGTTATGCAAACTAAAATCTATTTGTAGTAACAACTGACCAACCTCAAATCTACATAAGAGTACTGACGAGAACAGATCGCAGTGGTACTAAGGCTGAAACTGATTGTAACTAACGAGCAATGAAGAATGTAACAGAAGCACAACATACCATCCTGCTGGACATCATTCCGAGACTACTAGAAGCAGAAACAGTATGCAAGTTGCGGAAAAGGGAAGCAGGCAGTCACAAAATGTAGATGAATGTAGATGCACATGTCAGACAGAAATGGAATATGGTTCAAGAACAAGTGCAAGCACAGTCATGAACAATGCACACATATACACATGAGACAATCTAAACGATTGATATTATAACGCGATGCAAAAGAGCGTAAAGGTTTAAACCAGCTCTGGAAGACATAGTATTTTAATACAGTTCTCAAAGAAACCAGACTCGGTTGCTCATCAGACAAAAAATGAATCACAAAATGCGCAACTGTCAAAGCATCGCAACTTGATAGCTCTGAACGTGAAAAATAATACCAGTCATCAAAACTGCTCCTGTGAGTGATACAGGAGGTGAACAAAGGAAACGCAAAATTGCGGTCAGAAAGCCTGATAGAAACAAATGTGATGTCTTGAAATACAAGAACGAAGCACGTATGAAAAACACAATGATTAGGGGAAATCCAGAATGTGACAACAGGAATTTGCGATTTCCGCATATGCAAAGTATGCCGTCAGCCTACTATGACAGGATCCAAGTAAAGTCAAAATGCGAAGAATGTGTCTAAGAGTCAAGTCAGCGATCAAAAACCACACTCGTATGTCCATAGTGAACACAATTCAATTTAGTTCAAGTACAGCCGGAGAACAAAATTGTACATAGACGTACCCAGATTGAGTAGCCCTTAGATGCTATCATGTGAATCACAAGACTAGACAATAGAGCCTCGTGATAACCTTCATGTTAAGCAGGATATCTTGAAGCACCGTCAACATAGAACTGATGAAAAAAGGTCGTCGCAAGATATCAACAAATATCCCCAATAAGGACGTCTAAAATACCAGAATCGAAGTCCGAAGGGCCCTTTTTAAGCACGAACAACCTCAAGACCTTTGATAAATGGATGCCTACAAAGTTCTTCAGTAAAACCATTGCCAAGGCATATTGGTACCATCAAACAACGCTCTTGCAAAGACAGATGGCCTCAACGTCATTATTACTCTTCTACAGCTTCACGAAAACCAAATCTACCTAATACAACAGTGGCAGATATGCTTACTTCCTTTGACCGCGATTGAATTCCCCAATAGTCTTGTACCAGCCTGCTAAAACAACGAAGGCGACTATTCGGAGAATTCCCATGGTGCAAATTTCGAACAATGCGTGTGCAAGAGATGGCTGTGGGGACATGCCAGCCGTCACAGTACTCAACGTGAGACCTTCAAAGTTGCAAGTAATAGAAAATTGCCCAGCCTTCAAACCATGTATTGCCGCTTTGGCTACATCCATTGATTCCATGGCTCCACTTGATTCGGAGAGCTTAACTGTTAGTTCATGCTTCGTCTTGTTCTCTGTAAGGAGAAAACAGTCAACATAAGTTCACTCTAACAAGCACAAGCGGTCACGATGAATCAACGTCGGTCAAGTGGCCACCTGTCAGCTGATAAAAACGAACACCTCGTTCCGAATGTTTTAAATGACCACAAGCATAACTAACGCATCCAGACAGAGTCGAGAGGCAAGAGGCAAGCACGTAGCGCATCAGAACTTCTGCTCACCTTCGACAAAACCTGGAGTTTCAGTATCTGGTGGAAAGATCAACGACACACGAATGTTGTACTCCAAAAGCTCTTGCTGCAAACCTTCGGCCAGGCCACGCAGACCACCCTTTGTTGCAGAATATGCAGAGTAGCCATACAGAGATACCTTGAGGAACACAAAATCACACGCAATGAAGTTTAATTACTTGAGACTTTTGCGACATACTGCTGTTAGGTGAGGTTCGATAATGTAATCATCAAGTTTGATACCCAAGATATTCAAACTCCAGTATCAAATACCAACAGTGGCTGCTGCTGGTGACAAGCTAAACTTATTGAAGCCTTTACAGCAAACTCTTATAAGTCAGGACAGCTTTCCGATGTAGTGAGATCTAACAACTCTACGGTCTCCGTTGTGAGATGCCTGGATTTGAAGACTCTTTTACTAAACTAAAACTGGTATACAGATGAAGCCCATTAAAACGCGGTTCTCATTATCATCATGGAAATGGTAGAAAGTTTTAGTGGCACCAATGCCTGCGTTTGGTTTCTTCAAAAACGGCTGATAATTGCCGTAACATTAGAAGCACGTAGGAAACAAGGTATGAAACCAGCATACCTGGGCTGCTTGTGAGCTGACGATGGAAATGCAGCCAGGACCTTCCGAGATCCTGCTTTTCATGTGAGGAATGGCCGCCTTAAGACAATGAAGGTTGCCTTTCAAATTGGTGTCCAGCATGTGATACATGCTATCCAGAGGCGTATCTTCAAACCTAGCCGGAGTTGAGACTCCATGCGAGCAGATAAGAACATCGATTGGTCCTAATTTTTCCACAGCTTCAGTTAAAGCCTTCTCAACGCTGGAGAAGTCTTTCACATCTGCACTGTATCCATACACCTGAGGTTTTCCGAATACTGCGAGCGGTTCTGCAGTATCAGCGAGGTTCTGCACTGTCTCTGGATAGCTGACTATCTCTTGACAGGCAGCTGTGAGCTTATCTGTATTCCGGCCAAGAATCGAGACCCGAGAGCCTTCCAGGACCGCTAACTTCGCCATCGACAATCCAATGCCGCTGGAACCCCCAGTAATAACCACATGGCGTGATCTCAAAGATATTCTCGTTGGTCGAGGACTGAGCAAACACCAAATCAAGAAGACGAATGCCGGCGCTAAGGCGACCAGAGCCCAGAGCCAGGCCATCACTTTGCAGAAATCGTGTGGCTTACGATTTGCTTTCCCCTGCCTTCGGTCACTTCAATTTCCTGACAGGATGCCAGCAACCCGCGTACTCGACCTCTTGGAATGGATGCTCTGGAAATTTTGCTCACCACTCAATGTTTTGTAAAGTTCTGCAATTCACAGGAGAGGGTGAGCCAAACCTCAAAACATGGGATCTGAGATCTCTAGATTGCTACTCAGCCTTGTTCAACCCTTCTATAATGACAAATCAGAGTCATCACACAATTCAGACTCTTGTTCTGCACTCTACCTATTTCGAACACAATCTACTTTCATACGCAATGGGGACTCGGGACTGAGGCATTATGTCATCATCTGTTTCAGCTCAACTCACGAGGACTAAAAATTGCAGTATACAGAACAAACACGAAGTTCGGCTCAGCCCGACCACTCGTAGCTTGATTGGAATTCATACAAATTAATCAACTGTCGAGAAAAAGAGGAGATTCATGCGCGAAAACCTGGCATATCAATGATCAAAGACACAGGGATTGCCTTCACTTCGAAAAGCTCTCTCAGTTAATATTGTGCGCCAATTCTCGGTGAGTGCCAACTCTCAACTCAACGTGAAAGCTGAGTTTGTAGCACACAGCTTTTAACATCACGGAAAGAAGCGACGCGGGACAAGCACACCACCACCTGCTCTGATTCAATGCTACCAAGCAAGCAACAGAACTAGGCACTTTTACCCTGGATTGAAGTCAAAGGCACACGCCGAGGACAACCAGAGATGATGACCCCGCTCTCCGAAAGCAGGATACGAACAACCAGCTTACGATGTATCTTTTGTCGCCATCAACCTTCGCTTGACCTCACAAAGGAGGCCGCGCAGAACAACGAAAACAGACGATTCTCTAGCTCTCCAACCTCAGGACCACAAGCCAGCCAATTTGAGAACGAGACAGCAACGACAATCGAATCAACCCCACTCTCGCTCTCGCAACCGAAAAATGATCCCGTCACATGTGACTCACCACGTACAATCGCACGCCTCCTCCTCCTTGTCACGATCAGAGGGCCACCGGAGCCATCGAGTGCAGCTGACGATCCAATCCACCTCCGCGCTGCACCAACTGTAACCAGAAATCGCTCGAAATTTGGCGCCTCGAGCTCGACCTGCCTCACATACTCGCTTCCTCATCGTCTCCTCCTCCTCCCTCCCTCCCTCCCTCCCTCCCTCTCGCCTTGACGACGGACTTGGACCGAGCTCGGAAGCGCAATTCTTGGGCTGTGATGGCGTCGCTTTTCTTGAGCTGCAGCGTTCCTTTTGAACGTCTCCGGCGCCCGCCACTTCCACTTCCACTTTGCACCGCAGTCTTCCGAGCGCCGTCGCCCAGCGGCCACAGTCTTTACCCTCCGGCTTTCGCTAACTCCATTCCATCATCGCCCATTGACTCTCTCTCTCTCTCGCTTACTTTATCGGCCCTGCCAAAATTGCATTCGCAGCCGTTAGTCTTCGATAAATCCACGTGGTCGAGTGCTATGGTTTATTTTTAGATACGGGTTATGAGTAAGTGAGTGAGTGCATCCATGTCCAAACCTTTGTCAGGAAGATTCTGCTAATCTAGCGGTTGGGCTAACTGTAGCAAATGATTATAGAGCGATTTTGGACAAAATATGTCCCAGTTTCATCGCCTTGCAGCACTTGTGTACTCTGTACAGTAAATTGAGTTTCTGGAGTTTCTGCGAGGAGGGAGAGAAAATAGCAAGTAGGAAGAAAACTGTGCTGTCAAGTTGAAATATTTACTTTTAGATCGGGAACAATTAAATTCGAGTAAACTCATTTCTCAATGAAATATAACAATACTTAACCAGTGTTTTTATATGGTATGGAAGGGAGGGATCCCTTAAAAACTAAACTCGGATGATTTAATAGAAAAAAGTTCACGAATTATTTAAAACGAAAAGTAAAAGCCAAACTTGCCATGAAGACGTGTCGTCTTCGTAAGTTGCTGTACTGATCGGCAGAAGCATAGCTGAATAGCCTCGAATGAACATTTTTGAACTAAAAAATTATCTATCACATTCCCACCATGGCATGTAGAGAGATGCACATCTGTGTTCTGAACTCTGTAAGTTGCGGGGGCGAAGAGTCGATCTGCAATTTGTAGTATTCTAGAAAGGAGAGTAAACGTTGTATACGTGATTTTCGTTATTAATACCAGTAGTTTGACTACGTACTCAAATTGTATACAGTGCGAGGTTGTATGATTATGAATTGCAGAATGATATAGCGAAAAGTGATCTCCGTTCAAGTACTACAAATATAATTCCCAAGGCATAATGCCCATATTCATGAAAAAGTCATTCAATGAAACAGTTATACACAAGTTACTTCCGTATGAATTATCAGAAATCTTGCGCGATTGAAAACATCACCTTCCTCATATTATAACAAGCACTTGCTTTCCGAAAGGATAAGGAGTAATATAAATGTATGGTAAAAAGTCACTTATGGAACAAGATAAGTCAATACATCATCGTTTTAGAACTAAAAGTTGTTACTAGCATGGTGGAGCCAATAAGCACGAACCTACGCACTTACGATGTTGCACACTTACTGAAGCAATAGCATAATAAATACTGTAGACCTACATTTTCACGAAATAGACAGGAGAAACGTGAAAACATCGTTGACTAGAGTGGACATCATTGGCTATAGGTCAGTATACTTAATGTTGATGTAGAGGATGGGGAAGTTGGAGCATGGCAGTGATGTAAATATGCGCGATTGAGGTTAAAGTCGTGAAAACACAAACCCCAGAAGGCGTCGTCCAGCTCTTTGTCATTTCATATATGGACGGATAACCTCAGCGTTACAGATTCTGCTCAATCTTCTTATCTTACAAGAGCTCGTCGCGTGCTCGCTCAATTACTATCAGAAGGTTTTCCAAAACTACAATATGGTGTACCATTGCTCACACCCGGTGCGCTTCTCAACGTACTTTCATCATCAACATAGCTACTCATGCTACTCATGGTGTATTATTTTCCTACATTGCTTAGTTTTTATACAGGTAAACCCCACGGTCTATTTCAGATAAAAACACTAATTTAACAGCTCTCTCGATATGGAGATACTTTTTACGGTGCATGAACTACGGGCTTCACTCCTTTCACAGTATCCATCAAGATATTACAAAATTAAAGACGTCCTATAGATGCTACCTCGAGATTATGATCCACCCATTTAAGTAGTCAGTTATTCAGCATGTCCACACCGGGTAGCAACTAGCTGCTGTGTAATTGCAAAGTAAGGTGAGATTGTAAGAGACCAACGTGAACGGATCACAAAGAAGTCATAAAGCTCGTCTTGAGTACTCGTAAAGCTGTGAGTGCCAACAGTAAAAGCTTGAAGTGGCTTAGATAATACTTTTTCATGTGGAAATCCACAACGAAACATACAAAGAAACTCCGGCCAAACGGCAGTGAGTGATGACAGTCGATTCGAAATAGGAAATGGCAGAAACAAAAGCATCGGCACATAGCAGCAAATTAGAAAGAGCAAACAAATAGATAATTATGATAATTATTATGCTACCAACAAGTACATGGGAACTAGAGATGTTGAGTGGTGAATAACCGTAAATTAGTGCCGCCCTTAAAATACCAGGTTCCATGGAGCTACGTTGGTTAACCAAAACATTCTTCGTCTCTTGCATGCTAGAAAATGTCATGCATGCGCAACTCAAATCTGATTGACGACAAAATATTCAAGATGGGAAATCAGACAGTAATAGGAAAATGGCACGTGTTATGCATGAATTGAAGCTGAGAGGCAATGAGAGTACAAACACGTGCCCAATAACAAAAATCCCAGTCGCTGCAGAACGGTAGCATACATGGAGACAGTATTGGCCTCTTGCAGTAGTGAGAAAACGAAGTGCGCAATATAGACGAATCATTCTGGTAAGATAGTCCTACAAAGACAGTCACGTAGACTGAGCTGCTTCATCAGCTGATACAAAGTTGCATAGGTTTCTGCGCTGGCCCGCGCAAAGCTGGGACAACTCAAAGCCCAACAAAGCAAGGTGACAGCGATGGTTGTTGCCGAAACCTATGGACATGCTCTGAGGAGCAGAACAGCGAGTAGAAAAGCACTATGCTATAGAACTGAGAAGAGGTAGTATGGGCGTCATACGCTTCTCAACAAAAGTACTTCAACCATCCGACACACTTTGCTCCAGTGAACAACCACACGAAACCATATTTTATCCACATTTTGCTCCATTTAACTAACACAAATGAAACATACTAATCGCCAAATGAAAAAAGATAGAAAACTTGTATCATTTTCAACAGGGCTTTTACTTCAAATTTACAATACCTGAATCAATACACATCCTCTCAGTGGAGTTGGAATCTAATTTCCTCGACCGATATTGAAGGATATACCATTCGGAAAGGTTCTGAAAGATGAGACTGAAGCTAACTGTCTTTCATGAAAAAAGTAAGTGACAACCCGCAGTACTTTCCCGCAGACTTTACATTCTCTTCATTTGAATGGAAGTACCTTGAGGGTTGACACCAGTATGTAACCCTGCATGTGCATGTATAACATGTGCATGTTCCACAATGCTGGTTGAGTAGAATTAAGATAATTTTCACCACTAATCTACGACATTTGTTTGCTTCAATTACCTACTTACAGCCCTTGAGACTAAAGCTGCTCCAGTGAGAGTACCTACTGGGGTGGCAAGACCAGGCGGCAATTTTACTCCCTGAATCCTCTTCTTACCCTGCATACTCCATTCGCGAATTGCAAGTAGAACAGCCCAAGTAGCTTCGGACGTCTTCTCTTTTATCATCAACATAAGAGCAGCTCCAAGCACTGTCTTCAAAATCTGGGCGTTTAGGCCTTTGTAGAAGCCGAAAAATCCTTCTCGATTCCAGATCAGAGAAAATGCCTGGTGCATTTTGCGGATAGGTTTGTCTTTGCTCTTATCCTTCACGTCATCGGTGTCTGCTGCCTGTATCATAACCTTCGACCTGAACAATGCGTGATGTGTAAGTAACACATACGACTTGGTTGTTATACAAGTTCATGGGCAAAGGCCGATTCGCTCATACATGCCGATCGCATCAATAAAAAGGTGTCAGTTTAAAAAAAGCAAGTGCACTTACCGGATAGCGGGATAGGTGATGACCGTCGCTATGGACTTCGATAAGGCGCCCAGTAGAAAAGCGCTGAAGGCTGATAAGACGACTGGGGCTGGCTCTCCTGCGACTCCGACTTGCCCTCCTCGAAGAAGACGATATTTGAGTTGCTCAAAAACAGTATACTGGGATAGATCAAATCAAACCACAAACTGCATGAGATATTCACCTAGACACACTACTGGATCGTGTTATGAAATCATCAAGAACTACTATGTGAAGCAAACAACAAAGCAAGAGTTTATATGGTATAATATTCCTGCTTGAACAACTACGCATGCGCAAAAATTTGGTAAACTTTTGCAGATTCAGCTCCACCCTACGTACGCACAGAGAAGTATCCGTGACTTGAGATAATGTGGGTTATACTCTTCAGTGTCGAGATGCAAGCCTGAGTCCACGTCAGCTGTTCTACTCTTAAAGAAATATGATAGTCCAAACAATCTAAACAGTAAAATGCGTGGGACCTATTCTTCGCAAGGAAGAGCAGATTCGTATCAGACTACAATACCTAGATGCCATTTACTGACATACCTGAATAGCAGGGTTGGAGCAGAGCACAAGAGACGGTTCTATTCCAGCCCAAAGTTCCTTCCAGGTACCCTCTCTGAATGTTTGCATGAGGGTTTTCGACTTGCCAAATGTGCTTGTTTGCATCCGAGCAGCAGCGGTATCTAGAGGCTGCAAGATCCAAGCTGTATTTGTTCAAAAGCATTCCCATGATCGCTCGGAGGAAAAACAAGAACGACGATGATTATACGGGAGAAAACAGTAGAAGTTGTACGGATTATACACAGTTGGTAAGAACGCATATGCTATACCTGAGTGAGAAGAGCAGTGCAGGCTCCCGCCGCTGCTGCCACTATGAGATTGGTTCCAGTACCCATGCGCTTAACCCCAGCGCGCTTGAGGTGATGGTTTTTGAAGAAGCTATAACTGTAGAAATAAATGAATTGGGACACGACTGATTGAAGGTTCTTTGTACCTAATCCCTGATACAAGGATAGAATCTTCCGCGACTCCACAGCTTCCCATAGGACATCCAACAAACTCCTGACACATCAACAATATCTCGAAACCATAAGATTCGTGACTTTTTGAGCCATCTTTGAACTCTTCATAATCTAAAATGTATGCTCGAAAGTACGGAACAAGTTTTGGCAAACTATCATACTAGCAAATCCCACCACATGCCAATGTGCAAAAGACAGTAAGGTTATGAAAATGCTTCACATGAGACTCCGATAGTTGAGGTAATGCGGTTAAGCCCAAAAAACACGAAGTCTGTTGGATGGTGCGCTCTCACCTATACTTCCGCGCACTGCCTGCTGTACTCTCAGCTTGATACTTGGTCTTGCATGTGTCCAACGGATAAAGAATAGTTGTACTCAGGAGGCCCCCAACTGCTCCTGAACTCGCTTCTGCGAGGGCCTCAAAATCGAATCCCATGGTGTTTCACTTCGCCGAGAAAAAATAGTTTTCTGCTACTCTCTTCACCTTTTTGTATTTCAGCTCAGATTACCAGAAGTGTGGCAAGCTTCTAATCACCCGGATGTCCGAACTATCGATCTGCTTGTGAGAATTTCTCTCACACAGTTTGGACCTCCGCTCTTAATTTTCGAAATGATTTGCATAACCCAAGTTTCCGATTCTACTCCAAGTTAATCCATCAACAGGAATCACAACGTTGAGAAGATCAGGTCTCACTGCTTGGTTCCCAGCTCTCAAGACCTGTTATATTCTGCAATTGATCTCGATGCAGTTTCTTCCTGATCGCACACTGCAGAATAATAAACTGTAAGAGCGTGTCTCTGCGGACTTTAAAAAGAAGGTAACACCCCTGACAGAATTCAGATGTAATCGCGGAGCAATTCAGAACACAATCCAACTCCAATGCCTGGAACCAGAATTTCAATCAGTAATCTCAAACAAAATTCCATGAAAATCTCCAAAAATGCAATTGATTGAACTGCAGTATGCCTCATCATCCACCACCGCCCGTAGGGCACACACACCCCACCGACAAACACATATTTGAAAAGACGCGACGAAAAACTGAAATTGGAGGGCAGATGATGAAATCATAATTTCCTCAACGCGCACTCCCAAGCTCGAAGCCTGCTGGTGCAACCCTGGGACGGGGGTGAGCTGCTAATTACCTACGCAATCGAATGGACTCGGAAGGCCAGAATCCCGAAATGTCCGAGCCGATCGCAATTGTACGAGTGAGCAGAAGATGAGACGGAGGGATCTTCGTCTTCGGCCGGAGGAAAGAAGAACAGTGCAAGCACAAGCAGAAGCAGAAATTGGCGTGTGTCCGAGCGTCTCTCCCGTGGCACCTCCTCTGTGTCGAGTATATCTGCTTGATCAGCCGACAGAGGGACTGCGGATTCTTCCACGGGATCTGATGTGTACGAGGATTTGTAATAGCTGCCGGTCTCTACACGTTCCAGTTTTAGATTCCTGATACATATTCGACACGTGGTGGTGTTCCGGAAACAGTGGCGCCCGTCAATCAGAGCAGGCAGGCATTCATTCCGTCGCGGGGCGGGGCGATCGCGCTTCGTAGGCTGCTCTGCTCTCGCTACTCGCTACTCGAGCGCTCCACTTTTCGAAGCTGTGCCCATTCCGCGGCCTCCACATTTGCTAAAATTGGTGCTCGCCTGGAGCAGCACCCGCTTCCGAACTCCGAGTCTCCACATGCTCAGCGCTCGAATTCAGAACCGGCTCAGAAAGTCACGCGCGCCCGTGACCTGTCAGATCGGTGGTGCGCTACTTGCTCGCGTCCGGCCCCTTTGTCGCTAGTCAAAGATGACCGACCAGCCCCCTTCCTTGAACTTCCCCCCTCTTCTTGCCCCTCGCGTCATCCGTGTTGTGCATCCCAGTTGGGCACGCGTTCTTGGACTGCAGTAGTCACATGACTTTGAAACTCCACTCGTGATACATGAGCTTCGATTTCATTTCTTATTATTCTCTATTGCAGATGTTCAAAGGGACTCAAGTCCATTTTTCTCTTAATCTTCATTATTCTATTGTTGTTGTTATTATTATTATTATTATTTTTCTTCTAGTGCAGGATACTCGAATCGCCTCAAGTATATTATTCTCTTCTTCATTAAAATATATATTTTCTAGCGCAGGATATTCAAATGGCCTCAAGTATATATTTCTATAGTTTTCAATTAAGTTCTGATTTTCGTTAAAAAAAAATTTTAGTGCAGCAAATCCAAATGTTCTCAAGTATGTACTCTTCTAGTTTTCAATTACACTCTTAGTTTTATTAAGAGACATTCTTCTAGTGCATGATATTCAAATAGTCTCATGTATGTGTCTCTCTAGTTTTTAGTTACACTTTTAATTTTATTAACAGACATTATTCTAGTGCAGGAGATTCAAATGGTCTCAAGTATGTGTCTCTCTAGTTTTTAATCACACTCTTAGTTTTAAAAAAATAAAATTATTCTGGTGCAGGATATTCAAATGGTCTCAAGTTTTATCTCTCTATTTCTAACTACACTCTGGTCTTACTCAAAAATATTCTTTTAGTGCAGGATATTCAAATGACCTCAAGTATAATTTTCTCCAATTTTTTTTATTCTCTCTCTTATTATTCTCCAATTTATACCTGTTGATCTTTAGAAATTATTTGTGAGAGTGTGATTTATTACCTTATATGTAGTTACATATTACTCCACCCATTAGATGTGTTATATGTTATGATAAGTGTAATAGCTTGGAATCAACTCAATCGAAACCAATCTAGAATTGATTTGGAAATATTAACTTCTGGTTCCTTGCGTTGTGATCATATGCTCTACAGAAAATATATTTAAGAGGGATAATGTACCATCCTCTCAAATGAGTCATGAGATTTAGCAGCCAAATATGGGCATCGCGAATACGCCCAAATTTTTATATTTCTACTCTTGAATTATATGGAGATGAGAACGACAATGTAACACTAGCCAAGAGAGCACAAAAAATCCCCCAATTGCATCAGGCAGTTTATTTCTTTTCTTAGCATTATCGTGTGATCTATTTTTATCATTTTCTATAGCATAAAAATCAGGATATTCAATCTCTTAATCTCTTAGTAGAGTTCAATCATATCAAATGCAACAAACATAATTACCATGCTGATATTTGGCTAGTCTTCGGTTCCGTCTCTCTAAGACCATATGGGCTTTTCAATACTTGGTCTTCCCTGTTAGACAGGCCTGACAAAGCATCTGATTTTTTTACCTCGTCAATGTGCACCGATGGCAAGACTGTAGAAGCATCTGCAGCTTTCTTCGAAGCTGAAGTCAAATACGACCTCAGATTCGGCCGAGCTGTTGAACTTTTTCGGTCAGTCTTTTGTGCTTTCCGTCAATTAACTCGAGCCTATGAGAGCCTAAATTCTAACCACGATGGATTTGGCCCAGTTCCCATTCCCTCTGTTGGCTCCACGCCGCCTTGTTTCCCACGTTTCACCGTCCCTGCCATATCCCTTTTCCTTCATATTTTGCCGGTTGGCCCTTCGATCGCCGTCAGTGTCGAATGCCATGTCGTCAGCCTGGAGATGGATGTCCGTGAATTTCTCGTGAAACTTCTCGCCAAAGAGTCTCTTGCCATGGTGAGGGAAGATCTCATTGGTCGAGACGCAATGCTCCGAACCCTCACTTCGATCGCTCTGACCAAAACAGCGAAACAGAAGGGTACCAGCAAACATTCAGAAGCGATCCCAGATTTGAAGATGCTCTCGACCATCTGAATGTTCTCCAGATCAGTGTCATGCAGTCGGCGATGACTTACCATCCTTTCATTGGCTGAAAACTTAGCCAGTTCAGAGAATTGAAACTACGGGGAGGTGTACCTGCTTCTCCCCAATTCCACTAACTCCTCCTACTTCCCTCCTAATCATGGAAGCTGGACCATGATATCAGGTGAGTCTTACGTCATCTGTCACCTTCCCCAGCTTTGACTTCTCCTGATCAGAGCAAAAACCAGCATTCGCCTTTCTCGCTGCTGCTGCCATTAAATTTGTCGAGATCCTCTCAACTGTTTCTTGTCCCGTTCAAGCCTTCCTTTCTCATTCCTCCCTAGAGTCGGATGGCGACTGGATTTCGAGTCAGTGGTTGTGAAGGATATGGCTCTCCTGTCCATTTGGCTCTCGGAATTGTGTCTCTAGTTGCCTTCGACATTCTGGATAATGAAGTGGATAGCCCAATGTTCAATCCGGGAAAGGCAGGTTCGAACGTTGGCAGCGTCGCCCCTGTATGCCATTTCCATACACTACTACCTTCCAAAACGCCTTATTTTGTCTTTCATTACTTTCTGATGAATTTGAAGAATGTCTTCATGGCATGAGAGTGGAGAACGAAACCGAAGAATTGCAAAGGCGAGGCCAAACTTGGTTCTAGTGGAATTCGCCTCCGCTACTTGTGGTTGCCTTTTCCAAAATGTTTGCAGTAATGTAATTTCCAACAGTTTCGGGCAACTGCATAGTCCCCTGCACTTGGTACCGCGAAATTTCTTATGATAATCGTGCCCATTGGGATGATAAATCACTAATGTGTGACTAATAAATCAACGACTGATGTGACATCGGTCGTTGATTGTTTCGTCAAATTCCAATGGTCATTGGAAGTATATGTATGCATGTAATTATAAAGTCAACAGGCAAAATGGTCCAACTTTTAACATCTCATTATTGTTTTTGATAACTGTGAAGAGAATATCACCTTCGTTCTTTGATGTTATTCACTTTGAAAAAAGTTTTGATGCAGAATTTTATATGTGTGTACATTTAACTTTAGATTTATAATCATAACATTCCAACTTAATTAAAAAATAATGTCATATTGATGCTATTTCTTGTGAATCTTCGGTTCTACAAAAACTTCAAAGTTCAACTATCTTTACTAAATTCCTTAATATTATTAAGAAGTTTGCATTCTTTAAACGTCAAAGTTGGTTTATGTGACGTTTAAGTTGGTTTACGCTATCATGTTTTAATATACAAAGATTTCTATGGAGTTTGCAAAAAGCACAAGTTTTGGATGTGCAAAAATGAGTTTGCATTGTCTACTATATTAATGCTTAGAATTTTTAAAAATGCATTGGAGTTGAATATTCCAAATCAAGGTCATATCAAATGACAATCAACATAGCAAGTGCCTCAACAATTTTTTTAAAACAAATCTCAATCATCGTTAGTTGGCCGTATGGAGGAAAAGACTAAGATTTGTAAGCATGCATGTTGAAATATAGATTGATTTATCAAATGGAAGTATTTGTATGATCAGCACATGATAGCAAGTCAACTTTTGGATGTTGAAAAAATTTAAAGACCAAAAAACAATTATGTCAAATTGTGAAAAAATGCGAGATCACAATTTCATTCAACTCTTATTGAACATAATACTACGTTACGTGAGATTGAGTTTAAGCTTTATGCCAAACAACCGAGTTTCAAGGATGTAAATCAAATATTCATCACTCAAAAGAATTAAAAAATATACGTCAACGCTGATATCATCATCATAACACACTGATGATGGATGAAAGTGATCTAGAAACAACACGAATTACAATAGATATTCTCTCTCCCCTTGATAGAGAAATACATATCATTCCTATTGCTATTTGTCGTAATTTCATATAAATGAATGTTAAATGTGTTAATTAAAAGTATTTTGATATGTTGAGCACATATACACTATTACATAGATCTGAAATACAAGCGAAGATCCATGATATAAGATAAAAAGTTAATCAAAATCCAAATAATGTTGACAAATTTCCAGGTTGCTAACATTGATTATGATAATTTGATCAAATCTGAATCTGTATCATATAGAGAAACGAAGTTTAGATGTTGGTTGCCATTGACTTGCCCGTGTCATTTGTCTCACTACAACGTTTATGTATATGATTTAGTATAGAAGTACTCAAATAGCTCGGGATGAAATTTTGAGGAGTACCATTTTGTTTTCTCATTTTCTCTACATATTTATTGTTGCTTGCGCTTCCAAGATCTATGAATTGTCTTTGACTTGCTCCACATGTCATTTTGCAAGGAGTGTTTTTTGTCATAATTTATGCAACAAAATTCTTCGTTAGAGTTAGCTGCGCACAAACAGCGTAGTAAATCAATTAGAGTAGATGATGCAGCTAGTGACAATCATGGTAATTGCAACAACATGCCATTCAAACAAATGTGATGAATTTTATAAAAAAAAATTTGAATGATTGATGTTAGAGTACAAAAATTTAGGTTGAAAATGCCATCAACAAAGTTATAACAAATTGTTAAGCTAACATGAAAGTATGTGTATTGTGGTTGATCTCCTAAGTAATGTAACCTGATTAATCAAATCAATTATGTTAATATTTTTGTGTGTTTTTTGCCTTAGCTCACAATTGATGATGATCAATTTTGGACTAAGACAAAGAGAAAATGGTCTTGTGACTTCAAACATTGTCTTTATCTCCAAGATGAAATCAACGTCTTATTACAATGAATGAATCACAAAACGTGAGTTTGAAAGTTGAATTTAATAGCTTTAACAATAGTTGAATATTTTTGTGATAATGTTATTTTATATTGACATATAGATTTCACTGAAACAAATTGTAGAAAGAAGTAGATAATCAAGGGGATGGAATTTGAATTTAGAGCGTGAGGAAACAACATGAATAAATTATGAAATATCTGTCTCCACTTTTATTTGTAACATGACGAGATCACGGTGTAGAGTTCAATGTTAAAAAATCACCTTTTGCAATCAATTGATTGAAACAAAGATAATCCAAGACCACATGTTTCAGCCAATTTCTCTCAGCATTGAAAATGCAAAGTAACCAACTTGTACACACATGAAACATTCGCATTTGATTTGTTAGTGTAAATTTCATAATGTTAGCAAGTACTAGGTTGAAAACGCCATCAACAAGTTTGTGTGCACCAATTTAGTAACATATATTTAAGCCACATTTATTTACATATTAACATTTTTTCAATTTTCAGTGCAGATGATTCGATCACATCAGCTTACTCGAAAATTTGTTTGAGCAATTCAACATAGTTTTGTCTGAAAAGTAGATTGTGGTATAGATCAGACTGTGTTAAATCTGGTAATTTATTTTTAAACACAAAAAGTTGGCAGAATTAATCGGCCAAAATTTAGAGACACCAAAGTTAGCCATAAGGAATTTTAGCGCATGCAGACAAGGTAAAGGCGGAGAGGAGAAAATTGAGATACCAATGCATACTCCCTAATTGTCCATGACTGCTTTTGCTGGTGACTTGTAGATCTCGAACACTCCGTGTGCTTGTAGGTGCTCAAATTTTTGGTATTTCAAAGTCAGAGGAAAGCAAGTTGCGCATGAAAGTTTGCTCAAAAATTTTGGTTCTTCGAAGTTAGTAGTAAAGCAAGTTGCACCACGAAAGAAAAGAAGTAAGAAAAATACAGCTTGCTTACATTTCATTATTATTATTTTCACTTCTTTACTTTCAAATTATTTTTGTAGCATATTTGTTTTGATCATTGTGAGTTTTTTTTGGCTGCAATAAAAAGAACCAAGTACATTTCATAGCTTTTTTTGACTTTTTAATTTGCATATCAATTCTATAGTATGTATGTTTTGATCATTGTGAGTTTTTTTTAGCTGCAATAAATAGAACCAAGTACATTTCATAGCTTTTTTTGACTTTTTAATTTGCATATCAATTCTATAGTATGTATGTTTTGATCATTGTGGGTTTTTTTTTGGCTAGAGTAAAAGTTCTCAAGCAAGTTTCACATTTTTTTTTCATTTCTATAGCATGTTTTTTTTATAATTGTGAAACTTCTCTTGGTAGAACAAAAGTGCTCAAGTACATTTCAAATCTTTCTTTCATATCATTTTTGTAACATGTTTGTTTTGATCATTGTGCATATTTTTTTTAGATTAAAGTGATCAAGTACATTTCATATCTTTACTTCATAAAATTTCCATAGCATGTTTGTTTCGATGGTTGTGCTTTTTCTTCTTGGCTCAAATAGAAGTATCCAATTACATTATGTATTTTATGTTATTTTATTTTATTTTTCTCTCATGTCATTTCTACATCATGTTTATTTTAATCATTGTGTGTCTTTTTTGGGTTGAAATAGAGAGCTCAATCAACTTTCATTTTTTTTCCATATAATTTTTGTAGCATTTTTGTTTTGATCATACTCCGTCTTTTCATGGCTAGATTAAAAGGACCCAAGTGATAGCAAAGCATTTGCAAATCATCATAAGTCAAACGACGTCATTTCAGGTCAAACATGCGATTGAATTTGATATCCAACCGGTCTAGCAATCTATAGACGTCAACATCACGAATGTTTAATATCTATTGTTAGTGCATATGGGTTGCAAAAAGCAAGAGGGTGTTGGTGTGAAGCGTCAACAAACCAAGAACACAAAACTATTTTAGATTTTGTTTCGTCTTGGGCCTAAAAAACACAAGGAATATGAGCATCTTGAAGAGTGAACCATTATTAACTGCTTTCGCATCAAGAGAAGATTAGTTTTTTCAAGGAAAAAGATGTATCAACATTCACTGTGTTTTGGACACAGATCATGACACTCTTCAATTTGCTATTTCTTGATTTGCAATCGTCAAGGTTGTTGTGGGAAATTTATTTGTTCATCGAGAGTAAGACAAAAAAGATAATGCATCCAAACCAATCACCAAGTCAAATGCCATGAAGTTGTTTAAACTGCAGCAAAATGAATCATGTGTGATGATGATCAAGAACTCTTTGTGATTCAACTTTGTCATGCAACACTTTTTTGTTGGATTTTCATTTCGGCATATGTGCAAGATAATCGAACAATATCGTGTGGCGATCAAGAATCCAAAGCTTAATGATCTCAATGTTCACATGTTTTGTTTGACAATATTCTACGCTAGCTTGTACAACATCCGCCAATTGATGATACATGTGATTGACAAACGACGTGTTCAAGTGCCGTCCACGAAGTGGTTGATGATCTCAAGAGGTCTATCATCATTTTCTTAGCGGATTGCAGTCACCATCTCCTTAATTCAATCTTCAAAGTTGATCATCTCTAAGCTGTCAAAGCTTATGACAAACATTACATACAATTTGGACATTCGTTCTACTACGTTGAACAAAATTGAGTCCATCATAATCATTCAGCAAGATGATTTGTTTGTTACAAAAGATTCTATCGTCATGCACATCCGAGATCAAGGTTCGTGGCCACGAGATCTATACAAAAATGAAAGCTTTCAAAAATGAACAATAACAAGCATTGAAAGATATCGACAATTTTTCACATTCCATTGTGAAAAACGTGGTTCCAACAACAATGTCAGGGAATTGAAAGCGTCCCCGCTATGTCATCGGATTTAGTCAAGATGTGTCTTACTATGTTTATGAGCAATGTGATGGATCAATACCTTGCGCAGCTAAATAAACAATGGAGCATGGACATGATCAACAAGGCGGAGAGCAAACACCGTGACCTAGCGTGATCCGAATGTCAAGGAAGTTCTTAACAAGCACAACAAAAATAGACTTTTTAACGAGGCATGGAATTGTTTGAATGAGCGCTTCATGCACTTACGTCAATTGTGTGGTGGATTAGCAATTGCGTTTACTAATACAACGTCATTTGAAAGCCCGTAGCATGGGAGAAAGATGACTAACGTAGCACCCTGACGAGCCTTACCTTGGCGGGTATTATGCATGGAAAGCAATTTGAAACGTCGAAAAGGATTATCACCAAGATCTCGGATGAAAAGTAATGAAATTACAATGTTAATGCGAGAATGTTAAATCTTACCAAATTTACCCTTATTTTGGCAAACTTGGCATTTGCCAAATTTTAGACGGTATGGTGTAGGGTGATATAATTCTCATCAATTAGAAAAAAAAGAAAAATACATCTCTATCCAAGATGGGGAGTTGGCGAATCACAGTTCCTCTAGGTCGAATTTAACCTTATCCTAGCCGGAATGAATAGTGATGGTATTAATTCAGGGATGGGTGTTGATACTCACTATATTTTTGACATCGACAGCACTCCCTAAATCATTATCATTGCTGTTCAGCTGTCTAGAATTTTAAAACTTTCATCATCTTTATTTCAATTGTCGAGAGATTAACAGCGAAGGTAATGATTCAGGGAGGGATGTCGATACTGCTAGTTCACCATACTTTTGGGATCCACAGCAACCCTGAATGATAATGATTCAATGTCGAGAGATAACAGGGATGGTAATGATCCAGGGAGGAATGTCGATACTGCTCCTTCCCTATACTTTTGATATCGACACTAATCCCTGAGTCATTACCATTGCTCTAAATTTCTCAAGTATTTGACACTTCCATTATTTGGATCCGCCAGCATCAGGATAAACAATTATCTACAAGCATTATTAAAGAATCTTCCTGTAGATTTGGTGGAGTAAACTGAACGGATTTTTTCTGTCGATGAGGCGCAGGTAATCTTGGACCAGAATTTGAAGCAGGAACCCACCGTATCCGGATCCAGATCGGTAACTTCCTTCTCCTTACTTCACTTTGGGCTGGAGATAAGGACAAGATTCTTCCGGGAGGATTCGTGTAGATAGCAATATTGTTTTCTTGTTTCGTGGCCTCGTTGGAGGGTTTAATGACAAGTCATTCCCTTTGAAAATCCCCTTAGCCGAGCAATAACTATATTTTTTTCTATTCGCGATTTCATGACATGAACCTCCGTTTCCTCGTTCCTTTGTTAGTGTCGTTCTTCCTACTCGCTACCTTTAAATGGCGCAAGTTGAATTCTCTCGATTTTCATACCAGGTCCATTTCGTTCTTAAAGGAGACTTCATGTTACGAAATTTGTCCACTGACTGTGAAAAGTTTAATTGTTCAGAGAATCTCCTTTACTCTGACATTTCACAACCACTGGATCGCCCTTGCTTGTTGAATCCGCCACGGGCCTTTGAAAATTGTGATACAGCTCGTAGGGATATTAACCAAGTCTACCGTGTAGGTCAACACGTACCCCGTCTACTGTGTCACGCAACCAGCTATTTGTTTGCCTTTTGGCAGAAAGAGGTCAACAGAATTACTTCTCTGATTTACGGCCAATTCACGACACTGCATACTGCCCTTGTACTTGTTGAGAACCATGCAAGTTAATGCGTTCGAAGGCTGCAAGTTAGATTCCAATCAATCGCAATAAAGTACAGTTCTCAGCTGGCGAATGGGCACTCTGGATCTCTTGGAACCACTGCCTGAGGATCCTTCGAAGACCCAGTATTAACACCAGTATATTCTAGAATTCACAATTGCACGTTGACAAGATGCGTATACAACCCCTCTTATCGACGATAATCCGTCAGGGACAAGTTATTGAACTATTTATCTCTTTTGAGATACTCAATGAAGTGTTCTATCACCCAACTTATTCTAAGCCTTTTCTCCCATTCTGAAAAATGAATTGTGATCTAGATGTGGAGATAAGTCGTCAAATAGAACATGGTTGATCCCCGTCGTCTGTGTCCAGCCACGTACTGATGTCTTCCTGAGATACTTAGGCTGCTTTTGCGTGGATAGCATCAACTCCTGTCGACAGTGGCTCATCTGCAAGGACACTTTTGGGACCGCTGAGACGCGTATACGACTGGACGAAGCGAGTCTGTGAATGGACGAGCCGAAAAAAGGGTCAGATTCGCTACTTGGTAACTTACAGAAATTTTCATCACATAGGCACTTTCCGATAGGAGAGAAGAGCGAAGCAACCCATCAAAACTTCATCCTACATGCCTGAGTATAGTCTTCTCCATGTCTCTAATTTGAAACAGGCACGAGCTGACAGAAACGCTTACCGACTGAAAGGCTACTAGTGTCCACCAGCTCCCCGCCAAACCTACTCCAAGCTTGTTACACAACTGCCAGAACAAGTACAGAAATGAGTTGTTTTACAAGTAATCCTCGGAAAATTTTATGACATATTTGATTCGAGTACGAAATATGGTTGTTGTGTGCTGATATTGGCACTGTCGATGTTCCTATGACAAAGTTATCAAATACGTTCTATCAGCATCCTATGTCTAGTTGGAAGATATCCCAGACCATAGAACATTGCACAAATTATCTCCTGATTTACAAAGCGTCGCACTCACGAGAAGAAGAAAGCTGCCACCCAAGAAACAAGACGCCATGCTGTAGCCAAGGAATTTCAAGTCTCTGCCAGCCTGTAGAGATTCCACTTCATTAAGAGAGGAAAGTAGCTTCAAAACAACTATAGCGGGGACTTTCATGTCCAAATGTGTGTAGAGGACACGGATGAAGTCAACTGTTTAACAATTCACTAGATTGCTCCTTCCTGGACCCTATCGAAATGAACTAAATGTCGTTAACCTCGTTAACATAGACTTCCGTTCTAAGTGTGGAACTACTCTTCCACCACAGGCACGAACTTATGGGTACTTCATCAGTTCCTCGCAAACGTCAGACGAATGATCAAGCCCTAGTATGTGGGAAGTAAAATATGGAACATGTACTTCAAAGCAACAAAACACTTACCAGCAACGTCCCCTCACAAGATAAAGTTGGGGGTGTCATCATGAGACTGAGGAAAAATGGTAGTGTTATAGCTCTCATCTGCAAGCAGAAAAAAAAAGGTGATTTCACTCAGTACATGTCTACGAGTATGCATACATTTAGACTAGACAAAAAGTGAGAGGACTCAGAGAGAGCTCTTACTTGACAGTAAATTCAAAAGCTGGAATGAGTATCCAGAATCCCACCTGACTGATGATCATCGGGTCACTTGTAAATATGCCAGGAAACAACCATGGCACCGAGACAGCTAAACAACCGAGAGTTACTCCAACTACCATGCCGATGACTATCAGAGTACGTAGTAGAGAGCGAGCCTGGATACGAGCAACCAAACCTGGATTAACTATGAGTACTTAAATAGAAGGAGAGAGGCAATTCAGATTATATTCAAGATTTGTACAAATGAAGCACACGAAGCTGTTCAGTGGAAGCAAAGGACTGAAGAAACAGCTATACCTGTTTCAGGTTCCGGTTGGTTCCATATATAAGCGCAGGCATAAATGACTGTGCAGTTTGCGCCAGAGGTTCTCCCCAGACAGTACACAGCGAAAAGACACCAATCATGACCTGTGTTGAGGAGGACATTATTAGTATCTGGGATGACGGAGTTAACAACTCGATATACTGTAGGATTGTAAACCTACACGCATCCTTATTCAGAGGTCACGTTCACACGTGTGCAATTAACGAGTAGCTATGGTTTGGGGCAATATATAAGCGAAGCAAGGAAAGATCAACTCTGTAGTACCTGATGAGCTGCAAGTGTCAAAGCGCCCATCGAAGTAGCGAGGTATGTAATGAGAGTGTAGAAACAAACCTAAAAAGTTACAAATCTTAGTAAAGAGCTCTTACTCTTAGGTAATCAGAACTACAAGCCCCTTCGACCAATGTACATAAAATTTCGGATACTGTTAGGACCACTAGACTTCATGCAAGAGGTTGTAGAAAAAAAATCACGATACACTTTTCCCACAATAGTTAGGAGCACTGGACTTCTTGCATAATGGTTTCGACCTTGCCATTCCAAATACGCGAAGACTTCAAATAAGCATACTTGGCATACCTTAGAGAGCATTGACAAGAGGATGGGAGCGGCCAACTTCATTATGTGCGATAGATCACTCCAGGATGGAACACTTATGGCCAGTGGATTGTATCCCTTGTCTCCAAGTGATTTTAACATCAACAACCCCGCAATGTACTGCATGGTTGTACACGTTCATAATCCTTTTAAGCATATAACAAGTCTAGCACAAACAACTTTTCTGAAAGTAAAGAAAGCTACTCCCCTTGTTTTCACTGAATAAGCGCAACTACATTTCATGTCTATGAGTCAACATCAGAAAAATTGGTGAAGGATGCAACCCGCTGTCGCTCTTGCATAATTGTATTCGATCAACTTATCTCTAAAACTTACAGATACATTACAAGAAGGTTGGTTTACAAACCTGTGATGCCATGGTTGCCCATGCTGCCCCTGCAATTCCGTAGTGGAAGAAACTACAGAGTACTATGTCTCCGACAAGGTTCACACCACTAGCAATCGCCAGCACTTTCAAAGGTCCCCAGGAATCCTTCATACCTAGACTGACATACGCAATGCTATGTCAGACATCTTGAACATTACAATATTTCACGAATACTTTGGTTCAACTCAAACTCACTCCAAGTACCAAGAAGCTTACGCTTTTTTATAAGCTTATGTAGAAAACACCGAAGGTGGAAAAAGCGCAACCCACGTTTACCTGGCACTCTGAGAAACCATACCGACCAGGACTATCGGCCAAGCTAATGCCCTTATCTGCCACATGCGGTGAAAAGTGCAACATACAATTTAGATCTTGTGACAAGAAAAGGCTCTCGCAGTGTTGTTTCAGTGTCATTCGCGATAATAAGAAGCCTGAAAATCTCAATGCCTTTCGATAAGAACAGAGATCTTGTCATATGTTGAAGGTTTTCAAATATCTCCAGTAAATTGTTAGGAGGAAGGTTAGATGTGTTTTACTTGAACATATGTTCGAGCAGCAGGGATTATAGAGTAGTTCTTGACGCCAACAAATGCTGCACAAACAGGGATTATCATGAATGATTCTGGGTATCTTTCACACAATATTCTCTCCGTTCACCGAATGAAATCCTCATATCTGACATGTGTATTTATACAATCGAAAACGGCGGCTATTGAGGACTAAGCTGTCATACCTTGCAGGAGATTGGTAGAAAAAATTTCTATAATGAGCATCATGGCTACACCACAGAATAAGGAAATAAATAAGAGTCGAGAAAGATGTCCCGCTGCTTCGGCTTCATCCTACAGGAAAACACAAACGCTGCAACGAATTATAACATCGTATGGCAAGCTAAATTAAGCCGCTTTCAGCCACGCGATCAAGATCCATAAGGCCATGTGAAGGGTAGAGCAGGTAAAGGTACAGTGAACAAGGAAATTCAAGCGACTGTAACCTTATGCGCCAAGGCGGTAGCGATGAGATTGGATGTGGAGATTGAGAGGAACATGAATACGTAGGACAGTTGATCACAAAGAACTGTGCCTGGCCCTGTATTGATCAAACAGACCAAGCTCGTTACGACTGCAATTTAGTTGGCGGAAAGTACACGAGTTGCTTTACGACATGTGACAGGCTCAAGGAAATAACGTCTCAAAAAAAGCACAACATTATTCTTTGATTGTTATTACATTTGTAGGCGCTATGACGTCTTCGGGTGACAGTGCAAGAAGTTTCCTGTTATCCTATGACTCGGCTCCATAAACAGAAGAAGATATTTAAAGTGTAACTAACCACAAATACGAGTGCGATTTCTTGATTGGCCAATTGAGTAGAACTGCATTACGATTAGCACACCTGAAATATGAAACGACAGATAGACAAGTTGACAATGAAGATTTCGGATAATCCGCACCTAGAGCAGCCAGCTCCAACGAGCTACTTTGGCCCACGACGGCCGTGTCGATAATGCTCATCAGCGGCCCTGAAAGCCAAATTCCAAGCGCGGGACCAGCGAAGACAAGTATTTCTCGCATTTGCTCGATCAGACTCTTGGTTTCGTCTCCTGAACCTATAAGAGCTGCTGCTGCTTCCTGATTTTCCATACTCTCCAGAATTTCCTGATCAAGCTCGACTTTCTGTTCCTGCTGTTCGCTTGCATGGCCATTGTCTTGGACTTTGCGCTCAGCAGCAACGTCAAAAACGCCAGCCGCAGCGGCAACGGCTGCAGATTTATACTGATCACCGATGCGCTCTTCATTTCCCTCGACATTGGACGAAGGTGAGAATTGTTCTTCAGCTGTAACCCTCACCTTGTCTTTATCTAGAATTTTGAGACCTTCAATTCCTGCCTCAGAGTAAACAACATCCGTGTCTATTCCAGAAATTCGAATTAATTCAGGAGAAAATTCAGACGGTAACTGGATGAATTCCGAGGCATTATCCGCAGAGCAAAAAATGCGGCTCTTATTCGCTCGTCCATGACCTCCAAAATGAATGCGTTTCGCACGACGATTTGAGAGAATGGGACCGACGTTGAGCTGAGCTTCGTGTGTAATGAGGTGGGAATTCACGAGAGGATTCGCTCGAAAGCTACCCCTCGAGTGCCCAGGAGCGCAAAGAGCTCGAATTCCAGTCGCCCTCCCGAGCCTTTCACCGCTTTTTCTCAACTGATGAAATTCACTGGCGTACACTGGCGAATGAAGCAGCTGAGCTGCTCCACCTCCCATTACAGAACCTGTTATGACCGAATTCCAACCGCCTGCTGGAAAGGCTTCGAGGGCAGAGCATGTAAGAGACGAAGCCGAGCTCTCTCTCTCTCTCTCTCTCTCGGTCCCAAGAGTAAAAGGCGCGAGAGCTGGATGTCGATCTCTGCCGGTCACTCCGAATGGGCCGGTGACGTCGTCGTCCCCAAACTCTGAGGATGGTGCAGGACGACGGGCGCTTCTATGCTGGACGATGTTCGTGGTCGGTTCCCTCGGCGACTATGGCTCTCTCTCGGAGCGAGGGACGAGGAGCGACGAGCGAAGAATGAGAGAGCGAGCGAGGAGAGCGCAGACCTCGGAGCCTGCAGGACAACGGACCAGCGGTCGCCCGGATCTGGTGATGCATTCAGAGGAACGCGAAGTCCCACGTGCTTAATGAGGAACACCTGTGGTTCGGACGCGCTGCGTGCTCTAGTCCCTACAGGGAACGAGTTCCAATCGAGAGCCGCCGCCGTCGTCGTCGCCGGTCCGGTCCTTCCCAGCCATACACATTCTTCAACATCCTTTAATGCCCGAGTAAAAGGGAGAGCGACCGACGTTTTCCAAAATAACTAAGCCCCGAATTCTTTTTTTGCATTTAATACTATCGTGCCTGGTCTAGCCCCTAGGTTCTGTTCCGTTTCACTTTGCCATCTGTGAACAATGTGTTGACTCTCTTGTTTACTCGTTGGTGGCTATCGAGAGAGAGAGAGGATAATAGATGAAGGGAGTACATCAAGATATTGTTCCCAAACAAGGAGAGTGAATGAAGAACTTTTTTATTACACATTCAACTTGGAACTTTTATATTCATTTATAAAATACTGAGAAAATGAATATATATTTTTCTTCCGATATGTACATTATTTTACCATGAATCTACTAGAAACCACGTTATAACATCATTCAAATATACATATAGAAGTATTCTTGAGACTTATAGTTGAAACGCTATGCCCGAAGTGGTAGTTTTACATGTGATAAGAGGCTAATAATGACATGCTCAAGCCAATTATTGAACCATCTACAACTTCGTCTAGAGCTGTGTGCCTTTGTTTCTAAGTACTCCAAGTCGTAAAGATACTCAAATTTTATGTAATTTCTTTCAAACTATACCAATGAACTATGTGCACATGACAATATTATCACTTCAATAAATCCCCGTAATATATCACAACCTTGATTGATAGTCTTGGATATGTACATCACGTAGCGATTAGCTTCATTAGTTTCTGTTTCAAAACGTTCATGCTCATTTTTATTACATTCGTTTCATGCATTCACATAAGTTGATATTTGATAATACTTTCATCTGACAACACATAGTTTCATTTACAAGTCAAAGTGTATTCTTTCTTCTCGTATTTTGAAGACGATTTCTTACTTATACTAGAGAAAGGTATGTTGTATATAGGGAGATAACTACTTCATTTTGAAGAACATTTGAAGTTGATTGAACTACATATTTAATCTTTTTCTACTAACCACATAGAAGACTCAATTTCAACCTCATTAAACTCCTGATTTGGCTAACATATAGAATATCAAGTCTTGCAAAGGAATATAAAGGATTTTCATTTTTATTTAATTTTTTTCCTGCCGCTAGTTAACATCAATCCATTGAATATTTTGATAGATCTCTAAATTTATCATGCAGATAAGCAATTCAGTTGATAATTCAAATCTATCTTATTTTCTAACACAAATTTCATGTGTATGCATCAATCAATAGAAACTATGAATTAGATTCATTCACACATCGTGCTAAATATATTATCATTTTGATATGTCATTTCATTTATGTTTGTGATATTCAAATCTTGCACAATATAATCCTATAATATATTATCAGTATATATTATCATATATTTATTATCATTTTTGAATATGAAATTTTCAAATATGAATTAAAAGAAATTTCAAAAGATCTATATTATTTTTTATTCATAATCTCATAAAAAAATTTTATGAAATATAGTATTTCATATTGAAATCCCTATTTTTTTGGTAAGATCATCAGAATTCATCATCTTTTGAATCCATTCTTTTATTTAAAAATTTATTAATAAATAATGCTAAAATTAATTACAATTTTAATTATATTTAGAAGCTTGAATAAATTTTTGAATATTCAAAAAAATATTTATTTTTCAAATTTTCTATTTTATTATATATTTTAGATTTCACATTTTTATTTTTTAATTAAAAATCCAAGATTTTAAAAACTTTGCCAAAATTTATCCCGCATTTTTATACATGACATCAAAGCAACTTAACCATTGATTTATATTTTATGAATATGTATACAATAAAATCAAAAACATAAAAATGTATGTTTATTTTCATGAAATAAATGTAAATTTATTTTCATGATAGATATGATTTCTAAAATTCCAATTCCTTCACTCGTTTTATAAATTTCAATCTTACATTATTTTTTCATATGAAAAAATAAAGTGACATTTAATTCATTAAAATAAAGCTTAACCAAGATGAAGACAATGTATCCATTTAACTGTCATATTGTCTATATGTGTGTTTGGTAGACAGATAGTAAGTGTGTTAGTTGATAACGACAAGTGAACAATATGTCTTATTGTTAAACAGATCTGCCATATTATCAATTTACTAGAGTGTAATGGATGGTATAATTTTTCTTATAAGGAATATTAACATTATACTACAAAGCTTTCATTTTAAAAGTTGTGTTTTATTTTTGAGTTTATCCCTAATGTTACAATGTGATCTTGAATTTTGACATAAATTTTTTTATCATGAAATTTAATATCTTCAATAAATCTTACAACATGCTTGAACTTCATTTTTATGAAATCAATTCTAGAGAAGGCTAAACAATGCATTATAATTTTCATAATTCATTTGTTTAAAAATAAAAAATTAGAAACGTAATATAAGGACATTCTTTTACTGTAAATCTGTGTATTGTTTGTGACCGCTTTATTTCACAAATGACTAATGTTACAATTGGCTAGACAAGTTCAATTTTGAGATTCAAATGTGATTGAAATTTACTAGCTTTGGCTTGCTCCTTCAAACTCAATTGATGTATTTTTCACAATTCTATACATAGTGAAAGAACAAGCATATTGTAACAAATGTTGATGAAACTCAAACCGACTTCAATATTCTCACGTTCTTGAATATTTTGTCTATTTGTATGATGTTATCACAAAATTTAATCTTACAAAATCATGAGTTCATTTTTCAAAAAAATTTAATTTAGCTGTAGCACATAGATTTTATTTTTTAATTCATCACGTGTTCAACTAATCGCAACATAAAATTTTAGAAATTACATCATATTCATTTGAGTATCGCAAGACTTTTTTAAGTGTTATTTCTAAAAGATTTTTGTTAATGAAGTTTGTTGAGAACTCTCAAATTAGATCAAAGCTTTAATCACGTTTGCAAAGCTAAAATAGTCATAAATTGCCTTAGCAAAATTCTATCGCCACTCAAAAATTTATTTTTAATTATACCACATAAAATTTTGTTATAACAAAACAATCTAGTAAATATTTTTTGAATCATACTTCTTGATTCATTTAACATTATCTCGAACTAACTTCTCTTCTAATAGCTTCAAAGTTCAAAATCTCTTGCTTCAAACTTTTTTTTGGAATTCTAACATAGGTACTCACAATTTGATTGTGCAAATCTGCCATCATGTCATAACTTCAGCTTTTGAATGTAAACTTTACTACCTTCTTTCATACCTCTCTTGTTGTGGAAGACAAACTTTCAAAAACCTATTTTTAAATCAAGTTTGATCAAGTCTAAACACATTGGCAAAAGTTCAATTTAAATTTAATCATTGAACATCTGTCACAACGTCTTGCATCTTGCACAAAATGTCTTTCATCTCTTGAAAACATTATATCTATTTTTTCCATTTTTTGCATCTTTAATTTATTTTTTGGTTTACTTAATAATCAATATTTACAAACATAATGGAGATAAAAAAACGTTCACGCACACAAGATATTAAAAAAAATCATAATGCTCTTCATACTTCTTTTAATCAATAGTCTAGTTTGGATATGAAACAATGAATTTTTGTTGCAACAAATTTTCATCCAAATTCACAAACTATATTAATTGATTTAAAGATCTTGAGCTTATACAAACAACTTCTAACATTCGTCAATGTCTTGCAACTTTTATTTGCATTTGTATAACTATCATATAGCTTTGAGATTTCACATGAGTCATTTTGCAAATAGTTTATTTTTACCCATGCTTGTGATAAAAATCATGAATTATGTGTTTTAGTTGGCAGTTATTGCCCTTGCAACACATTGCTCTCCTATGATATCAATTGTTAGCTCATGTATAGAAGCTAATCTATATTCATTTTGAAAATAAAATACAAGATTCTAGCTATTTAAGTTTATTTTGAAAATTGTATACATACATTTAGTTGTTTAAAGTTGTTGTGTAAACATTTAGATCAACATTAGAAATAAATATTTGATGGTATTCATGCAAAAGTTTTGTTGGGATTCAATACAATTCAATTTATACTATGCATACTCTCGACGGTTTTACATTACATCGTCATCTATGTTCCAATACAAATTCTTGTAATCTGATAATTTGACGTTATAGTGTCGGAGAAAGTACTCATACTATTGGAATAAATTATTCTCATATGAGTATTTTGTCCATGAGGCTGAAGTGCTCCGTGAGATTGTTGTGACAAAATGCAAATCAAAATATGCAGGAAATTCACGATAATCATCGCAATGTTGACAAACAACAAATTCTTGTTGTGACTCATCCAAAGTTTCAAATTTTTGTCTTCAAGGTCACATTTTATGGCATCACACGTTTTCCAAATTCTTGTAGTCATTCGTCATTTTTCATGATGAGTTCATGTTTGGAGTTGCGCAATTCAAGTTCCTTGTCAATGAGAAAAAGCCTGCATGATTATTTTACGCTGGCTGAAATTCCCATATCAAATCAATAACATGAACATTTTTCCATTTCAAACATGATGAATTCATTTTGGTAAGTCAAAATCAACGTGGGTTTGTACATTAAGAATTTGGCTCCCGCGACAGTCATGTAATGAGTTCGGACTTCGTTATCTATTCTAACGATCGAACCTCCGACATCTACTTCAAGACGCACACTACCAATGTCACCAAAGTCATCACCTGCAACGTCGCAAGCCTCATACTCAAAATCACCAAACAATAAATCTTTGCATCGTGCAACAAACATCCTCATGTCTTGTTTGCTTTGTCGATAGATTAATCGATCGCGAACAATAAAAGCATAACACTACAACAAGACGCAACTCTTGCCAAAACATGATGTGAACCTGTTTGTTTAGAGATCTAGTTAAGGTTTGCTCTCCTCCTATAGAGTACACTGAGATCTAGTGACTAAAGTGGGCTGTATCCAAACTAATAATCGTAGTGAAATATGAGAATGATGTGCTATAAGTTTCTCATGGAAAATCTCATCGGTTATAATGAATTGTGTTGAGTACCAACAGTTATTTTGCAATATGCAAAGATAACATCAATTAAGTGTCTCCTAACATTGACTTTGCAACAAATTGCTTTAATTCTAATTTATAAGTCATGTACACCAGCAAACATACATAGTCTTTGAGAAGAAAACACAAACAAACAACCAAGAGGGAGCAATATGTTATTCATCACTACGGTTATTTTCACAACAGTAAAAAACTTAACAAAAATTCTGAATTGTGTCAATTGGAACTATCGTATATTGTGAAATATTAACTAGATAAACTAATGAAAGTTGAAGTAGTCAAAGTTAGATGAAAAGTGGGTTAATTGTTTAAGTACAAAATGTTCAAAATGAATATCAAAAAATTAATAAAAAAATTATTGATTTCAAAATGAGAAAAATGTAATGAAAATGAGCAAGTATCACAAGATGAAAAAGACAAAGAAGGTGTAAAACTTAAAAAGACTTTCAAAGGAATTGTCGAATGATAAGCTTGATAAAGATTTCAAATGAAATGAAAGTGATTTTAATCTTAAGAGTAATTAGAAATTATATGCAAGTTACTAAAAAATTACATACTTAACATAAGTTTTTTGATTAACCAAAGAGTGCATTGAGATGTATACACATGTTATTGATATCCAAGGAGAATTTAATCTGATTCATTTAAATTTTTTTATCACATGAAAATCAGAATAAAAATTACAAAAAAATAGCTTATGGAAATATCAAGTAATATGCAATATGCATTGAGTATCAAGAGGTTTCAGTATTTGGATGTAACTATGAATATTTTATGGAAACATAAAATCGAAGAAGATGGTTTTTGTAGTATAAGTTTGAACTTTAGTTTTACTTTGATGTCGGTACTATCAAGTTAAGTTGAAGGATAAAGTATACAATTTGGGTTAATTGCAGGTTGTCAAAGAGTTGCAATTTTCATAAAGTAGTAAATATAGCAGTAGTATGTTATTTCATAAGGAAACTATATTTCCTTCTGACATATTCTATTAGATTTATCATTTGATTTGATGCTGAATATAGATATATGTTTCAGCTGGTATTGTGAAAATTGTTCCTATTGTCAATCAGATTATGTTGAAATTACACAATAACTATATCTCATATACAATGGGCACTCTAGCACCAACTTGTGAAACAGGTGAAATGAGATTGACAGTTCAAAATCTTTACTGTAAGGCTGTAAAGCTTTATAAGAGTGGCTTAATAACTAGCCTTATAGTTTGCTGCCAAGCAAAACTTGTAATCCGATATTGTCGTTTTGGATTATATACATGAAATAAATCAAAGTCATACTCTTTACAATAATGTCTTGGTTTGTTCCAAGACTAGAAGTGCTGAGATGGTCATACCTTGATATAACTATTCAACGACTTACCGGCTGCCTGTTGAATCAGTTAGTATTGGTAGAATCTACAGTGACGTATATGCTTTGACATCCTCATTATAACCTCTCGTACAAGGTCAGTATTATAATTCTCAGAGTATTGTGATATCTTCTTTCCCAGACTTCCCTCAACAAGAACTCCTTAAAATGACTCAGGTAATTTGAAATAGAATCATTCAGACATCGGTGCAATTCTCGCTCTGAGATTCTGGCTAGAACAACTGTAAACCATAAAACCTGACTTTCTTGCAGTAGATTTCAAAGCGAATAACATCACTTATGGCTCGTTGGTTCATGCGTTTTACACTCTTCATCCCATCTGCTGTTATTGTAGAATCACACAGGCGATTTCCAACTACCCCTCGTTGAGTGCGATCATTCATTCCTCTTCACTCTCTTTAAGTTTCCCAACTTCATTTGTTTGCCTCTTGACTTGTAGCTTGTGCTGGCATGGCATTCCATCAGCATGCTCATCGCTCAGACTTCTTTGCTCACAATCTATTGGCGTGCATACAGTCGATCATTGTATCAGTAGACTGCGTACGAATCCCAGCACATATATTTGTGAATCTAGCCACAATCGAAAATTAATGAAGTCTAAGTTTCCAATACAACGTGTTTTAGGGACATTGGCCTTTGAACGTGTATTAGGAGAAGATTGAGGCACCGAGTATGAAAGCACAGAGAATAAACAAAAGAAAGTGCATGGCTGAAGTAGACTAAATGGCCAGATTTGTTAGAATCCATTCACAATTTCAAAACACAGTAGAGTCAAAATCTCTAGGATTACGAGGATCATTGGCCCTTTACTACATGTTACAAAACTTCACATCGCAAGCTGAATGAAGCGAGCAGGCGATTTTCACTCAATTTTTTTTATTGCAGCCATTGGTGAGTCCTTTGGAGCTCCCGTCCTAGTGTAACCGTAATTTGATCTGCCATGGTCACCTTTCCAGGAACTAGCAGCGAATACCTTTTTCATGAGTTGCCAGATTCTCAATAACACCTTCGCTTCGTATCGTCCATTCTACTCATATTCACAGGGCTCAAAGGATTGAAAAGTGTTTCTTCCCGATGAGCAATTAGAAAAAAATGCCCAACAGGTTCCTACATGACAATTAAGGTGGCCTGGCCGTGACAGGCTAAACGCATTGAAAAACTAGAAATTTCTTCCTGACCTAAAGAAGCTTTTTCCTCTCAAAGAATGACTTCAGATGCCATAACTGCCAACCCGCCACACTTAAGCAAATGAAGAGAGACATTATACTGAACCAGGCCACTCTTGCGTTGGTGACCTCATTGATGTTTCTCATTTCCTTCTCCCTGTTTGCCACAAATCCCAAGAACAAATCCAAGTTTCAATAAAGCGCTCCACTGCATACACTACAGAGACAAGGCCAGGAACTGAAAGGGAAAAGAGGATTTTTTGCCTTCATCCTCACTCACCTGTCTCTGAGATAGAGCATTTCGGCGTGGATGGATTCCACTGCCTCCTCAAGCTTCCGCAGCTCAACCTCCATACCCTGTACAACAAAAGAAAAATAAAGTTGCACAATCATCCTCACAATTTGGTCACTCAAAGTGATCCTTTATGCCATGTCCTATGAATAAGCCACAAATTCTACAGTTGATGGTCAAGTAGCCCACAACCGAGTGGGCTATATACGGGTAATGACGTAAAGTTCAAATTATACAGAACACATACCTTGAGATATCAAATAATTCTAAGCTCTTGAGATTGAACGTGTCGAGGTGAAAATCTCCAAGACCTACTCTCAGAAAGCATAGGCGTCAAGGTTGTAAAAATTGTGCAGAAACACTTACATCCAGCTTGTCTTTCTTAGCAATATCTTCCCAATCTTTCGCTGCAACTCCCGTCTTCCAATCGAGGTCCAAACTGATCGTCAACGTCTGGGGAGCGTTTTGCATCCAGAAACAAGCCATGAAATTACCGCCTTCCTTGGTGGTGAATCCAAATTGCCCAACTTGGACATTTTCTTGAAAATACAACTGCTGTCCGTAAGGAGACGTGACCTGGATAGCATAGCAGAATAGAGATGAGAAAAACTTACAACCGAATAAAGTTCCCCAGTGCTGCAGCCCATAGTCTAGAACAGTTCAAAAGGGCCTGATCTCGGCCGTGATTAGAGCTAGTCCTAGACGCCGCACGAAAAGAAACGATGTAGAAGCGTGATGGGCAACATATAGATGTCCCGCGCAAAAGAGTACATTAACACGTCCCCCTAAAACAACCTCCGACGCAGATCTACTGACTAACCCGATCGCGGATTTGGGAAAGAAAGAATTTGGAGATACACAGCTGGGCAGTCAAACCCGGCAGGAATCTTGATTATTCCAGACAGAGGCTTCAGATAGAACACATTCACAAGCAGCGATGATTGGATTCATCTCTGAGCAGAGCGAGGAAAATCCACCAACGCTACTGAGCTCCCATCCCAAAGTCGCAAAGCAGAAAACAAAGTGACTGACTGACCGACGGACCGACCGACCTTGACGGTGATGCGATGGGAGGCATCGCCAGCAGACACAACGCTGTAATCACCCAGAACCAGAACGTTGGGTTGAATCTCCTCGGCAATACACTTAGTGGCAGCTGCGGGCACCTCGAAGCGCAGAGCATCGACCCCGACTAATCCACTGCCGGCCATCAACACCAGCTGCAAAAAGGCGACCCATGGAAGCACCAACCCCGCGCGAGAAGAAGCCGAAGACTTCTTCGCCCTCTCCATTTCTCCCACCTCTCTCGCTCGCTTTCAAAATACTCCGAAAATCGATCGACCGCGATCAAAACATGCCCACCCTTCTATAGCGCCCCCCTCCCTCCCTCCCTCCCTCCGGCGCCTATCCTCGGCTCGTCACCCGCTCTCAGAATACAATACGAGCGCCCGAACGTTGACTCCCGTGGTTCTTCAGCGCCGCTCCTCTTGCTGCTGGGAGTTGACACATTCACCGACTGCGCAGTTCTACCGGGTTACCGAACAAACCGTGAAGTCGATTAATTTCATTAATTTCGATTTGTCATTCCATCTGGTAGGATTACGTTACAGCAGGCCTCCTAAATTCTGGGATTTGTTAACAAAATCCCAGAATTAACCAAAATTAAATCTTGTGTCATCCATAAATTAAAACTTAAAAATGAGTCATTCCATCTTGTGGGATTACGTTACACGGGTACACTGGCTACCGATAGTATTACCAGCCCTACGAAGCTTAATATGGCACCATAGAAAATATACTACACAGGATACCTTGGTTGGTATGCCTTGCACGATACCAAAATTATACTCGGTTTGGGGATCTTGTCTGTATGATCTGCTTATAAATTTTGCACAGATTTTCTTTTTGTGGAAAATTTGATATTACATATTATTGGGGCGGCAACGAATCTGTGAAAAAACGTATGGAATTATATGGAGAAAACGATATACATTCTCGCATCTGAATTAGATGAAAGTTCCAACAAGGTTGTGAACGTTCGAAATTCTGCAGGTTATGTTATTCTTATGATTTTTTGGAATCTGTTTAACATATTTCAAACTTTTTCTTCTAATAGAGATCTGGTTGAAATTATGTACAATATTATTAACATTAGTCGATGATTCTTAAGACACTAAGGATAGTTAAAATATTCTAAATGACATGCCCCCAAGGCACAATTGTACATGCCTTTTACTTGATTTAAAGGTACAGTAGCAGAAAATATTCAGCCAGTAACAGGTTAAAAATAACAAATGCTTGAGCGAGGCAAGGGATAGGTAGATCGAATGCATCGAAATAAAATCCTCCTTCCCTTACGCTTCTCATAGAAATTCAGCTGGACCAGCAGATTTAATTTTCAGAAGAACCGGAGCGAGACCCTATCCGACCCCCGGACAAGAAAGTCAGATCCGAGGGATATACGTCACTACTGGTGGTAGCACAAATCTATACCGCTGACAAATGCACAGGACCGAGAGTCAAGGAGCACTGGACTGACTGCAGTCGGCCTCTTCTTTCTCTCGATTGGCTGCTCGATGCACTTTTTGCTTTCTCTGTGGCACGAGCGGAACGAGCCAACTCGGCGCTGCATTTGTGGCGATTTGATGTTGATGCGAGGGACGCAGCACTGAATCGCTCACGGAGCTGAAGCCGCGCCATATCAGAGAGAGAGAGAGAGAGAGAGTGGCAGATCGTGGCAGTGTGAGCGACAGAGGGAGTTGGGGAACCAGGTGTGGAGGAAGGCGAGTCAGGAAGCTATGTCGGACCGGGGAGGACACAATCTGCCGTCGTCTTTTAAGAAAGTGCTCGTCAAATGCTCTCCGGCGGTGAGTGGTGTGCTCTGCGGTCATCTCTCGAGTGCTTCGATAGATCGATCGATTGATGGTCTGGTCTATTGGTCGTTTGTCTCGTTTTCTTCCTTCGCTTCTTCCGTCGTCCGGCGTAAGAGCATAGTTCGTGGTTAGTATGTCTTTATTTTGGGGGTCGTGGATCTGTAGGTATGTCTTGATAGGTGTTTTGGCAGTGTTCTTCTAATGTGGTCTTTGTAGCGCGGGAATAGGGCCTTATTTCCTGAGAAAAGATCTCGCGGGTATATTTCTTCCCTTGGGAATTGGTGAATCGCTATTGAGAATCTGATCATCTGACAAGTTGCTCCAACGTCTGTTTATTTTTATCAGTATTTGGACTTTTTAGCTTGATGTATCTCACGTGTTCTTGCTCGCTAAATTGGTCACATTCTTTCCTGTCGGATACGAGCCCGCTCTATCGTAATTTTTTTTTTCTCCCTTTAAAAATTTGAAACATGTAATATGTCCGAATCCTTGCGGTGAAATACTGCTTAGGCAGTGATTTCTCTGGCAAGGGAGCTGGAACACTGTCTTTCTGAACTGAAAGCTGGCTGAAGCCAGTTGCGCGTGCGAAAGATATTGTTCGTCCTAAATCAAGAGTAAATTTGAAAATTACAAAATTCTTCAGTTTGCATATTGTTTGCGTGTCGCTCAGGGTTCTCTTCGGTTAAAATGTACGATGTCGGTCTAACATGACGTTGGAAGCTTCATAGACGCCGTTGTCGTCGCGGCGTGGACGACTGATCGAATTTTTTGCGCTGAGTTATGGCAAAATCAGCGGAATTGTGATTTAGGGCCGAGAGCGTCGATAAGTAGCTGAGATAGAGAGCTACGTATTAAATATTGGATAACGAACATGCTCAAAGGGTCACAACCCACAATTTCGGCGCTTTACCCTGTTCGAATATCAAAAGCCAGCCTAAACAATAGCATTTGTCACCTCGTTTTGCCTAGGTATTACTTTGTTCCCAAATTATCAGTAGGGTGGTTGAGTCGTTGCTGAAAGCACATTTGTGCTTTGATTGGTTCAGATGAGAGCATATGGGCAGTGTGTGGCAAGTAAGGTGCCGGCAGTGGAGCGAGGGATGTGTTCGAGAGAGTTCATGAGCTTGAAATTGTGTGTTCAGAAAGCGGTATGCTCTTTCTATGACGAAACTGTTTTTCGTCTTCTTTTAGATTCCCGAATGAGAAGTAGAAATTTGTGATTGATACCTACGTCTTTTCTCAGAAATAAGACGCAAGTACGTAGGAAAAAGTCGTGACCTTCCTCGTTGGGGCGTCGTCCTTTTTTGCTTACCATGTTTACTTACATTCGTAGGTGTATCGCTTGTAGAAGTTGTCACCTATATTGACGGTTTATCAATGTGTATGGAAACAACTTTCACTCACGAATTTTGTTGTCTTTGTAGATTGTATCGAAGGCTTGATTCCTCCCAGCACTTAATCCGGGCCTTGTAACCCGGAAGAATGGGGAAGTACCAAGCTTCTTCAAGCTCTTCTAGTGGAAACGGCCTCAGTGGATTGGGTTCTCTTTCTCATGCATATATTCAGTATCCTCCACTTCGATGTGATATTCCTGGAGCTGCAGGAGTGATGTATGATGACGGGAATAAGCTTCTTTTAGTTCCATCCCCGAGCAAGGTGCCGCTCTTTGCCCGATGTAGAGGATGTCTTTGGAGAGAAGTGACTTTACCTGCTCTCTTCCTGGTTTTACTTAGACCGACCTTTCGGTGTGTTAGTTCTTGTATCTTGAAGAGCTGATAGATCATTGCCTTGTGTCAGTACAGGTTTATTCCTGGCCCGTCAATCAACAACCTTCTGATGATCGTCCTACCATTACACCTATTAAGGAGGGACCTGTGTTGGGTGTGCGATTTTCGTTAGATGGAAAGATATTGGCAGTCCAACGATCACATCATGAGGTTGAGTTTATCAATAAAGAGACGGGTATGGTGTTCCGTCAGCAGTGCAAGCCGGGAACAGAACGGATATTGGGTTTGTTTTGGACTGACTGTCCAACGTGTGATTTGGTCCTTGTTACCAGCAGGTTAATATCATCCATAAGCTGTAGAGGCGCACTTTGATCTGCTATAGCAAATCACTTACGAACGACTTAAATACCTGCATGTTGTAATTGGAAAGAGTTCGGAAAAAAAATACTCATATTGATTATGATCTCGGCATCTTGCAGTGGGCTGGAACTCTACTCTTTATATCTTGGTAGGAATGGGCTGAAGCTGCTCGAAGCGAAACGGTCAAATGTAAGCTGGTATGTTTACACTCACGAGAGCCGGCTGGTTCTTCTTGCGTCAGGGATGCAATGCAAGACACTTTCAGGCTACCAGGTTCGTCTCTACCAGATTTTTTTTTCGTGTTTTATACAACATCTTATGGGTGATCTCTTTCTTTAGTAAGGCAAATATGTCTTGTCATTATATTCAGTGGCACTCTAGCACGTTTCCATATGGTGCCCTACAATGTGTGTACATGGTAGGCCACCATGTGTGATATTTAACTTCAGTTGAAGAATTTTATGGCCCAGTTTTTCATATTTTTTTGAAGTTCGTACATATATTTGAAGTTTCATACTTTTTAGTTTGCAGTTTTCAGCAGGTGGGATCGTTCGATTGCCTAAATTTGATGTACTGATGACAAAGGCTGAAGTCAATCGCAAGCCTGTCCTAGCGCCTGAAGATATTCGAATTGCAACCATGTAAGTCCGTGTGCTATCATTGTTTAGCATTCACTGTTATCACCAGGATGACCGCCAAGATTTGAATCCGCCAGCTTGGTCTTTGTGAGTAACGTACGAGTGACTGGCCTTTATTTTGGAGTCAATCATCGCTGACTTCGATGCCTTAAGTTCTGAATCTGGAGTACGTGATTGGTTTGAGCAGGTATGGAAGGCTCTATTGTTTACAAGTGGACAGGGTTGCTATGCAGCTCAATTTATATCGATTTTACCGGGACGCTGTTGTGCCACAGGTAACGCCAAGTTCAACTCTATGAAACTTTGCAGACTTCATGTGAAACTTAGACATTGGAATATGAAGACGGTTCATGATGGAAACTAATTCGTAACAGATCCGTAACGCAGTCTGGTAGGCTGAAAACGTAGTAAGAGCGTTTGCTGTTGAAATCTTTGTCTAATGCATGCGGTCTGGCCTTCAACTTGAGATCTTGTCACCTGAAATGTTTGCCCGTTGTTTAGCTCCAAAAAGCTAGGAGTCATTCGATGTGTTTCCATGTGGGTGAGGCATTCCTGTTGCCGAATAATCAAAACAGTTATGTTTACCCATGAGGCACCTGTATATTTGGTGAGCCTCTCCTCTTGCTGGTTTCAGGAACTTATGCGTACATGGCCGGCCCTGCTTCTTATTTATTGCCTGGGTAGTTATGTTTCGTGTTGCATGGAGACGCTCAGTCTGCAGCAAGAGGTCCGTTATGCTTTTTGCTCCCATCAGGACGGGCTCGGCTGTCTTGGTTATTTGCTCCCACATTTTAGGAACGTTCAATGCACGTTACTTCTATTCGTTGTGCTTATCATGGCAAATGTATCTTCTCAGTCATAACAAGCGGCTGCTTAAAACTATTGCTTATTTCCTTTTTTTACAACGCATGGTTTCCAACCTTAGTACCTATGACGAGATGAATAACAGCCACGTGAGGACAATGCAAGCAATACTTTAAGAGATCGTTATCAATACCTCGTTTATCGGGGAATTTAGGCGTGAAGAATTCCCCGAAACGAATTCTTCACGCTTGCATGTTGGTTTCGATTTGATACTAGACCTGGCATTCATCATGGTTTCAGACTCTCCAAAGAGTATACCCTCTCTTTCTTTGTTTCCCTCATCGGAGTCGGCATGCTGACAGGCTCTAGATTGTCCTTTCCACGGTGGTAATGACGTGGTCATATCATAAGAAGTTTTTGGATGTATGGTAAGCGTTTTTCACGTATTTCCGTTAAAAAAACAAATCTCGACGTTGTGTTTAGAACGTAGCGGCGAAGAGAACTGACTATTATCGAAAAGTATGGACCGGGATTCCAGGGTTTAATTTACATTCGAAAGTGTAATGCTTCATCAAAATCGGGCTCAACTGTCTTACGTGAATTCATTAGGACGTGCTTCAATGTTTCCTCCCCTGCATGTTGGCTTAAAAGTATTAATCAGTTCTCTCTGAAGTCAGAACAGAAATAGTTATTGTATTGCTTAGAACATAATGTTGTATCACAATGCTCTCTCGTAATCATTTTCAATGTCTGATAATACGCACACTTCTCAAGCAGAGGAGACACGTGCCAGTTTAGAATGTCTTGAGTGGGAACATATGTATGGCTTGGCTTTATGTCATTTATATCATACCTGTGTAAGCCATCGAGCCTTCTAAATGAGCCTAACTCGCACGGAAAGTAAATCTTTCGGTCTCTGTTACCGTACAGTATATCGTTTGTACTAACCAAACGTGTATACGTCAAATCATCAAGAGAGTCCCAGAGCAGTCTTAGGTCGACCATTCCATTACGAAATGTACAAACCACTGTGATCGGTACAGGAGTCCAGTGGTAGAGGAAGTCAATCAAGCCGAGGAAAAATTGACGCATGGCTTGAATTTTATTTCTTTTGATACTTCTGTTTTTAACAGTTCATTGCTGACAGTGTGGTAATGTTGCCATCTTTTTGCAGGGATGTTTACCTATATATTCTCGAAATGTCGCCCTTAGTGTTGTTGACAACGTACTCTTGATACATGAAATCGATTCGAAGGTAGTGCTGCTTTACGATATCCTGTCTGAGCCCAAGAGTACGATATCTGCTCCCCTGCCGCTTCTTTTGCGCGGTGCCCCGCTGCATGGTTCTTCAAGTCGAGGTTTCGAAACTGCCAACACTTCAGGAAATACTTCTTCAGAGCCTGACCTGTTAGGAAATCTGACCTCTGCTGAAGATCAAATTTATGACAAAGGTTGGGTGTTTGTCAACCCTGACATTGTGCTGGACCACGTCCATGGTCTCCTGTGGAAAATCCGACTGGACTTGGAGGTATGTTCATCGGTGTCTATGGCTGATTATGCTAAACTCTAAACGTTACTAGGATGTGAAAACTTGGTTTAGAAGATGAACTAAGAATTTTAACATTTTGAGTGATTCGTTGACTACTCATTAGTTCTTGCTCTTCATAGCCGCAAGATTAGAGGCCTCGTTGGGCGGTGCGAGAGTGTTACTTATGATGAATAGATTTTAGCTTGATCCCTCAGCTTCATCTAGGTAGATACAGGCTGGTAGTCTCATCGACTAACCAGCGCTTGGGCCCTTCATTCTAGGCTATTGCTGCGAGTTCCTCAGACATACCGTCGCTGCTGAGCTTTCTGCAACGGCGGCGCCATGAAGCAAGCAAGGTCAATTGCTTTCATTTGTGAATGAGTTGTTCTTTCGTGATCATCAGTTAGACGCTTCGTATTCTTTCTATTCGTAGTTTCAAGAATGCAAGCCAGCAAGTGCCATTGTCGAAGATGTCTCATCTACGTGAGGAAGTGTGCATCTCAAATGAAAAGAATGACGCAAGCGTGAAAGCAACTAAAAGATTCTGTTGTGAATTTTCTTTTAACAGGCGAAGATGTTGTCGATAGAAGTTATACGCTCCATGATCATCGAAAGGCAACCGTTACCGCTCATAGCAAGTGCCATGGACGTACTCACCTCTTCCTATGTCCGCCTTTCAAAACCGCTCAATGCTTACGATAGGACTGCATCCGAGAGGGTCGCTCAGACCGTCCCAAGGCCTTCAACTCATCATCAAGGATCACAAGGATCACAAGTATCTAGTGCTCCTGTAAGGCGGGGACCTGATGATGATGTTGTGTCTCGAGTTGTTGAGGGGTTTGTGGAGAATGGAAAAGACGTGTCAACAACAGCTCATGGTGATGAGGAACCCAGTACCTCACGATGGACGCAAGGTAGCTCAGATCAAGATGATCAGGATTCGGATTACGTAAGTTCAAGAGTGGATGAACCGTGCGCAAATACACCTGCCGCAGATGGGTTCAAACACACCAACTTGAGAGACATTTCTAAAATGCCATCGAGGAGGCCTAGTACAGGGGAGATTGAGTCTTCAAGTTCAACATATCAAGCTAATAATCCCCCTATGGCACGAGAGAGTGGCAGACAGGTTCGACAACAGTCACAGAAAGAAATTTCTGTTGTTGATCCTCTTGCTGCCATGAGAGATGCCACTTCTCCACTGATTTCACCGGAGGAGATGCAACAAAATGTCTTCAATGTCATAGAAGAAGAAATGACTGTGGATTCTACCTTTTTGGTGGCTGCTATCCTTGAATACATGCGCAGGTAGTTCACGAATGCGCAGGCAATTCACTTTCTTCAAGTTGTTGACCGAAGGATGTCAAGTATGGCGAGATTCAGTACCATTCGTTAATAGTTTTTTGACTCTTGAAGTTGCTGTTTTGCTGTTTCTTTTCTGTTCTTTTGTTCCGACTATTTTGTATCCGTCGTAGTAAAGTTTGTACATGATGTATAATCTCTTGCTTCCGTGTCTTCTATTCAATTCGGTGAAATAAGGACTTGCTCACTTAGGAAAAGTTGGTTTCTCTTGTGATTTGCAGTGCGGCTTCGGAACAAATAAAGGTGAACTCCGGACTACATGTGCTCCTCATACAACTTCTTGCACAAGAACAACGATATTACGAGCTGTGGCAGCTCGTCATCGGCAAGGTACTACCCCCGTCAAGACCAGTTGCCATCCAGCTTCTAGAAACTGGTGCGCAACACGAGTCGACAAGGAAATTGGGAATGGACATGCTAAGGCAGATACATGGGCATACAGAGTACATCAAAGAGCTGTTACTAGAAGGTCGTATACTGGAGGGACTACGCTACGTCCGTCAAAATAAGGTAATGACATTCTTTTATTTATAATACATAGCAGAAGACGATTCCGTTGCTTTGGAAAAGTTCATTCAAGTTACTCTGTGATTCCTCTTCATTGCAGGTGGATTCCGTGGCTCCTGCGTCATTTTTGGAAGCTGCTATCTCTTCAAATGATCCACAAATGCTGGCATCTGTGTTCAGGTTCTGTTTAGACTTCGTGCCCAACTTTTCCCATACACCCGATTTCACTATGTACTCATCTATAGTGAGTCAGCAGTGCTCCACCTCCGCATGATGATTACTTAAGCGATTGTTTATAGGATTATACAGTAAAATGGAGTCTTTCTTGAAATGAAGGACATCTCTTAGTGGGCAAAGTAGGATCTTGGAGAGTTTGTTGAAAGCTCTTCTGTAAAAAAAAATTCATATCTACAAGTAAAGATGAGAACTAACAAACCATGACTCCTGTCTTTGACACCTTCCATCTGCTTCTGCTTGACGGCAATTCAAGTGCGTAATGCGCGAAGATGCTTTTAGAATATGACGTGAGAATTTAGTATATGTAATGTGTGCTTATTGAAGGTAAATTTTTGAACCTCCAAGGCCTACACCGCCAAGTATCCACTATCTGAAGAGGGCCAGTGTAAAGCATCGATCATGTTGATCTAACCAAGGGGATGACAATCTTTGCAAACATCACTGCAAACATTCAGAATGTAATTTATTCTCCACTTCTGATGCTCGTAAATTGTGCTGCCTAAACCTATGATGAGTTCATTTGCTTAAGTAGTCTGCTCAACTGTTGAGAACAACAATATTGCTGCATATCTGCTGTCCGGTAATGTTCAATCAATTTTAAACCAATTCATAATGATCCTACTTTTTCCATTAGAGGCTGTGTAAATCAGTAAAAGTTCCTAGGTCCTCATCAAAATACATCTAATTTGAAAATTGAGATGTACACTTGCTGCCCGAAGGGAACTCATGAGATCTTGGGGATAATAGTGTGAGTAGACTTGCTCCCATACTCAAAGCCAATGGGAGCTTCTAGACTTGAATACAGCACCAACAGAGTCTAAGTAATCTTTTAGGTAAAATTGACATTATTCGTTCTCTTCAGGTGAAAAAATTTGCTCGACTTCTCTATCAGCAATTTAACAATATAATATCTTCACCTCTATAATAACTTCACAAACAAGCCTAGTTGCCTCTGTTGAGCGTTGGTTTGGCTGTGGCATGACTGTATGCACTCTGCACAAGGTAATTCAGTAATGCATACATATTCATTCAGAGTTTGCTTTTAGATATAATCATATTTTCTAACTATTAAACTCATTACTTGTACTAAATCTCGCCATAAGTATAATTTTAATTTCATTGTTGTATGTCACCAGCGGTGCAATTGAAAATAATATTCTGTTTCGGAAGTGAAGCTGACTTGATCTTGCCGAAAGGTGTGATTGTAAGAACATTCAAATATTTTTCTCTTTCCGTATCCATAATATTCAAGACTTCTTGATAAGATAGATTATTACGTAATCTAACATTGAGTCTGTAAGCCATTTCAAAAAAATTTATGTATCTCAACAACTTCAGATTACTAAATGTTCTGATCGCTCACAAGTGGAGCCCCATATAGGCGAAAGCTGAGCCCCATATAGGCCCCATATAGCACACCAGCAATCTTAACTTTTCTCTTTTCATCTTAAAGCTCATGCAACTATATACAATATCCTTATTTAAGGATTCTTGAGCCAGGTATATTATCTTGTTATTTTCTTCCCCTCCCTTTGGTCATATGCTTTGTCCTTCTCATACCTGAAGAATGGTAGCCACTTTACTTCTTAATTTTCTTCCAGCTTGGACATTGAAAGCTCATATGATCTCTATCATCACATGTGTAGCAATTTTGAGATTTGCTACATTTTTTTGACCGGTCTTTACACGAACTTCCTCACGTAATTAGAAATTTTAGTTACTTTCTTGTATTTCCTCCCAACCCTTGTAGCAAAGTTGATCATCTTGTTACAGGTTTATTCCAAGTTACTTGCTCTTCAGGAACAACACCAAGGGAGAGCAATATTTTCCCAAACTTTTAGGGTAGACTATTCAATATATAGGCAATCATTTTAAGGAGGATGAATGATTGTGCTTCATTCATCAACCCTCGAAAAACATAAAGTCAACATTCTGTTGTGAAATCACATTGCTAACTTCTTCATCTTCAAGTTTCAGAATAAACATCTTTGCCCATCTCGGTAAAGGAACAACAAAGAAAGGTATGAAGAAAGATCTCAATTTTACTTACAGCTTTCAGCATGTTACAAATTCTTGATAAGGTTAACATAGGTAATTCTCAAGAATATTCTTCAGCAATTTCTTGTTCAAGATCTTGTATTGGAATCTTAACCATCTTTAAAACACTCTTCAATGTCTTCATTCTTTGACAAAATTTCAAGAAGCCGTAGAGTCTCAAAACTTCCTCAATATCAAGTGCCGAAGCTCTTTGTCTCTAGGTTTTAAGCTTTATCATTGTATCAAGCTCACTAGCCCATTGTCGGCTCATAACCTTTTGATATTGAGAATTTTCTTGCATCAAGCAATTAGGTCGTCTCCTAGATTAGCTATAACTTGTTATCATGTCTCTTAATGTGGGCGGTAAAAAACGACATCTAAGCACTCCTATGTTGGAAGAAACGTAAAATTCAATTAGAGTGCTAATTCCACCCCACTTCTCGCGTACACAACACTCAAATACATGACAGAAATAATCACTTGCAAGCTCTGTCCTTTCTTACTTGGGTTACCAACCAATATGTTCGACTGTACTACAATTGGTATGCCATTAAAATTTATTTCGGTTTGAAAAGATGACATTACATTAGTCTTTTATAAAATTATTATGGAATGCAAAGAGATCAATTCTTATGATCTCAAAAATTATATGAAACGTTGGATATTGTTAAGATTGTTAATGTTTATCATATTGGACAAGAATGATATATACTTCTTTCTATAAAAATTATTGAAAAAAATGTATATCCAATGTTATTCCAAAATCACTGGCTCATACTATCTATTTATTAAATGCTGATTCACATTTTATACTATACATACAAATATGTCTAGGTAATGGAAATAGTTTAGTTGCAAGAGTATAATGTATGTGATGCTATTGGGACAGAGGACCATGATACCCCCTCGATTCATCCACATATAAGACTTGAATGGGTCTTGGCATCTGTTGGTTATGTTCATCACATTGCTCAAAATGTCGAATTATACCAAACTTGATTCACATCCTTGGCTTGTTTTATTACCGTATATGGTGGAGCGATAATAAAACACATGAGTTAAGGACGATCCGGCAAGTTCATAAAGATAGCGTCAAGAAGCGAGTTCTGTGGAGAGGCAGAGCCAATGACAGCGCGTGAAGAAGGAAGGGCAGAAGATTCGAAAAGCGGAATAAGAAAATAGATTCCCACAGTGGGAGGAGAGTTGCGCCAAGAGGGCCGAGGAGGCGCAAGAGGGAGGAGGGCGGACGCAGAAAGTGATCCGATCCGAGCGATACACAGAAGGGGCCAGAAAAGAGCCGACCGACAAAAAGCAAATACTTTAAACAAAAGGAAGTGGATGACGGGAACTTCTCGTCCACTTACTGTAGGACTCGAGTAGAAAAACGTGGCGCTTCAAAGCGAGAGTAAAAGTCAAGACACAGAGAAGCGCAAGAGCGCAAGACGTGTGCGCGAGCACACGCGACAGCTAAACTGCCCTACGACTTACACATGGACGCTTTCAGGTGGCCCGGTGGCCCTCCCTCTCGGGCCCTCCTCGTCCACTCTCCTTCCCTCCTTCCGTCCGTCCGTCCCTCCCTCCCTCCTGGTGCCCCACCGGCCCCGCCCCGCCGGCCTTGCCCTGGCCTCATCTGAACTGCTGCTGCTGCTGCTGCCGCGGCTCTGGGACGAGAGACCGAAGGAAGGACCGAAGAAAGGAATGAATGATAGGCAGGAATGGAATGGAAGGAACAGATGGCCTCGTGAGGGGAGGGCGAAATCATCAGCGCAATTGATTCGCAGCCTTAGCGAGCGTACAGTCCTGCGTCTTGATGTGACCAAGAGCGGATCAAACCCCCATCATCGCTTCTTCCCGTCGTCCCGTCGTCCCGTCGGACCCGACGCCTGCTGCTCCTGCTCCTCCCGCGGCCCTCGCCCGCTGAACTTCCTCCGATGGCCCGCTTTGACCATCGCCGAGTGGCTGTCGGTCGTGAGGCCGGGCAGCGTCGGGCTCGTCTGACACTGGGCTCCGCGACAGTCCTCCGGGCGCGAGGATCCCTCGAACGGAACCCTAGCCAAGGCTGAAGTCTCGAGTCAGGCAGGCCACGGGCAGGGGTTGGCAGGGCAGGCAAGGGCAGGGCAGGGCTGGGCTGGTCTGGGCAGGGAAGGGCAGGCGGATGGAGGCCCGAGCCAAGCAGACAACAAAGGCGAGCGGAGGACGAGGAGCAGCGGGAGCAGGAGGACGAGGACGAGGACGAGGACGAGCCGAGGAGCAGCAGTGTACCATCATCGTCGCATGCCTGCTTGCCATGCTGGGCTTGCTTGCTTGCCCGTTCTTCTTCTCTGAGAAAATGAGCCTCGAGCCCTGCCCCAATCGAGGTCCGGGAGCAGCAGCAGCAGCAGCAGGGTTTGTTCTTTTCCGTTGTCGATGTGGTAGTAGTGCCGAGAAGTGAAGTGAAGTGCGGTGATTGCGGCCGGCGTCTTGATGACGGTCATAATTCCAGGAACGTTCTGATGTAACAACCGAACATGGTCTGTATTACACTGGACTAGATATTCTTGGCCTCATGCTTGGAAATTGATGGTTGGTAGGGCTGCGTGACAATGGCTGCGATCCAAGCGTTTTAGTTTATGCTGTCTGTCGGTATGTTTGGATAGCTAGCCTGATCGCGAGCGTGGGGATTTGAGAGTGATGGAGAGATTCATTGTGGGTCCTCAATTTTGTGTCCTTTTTCTTAGCCCGTCTATTGTCAACAAATATGTGTCTGGGGTTTCACCTTTTATTTGCCTGTCTTTCGGCCTCGTTAGATGTTCTGGATTCTGAGATTGTATGCGAGTTATAGATGTTGTATATCGTTGATGGCTTCAAGTGGAGCATTTAGAGAGCTGGCTTGGATCCTCTGCAAGCACAATTTAGTTCGCTGATGACCATATCGGCTCTGTAGCCTTTCCTTTTCAGTATTGTTGGAATTGACAACTTATCGACTCCGATGCTGTCTTGCCTGTTTATGTCACCGGGCTCCGATGGATATGGAGGTACAGAACAATTGATATCTCTGCAGTGTCATGTTCCATTTTATGTTGTAATGTGAAGTCTCGTCTTATGTTTTTTCCCGTCACGTCCATTCAAGATGTATGTTCATGTGAAGTCTGAGCACTTTGAGGCGGGAGCTGCCTCACTGTCTCGACTTTTAAGTGCATTTCTGAACTTTTGCATCTTACCACGTGCTCATGACTCATGCCCCGTTTCTTCTTCTAGTTTCCTCTTTGGGCCTCGGGTTTATCTTTGCCTCTCGCGTTCTGTCGCACTTGCAGAATTGTGAGCCTTTTAACGTATTCATAATAATCGTGGTAACGAACCTTTTGCATGTTGCGGAAGACTCGTGACCCTTGCCATTTACATCCTTTCTTCTTGCAGTGCCTGAAGCGAAATATGTAGAAGCCTAGATCGCTGGTTGCATGTGCATAATGACCGCTGGGTGCATTGCTTATGTCACTGTGTCGGGAGAGAGGAGCACTATAGTTGAGTTTTCAGTGCATGATCTCGAACATTACATCGGGAGGTGTAACAGCCGTACTGGTCTCCTTGTTGCCATGGAAGTGGTTTGCACTCAAGACAGTGCTTGTGACTGCATAATTTCAGAGTCATGATGTTGCACACTCCTGCCACATGCATATCGCAATGGGGTCTAATAGACTTATGGAGCTCTTCTTTGCTGATCTGGACGTGCAGGAGGAACAAGAAGTAGACCCTCAGGCCCCAAGTTCACTTGTTATGGGTGGAGCCCCTTGAGAGACCCCTTCTTCGGACGATTTGATACATAAGCTGGTGCTTGAAAGTATCTCATGGCCGATAAAGAGGACCAATTTGGGACTTGCAGTTCCGAGTCAGCTATGACAACCAACCCGGATCATTCGTGGACTCAGCAAGCCGGATTACCTCTGTGGTGCCTGAAGAACGACAGCAAACCCTTGTCTGAAGGTGGACATCGTTCTCGGGATGATGTGTGCGAGGATTCCAGCAGAAAGTCCAGCGCTATTATTGACGATGCAGAGGATGAGAGTGGGCTGGAATTGAGCCTAGGTTTATCTCTTGGTGGTCCAGTTTCCAAACCAAAACCTAGAAATGGGCAGAAGGATGGGATTGGAGTGGAACAAAGAGGCGGTGGCGGAGAGAAGGTGAACGACGAGACGTCCGCTCGGAAGTTATCTCGGAGGGACAGCGATGGAAGTGTTTCACGAACTCAGGCTTTTTGGCAAGAGTTTGATATCTCTCGTGACAATCAACAAGACGAGAAACCTAGCCACCTTTCTTCAGATGCTCACTTGCGGGAAAGGCATCCTTCGAGCGTTTCATCACTCTCTTCTCCGATTTCGTCTCTCTCGTCCATTGGCCTATCAGACACTTGGCGTTCGGCAGAAAGTTCTGTGGGAGAGGACTCGAAAGTAGCTGTTGCTCATCAGTTCTGGCAGTCGATGCACGAGAAGCCTTTGCAGACCGAGCAGGGGAACGGCAAAGAGGATTTGCCCATATTTCAGGCTCTGTCTGGTCCCTCCCCCCATTCTGCAGCTGCTTCATCACCGTGGGCAAGGTATGGGCAGAGTGGAGTGGCAATGCCTCTTTTGGATGGATTCAAAGAGACTGGGGAGGAGAATTCCCGGACTCCTTTTCCAGTTTCTGTAAAGGACAACAAAATACCCATTGCATCTGTTCCTGGGGAGAATATCCAACACGGTGGAGATGGTGGACCATTGCAGCAACCGAAAGGAGGTGATGGACTTCCTTACGATGAGATTGGGTTGCAAGCATCCGATCCACGACACGCCCAGGAAACATTGGAACAACAGAGGAAGCAGAAAAAACAAGAAGCTCGGAAGAGGAGAAAGGCATGCATGGAGGAACAGAAGTTGCAAAAGAAAGCTAAGAAGGAGGATGAGGGTAGAGTAGTAACAGGGCCGACTTCTAAACACACTAGTTCCCGTTCTGGTACTCCTCCTCCCGGGGCCAAGGTGTCTCCTTCCGCACCGCAACAAGTAAATACCCGAGAGGTTTCCTCACCTCCTGACAGTCAAGAAGCTGGAAGCGCCAGTTCAGGGTTTCGCCGCACTTCCAGTGGCATGTGTTCTAGAGCTGGTGGTGGTGCTTGGGATGGAGCAGCAGTGTCTTCTCCAGAAAAGACTCCGGAGAAAGAGCTTGACCAAGGCAACGACGAAGGAATGATATTGGAAATCCGGCTAGCTTTGAAACGGGAGAGAGATAGAGCCACAAAGGAGAAGGTCTGGGAAGTGGATCGTGAGAAGGAAATTGAGCCCCGCCAAGACTCTGAGCGAAGAAGTCCTGCAGATGGGAGTTTCGGTCAGACTTGTAAAGTTGATGAAGGTAGTGGACTCCAGCCGGTTGGTGCCGTCCATAGCCCTCACGAAAACCCCACCACCCCTCCTGCAGCAACATCTCAAATAGGCATATCAGAGATGAACAAAGGTCAGGCTGACGCTGCATGGGTCCAGAGAATGCTGGAGAATGCTCAAATGAACAGTTATCAGATGGCAGCTGCCCTTATGGAAAATAAGGAGCTACTTCAAGGTCTGAAAGGTCTGCCAGATCTCAATGGTATACAAAGGAGAGGACTTGAAAACCTCCCTTCGGCTGTCGATAGGGATAGGCTCAAAGCTTTCGGTGTATCGACATCGGAACAAGGCGATAAAAGTAGTGAACGCATTAGGTTTGAAATGAGGATAAGTGACGCGAAAACAGAAGCTGCGAATAGGTCTAATCCAGTCCTTGCAGGTGGATCACATCCTGCCTCAGGTTCGATGATGGCCTACTCACAGCCTTCAAATTTTCCTCTCATGCATATGGCTTATCCATTCCCTGTGCCTGTTGGCGCTCCCAACGGATTACCTTTTTCTCTTCCTTACCCCTTCCCCTACATGATGCAATTCGCTCCTTCTGCTGATTCTTCATCTGCGCAAGAACGAACAGGCACCCCCACTTTACCAAATTCTTTCCCAGGTACATCGAGTCATTTGCCATACTCAGTTGTTGGAGACCTACCGCCATCCTGGGCCCCAGTGTTACGCCCTCAGGCAACACCCCCTCATTCACCGCCCAGAACTTTAGCGAGGAGTTCATCGGGGGTGACTGACGAAGACAGCCGAAATTCACAAGGTATTTTTGTCCCACATCTTTCCAGTAGTTGATTAATCTTATTCTCCGACCATTAATCTCATCTCCCAATCGAGTACTGTATTGTAAATGACAGAGGACTGAGTCTAGAAGTGTAGGATTTGAAACAACATTCGAGCTCTCAAAAGTTCTTCCACTTTGTCTCAGATTCACGTTACGCTCGTCAGATGGGCCCAACACGGAAGTATTTGGTAGATGCTCCCAATAGGCTTAAACACAACTTGTTACACGTGGCCTTTGAAATATAGTACTTTGAATTCAGGTTTAGCAATTAAGCCGTATTATATTGGTATATATTGGCTTGGTTCTAATTGGGTTTCCGGAGTTTGTATAGATTTCCTGGTCAATTGTGCCTTAACATTAGCGCACGGATGTATAAACCAAAAGGTCGCTGGATTATGCTCAGGCACTTTTTTGAATCTTACTTTGACGTAAGGGTCGAATGTGTTCCAAGAGTTTTTGCTGTTAATCATAGTAAAGCATAGCGGCCAAAGATGGCCCGGATATTCTATGGAAAGTAGATAATGTCGAAAAAAAGTTTGTGGCTTATGTATGATAAGCGAGGCGATCGTTTACAGTGCGACGATAGATTAGACTAGCTTGAACATTTGGGGTGATGGGACTCGGGGCGGAGGCCATCTTTAGCCTTTCTTTGTATGTTGCTTTTTCAAAGCCTCGTAGCAGTGACCTCGAAGGCGGTGAAGATGGATGTCCTTAAATACTGACACGTTAGATCTTTAACTTTTCTGCGAAGCAACTTATATCTTCGAGCTCCTCGCCTTTTGCACTGTCATCTGGGAGATCTTGAGATCGCACATTGAGAAAGTTTTCTTTCTCGTGCATTGGAAGACTCTCCGTTCCAATGCTGGAGTGTGCACCTATATCATGCAGGCTTGCCATACTTAGCTCTGTCAAATTTTCTTGTTATACGAAACTGCAGAATTGAATCAGATAATTATGCAGATTTGGAGATACCAGCAGTTGGAAAAGCTTAGAAGTATAGGGATGGGCTTATGGGACATCACATTTTCCTACGTCATATATCGTTGCACATCGTTGTGAAATACTTCATTGTACACTCCAACAAAATGTAGTTTATAAACAAACTTGGTTTAACATTTCTATCAGGGTTATACCCACTGTAGTTCATAAATAAAGAATTTTTGTCTACGTCTGGTTACAAAAGTTTCTCAAGGTAACCCGTATAAAAAGCTTTGTTTTTAGTCATTGTAAGATATGTTGCTTCATCTGAATAGTTTTCTAGCTTCCATCAGCACGCGACTGAGGACTGTAATGTTTAATTGTCTGACAGTGGAGGTGCATCTCCAAAAATTCACACATTGCAAGAAGTTATCAAAGTTATGTACCAGATGTAGTTTGTGAGTAATTTTTTTACTTGACTTGGACCGCAGGGTGAGTCAGTATTATGTAGGATATCCCAGTTTATCACAAACAAGAGTTTGAACATGGTGGAAGCTGCGGATGTACTAAATTGAAAGGGTGCTCTTATTTTGTTTAGTTAGTGGATGGGAATACTCTTGAACACCATATACGAGTAACCATGCGGCCAATTGGATTTTTAGGTGGTTCCAGTTTAGAGAGGTAGGGGCTCAATAGACATGCTTAAATAACAATTGGAAAAATATGAGTATAACGTCCTGGTGAAGCCTTCGGCTACAAGCAGAATAATGAAGATGGAACTGCATATTTGAAGTTGAGGAAATCTAATTTGATGTAGCTTCTGATGATGGTTTTTTTTTGTGGTAACGTAACAGGAGCTAAGAGCAACGACACTGTGAGGAGTGCTTCCCCGGTCAAGGACGCTACATCGGGAGGTCCTAGTCATACTTTGATGAGGGCAACCTCTCTAGGTAGTGGTCAAGGTCAAGGAGGAGCTTTTTCGAGACTGCGAGCCTCTCCAAACCTACCTCCAACTCCTCAGTTTGGACCAATCAGAACTCGTTCTGAGTCAGGCGAAGCTATTCTTTATCGGGAAGGTGGTAGCGTAACCAGCAATAGTGCTTTTGCAAGTCTCGTCGCTGCCGTGGAGGCTTCTCAGGGACTCTCTGCTGCGGTCGCCTCCGTGAACACATCAAGTAAGCAACCGGCATCTCAACGGATTGGTGGTTTAGCGAAACTTGAGCGGACTACTTCTCGTGTTCTTTCCGAGGCCATGGAGGAAATTACTGGTGCTAGCATTAGTAGTAAAGGGAGTAGTCAACAAGGAGAAACTACACATGTGGATTCTGTTTCTAGAACCTCTAGTAATGCGGAGGAGGTGAAAGTTTCAAATGGCAATAGGTTTCAACAGGGCACTACGACATCAACGTCCTTGTCAGAAGGACTTATTAGTCAGATGGGTCAGGAAGCTTCCTTTTTCAAAGCAGGATGCGCTGCTGGACAAATGTTTGGTGGCAGCGGAACATCACCTGATTTACCCTGGGTCACATGCAAAGGAGCAGGGCCCAACGGAAAAGCAATTTCCGGAGTTCTTTACAAGTACAACAAGGGACAAGTAAGAATAGTTTGTGCTTGTCATGGCCGACACATGTCACCTAGTGAGTTCGTCCAACATGCAGGAAGTGAAGATCTTTCAAACCCTGAGAAGAGTATCGTAGTAGGACCATTTCCTCACGGGGGTCAAGCAGCCTCTGCTCAAGGATAGATCTTTTGAACCGAATGATGCCATGAATACTGAAACGGAAAGGAAAGCTGGTCGATACACCTGCTTTCAGGAGGTATACACAACTTTGAGGAGGGAGGTGTGTAAACTGGAAAGGTATGTAGAAGTGACTTCTAACAACACGGAATTTGAAAACCCAAGGTTGGAGGTTGGGACTTTAACATTAAGCCACCCTTCTCTTCACCGAGCATCGCTAAGATTTGGGTAACTGTATAATATAGCTCGTGCCCAATTGTGCGAGAAAGTGGCTTTAGCCTGAGGCAGTTTCCTCTGTACGTGTTGGGCCATCGACTTTGTGTAGACGGGAAGAATGAAATCCTGGGTAATGGCTTTGGCCACTGTAGTACATTGTATAAGAAGTATGTGTGTGCTGTTGTCTCCAGCTATTACCTCCTTGCACAGTAAGAGGATAGGTAGTGTAGATTAGTATTTGAATAAAACTGGAGGAGTAAATGGCTCGTTTGGTACCCCGTGTATTGTAGTTAAGTTTGAAATTAGGGTAGGGTGTTTACTGGATAAAACGTACTACGTCGGGGATGACATCCATGTAATGTATTGCAGGAAGGAGTTCTGGAAGGTATGGTTCTCCTATGTTATCTCAAGTTTTGCCTGATGACTGCATATGATATTTCTTTTGTTGAAACGATACTTCACTGTGATGTCCTGCAGGAAGGAGTCTCGGAAGGTATGGTCTCCTTTGTTGGCTCAAGTTTTCTTGGATCATATTATTTTGTTTTTCTTTGCTTGTGGGCTAAAGTTTCGACTGATGGTCGTCATAAAGTGAGTCTCAATGTGTGATATCAAGTGTATCGTGATACTGACATTCAAATTTTTCCGTCAATAGGAATATCTTACTCGATAACAAAAATAATATTCCGATCTCACTTTTTGTGATTGAGCGAACTGTTGTATGACTGGAACCAACGGACCAGACATATGCGGTATCTTAGACTCTTCTTGGACGTTTATTAGGGGGAATTGGATGTCGACTTTCTCGTTCTAGGTGATATAAGTTTTCCGTTTCATCTGAGTGCATCGGTATTTTAGATTCTTCTATACTCCATGCTAGTGGAGTCTTCATCGATCTTTCCAAAGTGGACTTTTTCATTTGTCGTGAGTCCTGCAACGAATAGACCAGACAGCTATCTTTTCTATAGTGTAGGTGATAATTGTTTCCAGAAGGGGACCATCAGGATGGTCCGAAAGATATCTTTAGCGGTTGTCTCATGAACACCCTCGTAGAACAATAGAAACTTGGTTCGAGAACTTATTTGTAGACCTCTCAGCTGTGCGTGATAATTGTGAATAAGTCCATGAACACTTTGCTGAACTGCGAAGCTTATTTCGCCTTGCAACGGTTGCCAGGTCTTGTAGCAAACAGATATGAAAGTGTACCAAGCGAAAAGGCTATTTTGTGGCATCCTATTTAGATATCTATAAATTGTGAAAAACCGATGATACTCTGAACAACGTGGTTGGTTCGTTCCAAAGTGTTCGATGTTACTAAATGTCATCACTGTCTATGCTAAGTACATGTCCTACCGGGGATATGAGGTTTAAGTAGGATCGCCACTTGATGTTGATTAGTTTCGCCAGTATTCGAAGCTTTCGAGAAGCTGAAGAAACATTCAGACTTTGTTTAAAGGGGAATTTGGTAGTCGTCAAATCCAATGTTGAAAATCGTATTTTCCAATTTATATATGCCTCTGGTTCAAAGATGGAATAATTTCTGCACAATACTTCATGTTCAAGGATGCGTTTCTATTGTGGCATAAAGATCCACTTTCCAAGTCGCGGGTCTGGAAAGCATAGATAATTCCTTGGTTTTGTCTAAAAGAATACTGGACTTGGTATAACATAATCCTGGATTTCTGATGGAACTATTGGCTCTTGGAACACGTGGAAGAAAGAAAGGGAGTTAACGATAAAATAAAAGCTAGATTGAATGGACACGAGCGAAGTAACACGAGAACTTGGATGTATCTAAATTATCTAATTGAATCTACTTCAATTAAGTGAACATCATGAAAGTTTGTCACAATGACGCACATGGCCAAAAATCATTCTACAAAAGTATGATTGTTGCTTTGTTTAGTTAGATTATGTGTTTTACTTGAAAACACGTACAGTAATTGATATAATTTCATTTGAAGCTTGATTAAACCATACGAGATGATGGGAAAAGATTTACGTTGTCATGGGAAGGAAACTCTCCGTCCTATCCTTCCCATTCGTAGACCTATAGAACTTAGGTGCATGAAACCTACCGCTTTCAAACACTTTTTACTGTCTTGTGTGTTGGTATGTCACCAGTGGAAATACACTAAAAATATCTTTGCATGTTATATGCATATGCATATCTTATGCATATCTTTGCATATTATACATTTGCCATGGATTCAAGTCATCAAGGTGATGTGGGTTTAAGTAACCCGAAGCAATGAGGTCCTAACACCCACATCACCTTGCTTCATCATCTTCAAAATTTACTTGTACATAATATTATACTTCTTTTATTTTCTTTAACATTAAACATGAGTGGATGCATGTATATTCTTTTGATTGGGATGAACTGAAATAAATATTTTCTTTTTAAAATATACATTAAATATGTTTAAATTTCTTATTTTGCATATATATGTGTATGTACATATGTAAGACTCAATGATTGAAACACATATTCTTGCAAATTCTATGATGTGTCAAATACATCATTTCAAAATCCATATTGACGATTTTTTAGACATCAGTTTGTAAATAATGTAAACTTTATAACGTAAAATTGTACATATTATGAGTGATCTGGGTTTATTTTTAATTATTATTTGACTATACACAACTCGTATTTTCGTGAATACAAGTGAGTTTTTATCGTATGGATAAATAAAATTCACATGAACAGTAATTCATGCGGGTGGAAACTTGTAAATTGATACAAGTCAATGTTAGCATTATAAACTAGAATAGCTTTCATAGTTAGTGAATCAAAGAATTATTTCAGCAATATTAAACTTCGAATAATATCATATATCCAGACTAAATGTGTCAATGTTGAGCAAAGGTACATTATAACGTTTTAAATAATATTTATATCGTTTAAATAATTTATCTTAAAATTTTATCTATCAATCATGTATACATAATATAGAGTAAATAAAAATTACATGAAAACTTTTTTTTTATATTAATATCTTGGTTTTATATTATATAAATTATCAAAAAAAAATACAAAATTAAATATTAAAGTGATGGGCCAGTTATCACTCACTTGGGCTAAACATCTCTCATTCTAATTTACGAACGACCAGTATTGGTCCAAGGTTATCGGTGACAGTGGATTCAATTTATGCCTCGCATGCATTCGTTCAAATCACATCAGGAGTACAAGCCGAGTCCAGCTGAGAGGGCCGAAGGTGCGGGTTGCGGGCAATACACACCGGGCTATAGTGACCATTTTAGTTTGAGAAGTCCATCCATGTTAGAAGAGCAATAAACTGAATCTCCGGTCATCTATCCTGGACTTTAGGGTAACCCTAAACCCGATCATCTATCTACTAGGATGAGGGAGAATTAGCTGAAAGTGAGTAATAACTAACAACTTTTATATAAAAATAACAACCATAGTATAAGATTATATAAAATGTTAATAGAGATAATTATGATCATATTTATTATTTGTTAATTCTAATCATCAATGAGAGTATTCAAAGATTTTGTATTTTTTCAATTACAGGAGCATCATCATTTTTGCATATCAATTAATTTAAGTAGGTTTTGTATAGAGATTAGTTTAGATAAAATTATAACCGGAAATTATTATTAATTTTTTGGTATTGATTTTATCATTTTAAGAAAGAAGTTTTATTTTCTAACATTGCTACTATAAGAAATATTTAAAATGTTTTCTCAATAACTATAATAGACTCTCATATTCCTTTCTCTAATCAAGTTTCATTAAAACTAATTATACATAACATTCTAAAATAAATTTGACATTTCGAACAAAAGTCACTAACTATATGTTGGTGGTGGTGAAAACAATTTCAATCAAGTTGATCAACACAAAGTTTAATGAAATGATTTGAGACAATGAGATTCAATGTTTTAATTTTAGTCATTTAATTACGACTTCCGTATTTTTATGTCATGTATGAACATGAACCTTTTCTCATAACCCCTGATGTATGTACATCAGGTTTACAATGCAAAGTCCCCTCTTCTCTCGATAAACAAGTCCCCTCTTCTCACTCAAACTAATCCAGTCTGTAGACATTAACATTATAGACTACTTGCTTCGGAATAGTAATCATGATTTCATTTAGACATGTTTGTAACGTAATGATTGACATTCACATAGTATTTCACCTTGATAATAGATGAAGAATGAAGCGGAGCGTGAATAAGTGGGCATTCAATAGAGACACTGAGAAAAAGACTGTCAGGAGGAATTGTCAAAGCACAATAGTTTTATAATGTCGATTTCTACATATACTCTTCGAAACTTTTTCCACAAATATTGTCGTTGCCTTCAGAAGCCGATGCTCGATGAGAGGTCGAGAATGATAAATATAACAGGGCAAACCGAAAGATTTTGCATCTTTCAAGTTGTGGCGGACTAGGATGTGGGAAGCTGCGCACGCAACGATGGGCAGCATATCAAAACTCGCACCGACCAAAGGCTATGAAATCAATGTAATCATCAGTTCTCATCAGTTCTCAATAAAGAAGCCGAGCGGCAACGGGACTCGGTTTGGTGGGATGGGGATAGAGCAAAAATGATGCTTGAGCGCAAGACTCTGTCTCCATATGTACAATCAAAGCTGGCGATGGCGGTCGTCTAATGACGAACTCCTCTTCGGCGCGACCCTTCAGAACGGAAGAGGAGAGAACGGATGATTCTCTCCTCCTCACGGAGGGGACGCTGCGAATATTCCCCGCCGCCGCCGACCAGCCCAGCCAGCCTGCCTGCCACGTCACTCACTGGCTGACGACGACTTGGAGGCCGCGGGGCTGCGCGCTGATGTGGTGGCGCAGCTCGTCGACGGGGTGGGTGATCTGCGCGAGCGCCTTCGGCCTCGTCGGCTCGCCGGGATATGACACCGGACTGTGCAGCGGCGAGTCGACCCACGTCTTCCCATGGGCCGTGCTTCCGGCCCACAGAAAGCGATTCGAGTACGGGCTCAGTAGGCTCTCCACAAATTCGACGGCGCTCTCGGACAGCAATCCCTGGAAGGAGGTCAGTCAGTCAGTCAGTCGACAATCCGTCGGGTTCACGAGGAGGAAAGAAAAGGAAGGAAGGAAGGAAGTTGACCGTGGTTAGTTCGTTAGTTACCTCGGACATGGCCTTGATTCGGAGGGCGGTGTCTCGGGTCAGAAGCGCCACCTTGCCGTAGTGCGTGGTCATGTCGAAGAGCATTGCGCATTCCAGGATGTGGTCGTCGCTCGTGGGGGACATGGGGCCTGCGTGGTGCGGGAACGGCCGGGAAGGCGAAGGCGGCGGAGTGGCTCCGGCCGGCAGAGTTTCCGACGACTTCTGCACGTGAATCCAGTTCGGTAACCGGACCATGCACGACTCGATCCACCTCAGCGCCTCCCTGGCCGGCGATCGCAGTCCCTCTCGGTGCTTCAGGAAATCCAGCTCTCTCACCACTGCGTCACAGTTTCAATTTCATCAGTTCAACCTTCATCGACCAATTCTCTGAGTCATCTGAACTGATAATCAGAAGGATCAGCCTCTTCGAAGACCACCTCCTGATCCCATGCAATCGCAACTCTCGTCCTCGGATTTTCCCCGATGTCTTGTAATCAATATTGATAGAAACCAATACTGAATTCAAGACAAAGTAGAAACTAGTATACAACAAACAAAACCAAAAATATTGTGTCAAATACGTAAGTTTATTTAGTTGAGGTCATAGATGTAGGACGTTAATTCTACATAACATTTTCTTTCTTTTTGTAACATTTCCTGAAAATAATATTTTTCTTCGTCCGATCTTTATGGTTGCCAGAGTTGTCTTTTATTCAGAGCGGTGGTTTGACGTGAGGCTAGAGAAGTGGTTTATTAAGTAGAGGGACATCAGACACTCACCAATTTTCGGTATAATGACCGAAACTTCCTTGATTCCTTCGAGCTGCTTGAGGGCCTTCAAGGACTCGAAGTCGAGCAGGCAGTTGGTGTCGATCACCGCATGCCACTGCTTGCGGCCCTCGATGGAGTCGGCGAGCTTCAGTCTCCTTAGAAGCTGATCCAAGTTCTCGCCCTGTCACCAGAAGGACGCACAAGCATGCACTCAGAGACTCACTCACTCACGCACTCTCACGCACACAGATTTGCATTTCTCGAGCTGGAGAATTGGTCAATAAATGTGTTCGGATGGATGGAGAGAGATGGCACTCACAGTGGGGCAGAGCTTGTTGTTGTGCTGAGGCCGGGGCAAGCTCATCAGCGCTCTGCAATGGTTGAGGTCTTCGTCCGACGAGACATAACTGTCGGCACTGCTCTGGAACACGCCTTTGTAGCCCAACGAGGCGCACGGCAGCGGCGGGAACAACGGCCTGAACGGCTGCCTCTCGATGGACTCGACCAGCGACGACGACGACGACGACATCGCCTTGGACGCTGCTGCTCTGCCGCGGCTCTCGGACTGCCAGCTGTCGCTCTTCAGAGCAGCAGCCGGTCTGTATGGCAGCAGCCTCGCGGGGGGAGCCCAATTCTCCTTGTCCGACGGGTACTCCTCGTCGATCTCGAGCTCCAGCTCGAATGTCGGAGCCTTCTTTTCGGCCTTCTTTTCGGTCGCTGCTGCTGCTGCAGCAGCAGCGGAATTGACGTCGCCATGGTGCACCTCGAGCTCTTCTTCGACCAGGGCAGAGAGAGGAGGGGCGGACGGGACGATTTGCGTGCTGATTTCCGAGCCGGGGACGGTGGTGAGTGCGGGCAGCGGCGCGGACGTGCATCTCCTGAGCCACAGCTTGGAAGGAGTGAAGATTTCGGATGCTCCGCTGCGCTGCTGCTGCTGCTGATGCTGCTTGTTGTTGCTCGGGGATGGAAGAGCCTTGTCGACGGGAGCGGGTTTGTTGTTGGGCTGGGCTGAGGATCTTGCACCGAAGGCTTTTTTCACGGAGGGCGACCTGGGCGACTGCACGTGCTGCGGCTGCGGCTGCTGCTGCTGCTGCTTGTTGGAGGGTTGCAGCGAGGAGAAGGCCAGACGGCGCATGGGCAGCTTCGGGGAGCTCGCAGCTCGCTGCAACTGGTTGCCGAATTTGCCAGACGGAGAATTCAGCACAGACGGCGACAAGTTCTCATCTTGCTGTGCGGGGAACGGCGCCTTACCTCCTCCTCCTCGTGACTGGAGCCCACCTCCTCCGCCGGCCGAATTGGACTTGCTGCTGAATTCCTGCTGCACAATTCACCCCAATCCGACAGCGTTAGGCCACTGCACAATCTCCATCCCCTGCTGCCATGGCGGTTCCTCCGCATGACGTTCGTAAATCCGCCCGATTGGTGCTACGATTCCCACCATCTCGACCGACCGACCGACCGACCGACCGAGAAAATGAATGCACAGCGTTCAGCGATGGAGGTACCTGGTTTTCAGACACCGGGCGCTTCTGATGTCCGGATTGTCGCCTGCCTGGGGCGTGGGAAGGAAGCTCCTGCGGCGCGGCTTCGATGGAAGAGTGGATGGACTCGGTCGATTGCCCGGCCTCGGCATCGGAGTCGACCGGACCGGGCTGCCAGTCGATCCTGTAGACGCGCGTCGATGCAGCGAGCTGGAACGTGGCGCTTCCATGCACGACCACCGGCGCCATGATTCCCAACCGATTGCCGTGCACCCATGTTCCGTGCACTGTCGATCAAACGGAGCACACACAGACCGCGAGTCAGGAGCGCTATTCTTGACCTTGGCTCTCGTTGCAATTCCAGGCATCTCAATACAAGTTGATCGGAATTGCCGCTCAGACAAGAATCATCGTCTCCACTGGTGCTCCTTCATGACACTCCGAAGAGAGTTCGGCGAGCTTGAAGGGACGGGAAAGGCTTCGGGAGGCTCTTGCGCAGTCGGCAAGATTTGGCTCGGGAAGCAGACACAGTGTCGGACTCGGAGTGTGCTCACAGTTCGGACGGGGATGGTGAATGGGGGGAGGGGCTCTGATTTACACCTCAGAAACGGAATTGTTTGAAAAGAGAGCAAGAGCAGGAGCAGCAGAAAGAACGTACCGGATCCGAGGTCGGTCAAGATGACGTCTCGGGTCGAGCTGATAATCTGAATCTCCAGGTGCCGCCGGCTGCTGCTCGCATGGCTGACCACCAAATCGCACGAGTGATGCCTGCCCATGACCAGCGTGTCCCTGCCCTCCAGGTTGATGCTGTCCAGCACCTCGTCTCCCTTGAGCACCGTCAGGAACGGCACCATCTCCTTCCTCCCTTTCATCGTGCCTGCCCTCTACTCGTCCCGAAGTAATTCCCACTCACGAACTCCCGTGAACCAAACTGAAGCAGAGCTCACTCTCTCACTCACTCGGTCACTAGCTCAATGAACGAGGTCAGAAACGTCGACGTTGCGGAAATGGGTAGCGGCACAACGCAAGCTGCGACTCGGTGGCTGACATGATTCTCTTCCTTCGATCCGACCCGACCCGAGAGTCCGATGTTGTGTTCAGCTCTGAACCTCTGACGTTCGAATTTCTTAATATCTCTCTCTCTCTCTCTCTCTCTCTCTCTCTCTCTGGGTCTCTGTGGCGAGTTGCTCTGCGTCTACGAGGCCAGAGGGAAGAGAAGTGAGTTTCGGGGAATGTTCAGACCAGAACGCTCGAGGAGAGAGAGATCCAGCGCAGCCTCGAGCTGCACACGTTTCGGTACGACTGCAGGACGAGAGAGGGAGAGAGAGAGAGAGAGAGAGATTTCCAAAAGTTTGAGGCTGCTCGAGCGCGGGAGGGAGAGAGGGGGAAGGAGGGGGGTGGGGGGCGGAGACGACGTCGAGCGAGTGTGTTGGGGGGCGGGCGGGGGAGGGGGAGGAGGGGCAGTTTCGAACTACGGGCGGAGGGAAGGGGAAGGGGAAGGGGGTAAGAGCAGGGAGAGGGGCGAGAGGACCGTTTGAAGCGCCGGTCACGGAAGCAAGAGTAAAGACAAAAGGTAGCCGTTGATTGATTTTTTTTTTTATGGCTGTGCTGGCTGGCGCCCGGGGCTCGCAACGTTCATCTTTCTCGGCTCGGGTGTTCGTTAACGTCGTCCGTTGTCGAGTCGGATGGATGGAGGAGCGAAACGAGCTCAGAATCAGCCGAGCTCGTGAGGAATAAATATGCGGCATCTTCTTCCTCCTCCTCCTCCTCCTCCTTCCTTTTAGTACCACCACCATCTTTCCCTCAAGTGCCACAACACATTCTGTATCTGCTGGATTCTGGAATGTTCGCCCCGCATGGAGTCCAGAATCTCTACTGCAGGTACTGTATTACCCGCCACGCCTCCTGCCATGGCAAATAGTAGACCCACTTTTATTCAATTTTCCATTATTTACTTTGGTTTTATTTCTTACACTATGAACAATTTAATAATATTTGAATGTATAACATTCCTTTGAATTTTTTCACATTATGTACATATAAATAGAGAGAGAGATGTGGATGTTCATGTCAGTGCGGTAAAGCCATTTTCATGGGATCCAGCTTTTGGTTTCATATTCAATGGATTTTGACAAGTTGTTTCTATCGATTGGGCGCACTATCTCTGCGCTGAAGTGGGAGAGCTCATTGATTGGGCTGACATGAATGGACTCCGAAACTGTCAGGACTCAGGAGGAGGTTCTCGTTTCCAGTGTCTCAGTGAATGTATCGCATGAGCAGTACGAGGAGTTTCGAAATGCCTGGTTGAGACTGAAGACCGGGACATGGATTGGCGCTACGCTGCCGCGAATTCGGTGACGCAAACGAAGCAAGGAGGGCAATGATGCGTCTTCCACCCGAGCGACGAAAGTTGACTCCATGTACTGTCGGTACGATGATTTCACGTGCATTCGGGCATTGTTATTTGGTCTTATGAGTAAGTACCGTGTTTCACCGGCTGCAGCAAAGTTGTTGCTCGTTTTCTCCTCACTTTGTCCATCGATTTATTCCAGTTTCTTGACATTATGCACAACATCAGTTGATGAGGAGTGGCCGTTCTCCACCAAACAGAAAAATAACAATGAAGATTATTATGACAAATGTTTTATGCAACTATCAAATCATCATGAAATAAAAATTGTACTATGTAACATGTGTGGGGCTAAAAAGTATCACTTGTAGAACAGTACATCATACAAATTTGAACCAATATAAGTGGTTTAAAAATTTTGTAATCAGAAGTTTCAATATATTGTGTTCTTTGCACTTATTGTAGATAAATTTTCACCCTTTATTTCTCAAGACTCAAATGCCAGATTACATTGAATCTTATACCAAATTTCAACTCCAGGAAAAGTTTAACTCAAGTGCAAGATTTTCATTTTTAAAATCAAAAGTTATCATGCTTAACTATAGCTTAATAGTAGATATAAAATAATTAAGCTTTTCATCAGTTTCAATGCGTATTAATACTTTTTTATAAAAAAATATACATAAATCATTTAAAAATCATATTTTACTCAAATCATGGATTATATTTTTTTTATTAATATTTTAATTACAGTGAACAATCAGTTATTACTCGGTTTATGCTAATTAATTCTCACTCTACAAAAAATATATAAATTGTTAAAAAAACAAGTTATGTGGTTGGTCAAAGTAATCTCATTTCAAATTAGATATACTTGGGAACATACTCATACCTAATAATGAATAGCGTTGAGCTCCATTTTTTGTGTGTTCCCAACCAATAAAAATGCTTAAATTGTCAATTAATTCAAATCATAATTTGCCTATCTCACCACCAAAAAACGATAAAATTAGTTGGCGATGTGGATAGAAATCACTTTTGTTTTAATCTCATCAATCACATACATATTTTCTTAAAAAATTTATATAATTTTTGTGTAGTGAAAAATTATTAACATAAAATAAAGTATAACTAACGGCTCTCTATAACAACATGAGTTACATTTAACTTGTATATATTAATGTGTGCATAAGATGTATAGTTCCATAAAATTCTCATCGCTTGAAAAAAATGAGCTGACAAAGAAAGATATCAATAAATATATTGTATCTTTTGTAAAATTATAGCATAAAAATTTACTGATGTCACAAATATCAATCTTATCCAATAAATGGTTTTACACACAAAATATTCGATCTAGTTGTATCATTTGTATTATGTCTTGGAGTGTGTCCAAAACAGAAATATCCATGAATCATTTACTATTTTAAACACATCTCATAAGTGTGTCTAAGTGTAGTCGTGGAACCATACATGACCAGTTTTATGAGTGTTTATATAATTAGTTACAAAACAATAGAAGTGAAAGCAACTATCCGCTCTTCGCATTCTCCTTCAACCGTGATCTTTAGAGTTTTATTTTGCGTTTATACAGTCAAAGAATTGGGCCACTCGTTCTCGTTACATGCTTTCTAATTCATTTATCGTCTAGGGTTGAAGTAGTCCAAATGTCTCAGCTGTGGCTATAGACTAGAACGCACTAGAGAAGAAACATCCGCCAAGGGCTTCTTGCAGAATTCAAGTACGAGGTCAGTCGGTCAGAACCGAGCAGTCGCAATGGCTGCCACTGTCTGCTTGATGTGCCCGACCGACGACGAGCCAATGACCGTCGAATCGGCAATCGTGTCCCTCGTGGGAAGAAGAAGTTGAGGGGAAGAGGAACAGACTAGGAAAGCTTGGAGGAATTTGTAGATTCGCTCCTGGATCAATCATTTGGCCAACAAACGCAAACTTGCGAATTGCGCGAGTTCACTAGCACACAATATGATCCGACAGTGGTCACGGTTCTAGTCATTCACAGATGCGGACGTCATGACACGTGGTGGGGTAACAGTTGCAGCAGGATCGACGAGTTCTTCCTGCTTTCAGCCTACGACAACAGTCAGATGAAGCGTAACAAAAACACGACGATGTAAAATCAAGACGGCCCTCAGTGGCGAACACGGTAATGCAAATGTCGGAACTTACCGCCAGAATTTCATTAGCCGATGAAATATTGATGTGTAAAAGTTAACGGAACCTCTTTATGTTACAAGGCCAGACGGTTCTTTGCCCTTTCTCGTGCCTAATTAGCTGATGAGTTGGGGTAGCTTATACCCTCAAAGAATCTGCCCAGGGAGGACGTATGAACAAATTGCATGGAATTTCTCACCGGATGTACAATGACCCGTTTTACTGATGCGACTACCCTTCGTGACCCTTGGTGACAACAATTCTAAATAGGTGGGGAGGAGATTCAGAGAGTAAAACTTGACCAAGCCAGACAAGAACATGATACAAGACCTTTCTACAAAACTTTTCCAGTGTGCAGGGTCCGAATATATTTCTCAAGATGACAGTGTTTTTGATTGATCCCCTCCTATTCCACCACCTTCCCTCTCGCCTGAAACCTCTACCAGCTCGGGCCCAGAGCTTGGTTCAACTGAAACCGCAACGCTTTCAATGCCACTTGCAGTTATCAAATACGGCTTCGACCCCTGCACAGCAGCATTTTGCCGCTTCGTTGGTTGAGCATGACCGCCTCCACCTCTGCTGGTGCCTCCGACAGAAGAGGCTTGAGAGTGTAGCCCATGCCCCTGCCCAGAAACCAGATTGGTGGCTGAAGGTCCGTTTTGCGAGCCCACTTGAGATGTAGAAGGTGGTTTCTTGTTAGTCGTAATTCCACCCGCAGTCTGTGGTATAGAATTTGCTGCCTGAGATGGTGGCTGCTGCTGGGCTCGTGGTGGTGGGGACTTCGGCCGAAGAGATTCAATCTCAGGAGTGGTGCCCACCAAATGGGGAGCATCTACTGGAGGATTGCCCCGACCTCCCTGCCAAACCTTGCCCTCGGCGTCGACAAAATGTTTAGCGTACATCTGGAAAAGAAGAATCGAACCGCCACAAGCTGTCAGATGGGAAACATACTGCAAATGAACCAGGAGCTTGAAAACCTTGTGAAACCTGAAGACATTCCTTCTAACTTTACTACGAAAGAATAGATCAAAGAGAAATATGGCTCCTTCGCGTCGATTTCTGCAGTTGCAGTTCCTAGACAGCCATCTTTCTCTTTGATCTGAAGGAGGAAAACAAAGCCTGACTTCATGTGCAGCAGCAAAATATGGACAAAACGTTTCTTCCACTCAAAACGAGATTAGCAGGTTCATTACGATGGAAGGATTACGATTCTTTCCAGAAGCACTTAGACCATGAGCTGGAGGAAGAGCTAAGAACAAGGGAAAGCAGACCTGTGGACTGAAATTTGATGAAGACAATCCTTTCCCCACAGTAACCCAGCCTGCCCTTATATTGTGGTCTTCCCCAAAAAGCTCTAGGCGTCGCTGACCTTGAGCGAAATGTTCTATGATGTGATACAGTTCTTCCGGTTTTGCAGTGGAACCTGTAAAAGAGATCGTTGGAAAACGTCAGGTCTCCATAACAACCCCTTGTGAAACATGTATTTCCTGGTTTAATGCAGAAGGTCAACCCTCATCATCATCCGAAAGTTTGTACATACGTCAGCTATTAACCAAAAATGCGAGAATGAAGATTCAAGATAACACAAAATCTGCAACATTACACCGAAGCCTTGAAACGTGAGTAGTGACTTTAAAACACGAAGCAACTTTCAAAATACAAATCAATCCTAGAGAAAAGACTACCCACCGTAATCTGGTTCTTCAGAGATAATAATATCGGTGTCAACGTTTGCATGGATGATGTGGCCATCAGTGCTGCGTCGAACAGTTCCCTTGATACCCATTAAGCAATGTTCCTACCAGGACCCAACCACTTATAATTAACCAGTGACTTGGAAAGCAACAAGCAAAATTCTGATAATAAGTTCAAAAATAAAACTACTTTTGTTGGCACTCTCAAAACACTTCGCAGCAATCATAGTCCTGATCAATACTTTTGAATGTTGGAGAAGAGTATTCGCATCATGTCGCAATGCGGGTGTCGGATTCTCTCGGTTGGTTTTCACCCAGCATATGTCTTCACATCTCCTGAATCCCCACTGCCAACCAGAAGTCCATTTAACGTGATAAAATGTAAAATTGTTCAACAATGTAATTCACCTGCTGCTAATGAAGCTGCAGATCTAAAGTTCACTGGATGATAGCCAAGAAAAAGTGACGGTGAAGACTATATATGAGTTGCAGTGCAATGCTCAAAAACCATCAGGGTGGCTTCTATTAGCATCAGAGCAACCACATTGATCAAGGTCTTGGGTACACTTATTCGGATGAAAGAAAAGCACCACTCAACATTTGCTAACCAGAAGTCGTAAAAAGAGCGAACAGTTACCTTTTTCAAACAGAGGCGACCCTGATCAAGGCCCTCGGCATCTCCGACCCAAAGAAAGATGAAGGCAGGAGTGTCTGATATTGCCTGCGGAGCGTAGAGTAATTAAGTTTGATGAGCAACAAATTAATAACGCTGGTTCGACGTAACCGATCCCGCAAAGGAACAACAAAAACACAATCTCCGACCTAATGTGCGAGGAGTATAACTGTGGTTCTGGTGGTACCAGAGAGTACAGATGCGGCCACGTTCACATAGAAGTTTCCGACATGGGAAACAAAAACGCTGTCCTGTTTGTATTGAGAGCGTTGGATTGAGTGATACACATGAACAAGTAGATCAATCAAGATGCCCTAACAACCTCAAAGCCTTTTATTCAAAAGCTTCTACCTGTGTCAAGTAAACTAAATCATCAAAAGCTATCCTTCATTTGTTGACATGGTATTATGTGTTTATGAAGAGCAAATGACAAATGTTTAGAACAGTAAAACGAGTTTTTCATACAGTACTAGCTACTTTTGTTTCGCAAATTGTCGCGCTCAGCGCTACTAAAACCCCAGTTCGATTGACCTCACAGTGTAAACCTCATAACTAGTTCCCCGCAAAAAGTCCTGCAAGATAGGGTGATACACTAAAGCTTGTCCACGAGAGTGGCCATGTAAAACGGAATATGAGGAAGAGAGGAAGACCTCGATGCGAAGATTTTGGATATCTTCATACGACCACCACTCCATCGAATCCCCCACGCCAGGTGCTCGTCGCACATATTCTTCCCAAGGTGGATCCACAAGAATAACATCAAACTTGGTTCCAAAAACTTCAGGCCGGAGCTCTGTCGTGCGTAAATCACATTGCATATACATCGGCGGGGTAGCTCGATCGGAAATAAGTTTGTCCTTCCGTGAAATCAATTCTTTCAGCTTAGGATACTCCTCAAACCTGTCGGCAAGTTCGACATCTCGGATGAAGTTCTGAGGCCTTAAACCAGTATCAACAAAATGCTGAGAATAGTCATTTTGCTCGCCTCTTGAAGGTCCTCTTCCTGTTGGGCCACCACCTCTAGCAGCACCCCTCCCTCCAGGGGGACCTCTATCTCCGGGCATGGGCCGACCACCAAATGGTGAGCCTCCGCCAAAAATTCCTCCAGGCACAATGGCGCCGGGGCCTCCTCTACCAGGACCTGGGGGGTTGAAAAACATGTTGGGACCAGGGCCAGGATGACCACCTGGACCCATTCCCGGACCAAACCTGGGAGGGCCTGGGCCTGGCCCTGGCCCTGGCCCTGGACCAGGAGGACCATTCATCATTCCCATGTCTCCTCCGCGATTACCACCCCAGCCCATCGGACCTGCAAAAGGCATTTGGAATCCCCCGGGGCCCATCATTCCCGGACCAAGCCCTGGCATCGGTCCTGCTGGTCCCAAAGGACCGAAATGAGGTCCTGGCATGCCCGGGCCCGGGCCTGGGCCAGGCCCCATCTGCGATATGCCTGTGACGTTACCTCTCTGATTATCTCTGCCACCACCACCTCTGCCACCCTTCCCCGGACCTCTGCCTCCTCTTCCACCTTTCACTCCTTGCTGCATATTCCTCATCATTAATCCACCGGCTTGATTGTTCAGAAATATCGGCCTCCCTTCATGCATTACCACCGGGCCACGACCACGGTTGCTAGGAGATCCCTTCGCCCTCCCATTTCCGCGATGAAGATTGAACCCCATGCCACCATCATTGCCTCCTCCCCTACCTGGACTAGGTCCAAATACCTGATCCAAACCTGGTGGTGGTTCGTCTTCGTTTGTGAACCGGTCTCGACTGTCATGAAGGTATCCTCCATCTCCGAGACGCAACCTTTCATCTGGCATTGGTGCTTCCCAGTCCCCATCTCCAACTCCCAACATGTAGTCTCCTTGAAGCATTCCATTGTCTCCTGCTGCCCGAGGCATGAAAGGTCCACTGGCCAATAGACCTCTGCCAGGATCCACGTTCGGGGGTAGTTGCATACCTGAACCACCTCGGCCAATTACATCACCTAACATCCCTACAGCATTGGGGCTGGTTAGCCCCTCTCCCCTCTCCCTTTCCATTCTCTCCCTTTCATTCATTTCTCTATCGAACCTTTCTCTCCCGGATCGTTCTCTCTCCACTCTCTCCCTCCTTCGGTCCAACTCCCAACTTTCGCGGTCAATGTCTTGCTCAGGATCCCTGTCTCTACCTTTGTCATCTCTGTCCTTGTATCTTTCTCGAGGTCGGTCTTTCCTCCTGTCGGATACCTCCTCCCATTCTCTCCGCCTGCTTCTCTCCCAAGAATCATCGTAATCTTTGTCGTGGGCACCATCCCTTTCGAGATACCTATCACGATCCTTTTCTCTCTCTCGCCTGCCGCTCGGCCTCTCCCGCTCGAGCTCTTCCTTCTCATCTAGCCAGTCTCTTTCGCCATCATCCCAATCTCCACGAGCACCTCCTCGTTTGAAATCAGGACTCCAAGAATCTTTCCAGTTCTTCATACTCCTACTTCTTCCTCCAGACCTCCCTCCGTCCTCGGACTCTTCTCGCCCGCCATCTGTTCGTTCTCTTGCTCTAGATTTGTCCCCTCTGTCGTCATCACCACGACCTCTGGCTGAAAGTCTCCCTCCTTCCTCAGGGGCCTCCCTGATGCCCTCCGCTCGATCTCTGAGTAGCTTCTCACGATGTTTATCAGGTCGTTCTACATCTCTTTCACCTCTTGATCTCGCAGCGAATCTCCCCATATCATCGGCGGCCTCGACACTCAATTCTCTGCCCGAACCTGGAACCTTATCAGTCCAATCCTCATCCACCTTCTCCCCTCTTCCTCTTCTCCCATCTTCTGCCTCGTCTCTTCCTCCTCCTTCCACTCTGTCACGACTTCTGCCACCGTCCAACCGATCGTCCACAGCCCTGTCCGATTTTTTCCTGCCGTTGGACCGAGGACCACTCTCGAGTTCGGCCCACTCGTCCGCTCTTTCGCTCCTGAGCTGCTGGCGATCAGCTCTGCCGTCCTCCCTAACCCTAATCGAAATTTTTGCTCCGTCTTCGAACTCATCCTGGCCAGCGTCTCCGCGCTCTTTGCCTCGAGACCTCTCACGTCGATCATCTTCTCTACTCCTCTTGCTTCGTCCGACAGCTTTGCCTTCTTCCGACTCGGCCCACTTGCTGTCATTTCGCTCGCTGCCCTTGTTTCTGTCTCTCTCTTTGACCGGTTCGTGCCCATCTTCCTTAAAGAGCTCGATTGCTTCCCCTCGTCCTCGATCTCTACCCCCGCGCTTGCCACCTCTTTCCTCGACCTTATCAGCTGTTCGACTGTTGATTCGCTTGCCTTCGACTTCACCCCAGCCACAGTCAAATCTATCATCATCTTCGCCTTCAAATCTCTCAGAGGCTTCTTCCCTATCACCTTTAGCCCCACGATTTTTCTCTCTACCGTTCCTTCTCTTCTCTGACAGTCGACCATCTTCAGAATCGTCGTAACCTGCTGCTCGGTCCGCCGATACATCCCTCTCTACTTCGTGGCCTCGCTCTCCTCTGCTTCTGCTCCTGCTTCGGCATGATCCAAGTCCGGCAGCCTTCACTTCTTGATCTGCTCTCTCATCTTCATATCGCCAACCTCTGTCCTCCTCGGACTCCTCACAATAATCCCGTCCCACCTTCCGCTCTTCGTCATCAATATCAATTCCCTCTCCTGATTTCCCTGCTCTCGTTCCACCTGCTTTTTTTTTGCTGCTCCCACTCGATCTTATGCCCAGAACTTCGACATGTCCAGCTTCACTACGTTCGCTTTCGTCTCTTACTTCCTTGACCTGACCCCATCCTCGATCATCCTTATCTCCGGATTCCTCTTTTCCACCACTTTCTCCAACTGGAAATTTTTCCAACTTTGCAACCCTTTTATCCTTGTTAGACTTCCTCTTAGACCGACCTTCATCCGGCATGTCCCAAGAAGTGTCTAATTTATCTACCCTCTTTTTACCTCCTGTGCAAGCCCTCTCGTCCTCAGAGTACTCGCCATTCCCATCAGCAACTCTCTCATCACCTCCTCCATATCCTTTAACCCTGACAGCCCGGGGCTCCCTCTCGCCCTTGCCGTACTTGCGAGACTTGCTTGCACGTTGCTTACGATCACCTGTTTCACCCCAATCTTGAACGTGTTCCGTATGCCTATCCTTGTCTTTGGAGAAATCTGACCCATCCGAAATCTTTCGCCTCTTTCCTGACTCGATCATGTCTTCCCTGCTCCCAACATCAGGAGAATCCATCCCCTCAACACCCTAATTTGGCTCTGAGCCTTCGCATGCTACTCGTTGTTCCTGCAGCTTTGCCACATTCCACAATGTGGCCTACACCCGTCCCTCGACTCTGCAGGTGAGCAAGGGGATAATCATCCAGGCAAAGAAGCCACAGAGCAACTAAAAGCGACCTTTCGTAGGAACACGTCAGGCACTAAGATAAGAACCTCCCACCCGCTCCCTCCTTCCTTCCTTGGCCTGGAAAATCAATCCCCGCCACCCTAATCCGTGACATTATTCCTACTCGACTTCCTGTGTCATCTTCCAATCCATTCTGCATTCGGTTCCAATTCACCTCCAAAATTCAATGCACACTCGAACGGCAATGGAAGTCACCACAATAATCTCAGAGTGCGAAACAGGAAGGTGACAGATACGAATCATCTAAAACAGCAACAAGGTCCCACAAAAGTTGAATGACTTCACATTCACTCACCTCGTAACGAAGTTCTGTTGGTCATGATCTGCTTCATTCACCCTGCGCCTGCATCGACACAACTCATCCCACTCGCCCTCTTCTTGTCGACGCAAGGAGCTCCGCCCAACCTAACCTCTGCCTTCAACTCGTTTCTTTGATTTGTCCAACGGTGCAATTCTCTCTGGATCACACGCGAACAGCGTGACTTCTGTCTTCATGAACTCCACCACTTACACTGACCATAGAATTCCCCGGTTCCGAACGAAGGGAAGGAAGCGCAGACGCATCCGCCCCTCCCTCATTTCGTCCTCAATGCCAAAAGCGCGATTTTGGTCGTCCCGTCCCGGCTTCCACCTCATGACCGCCTCTCCGTTTTCCTCCCTCTCGATTACATACTCCTCCTCCTCCTCCTCCTCCTCCTTTCGTACTACCCTCCCATCTTCCTTGTCCCCCGTTCTCATCTCTCGCACTACCGTGGCCACAGTAGCACTTTCACACCTGGGTTTTCACACAAACTCCACCCATACTCAACATTTTGGCCGTAATCACGCGGACTTCAACTCCAGCTGCTCACGCGGCACAGGTGGTGCCCCCTAATATATTCAGGTTATACGAATATACTAAAAGATGCCAGTCCACATGATTTCCTGCAGTCGTGATACTCGTCACTTTTTATCATTTCATCGCTAAAAGACTTGTCATTGTGTTCTCACTATTGGCTACTTACAAGACATGGCTTGCAGGTAGTGGTCATTTCTTCGGAGCATTCCTCGTTGTGACTATCGTAGTTGACTTTCAGTTTTCTCGGTGATTCGTTCAAGAGAAGCATATCGGCTTTGGTCAAATGTTTTGTTTTCTCTCCGATGGCAGTTCATGAGCCAAGCAAATTGGTACGGTTATTGCAACTTGACGAACTGACATCTGTGCGTCATATGAGAAATCAGGCATTGTGGTCTCTCTTCGAAATATGCATCAGTGAAAAAATTCAGTGTGGAGGTAGTAAAGAATTCCTCCAAGTGTATCTATCCCCTCTAGAATATATGTTGGAGACCATTAGGACCATATTGCGTTGAAGAACAACCACCTCACGGAAAGCTGGCCCTCTAAAGTATGATTGTCATCTAGCAGAAGGAACCCCACAAAATAAAAAAAAATCGTCCATCAAGTCCGTATCTAACCAAAAAGTTCAAGCTTCCTAACTATCGCCTCACTATAAAAGCCACCGTGAAACACAAGGATGATACGTGAAACCCCACCACGTCCTACCACTTCAACAAAGAGAATTAGAAACATTACACACAAGGACAAACAACGGTCTGATCATTAGTTATAGTTTGAAGAATACCTCATGATACTAGTACTCTTCTCTCTTCTCTCTTCTCTCTCTCCCTCGCTTCAATTGTAGGTGTAGGTGGTGCTGACGTCCGTTTCGTTGTGGGGCCTCTTGCCAGTTGCAAGTTTTTACTCATGTCGACTGTGAGTTTGATAGCCCATATCCACGTACTCTAGGGTCCTTGAAAGGTTGAAAACGAATTTATCGTGTAACTCAGAAATACGTGACGTCATACGTGAACCAGGCGGACTCACGCATGTGTTGTCAGACAACCAAACCTTTCTGATGAAACTGCTAAAATACTTTACGTTTCCAGGCAGAAGTTTTTGCCGAACTTAAACTGGTCATTTTCAGAATGGGAATGAAGAGGAAACTGTGTATACGGCTGTATTATTAAACCAAACGTGGTGCAGGAATGAAGTCCGCTCACGTTTTGCGAATCTGCAAGAATGAACTGAACGATTTGAACTTCCCTACATTCTGATCTGCTTGCACTTGGATGCCCTTGTTAGAGAAATTGCTCCAGTCACCTCCGTCACAAAACCTATGTACGTTCTGAAGAGAAGTCATTCCACGTGAAATACGTTGTCTAGCTCTGAGTCCCTACCACTGCGGTGCTATTTACCCTCCACATTCATCGAATCCATGCTAGCGTCTATGGGTTTATCCCTACGAAGATGCAATTCGTATCTCTAGAAATTAAATTTTGCTTCTCGCATATTATTCCTCTTTGTACTTGATACTCATTCTTTTTCAAACAATAAATGCCACTATAATTCGTGAAATCATACTTCTTTAAAGCATGTCATTGGACCAAAACATGAATATACTAGAGACAAAATAATACATGAAGCTAGATAAATCGCATGAAGTTTTGAAAGAACATTGAGTTGATTGAGTGGAAAAGTCCAGAATATGAAATATTTTTTACGGTAGCCGATGTCACATTGACTCATTCTATTGTTATCTAATAAATCCCAAAAAAAATAAAATTTTATTAAATCTTATAGACTTTCCAAGAAAATCTTTCTAAAAGTTGGAATTTCAATTTTTTCATAAAAATTATCAAATGTATTACACTATGATCTGCATATCCTCAAGGACTGATCTTACCTTAAAATTTTTTTTCCAACCAATACCAATATTCAAACTAACACGTTTTATTATCTTAATCATATACTATGATGAGGGTGAAATCTTTTATATTAAGCTCGAGAGAATCTCTGCAATTTCTAATGAATAACAATATTTGCGCAGTAAAATTGTCATAAAATTAGAACCCACGGAAGAAAAATATGGTTATGTACATCAAATCTCAATCATCACACTATATTAAAAACTAAATTGGTACTTTTAACTTTGAAATATTTATTTTAATATTGAATTTAAAAATTTTCAATGGAATTCTATAATCTTCAGAACAAATATTACAAGGAATATTTAATAGCAAGATTTTACAATATTGAATTCACTATAAATTGTCTTTTGAATAAAATTCTTATGTTCAGGTCTATGGACCCTTCTTTCGTAAAACCAAAGAAGTATCCAAAGCACCCTTCGGATCAAACAAACAATTCTTTTTTTACTATCATATATTTTTGACTTCAAATCCAAGTATTGAAAGATGCAACAATTGACATGCCAAAATCCACATCATTAATACTTAAGCAAAGAAAAAATATGACTATTATTCTTATTTCTGTAGGATAGTTCCTCGAAATTTTGAACCATTTTAGATTTTTGTCAGCTGTCTGTTTGCATTTTTCTTTGTTCAATTCTAAATATTATCACTGGAATGAAGATTTTTTTGAATTTTAATACCGTAGGAAAAGTGAAAGTCAGTGGCAGACAATATAACTAATTGAAGAATTTGCAAAGAGTTAATCTTCTCTTTTCTTATCGTAAATATATATAGATGTAAATTATAAAATATTTGTGAGAATATAAGCAAATGAACATCTACCAACATATGTGTTGGATTTTAGTGGCATATTAAGTATCTAGTTCAAGATTGTAAAAAGTTCAGCGCTGTTGATCTATAGTTTTGAATATATATATAGCGATAAAGATAAATGTTGACATGTTAATGTGAACAAGAGAATATAATGCTTAAATAAATAATAAATTATTATTTGTTCTACTTTATCTTAGAATCATGGTTCCATTTTTCTACGCATATGAAACACAGCACGATGAGTTAACTCTTATGACATCATGCATCAAATTTTTGAAGATTTTGACATAACATATATGCTTTTTGCTACAGTATTTGATTGTCTCATCATAATACTAACGCTGTTGCACCATTTGTTGTGTACTTGTTTTGTTTGATGAGATTTTCCGATTGGTTCTTTATCCAACTAGCCCTTATCAATTTTTTCACATGGCATAATATAGGTGAATAGAATGAAGAAAAAAGTGGATAATAAGCAATTATAGATTCACATGTTGAAAATGATTGAAAACAAAAGCATGATCGAAATGACAATTGTAGACCATATATCTCGTCTCTCTCATGCATCTTCACTATAAGTGAAGGAAACTATCCGTGTTGTGTTTGGGACTCTTCCGGCCGAAGTTTTGCGGCGCAATTTGGTCATGTCATTTGGGGACACATGTAAAAAGCATTTGAATAAGACAACCGGACGGACAGACGGACGGACAGACAGACAGACGGACGAGCAACTTGACGGACGTCAGCATGACAGGAACGGAGAGTGGAATTCAATTGTTGGAATCGGGCTTCCCGCTTCGCATCGACGGTGTGAGTCCGCGTGAGGCTGCCACCTGAACATTCGAAATGTCAGCAGAGTGTTCGAGCTCGTCCGCAGCCGCAGAGAATCACGAAATCGAATCGTAACTAGCTGGGAGCTTCTTTCTCACTCACTCCATCATTTCTCACCGACATATCTGAATTTCGCTTCTCTCGCAGACTCAGTCAGTCGATTGTGCTTTGAATTGGAACCGGATCAATGCAGAATGGATTGGGAGATGACACAGGATGACGAGCAGGAATAATGGTTCAGATTAGGGCGGAGGGGATCGATTTTCCTGGGCAAGGATGGAAGGAAGGAGGGGGTGGGAGATGCTTATTGTAGTGCGTAAGCAACCGTGAGTTTTCCCTGGAGGCAGCGATATTTCGTTCGCCCTGTTTGAGCGACATGGTTCTACAATCCAGGACCGTTGTGTGCTATGAAAATCGCCTTCTTGCGGATTGGTTCTTTCGAAAGTATCAAGAGCTCGATATTGCCGAAATTCGCCAGCCGAACGCGGAGGAGACACTGAAGAGAGCATTCGTGGGAGTCTGTGAATATCCGTCTTATATAAAGAATCTTCATGACGCGAAGAAAATCAAGTATGATTCTGGCTGTGTATATCGAACAATTCCCAAATTTTCTTTCTCGTCATTTACTGCTTGCTGTATATCAGGAGATGCACGTAGTGAGATATCGCCTGTTAGTTTCTCGTATGCTTCTGTTGGATGTCAATCCGCCAATCTTGCTTCACCTCATAGACTGATGCGTCACTGTAATGTGCAATCGGTGCATATTTCACAAAAATGCCATCTGCGCACAACTTGACTGGATCAGGCAATATCAATAGAACGTGTTTCACTTTACCACTCTCATCGTGTAAAGTTCGCGTAATCCATTGCGAATTAGTGACGAGTTCATGTCATATTGCTCCAACTTCTTCAATAGCCGTAGTTGTGAAGAGTTCCTCAAATTATGAACTAGAACTTCAGTTTAAATTTGCATTCCTGTATGCTGAGTTCGCAGGGGCATTGGCCCGTGGCTGCTGAAGAAGATGAAAGAAGAATTTTTCCATCAGGAAAGCAACTGTGAATCACCTGCGAAAGCGGATGCGCCCGTAGAAAGAGGCAAGTACATTCGTCAACAACATGCAATTTGTTCCTACAAGCGCTGAATTGTGATGGACAAGCTTTACTCGTCATATATTGCCTCGTACGATACTCCAGTCTATTTGGTTTTACTCAGCAGTGCCAGCGTTTCTTTTGCCTTGTCTAAGTGTTTCAGGTTCAAAAGAACGAGCGAAAAAACGTTATCTTCCAGGGAAGAATACGGCTGCTTACGCACTTCTGATAACTTTGCTCAGGTGTGTTCTCAGGAGTCAGCGAACAAGATTGTAGCATATATTCTTGCTGTATTTGATGGATGTGTAAGTTTTGGAAAGCTCACCTCAATGTTCTGTATCAGGGCCCATCGAGCCGGTCAAGAATTCATGAAGAAGCAAGAACTGATCGACGCTTCTGAGAAGTCAGGTCTTTCTCGAAAACCGATCATGTAAGCTTCCATGCCTGAATCTACCAAAAATAAAGGGTCAGGATCTAGGTATGTTAATCTCTTGTTCATCAGTTATGGGAACCAGGTGCAACTACGAATAATAATGGCCTCAAAGTTGTTTCCAGCTCATATCATGTAACTTTGGACTTCCTCGTGTAACAGACCCCCAAAAAATTCAATTTGGAATGGCTCGCGTTCTGGGAGGGACTTTTACTGCGGATGGAGCACCATGAACAACCTCGTATCGAAAGGACTTGTCATCAAAGCGAGTAATCCTGCAAAGTAAGTAACCTCCAAGTATGATGAATTTTATGAAGAACATGATGAAAAAATAAGTCGAATATTTTTAACTGACCCCTCGGATGAAAGTATGGAGTGTCCACGCCTCATTGTCACCAGTCTTTCCATTTTGTAGCGTACGCTTGGGGAGGGATCAGACGCAGTGAACCCTGCTTAGGTGAGATCCTCATGTCTATCCGGTCAGATTTTGGATGCATTTGTGTTAGCATACGAAGAGAAAGTGATTGAACGTCGATCAGCCGCTGGAAACTGCACAGTAGAACTAAGCTCACGATGTTCACTCTTTATGACCATTCTAAGGTCTGGTAATTGCCCAGGTACATGCTAACCGAAGAAGGCAAGATTACTGCACAAGAATGTATCGACAAGTCAGGTCTAGTTCGGGAGGATGCACAAGAGCCTTGTTCAGAAAGCGAAGAGGACATAAGGGGAGAATCGAATCCAAGGGAATGTCAGGATGGATCCCTCTCGGAAGGAGAAAACAGGCCAGAATTTACTGCGGGCATACAAGACACTATTAGGCCATATCAAAATCAAAGTCAAGGACACAGGTTTAAGGCCTCCTATCAGAGTGTCTGTTCTCAAGACTCCTCTGCGTACCCTATCTCAAGCAGGACTTTGAGACAAGACGAGACAGCTGCACTAGCCTCTTCGTGGCCGAGTGGAATTGCCAACTTGACTGCTACTGGTATTACCTCCGCGTCGATGGTACGTGGCTTTCCCCGATCGTATCTTAGATTGTTGGCCGTGAGAACTTCTTAGGCTGAGATACAGAGGGTGGCAAAGAAGGGTGCTGAACCCAAAGAATCCAATCTTAGGAACGTCCCTGCCGAATCAAACTGAGATTCAGACTCCATGGATATTGACGCTTTGCTTGCTGGTCGCCATGATACTTTTGTACATGTGGCTCATCGTTGCCAGAAGCCAACCCCAATTTTTCAAGAAGTTTTTATTTGAAGCTTAATTGATTATACTTGCCCCAGTGCAGGATACCACGGCGACTGGTGTTGTTGACAAGAGTCTTTCAAACAGCTTTCGACAATCTCTTTTGAATGGTAGAACTCTCTTTCTACTTCACCATTTCCTTTGATGTCCTTAAGCTTCGATTTTTTCTGTTGGATCTCAACATTTATATTCTGCAGTAATAATCGTCTTAACCACTACAGTATTAACAGTCTTGTAGACTGATGTCCCTTTCAAGTTTCATGAAGAAACATGAAGGACTTCGACTGCCTATCAGAACTTGTTACGTATGAGACTAGTTTCACTGTGGATTTAACTCTGAACATGAGCTATGACTGAGAATCTTACTGCGTTAGCTGGAGTTTTTTAGTTGGTCAATTGTTATGAGTGACCGGACCGAGATGATGCAGGTGTATGGCTCAAACAAATTTCATATAACGTTTTGCAGGATCTCAAGACAGGGGACTTTCATCGGTTAGCAGCACAGACTCACAGAATGACCTCGCGATACCACCGTTGAATATCGGAGAGAAGTTCTCTGATGTGTACGATGTCGTCTGCATCCTGGATCGTCGAGAACAGTTCAGACGGGGATCTGCTGGGTACTTCATCATCTATAATTATATGCATCTAGATTGTGGACATTGTCGTAACTATTGATCTGTATTTCACGTAGGTTGCAAAGAAAACTCAAACAACGGACTTTGTTGTGGCTTTCAGTTTTAAACTTTCGCTTTTTAAACATCACTCTGATTATTTTATGATTATATTTAGCTTCGGCTGATTCAATCGCATCGCTATCTTGCAGATCTCATTTGCAGAAGTTTGCGGAGCGCTTAGAAACACAATTTGAGATAAAGGTGGAGGTGAGCTAGCTGCTTGTCTTCTCTCAAGTAGTCGGCAAAATGAATGAACCCGTGCGCAGCGCAGATACTCGTTTTAACTGTTCAACCTTATGAAGTGATTGTTCTAACTGTAAAGTACACAACTTTCTGATAAGTGCAGACAAGGCAAGTGCCCGTTGGAGATGCCATTTGGATTGCTCGGCACAAGCAAACATCGGAAGAGTACGTTTTAGATTTTGTGATAGAAAGAAAGGCGGTGGACGATTTATGGATGTCGATAAGAGACAGCCGCTACAAAAATCAGAAACTGCGCTTGTTGGTCAGTTAGTTTTCACATCCATTCTTCCTTGCATACTTCCATCTGAATCACTTCACTCTGATAGGCTTCTCATTTCTGGCGGTCAGTGTGAGTGCGATGGATAATGTTTTAACACTTCGATCATTTTGTTCGCACAAATGTGGTCATTAGCTTTTGATTGATATGTCTGATATGGAAGGCCTGATTGTGGACCGGCACTCACTTCAATCTTCGCCCGCGCAGAAAAGCGGCTTGAAGCGGCTGATATACTTGGTGGAAGGGGACGTAAATATGATAGATTCCACCGGGTCTTGCAAGACAGCGTACGTAGCTTCTCAAAGAGTTAGAGCCTTAGGAATAAGTTTCAATAGTTTGGTTTGTGAAATCAGTTACCTTAAGTTATGAGCTACCAGATCTCTGATGATGAAGAAGTGTTTGCCCCGTGCAGGATGTTTAGTACGGAGATAGCTGATGGATTTCATGTGCTGCGAACTACTGACACAAACGACACGATGAAACAATATGGGCACCTAACCCTTGCGATAAAAAGTCGTTACCAAGCGGAAGTGGGCAAGAGAGAGAACCAGACTGGTGCTTCTTGCAGAACATACCCAAACTTTGTGGAACACTGCAAGGATCTTGATAGGGATCGAGTCACAGATATTTTCTGCCTTCAACTGATGCAGGTATGGTTAAGGCAGGCATACGTCACCCAAGATGAACGTGCTCGGCGTTGTTTTTTGTGGAGTTCTCTGCAAGAGCGAGAGACTATATCATTCATTTGTCACCAACAGACGCCTTATCCATGCAATTGCTTGATTTAACGATATATTGTTTTGCAGATCAACCACGTAACAGAAGATATAGCTCTTTCTATTCAGGATCAATACCCTACAATTTACTCGCTTGTGCAAGCTTACACAAAACTCGTAAGTTCCGTTTGAATAACTACCATGTCTGAACTTCCTGCACTCGAGAGTTAGTGGACCTGACGTCGAATTTGCTCACTTTGGGATCGAATCTGACTGCAAAATGTGATCTCTCTTACAGGAAGGCAACGTTGGCGCACAAGAGAAATTGCTGCAAGGCATTCCCATAAGAGGTTCTTCGAGGACTATAACTCCTGTCTTGAGCAAAAACGTTTACAAGCTTATTTGGGCCTCGTAGAAATTATTTTGTCGGTATTGTCAATCAGAAAATCATCAATGCAATTCTCCAGAAAGGAAATCCAGACGCTACTGGATCTGACTGAGAAAGAGCTATGTCTGTGCTTTCTTAGGGATACCATTAAGCTTCGAAGACCTGGGACTTTACTGGATGACCTTATTTGGTTGCCTCGTCATTCGATTGGTTCTATTCTAGGCATATCCTCCACGACTTGCAATTGCCATCGGACCTACGTAAGGACCGTTGGCCACGATTGACGATGGGACCAAGGGCTAAATGCAGACCTCCAAATGTCAGTTCACACTTTGCGTTGATGCATCACGCAGTCCTCTCCAAAAATGCTTGTAATCAACCCTCTCATCTAGAACGAAGAGGGGACGCCTCAGTTTTCGTGACTTTAGTTGAGAGTCATGCACCAAGGATCATGTACTGCGGAGAGTCCTCGAACAGGAATATTGCACGAATCCACATACACATTAGCAGAATGAAATCTTCGCTCTTCGCGGGATGCCAGGATAAAATGCTTTTCGAAGTAGCATAGAAAGCAAGGCAAGCCTACCTACGAAGAACTGGGTGTAAAATGTTGTAAGCTGGATCGTCGTGCCCGAACAACACTAACTTTCACCTTTTACAGAGAACGCACACATGTTCCTGTCGAACGCGTTCCACACATAGCGGAACTAGCCTTGTAAAAGCTGACAGGAAATAATCCTCTGATTATTTAATGCAGCGAAGGACCCAAGGAGCGTGGAGGGCTCGTCTTTTGTGTCACTTTTACTCACCATTTTATAAGTGTCCGCGGACATTTCACATCATAACTTCTATCTTTAGCTAATCCTGGAATTGCTGTAAACCTAGTGGTGTTCTCCATACATCCACTCATCATGAGACCACATCATGCTAATCGTAAATACATTCTGTTATCAAATTAAACATTATCTAAACGTAAGCTTCATACTAATAACAAATAGAAACGTTTCATATAAATTTATACATATAGTTAGTTATATAGTTTACATATACATCTGTACAGTTTTTTTCATCAGGTATAGTATTAAAAATAGATGATTCTATAATGTGTATGTATATGGAAATGTGTACAATGATAGACAAATTAATTCGTATGTATACAACTATCTTGTCTACCGAGAATAGTTCGACAAATTTGGAATTTCATTGATATTGATGACAATGCAACTAACATTTACCAATGCATTGATGTAGTTGATTTACACATTCGTTTGAGAAATCACGTTTGAGAAATCACAGATTTTGAAATTTTGATTTTGATAAGCAAGGATATCGGAGACTGCAAGATGCAAGATGATTCAATTATGCAAGAATATAAGATGCACTATTTAGTAGATATGCAAACATAAAATAAAATTAAAAAATTTCAGATCTAAATTTTTATAAAGATATTTTGAACGATGTTAATCTGCATATCAGCAGATTAATATGTTTGGTAGCAGCAAAGCCGTTACAATCTAAAATCCACGTCATGTATGATATTACAATGATGACATGTTAGCAAAATAATTTTCTCTCCGATTTCTTGTTTCATAAAAACTATAGTTCATGTGATAAATCTTGACAATTGTGAAGATAATCAATTAATATTCAATTAACTTTTTACATCTAGACGTATGATTGTAACATTTTTGTGATAATAATCATTGAAAAATTAAGAGGTCGATATTCAATGTGCATTGTTTCAAACTTTTGAAAAATTAAAACATTTTCGATTGTTTTATAACTAAAGCTAAGCCTGAAAAAATATGCAATTTAATTTTTACAAAATTTAAACTAAAGGATTTAAATGAGAAAATATGCTTTGTGTATGCTTCTTCATAAAATTTTGCCACACCCAATTTTAAATTTAATTTGATTTAATTTAATTTAGTTAGTATAGGTTATTATAGTTGAACTAACAATAATGAACCAAAATTCAAGTTAAATTCTATCTATTCGTTCCTTAACTAATGTCTTTAAGTCTTAAATCTTCATAACCGATATAAATTCGTAGAAAGTATTAAAAGGAGTAAAAGGAAACTGAAAAGTATCAAAAATAAGTAAAGTACAAATTCTACATGTGTAACATAAGTGCTAGTCCTGTCCACTTTCTCTGACATATTTTTAATAATTTTCTTTCTCAATGCATTGGTTGGACTAAATTTATCTTATATTATAATAATTTAGAATATTTGTAATAATAAACACTGATACAAATGATATCCAATGATGATGTGCTTCATCTTATTATCTATCATTTGATTTGCTGCAAGGTATAGTGCAATTAGATCATCACACTATAAATTGACAACATGGCTCTTCAATCTAATTTGTGTGATACTTTATCGACCAAACTGACTTCTACACATTTAATTCTTTTGTATACATTCATTTTTCATAATTGATTGAGCTACGAATCTATGAAATATATATCTATTCAAAAATACCTCAAATTTCCATTTCAACATATATTTAAGAATAAATAGGGTTTTTTTTTATAGTGAACTTCAAAGTTGAATTAAATTTGTTTGTAAAGTATACAAATTTCATTAGTACATCTGAACTAATTGAGAGTCCATTTATTAACTTTCTAATTAAGATTATTTGTATCTAGCATAAGAGTAGTTCACCTTCTATAGGAACTTGAACCATATCACGTCTTGCGCACACCATCAAACACATAAATATAAACCAACATTTAGCAATTTAGCAAGTTAATTTACAATAAATGCTAAACCATGTTTTTTAATATCTTGTAAAATATATTAAAATCAGGGTATTGCTGTCAATCATTTGAATTCAAATATCAAGCTTTTAAATAATAAAGAAAATTATAATTAGTCAAACTTGTTAAAATATATTTTTTATTCACAATTATTTTACAAGCTACAAGAACATATTTTTGAATGACACCTCACAAATTTGCAGGCCCAGAAAATATGTAATAAAATAAAATATAATCAAAATAATTTATGCAAAGATGAGAAACATATTTTGTGTTAGATAATGTAAGTCACTAATTCTTACATCATTTTCTAAAAATATTTTCCTCCTGTTAAAAAACTAAGTTTGGTATGGTTTACACTCAAAATTCATATTATTAATCTAATAAAAAAGTGATATAGAACCTTGTGCTAGATTGCAATGTACATGTAATAAAAAATCTATATTCACTTCATATGGTTTTCATCTATGACTTAATTTTAGTTTATTCTACACATTTGTAAAGTAATATTTTAAAACGCACTCTTACATTTCTTTATTTGTAATCATGTAGATAATAGATATTAATGATACCAAAATTCATCTAATCGGACAAGATTGTTATATATATTTCTTAGGTTTTTTAATTCAATAAAATGCTAGTTATAATGTGTTTACATCAATGTATAGAATTGTATTTGATTAGAATTTTGATCAACTATATATATGTCACACATTTTATAAAATTAAATATATTTTTTGGATTTTTTATTAACACAAATCATAAAATTAGATCATTTAAGATCAGGGATGTGGTGTGTTTGTTGACTCGGATCATAAGATTGAAGCATATATTTCTCATGTCAAATTTATAATGAATGTATTTACTTATGTAAGCATTTATAAATATAGTTCATAATTTTGTTCAATAGTCACAAAAAAAAATTCGATCTGTGTGTAACAAGATTTCCAAATTTTGTTTCTCCATTTAGATACATTTAGATTAATAACCATGTCTTTATGTCAAAACACGACAAACATACATGAAAACGCTTATATCATTAAGAATATGTGGATAATTTTTTTTGTTACATTCTACGCAGAAAGTGATATATTTGACTTAAATTTAGTATGTCGTTAATTATTATTATAATGAAATTTAATCCATATGACTTTGTCATTAATTAGAAAATTATCAACAAGCAGATCATCAGCTGAAGTAAACCTTATAGAAGATAAAAAATTTACATCAAGATGTTATCTATGTTGAAAAAGATATTTAAATTTGTGTTCATATTTTTGTGAGTTTAAAAATTGTAAATTATTTTTAATTAAAATTTTAATAATTTTTAAAATTTTTGTCCATATATATATACACATATATATATTTTGAATTTAAAAAGTGACTCAGGATAATTTCGAAGTGTAAAAATTATGTTTAATTTTTGTAATATTAATTTCACTAATTTTTTTCCCAAAAAACACAATTTATGTAGTTTTCATCATAGTTATAACATTTTTTTTCGATTTTTTTCGATTTATATTCATTAGTCACGCTTTTGTTGCAATTTTTCGATTGATTGAATATTACAACGTCTTATTATATATGCATGTTGAAGATTATGTAATAAATTTGCGTCTGTAAGAATTGATTTGTAAGATGTTCAAAAAAGCTAGACTATAATATTAAACAGGATAAAATTCCCCCTTTTATAATGTTATCAGATTTTCAGTGAGCAATCTTAAAGATGTCTACTCGTTAGTTTAAAAGATAAACTTATCATGGACGCATGTCTTCAATCTATTAACATAATCAGACGATGGAAAATTCGCAGTTGATGAGAACAGATCAATAGTATAGTTTGATATTTATTGATTGTAAATTTATCTTATTCGTATCATATTTCTGGGAGGATTAACGAATTCATTTCAAGGTATCATGTGTCGGCTAACATTGCTTTTACGTAGAGTTGCAGCCTTTTGTGCTTTTTTGGATGCCAAGATCAGGTAGAACACGTGTTCTAAACACGAAGCAATTTTGTATTCACCTCTAACTTTGAGGAGACTTCCCCCTCTCAAGCAGTTTGACTGCTTCGGGAGGGCAGACCCGCTGTCAACTTGTATGTCTTTCGTGGAACCGATTGAGAGAAAGCGATGGTTTCGTCAGTATAAATTTGCGCTGATGGATTTTTTTTATTACTTTTGACGCGGATACGAGCTTAACTTTGACAATTTGCCAGAGCATTTCGGTGGGAATCCATATATCTTCATACTTGGAAGGACCAAACGTCAGCTGATTTGTTGGGAAAAATCTGTTGGTCTTGAATTTGGATTGCATGTTCACGGTTTCTGATATTTTAGATCCTAACCTGGCTAGTCACAACATTTTACATGTGGTGAAAATTGGCGGGATTATTGGAGCGGTGCCTATCAATTTTGTGTTATAATCAAAACTCATGACTATGTTATATGCTGATCAAAATTCTAATACGTAATAAAATAATCGTCAAATATTATAGCAATATGTATAGATATTTCATCACATGGTATGATGAAATTCGTGATATTTCCCAATATCATGACTGTGGAAATGTAAGATTGCATATAATATATTTAAGAGTAATATATAAGACAATTTACATACTATACTCTCAATATCATCACAATAAAAAAGTATAATAATTAATCTACATCAAACGATCTGTGTTATAATTTTCCTTAAAGTATTCCCAAGGGTTCCAATTATACGGTTTACCTCTGTGATCAATTTACACCGATTGAAGAGCCTATTGAATTAAAGCGTACAGTACATGCCAAGGTCGAGGATCCTCAAGATGCAGGAGGACGTTAACATCTGGTTTATACATGTGGAAAGTTCATCTTCCCAGGGAATATGGAGGCTCTTGCTGGAAAAAGAAGAATAATCCGGAAATACGCTATTTATCAAAGCCAATTAATTGGCTTAATCCAGTATCACTGCCACTTGCCGAGAGTAAAACAAATCAGCTTTGTACAGATTACGCTTCGTCACATTCGGAATTCTCGAGCGGTTGATCGGTCGGTCGGTCGGTCAGTGCAGAGGAGAATGCCCTAACCAGAACCTGTGACAGAACCTCGGCAGCGAACCGTGTGCCCTACCGTACATCGAGCGTTTGACGGAGACTCTAACTTGGCTGATGTCGAGTTGATAGAAACCGGCACGGAGATGCACTCGTCGACTAAATCGGCAATCGGGAAATCAAAATCTGCCGCCCGGCATTAAAGCCAGGGGGCAGCAAGCTGTATAATAGCAGAATGGGGGCTGCTTTGGATCGAAAGTATTACATCTAATGTTGACCGTACATAGATGGAGATGCCGGAAGCTAGGGCAGCAGGCATTCTGGGAGGGGGATGCAGTAGCTACAAATCAGGCTACTGTACGAGTGGACTGCTCGATGCGAGCCACAAGATGTTGGAATTGACCGGCGAGTTACTGTCGTAGCATAAGAATCGAATGGAGCTCGCGCAGGAGTCATAATTGGGAGAAGTCAAAGGGATTACAAGTGGTTAGAAAATGAAATGAGCCTCGGGCGTATTATTCCAAGATGTGGAAACGAATTTGTCAAACGTGGAGTGTGGAGTATGGAAGAAGGAACGAAGAAGAAGAGGAGGAAGGATTGGAGACGAAATTTTGCATTTTTTTCTTTTCTAAGGTTGCTTTGCTTTGCTTTGCTTTGCTTTGGAGGCAACGCGCATGGCGGACGAGGGAAATGGAGGACGCGTTGCTCACGAGCGAGGCGAGCATGGAAGAGGAGGGTGAAGTGAAAATCGCGAGAAAAAGGCAGCGAAGAGAGAAGTTGGCCTTTTCCGCTGGCGAGGTTGTGGTGCAGTGGCGAGATAAGGAAAACAAAATGGAGTTTATGATGGCGATAGGGGGGCCAGGGGGCAGGCCAATGCTCGAGCGACATGTCGTCATCTGTAGGCCTGTCCGACAGTCTGTCGGCCTCGTCGGCCCGTCCTCCTGCGACTACGGAGGAGCGCGAGCGGCCGAGAGAGAGACGCGAGGAGGTAGAGGCGAAAGTAAAGCACGGCGCGGCGGTCCTCTAGGGAAGCGCGGAAGGAAGGACAGGCGGGAAGCAATTCCCAACGGTAGACGGACGGGCGGTGAGGATTACGGAGAAAGGAAAGGTCTGCTGCAGAAGTTCCGATGGATGATTCTTGTTCTGTATGGGCCTTGTACTACGGCACTGCTGATGATGAGCAGCAGCTGCAGCAGCAGCAGCAGCAGGAGGAGGAGGCGACTGGTGTTCTGTTCTGTTGGGTTGATGATTCCAGCAGATGCTTCTTCCCTCGCAGGCGAGGACGCCGCGAGGCGCAGGCAGGCAGGCAGGAAGGGGGAGGGAGCGATTGACCAGAAGGAAGGAAGGAAGCGAGCGAGAGATGCGAGAAAAGTCGGGGAGGGGGAACCGCAAGGATCATAAAAAAGGAGAGGATAAAATTAATAATTGACCCGAGGATTTTGAAGGAAGCGCCGACGAAGAAGAAGGAGAGCGAGCGACAGAGAGATAAGTAGAGGGAGAGAGAGGGAGGGAGGGAGGGAGAGAGGGAAGGAAGGGTTCGGGCCGGATTGATTTCGATCGGTAGCTGGCCAGCAGCAGAGCGGCCAAGCCAAACAAAGCGAAGCCTAAAGAGTGGGGGCGGGGGCGATGCAAATCTGACCACCCGGGCGGTGGGTGGAGGGTTGGGCTGCTGCTGCTCCTGCTGCGGCTGCTTGCTGGCTGGCTGGCTGGCTGGCTGGTGGACTCCTGGTGCCCGGTCTGGCTCGGCTTGCTTCATCATTCAAGCAAGAAGGAGGAAGCGAGGCAGGAGGAGGCAGGAGGAGGCAGGCAGGCAGGCCGCAGAGAGGGTACTTGACTTGCTAGATAGCTTGCTCGGGCTCGGGGTCCGGCTCGCTGTCCAGGACGGATGAGAGGCAGCCAAGAAACAAAACCTGAAAGGGTGGGAGGGAGGAAGACAATGAAGTGAAGAAAATGTCGGGCTTCGGTTAAAATAAAAAGGCAAGTGAGGAAGGAAGGCAAGGGAAAGGACGGGGAGGGGAGGGGAGGGGAAGGGAAGGGCAGGGAGAGGGAGGGGAGTGGAGGAAAAACCCCAAATTATTCTACTGCAAAAACAAACCATGATCAAGCGTATGTATGTATCGGCGGCTGTTGCTGCTCTTGGTCCCGCTTAACAATCAATCTTCTTCCATCATCCTTCCGCCCGCGCGCCTACTAGCGAGCGAGCGAGCAAGCATCATCGCATCACATCACAACCCTTTAAGAACATCGATTACGAGTAATGTGGTAGTGATGTAATGTAGCCTAGTAGGAGTAGTAGTGAGAGTAGAGCTAGTAGAACATAGTAGTGGCGTGGTGCTGATAAGATTTATGCACGAAATCGGTTTCGCGGACCGGCAGCCAGGCACAGGCAGGCATTTATTCATTCATCACTTATTCATTCGATCCCGCATCCGCATAGGCCGGTTGCTTGCTCGCAAACTCGCTCGCTCGCTCGCTAGCTTGTTTGCTTGCTTCATCGACGATCGATACCGTACCGCACTAAAGCGACTTGTTGATACTGTCGGTAATTAGGACTCCCTCGCTGCTATTGCGGATTCCAAGACATCCGTCCCTTTCCTTTCGCAGATTTTGCGCTGGATGTGAACTGCCAGCCAGCCGCTGTCGCTGTTGGAAGATCCGTCTGTCTGTCGTGGTCTGCCTTGACCATGCTTCGTTTCCGCTTGCTTCCAACCCTGTGCGCGCGTCTATCTACCCCGAATAGATAGCAAGTCAGGAGGTCGGGCGACGGAGACGAGTGATGTTGTGATGCTCTCCACTCGTCACGAGTGCAAAGTTCCCAAACAATTTTCTCAGGCGTCTAACTCACTCTAGATTTCTCTCCGCGCGGGTCGTAGCAAGCACCGACGACTGTAGTGATGGATACGAGGCGGTAGTGTCTTTCAGAAATCTGAAGAAAGCAGGGGAGGCATTGGCGACAGTGCAGGTCTGCCACCATTCTGAGCGGAGAAAACCATAATTTCTTTACAAGTCACCACTTTCGCACCATACCATTCTGCCGAGGTCAACCCAGCCGGCCGACCGAGACGTATCGAGGCCAGATGACACTTTCTCATCGCTGATCTCCTCGAGGACATGTGCGCGCCCAGTTGGTGCGCGGAGAGTCCTCTTCAGATCGAGGTTGGAGGTGGAACATGGCTGAAACATGGAAGACACATTCGTCCGCGAGGGTTTGTGTAGCGGGTGTGGCGAAACAATCCGCGCCATCGCGATGATCTGTTGGTGCCGCTTTCGTCCACAGGGAGTCTTTTTCGCGAAGGTTGCGCCCGAGCATATTGTTCATACCTTCCGTCCCGATCTCTGATCCACGCGTTTTAGGTTGGTGCGTCAATCTTTTGATCCATTGCGCTTTGCGTTGCATTGTTAGCTCTTTGGCGACAGATTAACCTTTTCATACATAATGGGCTTGGCAACAAGTGTTGTTCACTGCTGGTGACAGAGGTCATGAACCATGGTGCATGGTGCTGTTTTTTCTCCCTTCTCTAGCGAAATGTATCCATGTCTTACTATTCCGAGGGCTATCGTTTGCGTCCGAGTGCGTGGTTTTTCTCGCAGCCATGATGATTAGACTAACAAGCGCTTTCATTCTTGCCCTTTTCTTCCAGCTCCAAGTAATTTTGTTGCTATGGATTCCGACGGGGAGAATCGCCTCTCGTCACCCGAAGAGAAAAACCCTAAAAGGAGAATGAAGACTCCTTTCCAGCTCGAAGCATTAGAACGAGTGTATGCTGGTAAGGTCTAGACAAGTACCCTCAATTGTACTTGGAGTAGTTCCGCATTAAAGTAAAACATTATTGTATTGTACGTGAGCGCTATACTACCCCGAGGCTAAAGATTTGGTTGGTCATCTCAGAGGACAGGTATCCCACGGAAGCCGTGCGAGCGGAGCTCTCCTCGCAGCTCAATCTCTCCGACAAGCAGCTGCAAATGTGGTTCTGCCATAGAAGGTTGAAGGATAGGAAGGGGAAGGATGATGAAATTCCCGGGGCAGCGGGACGCAAGAAGCAAAAGACGGATAGGCCTGGAGGGGGTGTGGGAGCTAGTGCAGGAGGTGGAGGAGGAGGGGGAGGTTTAAAAGCAGGGTACCCGGGTGCAGTCCTAGAACCCGAAATGGGGGAAGCTGCTGCCGTCGGCCGCAATGGGTACAATGACGAGTTGGATTTCGAAGAGGAAGAACACGGAATGGGTATGTTGCGGGGTTCAGCAAGCGCCCAGCCGCAGCACAGAAAAGTGGCTGCCCAAGAAGCCGAGCCTGCTCCCAGGAGAAGGAATCAGGCTCCGGTTGGAAGAGTCGTCGATCCCCGAGCTGCAGCTGAAAATGCTGCTGTATCCGCTGTCGAAGCACAGCTTGGGGAGCCCGTACGAGAGAATGGTCCAATTTTGGGGGTAGAGTTCGATCCTCTACCTCCAGGTGCCTTTGGAACTCCAATAGGTACATTCTAACATCAGCCTATGGACTATTTTTCACAGATGATGGATCAATGCTCGTCGAAATTTGCCGTTGGACTCACTATGCCCTTCTGGGAATTGGCAGACCACAAGTCGGAGCAGAGAGTAGCTACTGCACCTCCACGAGTTCACAGCGAGGATAGAGCTCAAGAGCGTCAGGAAAGTCGTCCAAGCAAAGTAAGTCCTGCTACTGTGTCAGGTTACTCGAGTTGAACAGGCTTGCTTAGGTGCCGGATCCTGCAGGTTTCACTTCAGAGCCCTTAGAGAATTATTGGATATGTTAGGGCCGGTGCTGTTTGAAGTTGTGGTTTCTAAATTTGAGAAGCGTGGCTTTAGCCATAAGGTTTAACATTAACCATCCCTGTACAGTTATCTTTTCGATTTGAAATGGGATCAGTTTATGGTTTCAAGGTCTATTCAACTTGTAACTGGCGTTGGAACCTTGGCTTTGATATGTGTACTTTTTCAAGTAATGCGCCTCTTTGTCACTGCAGTTGTTTCCAGCTGAAATTCTTCATCGAGTTTTGTGCTTAATGTTGCTGGCTTTTGTTACTAATCTATACCAAAGGCTGCCAGAATTATGGTCTAACAGATTGTTTTCGGCCTATGTTGCCCGTCGTTGGTTGCTTGTCATAAGTGCGATGCTTTTTTCTGACATGGTTCATGTGTACTTGATTGGAGTTGCTCTACGGTTTCACTTTCGCCAAATTCTGGCGTAGACGGGATGGCATTCGTTTCTGTCCGTTCGTAAACAAAGTCTTTTCGAGCTACCGCAGAGGAAGAGAGCAAGTTCACACTCTGTGATATACCTCCCTTCATTCAAAATTTGGTTGGAGAGGTGCCCTAGAGCTCTGAGGAGTCTGTTGTGTTACATTATTGTCATAGGTTCCACTTTGTATTTGTTCAGAAACTAAATTGGTGAATAATTTCTCGCGAGCTTTCTCAGGCTGGAGCTTTTGGGCTCCCTCCCTTGCCAACAACAGGGGTGAAGCGTAAAGCAGTAGGACTGTCTGGACAGCAAAGTTTCAGTGCCCAGCAAGTGCCAAGAACACCTCGAGAGTTCCAGTTTCTACCTGAGCAGCCTACTGCACGAGAAGAGAGTCAGAGCCATCAGAGACAAATCCAGTTGAATCTTCACCCGAATGCTGAGAGATTTGATTTGCTTCCAGCTCCCAGGGTTCGTTCTCTTTCTCCACTGGGAGGTTTCTTACCCACAAATATGCATTCCATACCTTCAGGGGATGGGTATGGTTTCCCGCAAGAAAGAGTGCAAAATGTTGGGATTAGCCTTTTACCGCCAGGTGAAAGCAGGCCTAGTGGTTTGTATGCACAAAATGGGCTTGGTTTGGATGACCCTCAACGGCGGGGACTGTATCATAGCTTTGACGTAGAGGGGCAAATGGGCTTTCGTCAAACTGCAATACAAGCGATGGCGGCTAACCAATCCGCTGTAGCCCCCACCGAAAGTCTAGCCCTCTTCCATGAACATGAACAAGCACGGTTGGAGAAGAAGCGCAAGGTATGTTTACTTCGGGTGTTTTTTGAACGGGGCTGGTTTTGGATTGGATTTTGAGAAGAGCCGTGGAGGGAGGGAGGGAGGGAGGGAGCTAGGGCATGGAATTGGAAGTCGGGATCACCGTACTCTGTATTCCCTCGCCACAGTAGTTACAGGAAGAAGTAATCGTTATCTGCCTTTTATATTCTTAGGTCCAACTGTCCCTGGGATGGCCTGTGTTCTGACAACTATGCCGGACATCTTTTATATGCAGAGTGAAGAGTTGAAGGTGGCGAAAGAGTCCGAAGCTAATGTGAAGCGAATGAAACGAGAGATGGAGAGGCAAGAGATTGTTCGTCGGAAGGTAAGAGAAATCAATTCTTGCACAGTGGGAAAGACTCGAAGGATATTGAATAGCAAGTATGCCCACAAGTTGTCCATGTTAGTTTGTGTCCACTAGTTGTTTCTTGATTCAAGGCTTTCAGTCAATAGTTTTCCGCGAAATAAATTGTGAGTTTTTCTTACATTTTTCTAAAGGAAGGATGGAATGGAGCAAATCGAATATAAAATGTATACTTCCACAAGCTTGAAGCTACAGTCCGTCTCTCTGTAGCAACCCAGCAGCTCCTTTTCTTGTTTTCGTAGTGAGTTTGAGGCAAAGACCAATCAGAAAGTGTTCTGATTTAGTACGTATTTCATCAGACCTATGTTTATGTCGTAAGCAATCGAATCGCGTGTCTGTTGGTACTGGAGTATTCTTATGTGTTTTGTTTTTCCAGAAAGAGGAGCAAATGCGGAGAGAACTTGAAAAGCAGGACCGCGATAAACGCAAAGAAGAGGAACGAGCTGTTCGCGAAAGGCAGCGAGAGGAAGAGAGGATACAACGAGAACACAGAAGAGAAATGGAGCGTCGGGAAAGAATGCTCCTGAAGGAAAACAAGCGGGTATGTCGATTGCTGAGACGTTGTGGGTAGCAGTTGTTTTCAGGGATATGAATAGGGTAGTCACATTTTCTGGTCGGTATTCTAGATGTGTACAACGTCCAGATTTTGTGTCCAACACATCCTGTTTACACCGTACAGATCGAAAAGCAACGACGCAAAGAAGAGGTGAGGAAGGCAAAAGAGGCTGCCAGGCTGAAGGCTGCATCAGAGAGGGCAGCAGCGAAGAAATTATCGAAGGAGTCCATGGACACTATTGACGATGAGCAGCTAGAGTTGATGGAGGCTGCGACTGCGCAGGGTTTGTTTTCTGTCAATGGGCTGGATGATGGCGGTGCCCAGGTCATGGACATTTCCAAGGGTAGGCGACTGGGAATATCTGTCTTAAGATTGTTGATAATAACCCTTCTACACCAAACATTTTTGTTTCTTGATCCCCTGTTGTGTGTTTTACTAAATGGAAATTTGGATACCCACGATTTTGCTGGTAAGAAGTCTACAGACATGGACTTTGTGAGGAGACAATGGCAAATAATAGTTCAGAGTTCTCAACTTTCTAGCCCAGAGATCCAGTGATTGCTGCTCGGTGTTCCTTCATAGCGAGACATGTGTTTCTGAGTACATATTTAAGTAAGTGTACGCCTTATGACGTTTTCTTGTTCTTCTAATGTTTACTCGTGCATTTTGTTCGGATGTTTCAGTGTTGCTGAAGAAGTTCCCCCCTGCGTCAGTTCGAATGAAGCTGCCATTGGCAATCCGTCCTTGGAATGAGCTGGAACATTGCATGGGCCACTTCTTCATGGTAATTACTCTTCATGTGTTTTGTTTTGCTCAATAAGACACGAGCTCCATAGGTCTTGCTTATAAATCCCTGCTTTCCTGTTCTTAGTTTCCTAGATATACAAATATAATCTACTTCTTGTGATCAATCGATGTGCCTGTATCTTCTTTTGCAGGTTTGGAGATTTTTGACAACATTTGCTGATGTCATTGGGCTGTGGCCCTTCACTCTCGACGAGTTTGCTCAGAGCCTTCATGACTTTGTATGTCACATTCCCTTCAAGCCAGTGAGATTGGCTGATCTAATTGCACTGAGATGTGTTGTAATTACGGATTTATTGAACTTTAAAAGATTGTTCTTTGCTCAAGTCATTTGTTTTCTGGGAATTTCAGGATCCAAGGCTGCTTGGTGAAATACATATTGCACTCATCAAGACGATGGTAAAAAACATTGAAGATGCAGCGCAAGCTGCGACCAGTGGAGCAGGGGGCAGCCAAAATGCAATTGCCCTTGCCTCTGGTGGACACCCTCAGCTTGTAGAGGCGGTAAGTGATTCTTGCTGGTTAAATCGTGTCCTAATAACATGAATTCTACCTCATTACGTTAAACGCCCAAACTATCGAAGTTTTTTTTCTTATCTGGACTATGTTTCGCAGGCTTACGAATGGGGTTTTGACATCAAAGAATGGGGTCAGCACGTAAACCCTTTGACGTGGCCAGAGATTTTGCGGCAATTTGCCTTGGCAGCCGGTTACGGTCCAAAGTGGAGAAAGAGAAATGTAGAGGCTCCGGCACGACCCAGAGAAGAGGTCGAGGTATTTCCTCGTCCATCACGTCAATCAGGAGACCCACCCGTATGCTCTTGAAACATAACATTTGTCCCTTTTCATTTCTGTCTTCATTTTGGTTTGTTTACAGAGATAGTTGACATTTTTGGATCTCTGGCGACGTTCATGGATACGCGTTTTTGTCTAGCTTAGGCTGTAGGAAGTCGTCTTAGACTGAAAAATCTTTTATAGAAAGTAAGTTGTCATTTCCATGAAATAGGCCAACTTGCTTCCTTCTCTGCTTCATTGCTGGAAGTTGAACTGTGAGGTGGTATGAACAGTTCAAATCACGGTATCTATGATCTAATATATTTGTGTTTATATATATGTAATTTGTGAATACATATATGTCGAATTGAATCTTAGGTGGTAAACCTAATTGCAGGAGCCGGTCGAGGAGGAAAATGCCGTCTCCATTCTTCGTTCAGGAGCTGCTGCAGCAAGTGCGGTGGCTCTTATGCAGGGGAAGGGTGTTGGACATTTGCGTAGATGTCGATATCGCCTTACACCAGGAACGGTGAAATATGCTGCATTTCACGTTCTGTCTTTGGAAGGAAGCAAGGGGCTCACTATCTTAGAAGTTGCCGACAGAATACAGGTACAGTTGTATTAAAATATGCATAAACTGACGCCTCTGAATTGGTTTCGACTTCTTATTCCTATCCTATGATGTGTCTTTGTGAGAAGTCTCCGTGGTGTGAGTGCGCTTGATCATTATCTGATTGGGAGAAGTGGTCAAACGTGTCAAGCAGAAATCAGGCCTTCGAGACTTGACAACTAGCAAGACACCCGAGGCTTCTATAGCTGCAGCACTGTCTCGCGACACAAACTTATTCGAGCGTGTGGCTCCTTCTACCTACTGCGTTCGGCCTGCGTTTAGAAAGGATCCAGAGGATGCAGAGGAAGTATTACAGGCTGCCAGAGAAAGAATTCGACTGTTTCAAAGTGGGTTCCTGGATGTGGAAGAAGCCGAGAAGGAGAACGAAGAAGGCGAAGAAGTGGAAAGAGATGAGGAATATGATTCTGACGGGCAGGATGTCGAGGATGCGGATGCCGATGCAGATGCAGATGTTGATACCCCTATACCAAAGGTAAGAAACGCATTGTTATTATATGGAGGTTGTTTATCCCAGGGGTCGATTGTTAGATTTAAGAAACAGAGGGTAGGACCCTTTTTGATATTTCGGAGTGACTACGACGTTGACCTTTGCTTTACCTTCCACAGGAGTCAGAGTTGAAGGATGAAAGTTTGCAAGCTGAAGACGCGGCAAAGTCGGAAAGCCTAGCTGAGGAGGAAATGGAGATCGATGAGAGCCAAGTGGGTGAACCTTGGGTACAAGGGTTGATGGAAGGAGAGTACGCCGAGCTGAGTGTTGAGGAGAGGTTGGTCGCTCTTGTGGCACTGATCAATGTAGTGAATGAAGGCAACAGTATACGGCTTGCGTTGGAGGTAATTTCTCGCCATATTTAAAGAGGGCCGTCTTTTCTGTGGTTCTGCCCACTCACTGGGCAGTTGTTTTGGCTTCTCATTGTCTAACTTTCACGGTTAAACATGTGCAATTTATTCATCTTCCTACTCTTTTTAGCTGATTTATATCCCACTTGTGCACATCGGAGGCACCTATGGCAACATGGTCCCCTACGTTGTTCCACCTACTTGATCATAGAGCGACATCGCTTCTTTTGGAATTTAAAAAACCTAACATTCTCGAGTTGAATTCTGCAGTCTCGAATGGAAGCGGCAAGTGCTCTCAAGCGACAGATGTGGGCTGAAGCTCAGATCGAGCGGCGGCGTCACAAAGAAGAGCAGCTGTTAAGGTTACAGCCTGCTCTTCTGGCTGCTGCAAATAACGAGTCTGGTGAAATGGTCGACGTAGGCTCTGTTCCTGTTACTGTCACTGGGGAGAAGGTAGTTGAACCTTTAGTGAGCACGAAGCAAGAGACCATACTGGAGCTAAACCTGGTGCCCGCTGATTCTAACATGGTTTCTGACGGCCCGGGGTCGGTCGAGCACAACCCATCAGTTGCAGAGAAGAGTATCACAGTCCAGGAGAAGAACGGATCAATGCATGAGAAGAACGCACCTCATGAAGGATCCGTTACTCAAGAAGCTGTTGCGTCTGGTCACGTGACAGAGAGGTCACGCGCTCAAGTGAAAGCCGATATCGGAGTCTGGGCCGAAGAGTTGTATGTAGTTAGATCACTCCCATTGGGCACAGACCGGCGACGAAATCGATATTGGCAATTTGTGACGTGCAGGGGTGGACAAGATCCAAGTTGCGGCCGTATCTTCTTTGAATCCTTCTCAGATGGTCTTTGGGAGGTCATTGATACGGAAGAAGTACGTTGGACGACTTTTCCTTCTTTCCTGGATAATTGCTCATTTGAAACCATCCATGCACCATCTCATTCTTCTTGTAATTCTAACAATCTGAACCTCTTGTCTGAACTGATGCAATTTGTTGGGTTTTCCAGGCTTTGGATGCACTGATGTCTTCACTTGACATACGAGGTACAAGGGAAGCTGCGCTCCATGCTGTTTTGGTTAGGTTGGAGAGCACTCTTAGACCAGCGATGAGGCTTGCTGCCGCATCAAGTTCTTCATCTGTTTCGCATCATGATGTGAAATCTGAACTTGGGGAAGCTGGAAAACCCACTGACAGTGCTGGAAGAGGGGGTGCCTCCGGAGCATCTTATGGGACAGCAGTCGATGGTAGTCCTTCAAGTGGACTCGGGGTGGAGATCCCCGCGAGATCTGGTTCGATCTCTGTTGACCTTGGGAAGACTGATGCGGAGAAGCAGAGAGCTTTTGATCGTTTCAAGGATTTTGAACATTGGACGTGGACAGAAAACACAAGGTCCTTGTCTGCTTTGAAAGTGGCGAAAACTGGTAGGAAGAGAGAGCCGGACTTACTCCTTTGCTGTTCCAAATGTCATGAGCTCTATTCTGCAATTGACAAGCATTGCCAGTTCTGTCATGCAACCTTTCCGAAAACACAAACCAAGCACGACTTTCATGCCCGAGAATGCGAGGACAAGATGAAGAAAAAGGATCCAGCGTGGAAATTATGTGGTCTTTCATCTGTTCCCCCGAGAATTCAGATTCTGAAGGCTGACATCTTATATATTGAGGTACTTAAACATACAGTATCCGTCTACCTTTTTGGGATCTATATTCTTCCAGATAATTCTAGATGTCTTTCAGCTCCTTGTCATCACATCCTGAAATTACCTTTGTTGAAGACGTACAACAAGGTTAGATGAAGCGGATTTTAAGTATTTTTTTAATGACCTTCCATGTTTTCTCGCTTCAAGTGAACGGCGGAAGCTTATAATTTACTTTTGTGTTCTGAAGATTCAATCGAAGCTCAGCCAGAACGATGTCTTTCCAGTGCTGACGCTAATATTTTGTAATGGGTACAGACTGTCATCCCTTCTGAAGCTTTCAAGGACCCATGGGATCATCAGGAGCGAAAAGCATGGGCATCTCTTTTAAAGCGTGCGATGACACCGTCTGAACTACTTCAGGTCTGTTAACACTAGGTTTTCTGTTTATACCAGTAGACTCTTCGTCACCACTATCACAAGTAAATAGAACTTGTTTAGTGGGACCGTTTAGAAAGGATCGTGGACAAAGACTGGAGATCGAAATGGTCAGGCTGTAATGGAAAATTACTGAATTGATTAAGAACACGTTGCAGTTGAGATTTGTTCATTGTGATAATTCAACTTTGTGACCTGAACGAGTATGCTGGTCATTGCAGTGTCTTACAGAGCTTGAAAGCCGGATTCATCGGGAGTGGTTGTCATCCTCATATGAAACAACCGAGGAGCTCTTGAGTGCCAGTGCATCTTCTGTAACCATTGCTAATCAGGTTGCTCCATGGGTGCCACAAACCTCTGCGGCTGTTGCACTTCGCGTTATGGCATTCGACGCTGCTCTTTCTTACAGTTCGGAGGAGAGAAAGAGACGGCAAAAGCAGGAAGAGGAGGAGCGAAAGAATGTAAGTTGATGGCTTTCCATGTTCAGTTTAGAACTGATATGTCAAAGTTCAAGTTGGCAGCCTCTCCTTATTGTAAGTGCCGGATATGTTAAAATGGAACAAAATCGAAATTCTAATGGTTCATTCGCTTATGATGTCCAGCTTATGCATACCAGCATCGGTGTTTTCCCATCAAGAACCACGCCAGAAGTGCCTGTTGTTGAGAAACCAGATGTCGATGAAGATGACGTAGTGGTGGATGTGGCCAGCGGTAGAGGCCGTGGTCGTGGGCGGGGTAGAGGTCGCGGTAGCAGAGGTGGAGGAAGGGGCAGTCGTAGCAGCAGAAGTGCACCTCCTGCGACGACTAATTCCAGGGCCACTGTGAAGAAGGGCGCTTCAAAACGGAAACTCCAGTTTCAAGAGGAAGGGGCTGCCGAAGGGAAGCAAGGAGGGAAGGGTGGAGGAAGAGGGCAGGGCCGATCCAGAGGTAGACCTCGGGGTCGCGGTAGTGGACGGCCGCGCGGACGTGGCTCACGTGGAGGACGACGTAGTGTCGCAGTTCGCAGAATTGACAAACTTCCAAAAGAGAAGAATCCCAATGAACTGATGTCTCAGGAAGTTGTTTTGCGCAAGGGGCAGGTTGCGGAGCCTGAGGACGATCACGAGGAGGAAGAGGCCGAAAGCGAGGAAGAAGATGCATTCAGATCAGGTGAGTGGGATGGATCAGAAGAACAGATGGAGGATCAGCAAGAAGATGCAGAAGAAGAAGAGGAGGAAGATGACGAAGAAGAGGATCTGACTGGTGCAATGCAAGAGGAGGAAGATGAAGACGAGGATGGAGAGGAAGGGGATGAAGAGGAAGTGCAGGTGGAAGAGGGTGATGATGAAGGCCAAGCCGAAGATGGGGACGAAAATGGTCAGGAAGAGGAAGGTGATGAGGAAGATGAGGATAGACAGTACGATGATGATAGTTATCCCCAAGATGGGGAAGGAGAGGATGACGAAGAAGCCGTTGAGCCTGAAACCGATGAGGATGAAGAAGAGGAAGAGGTAGAAGAAGCGGACGAAGGTGCGGAATCTGCCAGAGAAAGTGACGAAGATTGATATTAAGGTGTGCGTCTACAAGCATTTGGGGTCGTATAGAGCTTCACAAGAGGTTACTTCCAACCTGATGTGGAGGTGTAAATAGTTAGTTTCGGGGCCCCTTTCGTCATTTAGTATCAGATCGGATGTGAGGGATGGGAGTGGTTGTTTGTTATCGTTTGCATTGCCTCACTCTCCCTGCGAGCCAATGACCTTGATCCGATCGGCAGCTCGTCTCGTCTCCTCTGTATCTATGTAGGTTCTAAGGGCAGTAAGTATATAGCAGTTAAATTTTCAGGAAAAGATGAACATAAACATAGGGGCGCGAAGTAGCTGTTTTTTTCCGTATAGCAGGAGCTGTGACGAGTTGAAACTTCATAAATCTCGATTCATTTGCCCATGGTAGGCAGCTGTATATTGCATTGAGTCGTATGTCATGCATCTCTCTGTACAAGCTAAGTCTACAAGCGGCCCTTGTCTTCAGCTCTTAGAAGAATTGCGGAGACTAGTATTTTGTGATATGACCAAGTTATTTGTTTCTATCTAACTTGCAAATGAAGTCTTGCTGGTTTCTGGAAATAGACTCGCGTCACTGGGATGGAGAAAGCCACTCGGCATGTCCGTCTGCTAGGCTGCACCGACACCTCCGTTCTCGTCAGATGCCAATCATTGTGGACACATTGTCAATTTCGGCAGCACTTTCTTTCATCTTTCTCGCTTGCTTCAAGTGTTGCTGTTCGTGGCATCTTATGTTCTTGCTGGAGGAACCTCTTTATCCTTGTGACAGGATCCCGAAGCCTGTTATGTATTTTCATAAATCACATGCAAACTTGTTTGTGCAGGATATTATACACAAGAACTGTGAACTGTATTTGTCACGAGAAGGGAACGGGTCCTCATTCAATATCTGTTTCATTCAAGGGTGTTTGACCACGTTAACTTCAAACATCAACAATATCTATAACTAAAGAAGTGTCGGCTGCGGTAACCAATGCAACGTGTTCGTGCTCCGCAAACAACAAATTGCAATTCAATGCAACTTCAAAATCGCTTGTAACATCGCAATATTAACCCCAACACACAAGGTCACAAGGATCAAATCGCCACAGTGACTGAAAGTGATATTATCGAGAGGGTTGAATTTGTAGCAGTGCCACTTCCGCCAGTTTGCCGTTGTGCAACATTGGTTGTCAACCGAAATGAAAAGACGTTAGGCTCTTCTACTCGGCGGCCTGGAAGCTCTTCACTTACCCATGAGGTGAGGCAATGGGGAACATACATTTACCGTAGTGAGGACATGAGATAACACGATACTGAATACCCCTTGAGGTGTCAAAGGAAGTGCAATCAACAGGAGTTAACACCGCTATACACATTCACCAATTTCCCCACGGCACTGCAAATGCTCTCTTGGAAACGGAGTACATCATCATAGGAAGACTACACCAAGGTCACATCAGGTCACACCCTAAGAGAAGAAACTGTACGTAAACAGAAAATTGGATAGAATGTTGCACGACGGTCAAGAAACCATCACGTTCAGGTTCAGTCGGTTCTATCCTAGATGCAACGAAGATCAAGGAAAACACTTATCGACTTATGATCTTGTTTCCAATGTGGACCGAAGACAGTTTGGCAAAGCTGCAAAAGAGAATGGTGTCTCTATTTTTGACGTCTTGTTTGAACTAGTTATGTGCGGAGCTGTGTGACAAGGTTCACATGCTACCTGAAAATCCAATCGGTTGTGAGGATATCATAAGTAGTAGAACTCAATCTTGCGCTCTAAGTGTTTGGATGAGGACTACCACGTGGAGAAAAATGAGAACCACTTAGATAGACAACAATGCACAATTTGTTCACCATCGATCCAATCAAGAAATTGGATGGAGTGATTTGTACTTATACAGATAACTTGTTTGATCAACTTTAAAGAACAAAATATTTCATCAAATTGGATCTAAAGAATAATTATAATTAAATTCGAAGTGTTTGAAATAGTGTGAATGAAATATTCACACTACTGTTTTGGTTACTTGGCATGATCACATTGAGTATCTAATGATGATTTTTGGTCTCACTGATGTAATTGCTATATTTATGATACTGATGAACGATATTTTTTGACTCTATTTTTGCCAAATTTATTATTATTTTTCTAGATATTTTTTTTTGGTTCATAGCAGATTTCAGAGACATTATTTACAAGTAGTTTAGGTTTTGAGAGAGATTGAATTATATAACAAAGTTTCAAAATGTGAGTTTGAAAAATCAAAAGTAAATTACTTGAGTCATGCTTGAGTCATAAAATTACAAGAAAATGAATCTAAGTGAGAAGATAGAAACTATTCAGAATTCAAAGTAAATTACTTGAGTCATAAAATTACAAGAAATGGATCTAAGTGATAAGTGAGAAGATTGATCCTATTTAGAATTGGACAATGCAAGAGTATCAAATTCAATGTAACAATTTTTTTTAGTATTCACACGTTGTTATCATAAAATTGTGAACGGTTTTGTTCGTCCACATTAAACCTTGATATCTATGCTAAACAAAGTCCAAAAATAAAAATATCAAAGAACTCAAAGGTTAACTTTTCAAGTATTGAAAAGTGTTTTGTCACAAACATCCATCATCAAATGATATTATCATAATCAATTTATCAAGCTGGAAACTAATTCTTAAGTTGCAACAGTGATTGATAAACTACAAAAAGGATGAGAGTATATAATACATCTCATTGCTTTTTTCTCTTAAAAGTTGTTGGTAGCAAAATAGAATTATCACACAATGAAACCGGAGAAATCAATTATTGTGTTTGCAACATAACACTTAAACATTACTTGGATTATAAAAAATTTATGATGAAGATATATAATAAATCATTAGTTTATCTAAAAATTTAATAGTATTTGTTTAATCGAAAATTTTGATGTACATAGTTACGTCAGTGCTTCAATATGAGTATTTTGTATGTAAACAAATAAAATAACTTGCGGATGCTCTCACAAGCATGTCATGTCTTCATCATGTTGCAAAAGTGAAGATTCATCCATTTGATAAAACAAGATGATTATGTCATATGATGTCATGGATGAAAAAATTATGAAAGCACTACATGATAGAAATTTAGAATAGTCTTGAGGTTTAACATCTCACAAACAACATATATAGATAACGTTATATCAACAGTTTTGTGCAATAATTTTATCAAAAACCATGATATATCAATTGTAGACCATGTGGATGCAAAAAATACTTTGAAATGAATACAACTTGTAGTTTGTCAACAAAATAAAACTGATAATCAAATACCCACTGTTTTATTACAATCTATTCCCATTCCAATTGAACAATGAAAACATATCATCATGAATTTGATATGTGAGTTATCAAATATTTTGCTAGTAATGATTTAATTGAAATTTTTGTGACTAATTTATATAAAATAAGAAGAGCAATCATAAAAACAATGATAGCTCCACAATTTACTTAATTGTATCTTAATGTAATTTTTAAGTATCATGAATTAAATTTTTTTTCATCATTGATAGAAATATTCGTTTCACTAGTTTGTTTTGAAAAATTTTGTTTGGTTTTTTCAAAATAATTAGCAATGTCAATTTCTTATTATATTCTAATTGATGATTTAACAAAAATTTGATAGAGTTTGTAGATTTTATGCTACTAGCATTTATACTAGAATAGCAACAAGAGTGAAATAATCTTTTGATTATTGTAAAACTTACATAAAACAATTTTGTTAATGCATGCAGAAAGATGTTTTCATTTTATATAATGTACGGTGCTCATTTATTAACTTCATCAAGTTTGATAAATTTTCCAGAAGTATAGAAGTTTTCAATTGTCACTAATTTTGTGGAGCATATTCACAAATAGTCACATCAAACCAAAGAAAAATTGACGATCATTCAAAATTGACAAAACAATATGTGAATATTCATTGTAAAGAGTTTGATTTTTCAGATAGAGTATCAGGTTTGATGATCTACAAAAAAATTATCTATTGTAATCATATTAAAGTTTAACCATAGATTTACTGATACTTTTGTGATATCTAAATCTGTTGAAGTTTTATTCACCAATAATATACATAATGTATTTCATGTGTCAAGCTTGGCATAACATATATCACGAACAAAACAACTTATCAACTAATAGTCACGGACTCATCTTTCAATCTTGATAGTTGATCATGAGTAACTTGATGTAGAGAATATATTTAAAAACACTGATGAAGTTATAAGTATCCCAAAATAAAGTATTTTATTTAATGAATTTATTTTTCATATGAATCAATTTGAAAACCTGCTAGCTCTCTAACTAATGTATCTTTGATAATTCAAGAATTTGAATGAATGTGCAACAACGACGTTATTAAAGTAAGAGAGTTTTGTAACCATCTTTAGTAATTAGAATTAAAGCAGAACTTATTCTAGATGTAGATATATATTTATTTTGCTTATCAAGATATAATCGTAACATTAGTCATCTGTGTGTTTGTTAGTTATAGATTGAGTGTGTTAGTTGAAAAGTAACCTTCAACAATCCGTGTGTTGCTAAATAAAAATTGAATGTGTTAGTTAATGTGTTAATTCAGGAGTACAAATAAGTAATATGTATGTTTGTTAGCATTATATATCATATCATCCATCCATTAGGTTTGAAATGAATGAATGTAATTTTATATTATCTTTTGTACTTGTTGATAAGATCTATGTAAAAAAGAGTAGAACTAATTTAGATATTTTCCATCTTCATAATTGTGTTCAAAATTTGAATGAGTTCTTATCTTAATTTCTACTGTTACATGACCGCGATAGTTTTTGAATCAAAATTTAGATACAAATGTCTTGTTAGTGGTAATTTTTTGGTGTTTCACTGTGACTTTGCATTCATGATAAAATACGATACAAAATCTACGTGCAACCGCAATGATAAGAGTGATCATATCATCTATTTCTGAAATCTGAAGTTCGTACTACTGTTGATGTAACATATTGAATGATGTAAGTCGCGATACAACTGAGTTCAAACTTATTTTTCTAGCCATTTGCTAATTTGATAATGTGAACGAGTGAACTAATCCATCATATTTTATTTTTTTGTTAGTCATAGCTCCTAATGAAAGAAAGAAGCATCAATTCTTGTGCACATGACTTCAACGTAACACACATGAATTAAAATTGTGCTTATCTTACGAATTGATACTTCATGATGCCAACATCCATCAAAATTTTCACAGTTCAAGATGTGAAAATACTTTGTCTTCAAAATAGACTTTACTCTTCAAGCATTGGCTCGAGATCTGATTTTGTCAAACAATCCCATTTAGTACATTTGAGAGTTTTGATATGTGCCAATTCCAATCTGTGCATCTTGTACTAATGCCACTCCTCATCTACTTTTGAGCATGCTGCAAGCAAACGATGTGAGAGACTTCACTTGATATCAAAAGTAAGCATTTTTAAAATTTGAGTTTAGACATTTTAGTCATTTATTTTTTAAAATGACTAATTTGTAGAGGTTTGGCCATGAATTATTGATTTAAAGATGTTGTATTGGCTTTTATGTCATGTACAAACTTTGATTGTTATGAAAATTAGCAAATGTCTAGATTAATTTTTGCTTATGCAATAAGTTTGATCTGCATACATATATATCTTGATAAGCGGATTGTTTGTGAATTAGATGTGATTATAATTTCATCTTTATACAAATCATATGCATATATAAATTTTTTAATGAATTTACAATGTGACCACCATATTTATTTGCTATCGACATAAATTGTTTTAGTAATTTTTGATGATCTTAGAATGACTTAAAAGTCCTTTTTTTTGTTTATATAATGTGAAAATGTATAAAATACAATTTATTGTCATAAATATTATTTCATTCATTTTTTAAGCCAAATTCTAATCAATTAAATTTTTTATCGAAAATATAAAAAATTAAAATATATTACTTTTTGAATACCATCAATTCGATTTTTGAGTAATAAATACATGTAATTGTATTCATAGATTGACACTTTAAATAAATATTTTATATAAAAAATTAATATTCAAAAACTCCATTGGTATTTCTAATATAAAATTAATAATTTAAATATTATATATATTGTGCAAAATATTAATATTATATTGATAATAAGAAAACACGTTGTATCGTATATTGTGAGAGAGAGAGACTAAATCACTCTTTTCTTTACAGCTATACGAGAACATCGCAAGCGTTGTGCCTGGCTGCGCATTCGCTTACCCATCCTCGTGGCGAATGTTCTAGCCCGCTCGCTGGTTGCGGTGCTGACGATAGAACATCTGGCAGACACGCATCTTTCGGAGTGCTCCACTCTTTCCTTTCCTCGGGGAGCGTGCCTCTTTCCTCTTTACTCTCGGCCCTCGGAGCAAAAAGGGACAGGACGGACCAAATTTGCGACAAGGACGTTGTTTGCATTTCCGCCTTGGGCCCGACACTGAGAACCCGGCCACCGAACCCGTACTCAAGTATCCGGTCACTCCTTACCGATCTTCGATATGACCCACGAGTAACGCCGTGCATCCGGAGCTCGAAGACCGGCTTCCTCGCACGTAGCCTTCGCCATTCGCTGCGAGCGCCACCGGCGATCACCGGCGACTCGACCTCCGCGGCCGGCGAGCACTCTCCTCATGTCGGCCATCGGTCCCTGCTCGGGACTCGGTGGGAGCACGTGGGGACAGGGGAGACGAACGGCGAAGTACGAGAGGACGGAAGCTCCACTGCCGCCCTTGCGTTGCACGCTCGGACAGACGGACAGACGGACGGACGGAAGAAAGCGCGGCGATCCGCGAGTGCAGCGTCGATGTCGTCATCGGGCATGGAATGTGCGCTGGGAAAAGGTCGCAGCGTGACAGCGGGCGGATGCCGATTGGCCCACCGACCCCCTACCCCAGCTATGGGCGTGACTACCGTATAGGTATGTAGGTATAATTTATGTATAATAAAACTACATTATACAACACACCCAAACTATACATTGTACAATTGTATAATAAACAATGCGTAGTGGAATCCTTAGGAGTCCGCACAAGTGTTGCTGGCTTGTTAAAAGATTTGTCATAGACTCTACTCGAAATGGGGACGGGAATAGTTGCTATTTCGGAGAAGTTAGAAACTTGAAGAATATTCCGTCTAGGAGCTGATGGGCGAGGGTAACTTATACGAATGATAACATAATGGTTTAGGGTGAAGTGGACATCTGAGTGTTGTATAATACAATTGGAATTATAATGTATAATACTGTATAATACCACACAGTGCGCGAAGAGTTCAATTATACAGACCCATAGGCGTGACTCACTCCGTCCATCGCTCCCTCCGGCTGCACAGGAGAACTATTCTGGCCAGTGCCTTCCCGGAGTGTCAAGGGGCGAGCGACAGACAGCAAAATACAGGGCACATGGCAGCGGTAGCCGGGACAAAGGGCAGTATATTATCCATATCCGAATCGCGTTCTCTGAATCGGAAGTCGCAATCCCCATCACCACAGACCGAAAAGCTCATCCTCGTCTTGGAACGAGCGTCTGTCTGTCTGTCCCCCATGGACAATGTGTTGTGACTGCGAGGGTCTTGTGGTAATGGACGTGTTGCGCAAGCTCAAGCTAGCTGCAGCATGTGGTCGTGAAAGCGGGGTTAAAAGTGACCCACCTTTTTGACTCATGTCCACCTTTCCCTTCCGGGCTGTAAAATTCCCACTGGCCGTGGTTGGTTTAATTGTTTCAACCGTCGAGCCTCCGTCGTGATATCGAGAAGACTCAGTCCACTTTACAGTCTCTTCGCTAGACGATTTCGTACATTCCACGGATGCGGGTACTTGCGCAGTACATTTATTCATGTACGGTATCGGCGAGGAGTAGACCATTCTCATCAGGTGGACACTTAACATTCTCCCTCCTGTCGCACCGAAGTGGCCAATTATACTTTCTTCTCTTCTCGGTTTGACTTTACTGACCAATCGGTCGGTCAAGTTTGTAATATCGCGAAGTAACGCACAGTGATTTCACTTTGATCCACGAAGAAGATCAACCGATTGAAAGGCTAGGAACTTCCATCCAGTCGACAACCGTCAGTGTGGGCAACTATTCTTAGATTTACAATCGAGACGACTTAAAAGGATTCGATCATTGGATCGTTTTATTCATAAGGATCAATATTTGCATCAAGAATTTTAGTAATCCACAACTGTACATGTGTGATAGTTGAGGGACCGAACGGGTCGCCACTATCAGGCGTCAATCACGAAAGGCCTGCGCGCTTCACAAAGTGGGGCAGGAGATGTCTTGCATGAAGGTCGAGGAAAGGGAGATGTGAGCACTTTCGTCTGCTCACTTATCTCCGACCTCCAGAGACTTGTCAGTGCGCAGTTCTAGATCGATAACATCATCATCATCATCATATACTATTGACTGCAGCTCTCGCTGGCTCTACAAGCAATTCTACCATCTCTCGTGGATGCTCCGGTCAAATTAGTTGGAGATGACAGAAGCCATAAGCCTCAATCTACATATACTACACTCCGAGATTAAGCCCAGCAGCAGATACGCTTGTGCTGGTGCTGGGGCTAAGGCGTTGCTCCGCATAAATCAATAGAGAATTTTCAGTTTCATCAATCGCTGCCGTAGAATGCTATCTATATACACATGTGTTTCAAAAATTTCTCTTGAAGCTTCTCTTTTGCTGAAGAACAGTAGACGCAGCATCTACCATCATTTTGTAGAAGTCAATAAACTCTTGCAGCTCTTGCTCTTGCATTCCTTCCATCATCTTCCTCGCCTCGGCCTCTTTCCGTTCGTTCAGTTGCATCTTCTCCAAGAACAGTGATGAATTTCTTACAGTTGCCCCCATTTCATGCAGAAACTTCACCTGCTTGGAGTTAAGGGCCGTATTCGACTGCAAACGTATACATGGAAGTTTTTTTAGTAACATGTATCCCATGAGCCATATAGAAGCGAGGATGCTCAACCGAATGACCTCAAGACACATAGCGAGCGCACAGCTAAGAGCCTGAGAGGTCCAAGGACAAGACGAACGAACACAGGCATCACAATCACTGTTAGTGTCCCGACGGTGGTTAGACTGGGTTAGCATCCACTCCACGCCACGCCACGCAACGCATTTCATTCCAGTCCTTTGCATTCCGCTTCCACTTCCACGCCACGCCACGCCACTCCACTCCAGTCCACTCCAATCCCCCCTTTGATTTGGTTTGCTTTGCAGTGCTGTGCTGGGATGGGATTCTCTATCGGGGAGGGAGGGAGGGGACCACGCCTCGCGCGACTTCAAGTTGAGGGGAGGTTGAAGGAAGGCCGATCTGGGACTGATTTGATTGACTTGCAATCGTTTTCCAAAACCCTGTGACATCTCAACATATATGTAATTATCAAAGAAGGGATCTAAGGGAGAGCGTTACTTGTAGGAATCGGGCGCCGAGCTCCAACTCCTGCTCGCTTTGATTGGGAACCGCTCCGTGCCTGAGCGCGGCAAGAGCATGTTGGCCGCCGTGAACACTGTGAGGGCTGCGCAAATGTTCCTCCTCGTATATTATTTTGGCCAGTGAAAAACTACGCACTATTTGCATTCGCTGTCTCTCCATAACCGCCGCATCAAACTTCCTATTGATCTTCTCCTTTCCAGTCGAGAGTAACTTCTTCTGGTATGCCACCACTGCCTTCACAAATTCCTGCGAAAGCGTGACGGGATCAAATTAGGCCACCTCATCCATGTCGCACATGCTGTGATGCATTTCCAGATCAGTCGTTTGGACTAGCTGCAGATGGCCATATGCGAGGGGTTTGCAAATTCTCATTCGCATGTATGCACAACGAAACATTCAGACGTACTCAAAATATAATAAATTATGCTTAGATTTACGCTGGACGACGATTCCACAGAGTTGCAATTCGGTACCTGATAAATGCGTGGGCATTCAGGGTAATCGAAGATGCTCTCTTGCATGAGTTCTTCGCTTGTTTGACTCTCAATGGGGATATCATGCTCGTGTCGCATGCGCTCGGGGTGGAATTGAAGGCCTACGATGAACTTGCCCTCCTCAGGATCGCATACAGCGGGATCGTAGAAGGCCTCGATGAGACCGTCCGGTGCATGTGCCATCGGTTGGAACCTCGTTGCCAACCTCTTGACGCCCTGCAAAGTTCACATCACCCAACATTTTCGCATCACGACGTTAGAAACCTTCCACCACGCCGTGGATATCTCCCTATTACTACTGAGAAAACACACTGTACAAGTTACAGGCTCCAAGGCATCCATAAAACTCAGAAGCCAGAAAACGACACTTTTGATATATGTATCTCTTCAATGAGGCAGGCGTAGGCTTGTACGATGGCATGAGCTCCAAACCATGACCAAGGATTCGACCAAACCATGCCCAGTACCTGATGATGATAGCTGTTCACAAACAGCTCCGATCCGGTAGAGCTCTTTTTCAACGATTCAGCGAACCATTCATGCAAGGGCGTGCCCTCGATGACGTTCACTGGATGTCTGTGTCCATCATAGTTATCATAATTTATGTGGTGTACCTCCACGCCGTTCTTGGAAGACAGCTCCGTCTCCACGTCCTAAATGTCCACCACGTGGGTCAGTAATCGGCAACTGCAGCAGCAGAACGCGGGAATTCGAGTCCTCAACTACTGAAAAACTGTGGCAGCAAAGATTTCGCTATCATCCTACAGAAAGAGAAGCAAGGTCTCGACTCAATGGTACAATTGAGGCGGACACGTGACACGATGAGCGAACTGCAGAACGCCTTCTAAATCTACGCTTCGAGAGTCATTGACTGCAATGGTGCAGTGAAAGCGGTCTGAGTTGTTAATATTATGAGGGCAGAAGTAGAAAAGTTCCAGCTCGCAGATGTTATACGACAAGAGAAGAGCTGAGGTGAAAAGAGTGGAGGAAAAGAGTGGTACCTGGTACAAGGAACCGCCGCAGGCGACGTTGAGCACCTGAGAACCCCGGCAGATTCCGAGATACGGAATATTGCGCTCGAGACAACGACGGGCAAGCTGCAGCTCGATCGAGTCTTTGTCCTTGTCAATCTGCGTGTCACTGCTGTGCGCCTTTTTTATTTTGGCAATTTCCTCTGGTGACAAGTGAGACAGATCACTCTCGTAGAGCGAGGGATCGATGTCTTCGCCCTCACAGAGCAGAACTCCATGGATTGGTTCAAAACTGTCCAACAGGGAATGCAATCCAGAAACCCTTGGGACGATCACCGGCACAGCTCCGTAGCTTACAACAAGATCCAGGTGATACTCTCCTGCAACACAACAAACAAACATGCCGCAATGGTCAGCGCGGCGGTCCTCCCGAGTGTGACCTCAGCGTACAGCAGGAGGCTGCGGCAATCGAATCGGAATTCCACATTCATCATGCATGCAGCAAACCTGTCCTCGACGATCACAGCTACTACGGGGACCCACGGCTCGAATTCACGACAACGAGGGCAGAATGGCTTCATTCATTCATTCATTCATTCATTCGAATAAAGGACGCAGGAGAATCTCGGTGGCGACGGGAAACGACGAAGCGAGGGAGGGAAAGCGTGAGCAAGAAACGAACCCACAAAGTCGACGAATTTATTCTTCCTCACTGTCCTGCGTGAGACGACTAAAACGCGTGGAAGTACCGACGCCAGAGGCAGTACTTCGTCTCCGCTTCCAAACTCCACATTCCCATTGGTTCCATTGGTTCTCGTCATGGTGCCCGCCCCGCAAGGTCACACACACACACACACTCCACCAACAATTTGCCTTCTCGTTGCCTCCTGCGCAAGCCCGAGGTCTCACCGCTCGGATCTATCTCTCTCTCTTTTCACTTCCTCCGATATCCGACCCTCCCCTCCCCACCCCTCCCTCCCTCCCTCGCTGCCTCCCTATCGATGGAGAAATCTTCTTGCGTGTCACTCGAAACGCCTGGCAACTACTTATACAGACGCGGCAAACCTTCCCCGACGCCTGACCCAAAGAGTCCAGATCCGCTTCGTCTCTCAGTCGCAGATAAGAGCTATCTAACTACACCCCAGCCCAGCCCAGCCCACCTCAAAGACTTCCTCCTCGCCGCCTCGTCCCGCCTTCGCTCTTCTCGCTCACTTTCTCTCGACCGCTGGAGTAGCCAGTCGCCCTCTTTCTCTCTCTGAAGGTTATCCGGATCCTCCTGCTGCTGCTGCTCGGCTAGATTGCACAATGTCGCCTCTTCCGTCCCCCGCGAATTGGGAGGATTGCAGTGCCTTCGTCTTCGTGTTCGTCGTCGTGCGTGGTGGGTGACTCACGCCCAGCTAATGTCGAAGGATTCGCTCGGGATTCTCACCTGCGCGACCGGTGCTCGCGACAGTTCCTCGGTCCTTCGTCTCGCGCTGTGAACGTAAAACACATGCCACTCGGGGCGGGGTGAAAAGCGGAACGTGGCCGAATGACCGGACGCCCGGCTGCCTCGGTGGCCCGCCCGCCGTGAGCTGGAGCTGGAGGAATGTGATGTGCTTCGAATCCAATGGGATCCACGAACTCGAGAGCATTGGGCGAAAAGTGCAAAGTCCGGCGATGATGAGAAGATCCGTTGTCTCCGTCTGGAACCCGCGGTCCGCCTCCTTCCTTTCGTTCGTTCGTTCGTTCGTTCGGTCTCGCTCTCTTGCTGTCGGTCGGTCTCTCGCGCAGCCGCGGCGCGCCGCGTCCACAACAGACGGCCCCCCGGTCCGAGCCCCAACACCGACATCGTGATCCGCATGGTGCAGTCGGACCGTCAGTCCTCGGTAGCACCATGCACATCCCTGACGTTTGCCCTGTCCTCGCAGACGCAGGCCGGTGACCTCACCCAGCTTTTGGTCCCGTATCATACTTTACTCCTGAAAGAAAATACGTACGTAGTTTCTTCGCATCTGCCTTCAGCTCAGTAACTCAGTTCACTTCGTCGTAGTCGTAGCATTGTGTTGTATCTGGATTGATGACTGCGATTGTGTTTGGATCGTGAGGTGGATCAGGCCGTCGTTGTCTCGGCGGCATGAGAGAAGGAAATCACGTTAGCGTTCGTGTGTCAGCGGCCGTTCCACATCAGGTGAGAATGATGTTGGTGGTGGATTTCGGATCACGGACAGATGGGGAATGAAGGCATGTGGCTGTCTTTCTATTTCGACGACATTCACTTCCAAATGCCCGGACGGTGCTCCATCCTCACCTCACCTTTGACCTCAGGCGAATAAACTCCAGCGGTACAAGGAATTGATGTTGTTTTGTGAATGTTATGTTGTTCTCAGATCTAAATCTCTCATGGGGCCCAGGATAGAACGAAATCTAGTCCTATGGCAGTGTCGACCAATCTGACATTGCTCTCGTCCATGGAGTCCACCCCCTAGAACAAAGCAGCTCCTCATTGGCCCGAGAAGGCGAAATGATTCTTCCTTCGACGACATGGAAAACATGGAATTAAAAATAGACCTTCCTTCCCACCCTCCTACAAATCCACCTTCGCAAGTAAAATAAAATAAGTAAAATTTAATAAAATTCGGAAGATCGTAGGAACGAACAGAAGGTATGTCGACGGAAGTGGAGCCGGCGGTCAAAACCAACTACACCTGCCGTCGCCTTGCACCACTGACTGGGGTCACGAGTCACAAGAACCTTCGGCCTCCTGTTATCTCTCTGACGTGTTAGCTGGCCCTAGAAGCAGGTGCCAAAGTAGAGCCAGCCAGCAGCCATAACCGTTGGTGGGCCGTCGTCGTGGGGTTTCTCGAGCAGACACAGTCGGTAAAAGAAGTCAATTCGGGAAAGCCAGACCCGATTCGCGAATGACGTCGTCGCCGAATCGAAGTCCAGCGTGGAGCCCCCTCAGCAAGGATCCGACGTGGCCCGCGTCGGCGTGACATGTTCGAATGGCACATGGCAGGCGCGCTGGGACTCGGCCGAAATTAGCCTACTGGCGAGTGTGGCGCTATGTTAGCAGCGCCGCCTGGACCCTCCCCTCGTCGCCCAACGTGAAGCCAGAAGCAGACCACCTGGCGGGGAGGTGCGGCGAATCACCTCAGGCGTGACCGTCAAGCTAACCTCGTTACGACCTTCGGGGCCTATCACATGACAGAGCCGCGGTTCGGCTCTTCAGTTATACGCGACGATGCGTCTCGTAACTGAACCGGCCAAATTTGGGGTGGTTTGGATTCCTCCGCCATTTCGCTCCTCAGCTTGCTGTGATGCCAGGTTCGACTCATGATCCGAATGACTCTAAACATTAAAATATTTTTGCAAAAAATAAAAATAAAAATCTTTCCAATTTTCCAAAATCAAAATATTTAAATACCATTTAATTTTTTATACCATATCGGCGTTGTTGACATGCACTCGTCAAGTCATGCCATGTCATGTCAGTTACTCGCTGTCGCTGGATTCGCCAAGACTGGGGATTTCTGTTCATTTTTTAAAAGGACACCGACCAATAGAGCAAGGGGAGGATGGGGCGACACCTTCACGACCACAATGTTGGATGCTTGCTCGTGATTTTCTGCAATCCGAAGTGAATCAGAAGTTCGTTGGGACTTTGTATGAAATGTTCATGTGACAGTAGTTGCGAGTTCACCCTACCCCTGAACAATACAACTCAAAAGAATGTCATGTCCCTTGATTGATTCCGAGTTTTGTCAATGGATGGTGCCTCCTACGATGCATGGATGATGGTTGTCTGGCATCACATTCACCGCCATGTTCGATCTCAATCTCCGTGTCTCCACCCGTGACTCGCAGAAGAATATACCTCGTAACCTTTTGGAATCAAACTATTCCTGTTGCGATTTAAATCTCGGACGCCTGGAATCAGACCTATCCTGAATGTTTATATTTAGGTGCTGATCTGTACCGCCCCTTTTACGTATCACATCAACTGGTGTCTCACTTCGTTCCTCCACAATGTAGTTTCGGACAGTCTCATGACATTATGTAGCGGTGGAAATGTAACTCAGTCATCTTATAGTGTAGTCTTACACTGCAAGTATAAGACGTATTTACCATTGTGATGATATTTGGTGACCCATCACTCGGTGTCTTACTTCATCAAGTGGAAGGCACATCGAGAAAATTGCCCCAGCACTGACTGCGATCGATAGACTTGGGTCGAGAATCCTATCGGTCGATTCGGAAAGTGGTGCGTGCGCTGGCTTCCAGGTGAGAGTTGACCAACGGCACACACCATTATCGTCTGGGCATGCGAACGATGTGACGTGGAAGGCAGCGGGGCACGCTGGCTCACGTTCAGGCAGATGGATACTACAGTTTCAGCGTCGAGGACGTCGCTGTAAGTTGCGACCATTTCTCTGTGCGTCAAACCAACTGGGCCTACGCCCTCTTCGTCTTCTACGTATACTGTATCTCTAACTCTCACTCCGTATTTCTTGACGCCTGGGACATACCGTACACCTACCGGAATGTTTGACACTCTTCACATTTTCCCCCAATTTTTCTCTTCACTATTCCGAGAATTCAGACTCTGGCAAGACATCATCGCCCACTTCATATGATTCTACAATCGGACTTGGTGTAAGGAGCAAAATTATGCGGGGTACGACGTTCATACTCCACATTTCAAAGCTCTGAGAATTATAAAAGTTCAAGCTTCCATTGGGTATATATCAGCATCATATATTTAACAGCTCCAGATTTGGTAACACATCTCAAACCGATTTGGATCGATTGGTTTTTAGGAGTTTCGATTCGGCAGTGAGCGTCTGTCAAAGAGAACGTGGACTCCAGTAAAAGATGAGATGCAAGTAGGGGGCAGACTGCAGCCAAACGCATTGTGCAAATTTCATCTGGTCATAAGTGCCAGTCCAAAGTCCACTTGGGTGTGAGACCAGACGTGGATCGAATCGACACCGAGAGCAGCATGTGGGTCAAGGTGGAAACGAGAAAATCTTCATCACCTCATCTTCAACGCAGAAGTCCAGATCCGGATCTCTGGCTAACCCGAGGTTACTCACGATCCAGATGCTCCCAGAGATTCACGAACCCCACGTGGACCGAGAAGAAGACGACTGCTACGTACAGCACAGTGTGTAATCTGTATGTCTGGCGCTAATTCCGTGCGTTTGTCTGTACGTCGGGCTCGGTGTCATGTGATCGATCGGTCGATAGATATGCTTAAGTAGGTTGTACGTGAAGCACTTTTCTCTCGATCGTCATCATTAGACCTCTTTGACCGCCGCTGAACTACTGTATCGAGCGAGCTTCCTGCTCGATCGCTGATTATGTGAGCTCGCGCGCTTGACTTGGACGACGGACGGCCGCTTGCAGCTCAGCTCAGCTCAGCTCAGATCAGCTCGGCTCGGTCCGTCGGCGTCCGGTCCCTGCCCCAGTCCTTCTACTTCTGCCTTCGGTCAGCACATAGAGAATGGAGTTTCCTGGTTTCGTTCGGTGGACTCCGGTGGACTAAAAGCGGCCGCCTCGAGCTCTTTCTTTGAGCCCCACGTTTTTCCTCCAGCGGTCACGTCATTACGAACTCGAGGAATGTCTCGTCTCTTAGATGTTACCTTCCAACATCTGCTTCCTGTCTTCATTCTACTTTTCCATATTGGCCCACGGTTTTTTAAGAATATGAACACGGAACTTCGTCTGCAGCTCGGAATGAAATGTTTAACTGACTGCACAAGTCTCGAATACATTATCCAGTCAGGATTGGTATATTATGTCGAAAACCTTTTCATTCAACCTGGCCATGGCTATCCGGTAACTTGAGGGTGAAGCAAATATCTCCGGCCCCTCCTCTTTTCATTTGATCGATGAGCTCATAAGAAGCTCTGCAGAATTTTGGCAACTGGAAAGATGGAAGAAGTTATTCTTATACTGCATGTAAAGCGTTTATTGTGTCGGACACGGAGCCTCATTTACTAGGCTCTGATTTGTCATAGTCACATCGGATCTGGTAGGACTAGTTCAAAACAGATCTGCTCTGAGGGATTGTCATTGTGATAGAAGAGTATCAAATCTTCCCCTACTTGGTTCAGTGATTGTACATGACTTGCATCTTGCCAACACAATTGAAAAGATTACTGTAACAGATGCACGAATCTCGCGAGACTGTGCGAAGCCACCATATCTCTCTTCGGACAGCAGCGGATTTGTGAAGGTGAAATTTGTTGCTGTTAAGAACTGATACACTCTCACATGTTCAGCGTACCTGAGAGCCAGGGAGAGAAGAGGAAGAAGAAGAAGAAGAAGAAGAAGAAGAAGGCTGTGGATTCAAGCTGAAGTTGCCTATATATCATTGGGAGATTAAGTAGAACCTGCAGCTGCTGTAAGTGTTGTTTTCTTTAGTCTTAGGAATCTACTAGGTCCTAGAACCAGCTTGATGCACACAAGGTGGTTCTTCTATGACCTCGGTACACTGGTCTGCCAGACTGTGGCAGGTAGCCAGTCTTCGCATCCTGTTCCAT